GACAATCCAAATATAAGCGAGTTGCCAGAGTCTTTTTGTTATTTAGAAGATATCGATCTCACCGGCACAGCACTTACAACAGTACCAGATTGTTTCTATTGTAAATGGACCTTTTTTAAGAATAGATTTTCTGTTAAAATTCCAACTGATTTCGTTTGTGGTATGATAAGAGTCTATTAATTTAATAATTATATCTATTAATATCTTTTAAACAATAGTTCCGAGATTAGATAAAACTTTATTTGTTTACAATCCAATAAACCCAAATCCAATCAACATGCATATTTTTGGCAAGAATTTGGGTTGGGATAAAATTGCAAATCTGACAATGGTTACAGCAAATTCACATTTTATGTATGATTTCATAAATAAAATACAAACTGGATTAATTAATATTAATATTGTTTTCTTTTTTGTATTTTTTAGATATAATAATAATAATCAACTAAAGGATCATTCTCATTTTTTGTAAATACAACCAAACTTACATTCGAATGGGCCTATGATAGTATGTAATTTATTTTTCATTAATAATTGATAAGATTTACTAATTAGATTTTTTCTACAGTAAGTATTGTCAATGCTGCATTTGGTATTATTGAAGGAACATCGCTTCGAGTTGAAATCAATGGTACTTTCAATACTACAATGGACTATCTAGTTGTAATCAATGGTGTTTCATGTTCACCTGCAGACATATATCCAAATGTTTTGATTTGTACTTTAAGTTCTATACCTACAATCAGAAACCCTATAGTAACTGTAACAAATGAAATTCAATCTATTAATACTACTTTAAAGATACAAAGTAATTATAATATATAATGATCAACAACAAAACCAAATTTTATTCTAACTTTACAATTCTATAGATATACCTATTGTTGTTTCAACATCAAAGCTTTACGAATCGGGAGGAAACTTAACCCTCTATGGGTACTTCCATGATAATATTATTCAGGCAAACGTTACTGTCAACAATGTAAATTGTACTATTACCAAGGCAAACTCTACTGTTATAGTATGCATTATTACAACCAATCTGACACCTGGTTTTGCAAATTTAAGTGTATTTACCAATAATATAGAGTTTATATCCTCTTATTTAGTTATATGTATGTATAAATAAATATTATAAATGAATGTTTATTTATTAATATTTTTTTTTTAAAAAAAAAACCAAAAAAGATCCTTTGGATATACCAAATAATTGTATTGTTGATAATTCTACTTGTAGTAGTAATGGTATTTGTATAAACAATAAGTGTGTTTGTAATAGTGGATTTGGTGGTTATTATTGTCAGTCTACATTGACACCAACTGTAATAATTCAACCAAATACAACATCACCCAACGTCAATGTAATTTCAAACAACACACAATTCCAATTCAATATCATTGCAATACAAGAGTTGGACGATCTCCGAGATGTCTTCAGTAGCTATCACTTCAATGTATCAAATTGGAACTATTCAAAGTCATCCGATATTGAAAAGGATAACTATAAATATGTTCTAAATGACTCGAGTGTACAGTTCAAGACAGAGGTCAATATAGATAACTTTAAGGTCTACAAGAATTTAACTTTTGCTGGTATTGAAACTATTTATCCTCCAAACTCTTTGAAGTTATCGATCACTATAAGTGGATGGTCATTCAACTCGAATCTAAATACACTGAGGGTGTTGTTTGCGACCGAGATGAAGTACCAAACAATCGAAGATAAGTGTCAATCGGAAATCAGAGACAAACAACAATTCGATCAACTTCATAACTTACAATACTTAACGATTACCAAGGATGGTGTCACCTATTTCGGAAGATTCTTGGATTATGTTTTATCAGATAACCGACCTGCCTACTCATTGAATGAGATCATCAGTAACTCGACAACCAACAGTACTCAATCGGTAACCATTGGAATCAACATGCCACAGAGCCAAACAACCATCATAGACCCTGATTTTTCTGTGCTAATTGATCCATCAAGTGAACCAACAGATTGCAAAGAAGATTCACCATCGTCATCTTCTAAATCAATGAAGTTAGTAGCAATCATCGTTCCTGTTGTCATTGTTGGTGTTGCTCTTATTGTCGGTATGGCCATATTCATTCACAGGCATAATAGATTTATCAGACAAGAAGAAAAAGTTCAAATTAAACTATCTAGATTGGATAATAAATAAATAAATGTTTAATTCAAATTAATATTAAGTTTAACTTTAATTAAAAAATAATTAAATTACAACAAGTTTTTGGGATTTTTTTGGTAAATTTTTGGAATAAAAAAAACAAAAAAAGGTTACAAAAAAAAAGATATTATTAATGTGAGTGTGAGAAATTTTAAAAAAAAGATCTTATTAATATCAAGTTATTGGATGAAGAAAGATTTAACTAAAAAGTTAACTTTATAAATGATCTCACAAATTTGTGGAGCTCCGATACATAAATAATCTCTACATTTGATTTTTAATCATTTTGATTTTATTCTTTATGTTAAAATGTCTTGTAATAAATATATTTGTATATTATTTGTATTTTTAAATTTTTATTTGTATAATTGTATTTTACAGGAACCTGATCGTAAGTTTTTTTTTTTTTTTTTTTTAAATAAAAAATATATATATTTAATTTATTTAAAAATAGTGAGTTCAATAAGATGGATTTCTATGCAATATCAACTTGGTTGGCCTTTAAATGAAACTGAATGCAGTAGAATATCGTCAACCCTAACATGTGTTTCAAATGGAAATGAAGAGAGCATTAGTCAAATGTAAATTTTTTTTATTCTATTATTTTACACTACTACACTAACAAAACAATAGATCAATGACCGATTATATACATACTCCAATTCCACAGGGAAAACCAATTAGTATTCCATATCTTAGCTTTCCAAATTTAATAGAAATCATACTAAGGACATCCAATCCAGTTGCAGACCCATCAGTTAATTTTTTTGAAAAGTTGAATTCGTATGACAATGCAAATATGAGGTTATTGTAGTAAGTGAACAAATATATTATTATTTTCATAAATTAATACTAATTTTATTATAGCGTGTATGATTTAAATGACCCTATAGTATTACCACCTAATTTTGGAACCTTCTTTCCAAACTTAAACATGATGTAAGTATTTTCTTTTAATTTAAATATTTTTCATTAATAACAAATCATTTTTTCAAGAATAATGTCAAGATGTAAATTTGGGTCTAATATACCACAAACAATATTCAATAAGAATATTATTTACTTCTCACAAATTGATTCTAGTTTTATAAGTGGGAACTTTCAAACTCTTTTTGATCCAAAACAAAAGTTTAACTCATTAAATCAATTGTAAGTAATTTTTTTTTTTTTAATACAAAGATGAGATTTAATAATCATTTTTATAGAATCTTAGTATATTCTGATTATAACCCAATGCCTATCACCCTTTTTAATTTGACCAAAGAGACTGTGCCAAATATTTTTACATTGTAATTATTTAATTTAATAATAACAAAAGAAATCTAAATTAATATTTGCTCTAGGTCACTCAGAGTATCTCAACCTGTAGAGATAGTAATTGATTTACCTAATTTAACTTTATTGTAAATATTGAAATCATAATATTAGTTTGAAAAATAATAATATTAATTTTTATATAGACGAGTGTTATCCACCCCTCTTTCATATCAAAAAGATAAATCGAATCTTACAATAATTAATTCACCTGAAATCCAGTTAATGTAAATAGTTTTGAATATCTTAAAGAAATGTATTTTACTAACCGTTACTATTACTATAGGTACATTGAAAACACTATTATAGAACCTAATGATTTTTCGATTTTCACTAAAATAGAAACACTGTAATTATTTTTTTATTAATTTACTACTAGACTAGACTTAAATGTTGATATTTTTTATAATATAGTACCCTACATAAAACAAACTTTATAAGCAATATTAAAAATGTTTCATTTTATGAAGAGTTTGATGTCCCTTCTAAAAGATTTCCTCCATTGGAATGGTTTGATTTGAATTCTAAGTCGTCAATGTAAATAATAAAGAAATTTACTCAAATTATTTTACTAACAATTCTATAGATCAATTGAAAACACAGGAATAGAAGGTACTATTATAGATTATCCTAGGATGGGTTTATTTCCGGATCCTTTTTATTTGAACGACATTAGGGGTATTAATGGAACTCTACCAGAGTCTTATTGCTATATCAAAAATATTTTGATATGGAACACCCCTGTTGAATCAATACCAGATTGTTTTTTTTGTTCTTGGAGTAGATTTCAGATGGTGTTTGATTTGACTATTCCTCCTAACTTCCAATGTAGTAAGTACTTGTTTGATAAGATTTTAAAGAAACTTTCTATTGATCAATATCCAAAATAGAGCCCACAATTGAAACAACTAAATTTGTATTTTCACCTAAAAACCCAAACCCTGTGAATATGACTATTATTGGAAAGAATCTTGGATGGGATCCAATTGATAATGTAACATTGGTCATACCTAATTCCAATTTTATGTAAGATTATTTTTCCGAACATTTATTATTAAAAAAATTTTTATTAATTATTTTTTATGTTAGATTTAATAATCAAAATCAATCTACTGGAACTTTTTCTTTTACTACTTATTCGAAAATATTAACTTTTAGTTGGTTCTTTGATGGTAAGAATTGATTTATTATGATATACCATAATAAATACTAATAATTTTATAGTTACTGAAATAAATACTGCATATGGTGGAATTAATGGAAGAGAATTTAGAGTTGATATAGTTGGCACTTTTAATGTATCAATGAATTATACAGTATCTGTGAATGGAATTGAATGTAAACTTTTTTTGAAAACAGACAATAGTCTAGCCTGTTCACTTCATAATTTTCCAACAACAAGATATCCATTATTGAATTTAACGAACGAAATTCAGTCTTTGACCGCAATATTACAAATTCAAGGTACTTTATATGTTATCCCCATTATTTAATATTTTATTTTTAACAATTTTTCATTCTTTAAAGACCTACCAGTTGTATCAGCCACTTCAAAACTTTATGAGGATGGTGGTGATTTATGGCTTTTTGGTTATTTCCAAAAAAATATAACACAGGTAGTAGTAACAGTGAATGGATTAAATTGTACTATCATTAATGTAAATGATACAAGTATACTTTGCAATATATCTGGAATTTTAAAAGTTGGATTTGCTGATCTCGTTGTTATAACAAACAATAGAATGTTTTCATCTAAATCTATTTTAATTATTTGTAAGTTGGATTAATTATTAGTTTGTCATAAAAATACTAATGTTTATTTTATGTTCATAAATAAGATGCTCACCAATCTCCAATTTTTTGTGATGATATTTGTAAAGCTAATGGAAAATGTGTTAATAATATCTGTGTATGTAACACTGGCTATGGTGGTATCAACTGTCAGTCCGAATTATATCCTGTTGTTGTACTCCAACCAAACTCAACATCCCCAAACATAAACGTCGTTTCAGACAACTCCCAATTTCAATTCAACATTGTGGCAATTGAAGAATTGGATGAGCTTAGAATGACCAGAAGGAGTTACCAAGTAAACCAAGCGAAATGGACCTATTCAACATCGCTTAGTAATGATATTGTTACCTATAATTATATTCTAAATGACAGCAATTCACAGTGTTATTTAGAAGTAAATATAGATAGCTTTAAAACTACCGAGGATATATCATTTGGTGGAAGGGTCATCACTTATCCCGCCAACTCTTTGAAGTTGTCAATTACAATTAGTGGCCGGTTATTCACCTCGAATTTAAATACACTAAGAGTACTCCTACAGACAGAGATGAAATACGATCAGTTGGAAGATAAATGTAAATCAGATATTCAAGAGAATCAACAATTCGATCAACTTCATAACTTACAGTACTTAACGATTACCAAGGATGGTGTCACCTATTTCGGAAGATTCTTGGATTATGTTTTGTCAGATAACCGACCTGCTTACTCGTTGAATGAGATCATCAGTAACTCGACAACCAACAGTACTCAATCAGTTATTATTGGAATCAACATGCCACAGAGTCAAACAACTATTATCGATCCTGATTTTTCTGTTCTGGTTGACCGATCCAGTGAACCAACCGATTGCAAAGAATCCACGTCATCATCAATGAAGTTGGTCGCTATCATCGTACCAGTTGTAGTAATCGTTGTTGCTGCTGTGACTGGTGCAACCATATACACAGTTAAAAATAGAAAATTCCGCAAACAAAATGTTAAAGTAGAAAAAAAACTATCAAAATTAAAAGTAAATGAATAATAAATATGTACTTATAAATGTTGTAAAAATAATTAAAAGGGGAATGGTTTTGGTTGTTGCGAATCGTCCGGGTCAGGCGTAAGGCAAGTCAACGTGACTCACCTCAGGAATGTTTTTGTTTCATCAGAATCACGATTGTGACCCTGAATCCACAGATTATTCGAAGTTAACTATGTCAACTTCTTGCCGGACGGCGGACGTTTACGATTACATGATAAAGACTTGTTATAAAGCATCAAAGTAAGACAATTTCTTTTATGAACCAAACTAAACCCAACAAAGGTAACCAATTCATTTCCTTTTAAGAAAGACTGAAATGCTTTGCAAATGGTTTAATGGGAGTTGGTGGTTGTGATTTGAAAAAAAATAATTATAATTTCTATTTTTCGATTCTTATAAAATTAGCAAGCAGTTGTTTGAACTAAATTAATTTTTTATTTTTGTTTTCAAAGTTTATGGTGTGTCAATAACCAAATAAAAAATTATTAAACTTTTACTAAATTAGGTATTAACGATCATGGTTAATTTGCAAATCTAATATATATATATTTTAATAAAAAATAAAAATAATAGCTTAATTATTAATTAATTGTGAAGCTATTAAATATAAATTATCACTTATGATTGTGAATAAAAACTAAACTAAAGAAATATTAACAATTGTGTGTTGACTTTTTTTGTGTGACCATCAAAACATAAAAAAAATGATCAATTTTTTTAAAATAATAAATTATTTTTTAAAATTAAAAAATATTTATTTTTATTTTGTTGTTTCTTATTATTTTTATATGTATCGATTGATTTAATATATTATATATATAAAGATCTACTACTACTTGACTAAGTTTAATCATTCATTGACATCCATCAACAACAACAAATCAAAAAAAAATAAAACAATATTAAAGATATAGAAAATGACATTGTATGAAGATAATAACTCATTTTTAAATGCGCTAACCAAGCTGTATCAATCAAAGAGAGCAAGCGGAAGTGTTTGGGTTACAGTAAAGAGATGTAGGTTTATTCATTCATTTTCAACCACCAAACATTACTATTTGATCAATATTTGTTTAATAGATGATAAGATTGATAGATTTTGTTAATCAATGCATCATAGTAGTCAATTCACTATTGATCAAATACCCAATAAGTATATTGTGATGATTAATACCTTATTTCAATTGAATTCACTCAATCTAGATATACCTGCAGATAAAAAAGGAGAAGACAAAGTACCAGAGCACGAAAAAGAACCAAAATGTTTAATTAGAGCCACAGATGGTTATAAAAAAAAGATTTCAACAGTAGTAGGTGTTGAGAGAAAGACTAGAATTAATTGATCAACGAATATGTGTGACTAACATTGTTTTATTACTTTTGACAGGTTTTAGCCAAAGATATAGTTTCATTTCAACAGAGTATCAGAAATGTACTTCTGATCAGCGCAGATAATTTAAAGAAAGAACCAAAAGAAAAGAAAGAGAAGAAACAACCCGCTGCCGTAAAAAGAGCAAATAATAAAGTGTAGATTCTATAACCTATTATATTATATATATTAAACCACCAAATTGAAACTAATTTTTTTTTTTTTAAATCTATTTAATGTTTGTTATATTTTATTTATACTGTTTTGATTTTGAAATTATTCTTTTGGTTTATTATAGTATAAGATATTGTTGTTGGGGTGTAGTGTTATGTTATTGTTGTTGTTATGATGATGATGATGATGATGATGTTTTGTAATGTTGTCTTTTGATTTATACAATTCTTTCAAGTTCCTTAGCATAGTGAATAGTTTGGTGAATGAGTTGGGTGGATGGGATTTCAATTTGTTGGGGACCAGAGTCAAAGAGAATCTTGTCACCATCTACCTTCCAACCTCTCTTTTTAATATATTCGCTCAATTGGTCTAGACTTGCAACTTGCAATACCTTTTGTGCTTCCTTCAATGTAAGATATTTAAATGATCTTTCAATACAATTAGCAATATCCTCTCTATTATATATATATATTAGTAAACTAATTTAAAAACGATATAAATTATAAATGATAATCATAACTAACTTACCTCATAGAATTTGAAAGTAAATCAATAAAGACAAGATAATGCTCCGATGGCACTTGTGATCTAGATGACAATACCTTTTGATAGCTACCCTCTGCAATGGATTTCTCGACCAACAATGGGAATCTGATTATTTGATAAAAGAAAATATTGAATGTAAATATTATATGTGTGTGTGGATGCTAAATGGATTACAGCTGTGGTATAGATAGTTAACATACTTGATGAATGGATTACTTAACATGTCGAATGGTATCAACTCTAACTCTGAGTGGAACTTTGGTGCATTTTGAGTTGCCAAACACTTCATCAAATGCAATCCAATGATGTTATATTGTAGTGCCGATGGTTGAATATATTTCTTGTAGTCCTGATAGAAAGTGGTCAACTGTGCATAGAATCTTTCGAATGCACTGATATCTCTAACCTTTACACTATATAATGCAGCTATTTCTAAAATATCTCCTATAAAAGTCGAATAAATAATTTAGTTGTTAAGTTTAGTTTTGTTTATTTTATTTTTGAACTAAACATTTAATTTATATTACTTACTTGCTAGTAAACATTCTTTCACTACTTTTTCACTGTGATCGGATTGTGTTGGTGAAGACAGATGAATCAAATCGATCTTTAGATGATTCAATAGTTCTTTGGCTTTATTAACATCTGGATTTGGTTGTTCAGCCAACTGTTTGAAATGAGTAAAGTTCTTTTGAACTTGTGTGATATCCATATTCGATTAATCTAAAATCTATTTATATATATAATATAAAAGTATGTGGGTGTAGTGTGTACAAATAAAAAGGGTAATAAAAAAAATGAAATATATATAATATAAAGTATTCTTTTTACAAATATAAAATTAATAATAATAATAAAAAAAAAGTGTAATTTTTTAAAAAGTGATCTTCAAATCAAAAAAAAAAAAAAAACACACAAATTTAAATTAAATTAAATTTTAAAAAAAATTAATGATCATTTTTTTTTTTTTTTTTGAATTAAATTAATAGTTTATTGATTATTAAAATTTGATTGATACGGATCCACTTATATGCCTACAGAATGTATCCTCTTCAAAGAATGGCTCGCATTTGTTGGATTCAATTGAATATTTGAAATTACCACAATCACAACCACCAAATGAATAGATAAAGCTTGAAAATGGTGACTCTCGGTGATACATCAAATTAAGTTCATCACCTATTTCTGGAATATCAATGGTATCGACTTGTTTGCTTTCAACATTGTATTTGGTGATTTGTTTTTTGGAATATTCGTTTGTGTAGAGGTTTCCATTGTCATCGTGACAAGCTGTGAATGGTTTACAGCCAATTATATGTGGTTTTAAAGTTTTTCTTGTCAAATCGATTTGAAATACCATATTGTTCTCTAATCCAACTATATACAATGAACCTTTGAAGATCATTAATGATAATACTTGACTGAATTTTCCATATTTGATTGTTGTAAATTTATGATATATCTCAAACTTCATCGTATTGATATTGAATCGATCGATCTCTTGTTTATCTCCCACCAAATAGATATGATCTTTACCATCATAACAAGCTGATAAATCACAACTAACATCGATTCCTACGATATCACCGATATGCTCAACTGATTTCGATTTGATTGAGAATTTCATCCATTTCTTTGGATCGTTATAACCACCGAATACATAGATATATTCACCAACTGCAACAATCGAACTGTATGTTCCACTAAAATCAAAGTCAATACTGAATTGTTCCACTGTATTATTATTTGATAGGTTGATGAGTGTTGCTGCTCCACTAAAAGAGGGTGTTGAAAAAATATATGATGTTGTGTTGTCTGTTAAAAGAGTAATTGATTGTTGTATGATTGAATCAAGTTGTTTAAAATCTGGTCGTTGTGTATACAATCTGCTTATAGTATTATCAGTGATTCTATCAGTTGCTGTTGGTTGGAATCTATCGTTGTATTTATAAATTGTATCCAATAATAATGATAATGAATCGTTATCATATTGTTCTAATTGCTCTTGAACTGATGGATGGTCATCGATCATCTGATTACTGAACAATGTTTGATTATTATCATCGATGAATGACTGTAATGTTGAACATGATGATATTGATTTCAATATTGATTCTAATGAATATTGCTCAGTTGTATTCTCTATTTTCATTTCATTTTTTACAACTTCTTTACTATTATAATTACTATTTTGTTTGATGTTATTAAAGTTATTATTTAAATCTATAATACTATTTAAATGTTTTAATTCATTGATATAATTATTGAGTTGATGTTCAATAATGTCTTTGGTGGCTATTATTGATTTCTTTAACTTGTATTCTTCCATTGCAATGTAATCATAAAGTTGTTTAAAATGTTGTGTGATTTCATTCTCTGTCAGTGTTAAACTCTCATATCTTGAAGTATCTGATTTCAATGTGTTCCAAATTGATTCTATTCTTTTTGAAAAATAAGAATGACAATCATCCTCATCATTATTATTATTATTATTATTAATATTATTATCATTATCATCATTATTATCTTTTTTTTATTTTTACTTCTATCTTTATTTTTCTTTTTATTTTTATTATCATTATCAACTATGCTATCTAGTTTTTGTTTTTTTAAAGTTGGTTGTTCATGTTTATCATCATTATTATCATTTTGCCGAGGGACATCAATACTACGTAGATTATCTAATGATTGTTTTATTTCTTTGATATGATCTAATTGATTGGCATGATCATTGTGATTCTTATTGTGTTTTGTAATGCACAATGCACACATTAACTGATTGCATTGATAACATATAAATCTATATGATTTCTGATGTCTAGAACAACTTGATGTCATTTTGGTAAATAATTTGATAGTTAGACGAATTTAAAATAAATAATATTATAGATTTCAGTCCAAAACTTCACAAAATATTTTTTTGTAAAATTTGAACTGAAAAGGGGGTGTCTGCTCTTTGTTATGCCAAAATTTTTGTCATATGACAAAAACACCCAGATTTTTATAGATTGTGGTCATTAGGATTTTTTGGACCAAAAAACGAACGATAACCATAATATGAATACAGTGGATCAAAAATGAAATAAAAGCACACAACTATCTTTTTAAATATTGTTAATATTCCATTCGTATTTTCCATAGAGTCTCTTTCTCGTTGTGTTAAAGATGGCAAGAAGGCGCTATAAATACGGAAGAATCTAGGAATTTTCTGTCCGACTGACATTAGAATGATTTTAAGGCTAGTAGTATTCCTAACATTACAAACCAAATATTTTTATAAAAAAAAAGATAAAAAAAACTAAATATATATATATTTACTATGATTTTGGCAGAGGAGTGCATTTGTTAATAACAATAGCATAAATACTTTGTTTTTATTGATTATTGGTGAAATGACCAAAAAATAGGATTTATGTGCGATGTCATCGATTCTAACAAATCACTTCTCAAAGCAATTTGCTTTGATCATGTGTAGTATCTGTTCTAGAAAGCTTAATCTCTTTCTGCGGTCACACGTTGACCGCATAATTGATTAAACTAATTTATCTAGAGGGACCGGAACACCATGGTATGGGCTTGCTCATATCGTTCTCAGTCATGTATTTGCACTGTATTTGTACACACAATATCTATAATGGTTTGTCCTTTTGTTGTTGTTGTTTCTGTTGTGAGGCAGCCAATTTCTGTTTCAAAAGTGCTTGTTTTTTGAGTAGTTCTATTTGTTTCAATCTACTTTGTTGCTGTTGTTGCTCTTTCTCTTTCGCGTCTTGATGTTTGGTACGATTCAACTTTGTAGCCTCTTGATCTTTGATCATCGATGCAATCTTCTTTTCTTTCGCCTCTGCTTCTTTTCTGTCGATCTCCTCTAGGTCGTCAGTTGATTGACTCTCCCATAGTCTTCTCATTCTTTCTCTCTCTATATCAGGATGATACATATCATCTGGTAACTTTTCATACTGCTGCTGTTGTCGATGTTGTTGTTTCTCTTTCTCTTGTTGTAACTCTTGTTCTTTCTCGTTATCAACGATCTTTTGATGAAAATCAATGCTATTATCTTCATTATTTATATTTAAAAAGTCAATCGGTTTCTCATGTTTACCTCCAACTATAAGAATAATTATAATAATAGATTAGCAACAACAATCATTATCGTTTATATCTTATAAATTCTCTAACCAAACTTACCTAATTGTTCATATATTTTTGCTTTCTCTTTTAATATTCTTTGTGCATTTTCATATGATAGTCTATCTTGTTCATCTTTGATGTCATCTAAATCCTTTTGATTTCTTTCATCTATACCTCTATTTGTTGATTTATCTTTATCATTATCTTTACCACTATCATTGTTATTACTGTTCCTATGTAGTATTGCTTTTAATGATTTATTAGGTCTCTCTGTATATGATTCATCTTTACTCAATGCATTTCTCTCTTCATTTAATACACTTGATTTCAATGCTACAATCTTAACAACATAATTGTATTAGTTTATATAACACTAACATCATCTATATTATTAAAAGAAAATAATACATACACTTGCATTTGAAACACCTTCAATATCTTTCTTTCTTTTCCACATAACTAGCTAACTAACTAACTAACTATAAAACAATAAAGTTAAACAATAAACCAATACAGTAGTTTTAATTTTTATTAAAGTTATAATTGGACAAATGATTTTATTAAAAAAAAACAATTTGTTTTTTTTTTTGTTTGTAATGTTTAAATTAATTTAATTAATCATAGTTGTCTAATTTCGAGAATAAAGATTGATAGGTTTGAGTTAAGAGTGGTGTGGCATCATCTATGTCTTCGATGTAGTTTGATTTCTTATCGTTCATGTTTGGTCCAATGGTGAGGAATATGGCATCGATGTTGAATTCCTTGGCAGCCTTTGACTGTTGATCCTTGATTGGCACTGCATAGATGTTACCGGCGGTACCAGGCTTTGGATATCGTTGTTTGACCTCGGCATCGAAAGTGGCCTCGCCAATGATATCGTAGAGCTGTTTGTTCTGTGGTGTTCGTTTCAGTCGCCATGTAGTCTCGCTAGCAACAAATCTACAGCCGACATTGAACTGCTCCACCGAAGTGGCACTATCACATTGTACAATCGAGAATCGTTCATCTCCAACACCTTTCGTTAGCTTCGTTGCAATGCTATCGTTATAAATCGATTTATCTATACACATTATCAGTTTAATATCATCTTCTTCCTTGTGAAATTCTAAATATGATTTTATTTCCTATAATTATTATTATTATTATTATTGTTGTAAATTTATATTAATAAAGATAGGGTTCTTCATTAATGAATCGATTTATAATACATACAGTAATTGCAATATCAGTTGCAATATCTACTTTAAAATTATAAACAAATGTAGAGATAAATGGGAAGTACAATGATCTTTGTTTGTTACTACTGACTTGCTTCTTCTTTTTATAGTTTGGTTTACCATTGTTACTACCATTGGTACTACCATTATTTGTTGCAGATGCAGTTGATGTTGATGGTGGTGATGTTGTTGTTGTTGTTGTTGTTGTTGCTGTGGTGGTGGAGGATGAGGTGGCGGTGGTAGTTGGCTTAGCAGTAGCAGATGTTGTGGAAGTAGTTGAACTTGCAGCACCATTTTTATCTTTACTATCATCTTTCTTGTTTGTTGCTGTGGTAGTTGTCGTTGTTGTTTTCTTTTCATCTTTGCTATCCTTTGTATCTTTCCATGGATGTGAGAATTCTTTAAAGTGCTCTTCATTCTATATATATTTTATTTGTGAAATTGAATAAATCATTATCAATACAATATCCAAAAATATAAAGTGTATTTAGTTTACTTATAAGCTACTAAGATATTTACCTTTCTATAACAACTTTTTCCATATGGACATTCTGGTAAACTTTTTTGTTTCTTTGTATTTGTATCTTTTTCATTAGTATCATCATCATTATTATCATCGATATCCTTTCTCTTGTTATTGCTACTAGTAGTGGTTGAAGCAGTGCTGCTACTTGTTTTTTTACTATAGTCAACAAATTCTGTATTAACTTCAATGACAACAGTGAAAGTCAACATTTCATAGAGCATTGAGAATGAATCACCGTCCTCCAACACATATTCTTCATCTTTTGTCATCTATATAGATTTAAATGTTTCTTATTAATAAACACACACTATGATTATAAATTATAAAATGATTCATACCTGTACGAAATAATCTTTATCATATTTCTTTAAATAAGATGGATTGATTCCATTCTATACATATATATATAATTGTAAAATTAGTTTTTGATTCTCATAATATGTTATAATAAGAGATTAATAATTAAAAACATACTGAAATTAAATAATAATTTGAGTGTTCATCTAATTTAATTAATATTTGTTTTCTTGAACATTTCTTTTCACTTATACCAAGTGATCCTCTACCAATTTCATATGTTCCTGTTGCTTTATAGGTATGATCGAGTAGATTCTCTGCTTTATTGATACTCTTTAAATGAATAAGATGTCTTGTTGGTACACTTAATGTTGCCATTTTATAAGTATATATATATAATTACAATATTCAATAATATGATAAATAATTTACATTGATCAAATGACTCAAAAAAAAAAGATCTTGAGGGGTGAGTTTAGCTCAAGTTCCATTTTAATTATGAGCAAAAAATTTTATCAGAAAAAGGCAATTTTTTTTTATTGCTATGAATCCTAATACCCTCAAATCTGCAATCGATTGCAAATAAAATATTTGATTATTTAGAATTTAATTTTGTACATATTTATTTGTATTGTTAATATTATCATCAATGTAATTTTTGATTGTGATCTTCTCTTTAAAAAGAATAGCTATTATCATTATTATTATTATTATTTAGTTTCTTTTTTGTTTGAATATAATTTAATTGTCATCATTTAATCTCTTTTCAAGTTCATTCATTTGATTTGAAATTTCCTTTGGTAAACGATCACCGAATTGCGCAACGTACTTTTTCATGCTTTGAAGATCGTTCAACCACTCTTTCTTTTCGATGGTAAACAATTCACGCATGCTGTCCTTTGAGATATCCAAACCGTTCAGATCGAGTGAACCGTTCGATGGGATGTAACCGATTGGTGTGACCTCAGCACCCTCTTCACCTTTGGCAGCGCAACGCTCAAAGATCCACTTGAGAACACGTGAGTTCTCACCGAATCCTGGCCACAAGAATTTACCTTGCTTGTTCTTACGGAACCAGTTGACATAGAAGATCTTTGGCAAGTTCGATGTCTTGTTGGTGCGGTTCTCCATCGAGAGCCAGTGGTCAAAGTAGTCGGCCATATTGTAACCACAGAACGGAAGCATGGCGAATGGATCGTGACGCAATGCACCTAGGGTTCCCTCGGCGGCAGCGGTCAGTTCTGAAGCGGTGGAAGCACCCATGAAAGTTCCGTGTTTCCAGTCGAATGCCTGGTAGACCAGTGGAATGGTCGACGATCTACGTCCACCGAAAATGATGGCAGAGATTGGCACACCCTTGGGGTTCGACCACGATGGATCGACCGAGGGACACTGTGACATTGGTGCTGTGAAACGCGAGTTTGGATGGGCGGCAGGACGTCCGGAAGATGGTGTCCAATCGCGACCGGTCCAGTCGATGGCCTTGGCAGGTGCAGGTCCGAGACCCTCCCACCAGACATCGTTATCGGGGGTGAGTGCAACGTTTGTGAATATCGAATTTCTAGAGATGGTCTCGAGTGCGTTCGGGTTGGAACTGGCAGAGGTACCCGGTGCCACACCAAACATTCCATTCTCTGGGTTGATAGCGTAGAGACGACCGTCGCTACCAAATTTCATCCAGGCAATGTCGTCACCGATCGTTTCGATCTTCCAGCCTGGAATGGTTGGCAGCATCATGGCGAGATTTGTCTTTCCACAGGCCGATGGGAATGCAGCGGCAATGTAACGCTTCTCACCCTTTGGATTGGTGATACCGAGAATCAACATGTGCTCGGCGAGCCAACCGTCTTTCTTGGCCATCGACGATGCAATTCTCAACGAGAAACACTTCTTTCCGAGCAAGGCGTTACCACCGTAACCCGATCCGAAACTGGCGATGGCGCGATCCTCTGGGTAGTGCACGATGTATTTGGTGGAGTTGCACGGCCACTTGGAATCTTCGACGCCCGGGGCAAGTGGAGCACCGACCGTGTGTAAACATTCGACGAAATCAGCACCATTATCGAGTGCCTTGAGAACATCTTGACCCATTCGTGTCATGATACGCATATTACAGACGACGAATGGCGAATCGGTAACTTGTACACCGATGTGTGAGATTGGCGAACCCAATGGACCCATACTGAATGGCATCACATACATGGTACGACCCTTCATCGAGCCAGAGAAGAGTGGCTTCAATGTTTGCTTCATTTCCTTGGGATCTACCCAATTATTGTTGGGACCAGCATCCTCTTTGTTCTTGGTGCAGATGTAGGTACGTGATTCGACACGAGCAACATCACCTGGATCCGATCTAGCCAAATAACTGTTTGGTCTCTTACTATTAAGTTTTGTTAGAACACCTGCTTTAATCATATCATTACAGAATCTAAAGAAAATATAAAGAAATGATAAGTTAACAATCTAATCTATATAGTTGTTGTTGTTGTTGTTGTAGAGTTTGGACGCATGAATGATACAAACCCAGTATATTCTTCCTCTGAACCATCACAGACATAGATCTTATCTGGTTGACACAGTTTAGCTTGTTCCTCTACCCAATTGATCAACTTTTGATTCTTTGTTTTCTGTTTCAAACTCTCGAGTGAGAAGAAACGACGCTGAAAACTACTGAATGGTGTTGCTGACGACACTAAACCAATGTTGGAATGTAGTGAAGTTGAACTTGCTGATTTAAAAAGTCTTAACATTTTTTTTTTTTTAATTTCACTATTTTTTTTTTAATTTTAATTAATATAATACAAATAAATATATAAAACTAAATTTATTATTAATTTGAGATAGAAAAGGTAATATTATTCTAAATTGAATTGTTGTCTTTTATGTGCTTTGTATTATATTTTAAATTGAATTGAGTAAATATATAATATATAATATTTTTTCGATATTTAAACAATTAAAAGTGTACAAATAAACTATCTATTGGCAATTTAGTTTGTGTATTTGTTAGGTGTTAGTGTAAATAATTAAGTAAGGGTGATTCAATTGACCACCCACCTAATTTTTAATATAAAAATGGGTGGTAATATAAATAAGATCAGAAAAATCAGTGTTTCTTTTTTGATTTTATTTTTTTTTATTATTTTATTTTATTTTATTTTTGTCAAACTAATATGTTTGTGTATGATGTATTATTATTAAAGTGATAGAATGTCAAAATGAGTGTTAAAATAGGTAGGTTATCATGATTGAATTAGTTATTCAAATTGAATATGATATTTCATAGATTAATCAACAATGATATGATTGGTGTTATTACTACTGTAGTATTACTTTACCTTTTTTTTATTTATTTATATGATTTCGGTTTTGATATGTTAATATATATTAAATAATAATAATAATCGTAGTGGTTTTACAAAAGAATCCTTTTTTTTTACTATAGATATATATAATATATAAAAGTAATAGAATGATATAATAAAAACAACCGATGGGTTAGGTTAATTAATTATCTATCTATCTGAATGAATGAATAGAAGCGCAATGTGATATAGTCAAGACAAAAACAACAACCTTGTTTGTTAGTCAAACAATCTATCAACAATCAACACACAATATTATAGAATGGAGGAATAAAATAAAATATATAAAAATAAAATAAAATATCAACAACAGAAGAATGATGGATGGATTCTTTATTGGGTTATTTAATGAAAGCAATCAATTATTGTGTGCCACACACAAAGTACAACAATTTAATTTAACAACAAAAAAAATCCTAATTTTAATATATTAAAATTTTCATTTTTCTTATGATTTTTGTTGTAGTGGAAAGCCTTTCCACTTGGGAAATTTGAAGTTCTCAATAGGGGTTTGATTTTTTTTAATTAAAAACAAAACGGCTCTTTGAAATTTCAATCACACTATTGACGTAAATTTCAAAAAAAAAAAAAAAAATTTTTTATTACTTTTTACAGGTCATCAACGTTTTGTGTTGATGTCAAAAGAATGGTTGTTGGTAAAGTGATAATATGATCGGACGATGATGATGCTTCATTTGGCTTTAGAGGATGACTCTTGTTTTTAATTGAATTGTTATTGATGGCTTCATTCTCATCACAATCGTCAATATTTAAATATAATATACTGTTATTACTACTACTGCATTGATTATTATTTATAGAAAGTGTTGGTATTGATTGTACAATTTTCGATTTATCGTTGACCAAAGATGGTGAAGTGCTTATACTTGTAGTTGGACTCTTGGTAAGTATCAGTTGTTGTGCTTGTTGTTGTTGCTGTTGTTGTGCTTGTTGTTGTTGTTTTTGTTGTGCTTGTTGTTGTTTTTGTTTTAATAATTCATATTCAATAGAGTCTATGTTTTTGTAGTATGTAGGCACCACAGGTATTGGCTGTAGTTCACCACTGAAGTGAGGTGATCTCTCTGGATGGATGATAAAAGTTGGAGTATGCTGTTCAGAGTCTCGATTTGACTGAAGTAGTGGTGTTGTTGCTGGAAGATATTTGACAATGATAGATTTGTTTATAAACTCAAAGGTTACCAGTCTGTTCCTATTGGCAGAGTTTACACAATAAAGATAATATTCAACTCTCTTTCTTGCCTAAAGTAATAGTTTGATTGTTAGTAGGCATAAGAATAATTCATAAAAGGGAAATGATTACCTACTCTATCCAATGTAAATATGACTATGATAATATTTATGAAAGCAAGTGCAACCAATATAAATGTCATGACTAGAGGTGATATTGGATTCTTTTGTTGTTTAAACCTTAGACAGCCTAAGTAGATAGCCACTAACAGGTAAATTAACAGTGAACTTATTATGATTAACTTTGGTGCTCTATTGATTTTGTTGACTCTACGAATGATTTCTATGTACTCGGTTGGCTTTAATAAGCTTGTTAACGCCACTGGAAAATCCAATTCAAAATAGCCATTGAATCCACTGGCAATTCTTATAGAATTCATAGAATTAATATTTATTTGATTCATCTTGTTTCCAGATATGAAGAGAATTATTATAATTCAAGGTGATAATAAATATTTTAAATGTACAATGAAATGGATTATTATCCTTTTAATAGTTTTTTGAAAAAAAATATTACAAAAACAGTTCTTGAAAAGAGGAATGTTATTTATTTATATTGCTTAGGTATTGTTATATATATCCATTGATTGGTGAATGATGATGATGGTTTAATAAAATGATTGATGTTGATGGTGTTTGTCTAAGTAACTACATGTTTGATATTAATAAATTAAGAGGAAAAAAAAAACAAAAAAAAGTAAACCAAAGGTGGAGAATTGTTTGTACTGAATGAAGTAGGAAGTGATGAGAGGTGGTGGGGTATGATTTGAATAATACATACAAAGTTTATTAATAAACTTTTTTTATTATTCACCACGCAAAATCATTATAAAACTTTCAGATCGATGATCAAAGGTTAAATTTTTGGTTTTTATGATTGATGAAAAAAGTTTATAACCTTGCGGTTTTGGTTATATGAGGTCAGATTTGTTGTTATATATACTTAGAAATTAAAGATAATTAAAAATAAATAAAATTGTAATCGGAAACTATGAAATTCTTTTTTTAAAAATAAATAGTATTTAAAATTAATCGTTGAATTTGTGTGTGGAATTCCTCACCTAAAAGACATATCTTGATAGGGTGTAACCTACCCAAATAGGTAGTTTATAATAATAGATATTTAGCAAACTATGCTATCTTTAAATACTAACTTTGAACTGTTAAACTTTATTTTTATTTTTCATATTTGTTTATAGTCTATTTGATCTTATTTTGTAATCTCTAACCCATTCATCACATCTTGTTTTACTATGCTTTTCGTCAATGATTTGTCTTTTCGATCGGTCTTGAGGCTATTCTTTTTTGCTACTATTGCTCTTTTGAACTTTCATTCTTCTCATTCTTTCTCTATTTTATCTATCGATTATTAAAAAACGAACGATAAACATAATATGAATACAGTTGATCAAAAATGAAATAAAAGCATACAACTATCTTTTTAAATATTGTTAATATTTCATTCTATTTTTCATAGAGTCTCTTTAATACGGAAGAATCAAAGAATAAATATCATTAAATTTGCAAAGCAATACAATGTAATGATATCATTAATAAATTTTATATCTTTATTTTAAATAGGGGGTATGAGGTGTACCTTTGAATCTCTGACTTTGTGCGATACAGAGCAAATACATGACTGGAACGATATGAGCAAGCCCATACCATGGTGTTCCGGGTCCCTCTAGATAAATTAGTTTAATCAATTATGCGGTCAACGTGTGACCGCAGAAAGAGATTAAGCTTTCTAGAACAGATACTACACATGATCAAAGCAAATTGCTTTGAGAAGTGATTTGTTAGAATCAATGACATCGTTTATAAATCCGATTTTATCGAATCTTAACTTTATGGTTCTTCCTGATTTTTATTTGTTTTTCGAAAATGCAAAATCAATTGAAAAAATTCGTAAAGTTGATTTTTTTACCGTTAGAATTTTTCATTTTTGCAAATTGCTATTAGAGAGTAAAAAAATAAAATAAAAATAAAAATTAATGTTATAAAAATACAAATTTATTTTTCAATATAATGAATTATATAAAAATTTAATAAATAGCAAATGATTTCTTTAGATTTTCTTGTTTCCAAATCTTTTGTTGTGCAAACGTTGCTTTGTCCATTTTGAATAGATTCTCAAAGTCAGAGTCTGACAGGTAAGTCTCTAGTTTAGTAGAGTCGAGTGCTTTTGGTGGATTGTTTTGTAGTTCTTCGAGTGTGTAGGTACGATTCAGAGCTTTAAGATAGTCAGCCACTTTAATAGTTGCCAATGGTGGAGGTCCTCTCTTCTTTCTCGTATCCCAACTACCATGAAAGTATCTTGTGAATTCTACTGGTTCATATCCACTATCTATTAAAAATACATAATCTTCAAGTGATTTTACATTGCTATTATTACTATTGTTTGTTGTAGTAGTAGTAGTTGTAGTTGTTGTTATTACAATTTCTGCTCCATCTTCTTCTTCCTCTTCTTCTTCTTTTACTGCTATTTTCTCTTTTTCATTTTCTTTGTGTCGTAATAAATCTAATCTTTGTTGAGTGTTGATCTTTGTAATGTAATCTAGAACAGCAGACATTGATGCTTTGCGCTCGTCTTGAGTGGATCGTCTGCCTATCCAGAGATATACAGCGGTGTGACAATCGAATATCATTACATCTTCATCGTCGAGATCATCTTGATCGAATTCGAATACACGGTCTACAGTGAAGCTACCCGATGAATAAGAGCACTGGAACATCAATGGTGAATGTTCAACTATATCACTAAACCTAGTACGAACATCTCCAATATCATTCCAAAATACTGTAGGTTCTTGTCTTTCATTACATAATACTATTTCCACTCCACTTTCCTCCTCTTCTTTCTCTTCAGTTTCCTCAACTTCTTCTTCTTCATTGGTTATTATTGCAGTTGTTGTTGTTGTTGTTGTTACTTTGGTAATTGGTAGTAGTTTGTTAATTATTAATTCTAATCTATTATCGTTTGTAGTTGTTGTTGTGGTGTTGTTTCTATAGTTTAATCCTTTCCAAATGTAGAATCTGTTGGCAGATGTCTTGATGATAAACCAATCGTTTGAATTAAGGTATTTCGATGATACATCATCTAGTTCAATGACTCTCCAGTTGAACGTCGAGTTGTGATGATTACATGATCTAACCTGATACATTGCCACTGACTTTTCTGACAACACACCATTTCTAACTCTATCCAAATCCAGCACACCATTATGCACAATAATAAAACCACCGAAAATATTCAAAAAGTGAATTGGTTCCTTATTCTGTACAACTCTTATCTATAAATATACATAAATAGTTAGTTATCTTTTACAATATTAAAATGTAAGTTATTATTAGTTAGTTACCTTTTTAGTTACACTACCAAGCGTATCATCCATATCGACAGCCAATCTTGCAGATTCACCTTTCTCATTAATTGTACTACGCTTGCCTTGCCAAAAGTAGGTGAGGAAACATTCACGATTCTTTTGCATGTAGCGGTACACTATTACATAGGATTCACCGGTGAAGAAGTGTCCGTATAGATGCTGCTCGAGTGGCTCCATCGAGTGATCTTTGACTCGCCACATCTGGATGGTTCCACGACAGTCGTCAATAGCCGCTGTGAATGTAGCGGGCAATGGCTGATCGATTTTAATCGATTCCACTTTGAATTCCTCTTTCTTTACATCGGCAACTCTACCCTTGGGTGTTGGTGCCATCGAAATAGGCAGTGATCTACTCCAATCGATAAACTTCTCTTTGAACAACTCTGTCTCGCCGTCCTCGATAATCCTAACGATGCTCACCCACGAAGGTCTATTCTTTCGCGATGCTAACAACTCCTCTGCTTTGGCCATAGAGTGTTTCTTCACCTGAGCATCGGTTTGTTTGCCAACCCACAAGTACACTTCACTCCAACAGTCAACAACATAAGAGTTTGTAGAGGATAGCAACTCCTTTGTCAACATCTTTCCGGCATACTTTATAACTTCACCTTTTAATATTCCAACTGGTTGTTGTTGCTGCTGCTGCTTACTATTCTTTTGTGGAGATGGTTTGGTGTTGTTATTATCACTATCATTCAATGTTAAACAATAAAGAATATCTTTAACTCTATTCTTTTGTTGTTCATCTTCGGTTTCCTCGGGGATATCTTTTGGACGAGAACCATTCGCCGTTCCAATAGCTTCCCAAAACTCTGATTCAAATGTAGAGTTGTTGGTTTTCTTTGTATCCTCTATGATGATTGATTGTGGACGTCCTCCTCTCTCTTTGTTTCTGATACGACCGGCCAAATCCATTGCCATTGAATGTTGAATCTTGTTGGATGCAGAACCACGCCATTCGTAGATCTTCAATCCAGTGTCCAAGATATAGCAACAGTTGGAGCGAATCGACTTAAAGTGTAACTCTACCAGTCTACCGACAATCGATTTCTTTCCAGTGAATTTAATTAGTCTGTTTTTGTTCTTGTCGTCTGTCTTGTTCAGCTTCTTATTCTTCCACTCGATGACATCACTTGGATCGACCGATGCCAACAATCCGAAACCAGTTACATTTGCAGCACCTCCACTCTTTGACTTTGAAGGTGAGTTCGATGTTATTGAACTCTTGCCAGCTAGATTCTTCACTGGGTTCACTGTTGGTTTCTTTCGATTCGATGGTCCAGCGGGTCTTGAACTCTTTGGATTCGATAATAATTGTGTACTAGACATTGATCCCAAAACAGATGGTGCATTACTGTTTGTAACCACCGATTTACTTGGTGTACTTTTACTACTTGTTGCAGTCAAACTCTTTGTTGCCAAACTACTACTGGTTGCAGCTTTAGGTGTAGCTGAAGGAGTGGTAGTTGATGGTTTCTTTGTTGTTTGGCCATTAGTTGTTTTGACTGTAGTATTTGTTGCTTTCTTTATTGCAGCTGTAGTGGTGGTAGCTGTTGCTTTAGTAGTGGTTGTTGAAGTAGTGACAGGTTTCTTTATCGAAGAGGTTGTTGATGGTGATGTTGTGGTTGTTGATTTTGTGGTTGAGGTTGGTTTTTTCAATGCAGATGAGGTGGATGTACTTGGTTGCTTAGATGAGGTGGTGGTTGGCTTCTTGATAGCAGATGTTGTTGTAGTTGTTGTAGTCGTTGTAGTCTTTGGCTTTAAGCCTGAAGAGGTAGTTGGTTTTACACCATTTGCTGTTGTTGTTGTTTTAGAGGTACTTGTTGCTGGTGCTGCTGTTGTTGTTGTAGTTGCCTTAGTCGACACTGTTACTGGTTTCTTTATGGATGATAAGGTGGTTGAACCAGTTGGTGCGGTTGTGGTTGTCACTTTCTTTGGAATAGAACTACTACCAGTTGTTGTTGTGCTAGTTGTTGTTGATTTTGGTTTAGATATTGATGATGTCGATGCTGATGAAGATGTTGTAGCTGTAGTAGTCGTTGGTTTCTTAATTGAACCTGCTGTTGCTGTTGTGGTAGCAGATGTGGAGGAAACAGGTTTCTTTAGACCACTTGTTGATTTTGTTGTGCCAGTTGTAGTTGGTTTGGATGATGATGGTGATGGTTGTTTAGATGTAGTAGATATTGGTTTCTTGATTCCAGTTGTTTTCGTAGTTGTTTGTTTGGTGACAGTTGTTTTAGCAGTTGAATTTGGTGTTTTTTGTGATGTAGTGGTTGTTGTAGTTGTAGTGGTTATAGGTTCTATTGTTTCAGAGACATCTTGTTGTTCTTGATGCTGTTGCTGATCAATAGATTCCGATGAAATCGAATATGATTCTGGTATTTCAACGCTTTTGACAATAATCTCCGATTGTTGTTGCTGTTGTTCATTTTCTGGTAGTATTGTAGAAACAACAAAAGAATCATTGTCAGTACTAGATGTGTTGGCCAATACTTGGATAGTAGTTGTTTTTGTGGTGGTTGTTGTAGTTTTTGTAGTTTTGGTAGTCTTGCGTATTCCTCCATCTTTGTTTGTTGAAATCTGACTCTTACTACTGCTAGACGATGTTGTCGATGTGGAACTTGGTAACTTTGATTTAAATGACGAACTACTTGGAGTGGTACCACTACCTGTACTTTTAACTGCAGATTTGCCAGCAGTAGCAGAAGCAGCACCTCTCGTAGTGTTGGATGTTGTTGTTGTTGTCTTTCTAGCTGGCAATCTACTAGAAGTAGTAGTGCCATTTGAAGTAGCACTACTCATTTTATATGAAATATCTATCTCAAAATAAGGAACCTATAATAATAATAATAATAACACCTTTTTATCTTATTTCATATTTGATGTTTTTTACAAAAATGAAATAATTTTTTAGAAATGACCAAAGTCAAATGATGCAGAATGGCAGTGCTGTGTTTTTTGATGAGGATGAGAACAAAAAAAAACTGACAAGATAAAACTTGAAAGGTAACTTAATGACAAAATTACATATTCTTTTTTTAGATAGTTTATAAATTTTATTAATGGGTACTTAAAAATGGAAATTAATTAATTAAACTCAGTTTGGTATCAAAATAAGGTTTACCGATCTAGTTTAGTATTTTTTGTGCTTAAGCTGATGCAATTGATCCCCTAACTAAAGATGAATTACCAGGTTTTGAAAGTTCATCTGCAAGTGTTTTTAAGAGATCTGACGAAATCATCGGCATTGTTTCACACAGACATTTCTTTAATACTGGCATTTTCAATTTCAATATGTTGAATAAGGCAATGAAATTCATCAACAAAATTTAAACTGTTCAAATCTTTTTTATGTTTTTACTTTCCTCAAGGATCGATAAACATTTATTTTGAATGACTTTCTTTTGGGCTTTCTTACTTTCCTTTACTGTATTGATTTTTGCTTTAATATCTTGTTTACCCAATCCTTTAAAAAACATTTTTATCTATTATTATTACTATTCTAAAACTTTTATTTTCAATACAAATTCTATCTCTTTTATTTTGAATTCTAAAACATTTTTAGATATCTAAAATTTCGGGTTTTAATTAATTTTTTTTTTTTTTCATTCTATACAATTCTGTAAAACGATTAGATATAATGGATACACATATAAAATCGACAAAGTAAGTAAGTTTGAATCATAAAGAATATAGAAATTATGATTATGTACTAATGGTAGATAATATGTAATTGTAGTGAGAATGGATCGATTGCATTCCCAGAGAATTTTAGAATCGTAAAACGTGTAACAAACAGTGAATTCAATAGAGGCGATGATGTTTTGACGACAGGACACTTCTTACGTGGATCATATGAGTATCCTGCTGATAAAGGTGCTGTTCTAGTGTTGAGTGCAATGGGTTGGAGTGAAATGTCAATCGTCGACAAAGAGAGAATAGCTGTTTACTGGGTAGATCATCTTCTACATCCAATCAATGGTATCATTTGGTCACAATACATTGAAGATGAATGTTCTCAACAGTTTGGTGGATCTCTCAATCTATTCAAGCCATCATTTCACGAACCAATAGTAGAATCATTTAAAGATGGTTCAACAAGTGTAATGTATGTTGTTTCTATTTTTAATACAAACCAATATTAAGAAAGATAGATGGATCTTATTTACTTATATACTATTATTGTTATTATTATTATTATTATCTTTTAGATATTGGCAATATGATTTAAGATATAAAGTAGTAAGAAATCATAGAGTTTTATTCGATAAGAATGGCAATATAACAGAGAGAATAGTATTGAACTCATCATCATCACAGTTTTATAATGGATTATCAATATCTTTAGGTGTTTTAGCTGTTACTTTTGCTTCATATTATTGTTTGTATTAATTGACAATCAAATTTATATGATTTATTTACTAACTAAATATCTATACATTATCATATTAAAGTATCTAGATCAAAAAAGTTTAAATAATAATATAATAACAAATCTTATACAAATAGTAAATAATATATATATAGAATAGTGATAATAAATCAATTAATATAATAAATATAGATAGATATTGTTTTGATTGGTTTGTTAAAACATATTGTAAACCTTTATATGTTTGATTATTTGTTTTAGGTGTAAATCATTGGAATCATTTATAGCATTACCCTGTGTATTTACAACAAATAAACCACCATGTTTTGTGCTCAAACATCTGACTGGTGGTGATTATAATACACTTGAATGTTGGACATAGTTAACTTCAAAAATCAATGTGTTGATTTCTATAATAACAAAAACTTAAAAATTAAATTCGATGGGAATAGAGACAGTGTTATAACATTTTTGTTAATCTATATTTATAGATAAACAATAAAATTGATGATTAATCTATCTAGATATATATTCTTTTAATACAATAAGATAATGTGGTTATTGAAAAGTGTAAAACACTCAAACTGTACAACTCAACTTGTAGGTATGAGAAATGTACATACCATCAAGAACAACAAATGTGTACACAAATTATCATTCACATTTATAACAATCAATAGTTAGATGAATGTTGTAAGTGACGTCAGACCTATTATATAAATAATAGATCTGCTTAATGGGGCTATGTAAACACACTTGTTTTTGTTTATTTGTTTTTCTTTTCATTCAACCACATTACAAACTACAAAATTTCAAAAAATAAAAGGGTTTAATTGAATGATTGATTGTCTAATAAAATAGTGTTATTTCAAAAATCTATATTTATAAGATTATTAATAATAATATTAAAAAAAAAATTATAAAATTTGTTTTATCCATTAGGGATATTAATAATAATATACGTTTGATATTTGATAGAAATTACCTTTGTTAGGACCAGTAAAGGATTGATGGTTTAAATGTATTCTCAAATTTGGTCGTTTTTTTGAAATAAATCAATGATTCATTAAGGATATTTCTAACAATATAACTTCTTTATAAATCTTACTTTAAAAACTGAAAGTTTGATATTTAATCAATTAATTTTTGTTTAGTAGACCGATTTAAATGGAGAGCAAGGGACAACAATCATTAATGAAATTAAAATTTAACTCAAATATCTCCATATTCTTATATTTGTTTTAAAAGTTTATTACTAAATTGTTTTGTAAAATTATAAATTAGAAATTTCTATTAAACATATTTTAATAAATATCTCCACTCTCTCGGCAATGTCAAACGATCATCATTCCGAACTTTCTTCTTGTCCGATTACCTTTAGTTTTTCTGGTGAAAAATCAAAACTAGATGGAAACAATAATAAAGGTAACTATAATAAAATATAAATAGTAAAAATAAACCAATTTTTTAATATTTTATTATATAGAAAATTATAATAGAAAAAGAAAGATTATTAGAATAAAGAATTGTCAATCCAAAGTTGTATCATGTCCATATAATTAATTAAAAATAAATAAAAATTATAATTATAAATAAAATAATGTATAAATATCATCATTATTATCTTTTTTTTATTTAAAAGATATCTCTAATATGAATTAATTTATAGTTTTTAATTCCTCTTGTTTTTCTTGTTATTTCTACTACTATTACCATTATTAAAACTATTATCACCATCCATATCTCTTTCTCTCTTTTTATTACCTCCTTTATTATTATTATTGTTGTTATTGTTTTTATGATTCTTGTTATTGTGACTATTACTATTATTATTCTTATTCTTATTATTGTGACTATTACTATTATTATGCTTATTGTTGTTGTTATTGCTATTGTTATTATTATTATTATTATTATTTTTATTCTTCTTTTTGTTATTATTATTATTATCATCATCATCGATATCTCTTTCTCTCTTTCTAGCATTATTTAAATTATTATTATAACGATTCTCCTTTCTGTCCCACTTTCTTTGATTTTCATAATCTCTTTCTCTTTCACGTTCTCTTCTACGTTCTTCCTCTCTGAATCTCTGTAGTGAATAGTTGTTATTTCTATTGTTGTTATTGTTGTTGTTATCATAATCTCTATCTACAGGACCACTTCCACGACGATCTCTATCTCTTTCTCTATCTCTATTATCCCAATCTCTATCTCTTTCTCTTTCTCTTACTCTTCCTCTATCTCTATTATCCCAATCTCTTCTATTATAATTATTATTACGATCTCTATCGTTGTTATTGAATCTATCTCTTCCTCTTCTATAATCCTTATGTTTCTTGCTATGCTTATTCTTACTTGACACAGATCTCTTGTGTCGTAGCTCTGCATCCTGATACATATTCTGATCATCAAAAGTAGTCCATCTCTCACCGAACAGTACATTCAAAATCTTTGCACCTTCCAAGTATTTAAGATATTCTCTTACACATTGCTGTTATGAATATGATATAATTAATAACTAATGACAACTAACCAACTAACTAAAGAGAGTACATACCCTTGGATAATGACCATATAAACCACATTTAAAACAAAGGAATAATGTACAAGATCTAGTGGAATGTCCAAATTCTCCACATCTAAAACAAGGTCTGTCCTTTTGCTCGCTACATTCAAAACTATAATGACTGTTGTGTTCTCCACAGTGATCGCATTGAATTGGTGCTTCTCCACCATAATATCTTTTCTGAGAATAGACAATTAATAGGAATAATAAGTATTAGAGTGATGATTTGCAAATCATTATAGCTATTGTTGTTGTTGTTTTTTTACTTACAGCAACTGGTTTCTCTCTTTTCGCTTTTTGAATCTGTTTATCCTCTACTATATTGATGATCATTTGATCATTGGTGTGCTCTTTTCCGTTTTGTTCGAAATCAAATTGTTGTTGTTGCTCTCCATCTTGTGGTTGCTCTGAAAATCTGTTGTATTGGTTGGTGATATGTTTCAATATGATGGGTGGGGGTGCTGCTTCGATCTTCTTCATGATATTCTCATTGTCTAGTTCACCGAGTGTTGCCTTGAGCATCAGAATGTCACGGTCATCATCTTCACCGCCGCCATGAGCGAAATCCTGTTCGTCTTCATCAAGAAACGAGTCATAATACTCTTTGATTGCATTGAAATTATCTTTACTAATATCACCAAGTGAACAAGGCATATTACTACCAGTGGATAATAATAAACTACCATTTGAAACAACTCCATTTTCATTATTATTATTATGATTTCTACTAATACTACTACTACTATTCATACTCTGATCATTATCATTATCATCCCAATCTCTATTTAAACTATGATGTATTTGTTCTATGAATGAAAGATCTTTGATTTCATCGCTTCTACTATTATTATATATATACTCGTTATCTTTTTTATTATTATTACTATTTCTATTTTCATTAAAGACTACTACTTTAACATTATCTATATTTGAATCTTCTAAATCAGATATCTTCATTTCATTTTCATTTTTATTATTATTGGATGTAAAAGATGTTGATGTTGTAGAAGTAGTTGTTGTTGTTGTTGTTGTTGTTGTTGTTTTAAAGTCATCTGATTCACCGTCATCAGATAGTAAATCAATTTGAATTGATGGTTGTTTATTCTTTTTCCTCCTATTGTTGGTTGTGGAAGTAGTTGATGATGATTGTTTAGGATTGAATATACTATCTAAACTACCATCATCATCAGAAATGATAATAGGTGTTGTCTTTTGTATCATTTCTGTTATATAATATTGGTATTCTAACAGTTTTCGCACAAAACGTCCAAACTTTTTTTTTTCTTGACTCGTCTAAATTGCAATTTTATTTTATTTTTATTTTTATTTTTTATTTTATTTGTTACAAAATAACTGTTTTTAATTTTTTTTCTTTTTTTTTAAATATTACTATCAAAAATCGAAAATTGTATAAATATCAGATTTTTAAATGATTATAACTAACCACTGACTACTTAACATTTTTTTTTATTTTTTATTTATTTTTTAATTGTATTTAATAGAAATTTATTAAATAAAAAATCGATACCCTTTTGGGAATTTAAAATTTTAATGAAAGAAATCAAATAAAACAGATAATAAGATATAATTATTATGTAAATAAATTCGGTAACGTAACATGTTTTGATTATCTGGTAAGCTGATCATTGAAAAAAAAAAAAAAAAAAATCATTGACGAAATTTTGGATCATTTTTTGTATTTTTATTATATTTTTTTTTTTTTAATAATCATCAGTTCCACCAAATTATACATCAGATTATTGCTAAATCAGACGAATAGCTTTAATAATATATTATTACCACTTTTAAATGTAATATCGATATTTTTACACTAGAGACTGAGACATTGCAATACTTTAATAGAGTTACAGCAAATATCGAATCAAGAGATGAAAAGCGATGAAAAACAAAAAAAAAATACAACATAAAGAATACAGATCAGATGGCATTATAATTTAGATTAAACAAAGATAGATATATAGTTAGTTACAAGATATAGTAGGAAAATGACGTGTAAATGATGTAAATCAATACAAACACTCATTTACTATTATTGTGTGATCTTTTTTTTTTTATTGATCAAAAGGCAAAAAAAAAAAAGTGATCACCATATCAACTAGCGAATTACAACACAACAATTTGTTCAATGAACAACCAATAATAAACCAATATCAACTAATAACATAACATAACAAAACATAACATAAAATTAAAAGACAAAATAAATAGTTTTACTAATTTGTTATAAAATCAATACTTATAGATTTATAAATAACAATGGAATTGTGCAAACTTAAGGAAGAAGCTCACAAGATCTGTCAACCAACCTGCGTTGGTTATTTGTCCGCCTACGATGCTTGCTCAAAGCGTATCGAGAAGTTGGTTGATGACGAAAAGGCAAACTGTTTGGGTCAATATTTGGAATATATCCAATGTTTAGATAAATGTGTAAGTGTTATATCTTTATATTTCATTTTTTTTTTTAAAAGAATTATAAAATGGTAGTATTAGTATAAGTATAAGTAGAAACAGAAAAACAGTAAATTGTTACAAATCAACATCATCACCATCCTCAATATATTATAGTTTTATAGTTTAGCTTTTAAACAAAAACAAAAAAAAAAAAAGAAAAAAAGAATACAGTAGTTAGTTTAATATCATAATAATAATTATCTATCTATATAAAGTACAAACATTATTTCTATTTTTATAAGATATACCTATTGTTTTATTGTTGTCACGTGTTAATGGTGAATGATGATGTGATGTTTCCTTAATTGGTAGTCCGTTGAAAGTTCACCATTTTAAGAAAAAAGAATATTTTATCATAATACTATTCTACAAATAACCTATTGGTAATTGTTTTCTATCAGCAGTTTTGATTGCTACTATTGTTAAATCAACCAATAAACTGACAAACAACAATGTGATCATTGCCAAAATAAACAACAACAATAACAACAATAACAATAACAATAACAGAACAACAATTACATCTACCTCAGCGGTGCCACATCACATTATCCTCAACAATCACCTCATCTCTATTGATCTACTCGGTTGGCAACCGTCAATCAATCGATCCTAATCTATCATTGTTAAATTATCAATGCTTTTATTTAAATCTCAACATAATAATTTACTACCACTATTATTACTATTACTACATTTATACTTTCTAAAGTAAAATATATATAAACAACAAATAAAGATTATTAATATACAAATTTATTTATAACTGCATATTTACAACTACTATTATAGGCTGCACCAAAGATTTTTGCTCAATTGAAATAAGAAGATTGAATAAAATAAAATAGAATATACATTTTAAAACAAACATATCCCCATCGTCAATAATACAATAGAAATTTAAAACATACCAACAAACAAATAAAAACCAATGTTAAATCAATGATCACCACCGACACACAAAACAATATAATTATTAACAAACACACACCAACATATTATACAAAATAACTATTTTTATCTGTTTTTCTAAATCTGATAAAATTGTTTTTGTTTGTTGTTATTTAGGTAATACTATTTTCAGACTGTTTTCATTATATATATTTAACGTATTTTTGAAGATTGAAAAATAATGATTACTGTAATGTAAATGTGGTGATCAATTGCAACTTCAATGATATCATTTCAGTTCATTTTGGAATTGATTGTTTGGAATACACTGATTTATGAATTTGGTTGAATGATTTAAAAAAACAAAAAAGGTGAGGTAGTGGTGGTTAGGTGTTAAAGTGGTTAGTGGTTAGTGATGGTTGGGTAACATGGGTGTGAAATCAGAGATTGAATGACCGAGATAATAAGTAGGTAATGTTTAGTGTAAAGGTAGGATTTCAACTATTGTTTGATTAAAAATAAGTGTGTTTTAAAAGATTGATAAATTCCAGACAACAAACACAAAAAAAAAAAGTAAAATAAAAAAAAAAACCTAAAACCATAGATTGATGTAGATGTTTGAGGTGAGATGAGGTGGGGAGGTTATACTACTTACAAAACAAAAAAAAGAGAAAAGAAAAGAAAAGAAAACTAAAAGACACGACACACTCTTCTCTTTTGAGGTTAAAATATGACAACTTTGGATCTAAATGGTAACAATGAGACACAATTATAATTTTTGACAACTTCTTTCTTTTTGTTTTTTTTTCTTCTACAAACACACACACCAGTTCACGATGATATCTATCCAGTTGAAAAGAGTGGATAAACACCAAAAATCAAAAAATAAAAAAAAGAAAAAAACCAAAAAATTGCTTGCAATACCTTCCTTCTTTGCTACAATCATTATTTGATTTCATATCAAATTAACCTTCATAAAGATAACCACATCAAAATTAAATCTGGAACAAAAGGGGTGTTTTTACCAAATCAATATTTCCAATTGTAGTACCTCCTGTTTTTGAGAATGTGCATATAGAAAAAAGATATCATTGTTGGTTAACTAACTTGATATACAAAAACAATCTGGAGTAATAACCACTAAACCACAAGGTTTTTGACTGTAGACATTACAACAGTGTTCTCTTAGATTTATGGTAAAAGTTAATAGTAAACAAATTGTTTAAACATACTATCTACTGAATCTTTTATTTTTGGTCACACTTATTTTATTGTTTTTATAAATATTGATCATTAATAAAATATAGTATGATATCATCCAATCATCTTGCTTTAATTTGGTTCTTAACTATCAATAGATTCTATATGATCGTATCTAACAAAGTTGTTGGTTACTATCAAAATTGGTGCCATCTGATATGGATGGTGAGCATGATGGTTGGTTGTAGGTTGTATTTAGTATTTTATTTTTTTTTAAATGTTGACACTTTGTGATTTTTTTTTAATTAAAATAAATACAATTTTGATTGGCAATACTTGCTTTTGGTTCTACTTACAGAGACAGAAGTGAGAATCTTTTGTGGGGGAGAATGAGAAGAATCAAACAGGGTTCATAATAAAATAGATAGTTCTATAGTTGATTCATATTTATGATAACACCCCATTATCGATTTTGAATTCTTTCATTTGTCTCCCAACATTAAGCTCCTAAAAAAAAAAAAAAAATCATTCTGATTTCAAGATGATGGAATATTATATTAATAAATCAAATTAGTTTAAAATTTGGAATATCTTTTGAAGCAATAATCAATCAGTCTTATATCTAATCATTCAAACTTCAGAAAGACAACTTAGTACCAAGAATTTGAATTCTTTTATTGTCTAAAAAATTTAAAACAAAATATAAATATTTAAAATCATTGTTTTTTTTTAGTATATAATCTAAATTATATATATATTTATAAATATATATTTACAAAAATAATATTAACATAACAATAAAATGAATTACTTTATTTTATCAATATTAATTTCATTTATTGGATTTTTAATTGTAAGTTAAAATTTATTTGATTTTCAAAATTTTCTTTATATATTAATAATGAAATCATTTTTAGTATCATAAAAAAAGAACAAATGGAATGCCACCAGGACCTTTCCCATTACCAGTATTAGGAAACCTACACCAACTTGGTAAAATGCCACATAAAGCTTTGAAAAAGTTTTCCGAAAAATATGGTGGTCTCACTACTATTTTTTTAGGAAGTGTTCCAACTGTTTTAGTTAGTGATCCAGTAATCCTAAAGGAATTGATTATTACCAAATCAGAACAAATTATTGATAGATATAATTCTGATTCTGCACAAATCATTGGACGTAAGTTTAAAAATTATTTAATTTTTTTATATCTGTTTCTAATTTAAATAATTTTATAGAGGAAAAGAATTTATTATTTGCTAAAGGTCCATATTGGAAGAAATATAGAAAATTATTCACTGGTGCAATGACCAAAGCGAGAACTCATAATATTGCCTCTAGAATTGAACAACAAGCTATTAATTTGAATAATTTTTTCGGAAATTATGCCGCCTCTGGACAACCATTAAACCCACACGATTATATCAGAAGATATAGTTTGAATGGTGTTATCGATTATTCATTCAGTGATTTCGTCGAGTATGAATCGGAAACCGACCATATTGTTATCAAGGCAGCTGAGATTATGGAGGAAATTCTTGCAACTGGTAATCCACACGATTACATTCCTTTCCTCAAACCATTCTACACTGCCAAGAGAGAGGCACTGGGTAATGCTGTCGGACAAGTCTGGACATATTGTGAAGAAGCTATCAATATCCATCGTAAGTCACTAAACGAAGAGAAACCAAGAGATTTGCTTGACCTTCTCTTGATGGAATGGGATAAATCCGACGAAAAGGATTTCTATGAGGACGATGGTCTTGCCAAATGTCTAACCGATTTGATTGTTGCTGGTCACGAGACTGTTGCCATTACCTTGGGTTGGTTAATCATTTTCATGGTCAACAATCCAGAGATGCAAGAAAAAGTCTATGAAGAGTTAGTCCAAGTAGTTGGAAAAGGTAATCATCCAACTCTTCACCATAGAAATTCGACCACCTATTTGAATGCAGTTCTAAAGGAGACTTTGAGAATTCGTACCGCCGCACCACTTGCACTACCAAGATCCGCCGTTGAAGATATCGAGATAGGAGGATATACGATTCCAAAGGGAACTCAGGTGCTTATGGCTGTCTATGGTTTGGCAATGGACGATAATCACTGGGATTCACCAGAGGAATTCAATCCAGATCGTTGGATTAAGGAAACCTCCTCTTCTGACTACACATATATTCCATTCGGTCTTGGACCAAGAATGTGTGTCGGTATGGGTGTTGCCAAGGATGAACTTTACTATGCTGCTTCACAGATGTTGATTAACTTCAAATGGACAAGTTGCGATGGCAAACCATTGGATGACGAAGGTGTATCTAGAATTGCACTTGAATATAAACAATATCAAATCAAAGTATCAAAGAGATAAAATTGATTTATATTTATTTTCTATTTTTGTTACAGTAACAAAAAAAAAATAACAAAAACAAAACACTTATTTATTCACAAACTAATTAAAAAACCAAACAAATAAAATGTAAATAGTAAATATATTTATAAAACTATCCAATTATTTATTTCCAAATACAAAGGTTAATTTCAAAAGAAAAAAAAAAAGTCGTCGATGATGTTTATGAAATAGTAAAGTTTAGACACTTAACTATTCGAATAGGTTATTTGAATGTACTTAGTTTTTTTTTTTGAAATTATTACGTGTTTAACATTACCTCGGTTGGATTGATTGGTTGATGGTATCTAAATATTTAGACAACAGATAAACCACCATCGACAATCAAATTTTGACCAGTGACATAGGATGATTCCTCGGACAAAAGGAATAAGATTGGCTTGGCAATTTCTTCTGGGTCAGAGAAACGGTGGAGTGGGGTGATGGCTTTGAGACCGGCAACGGCTTCTTCAGTTGGAACGTATGATCTCAACATTGGGGTATCTGAGGCACCTGGCAATACGGCATTACATCTGATACCACTTGAACCGTACTCAGCAGCGGTACTCTTGGTTAAACCGAGCAAAGCGTGCTTGACACAACTGTAGGCAGAGTTGTATGGGAAAGCCAATACACCAGCAATCGAACTAACGTTGACAATACTATATTTTCCAGCACCTTGTTTCTCCATAGCTCTAACTTGAGCTCTAATACAATTCCATGTGCCTTTAATATTGATATCAATCTAAAGAAATGAATTTTAATTAATATATATTGGTTTCTATATATATCAGAACTATGTTCTATATTTTTGGTTTAATAATATATTTACCATCTTGTTAAACATTGATTCTTCATATTCACCGATACGAGCCATCATACCGAGAATACCAGCGTTGTTGACGGCACAGTCGATTCTACCGAATTGGTCGATGGCAGTTTGAACCATAGCGTTTACTTGCTCGGCATTCGAGATGTCACATATGGCTTCGACAACTTGGACAGAATCGTTGGCTTGCTTCATCAACATGATGGTGTCCATCGAAGAATTGACATCGGCAACAACTACCTTGGCATTCTTCTTGGCCAACTCTAAACATATTGCTCTTCCAATTCCTGAAGCACCACCGGTTACAACTACAACTTTACCTTCCATTTTGCTTATTATTTATATTTATATTTATTTGATTGAAAATAGATACTATATTTTAAAATAATGATTGTTGAAATTTGAATTCATAAAGTTTAAATAAAACATTTGTTTGAAATTTGGTTTTGAAAATAATTTTAAAAGTTTGACTGGTTTGAGCAATGACAACATCACTACTATTTTAATAAGTTGATCACATAATACAATCATATGATAATCTTTTTTTGTAAAAATTTCGATAACTTTTTGTGCTTGATTTATTTTTTTTTCAAAAAAATCATAGTTTTCAAAAAACAAAACATATCAAATGATGCAATCGCAACGACAACAATCACTCTTTCATAGACATAGTTTTATTTTTATCTTATCTTTTAATAATATTTAGTATAACCTTGTTTTTAGGGGTGAGTGTTGCTCTTTGATAGATTTCAAATGGGAATCTTTCATTCCAGGTGAATTTGTAATTCAAGATTAGTTGTGATATGATGATCTTTGATTCCGTCATACTAAATCTTTGACCTAAACAACTATAGAAAAAAAAAAGTTAATAAATATAGATTAAATTAAACAAAAAAAAAAAAAAAAAACATCATCATATGATGATCACTAATACATTACATTCTTGGTCCAGATGAAAATGGCAGATAGTTATAGTTGGTATTTACATTTATGCCATCCCATCTATTAGGTATGAATTGATTTGCTTGTTTCCAAACCGATTCATTTCTATGCATAGCATATACAGATACAAGTATCATACTCTATAACATCAAAGTGAAATATTAATACTTTAGTTGTAATTATTATCATTTTGTAATTTGTAAAGTTTAAGTTAACTTACTTTTGGTGGTAACTTCCAAGCATCTTTACTGGAATCATTTCTTTTGATTGTACATTCGGTTTTTGATGTTCTACCAATCATTGGTGCTGGTGGAAATAATCGAAGAGTCTCCAAAATGATCCATTCTAAAAGAGGTATGTTTTGAATGTTTTTATCGCCACACAGTTGTTCGTACAGCTGCTCTTGTATCTCTGGGTGTTTCGATAGCAGTGCCAACGTAAATGTTAATGCATTGGCAGATGTCTCATGTCCAGCCAATAAGAATGTCATTATATTACCAATTAACTCATCTTGGGTCAGTTGTTCTTCTTTGTTATTTAATAGATGATCCAATAAATCTTTATTATTATTATTATCATTACTATTCTTTTGTTGCTGTTGTTGTCTTGATCGAATTTCATCTAAAATCAAATCTTCCAATTCACTAATGAATTTGTTTAATTTACGATCGGATGGCAATGGTATGTATTTGGAGAGTCTACGAATTGGTCGTATCATTTCGTTGAGGATATAATCAAAGTTTGAGGTCGATCCTTCTCTACTGAATTTATGACCAATTGAAAGCATACCTATGATATCATAGGTCAATGATGTCATGGTTGAATGTACTTCTATTTCAGAGTGTCGTTCGATATTGCCAATTAATTCTTTGGTAGCAGCGAGTATGGTAGATTCCATCTTTCTCACATTGACTGGAGAGAACGGCACCGACAAGATATCCCTATGGCGTTGCCAACGCGCACCTTCCGCCATCAGTATTCCATCTCTTGCCAGACGAATCAAGACACCGGAGCTATCGGGTGGTTTCTCATAGTTGTCGGAATCGGTGAGTAATACCTCTCTGGCAATGTCGGCGTCTCTGGTGAACAACATCGGTAAACCAAAGAAAGAAACACAGTAGCTATCACTTGCATATTGTTTGAACCATCTTAAAACAGTGTTCTCACTTCCAGTGTCAAATAAACTTTTATCGACATCGTCGTTTTGATCGCTACCGATGACAGAACCACCTTTTCTAAATTCATAGTAGTTCAACAAATAGTTTGCGAACCACTCTAAAAATGATGGACCACTTGGTAAATATTTATTTTTTGTAAAGTACCAATCATTTAGGTGACTGATCACCAACTATATTTATGATTAATAATAAGTTTAAAGAAAATGAAATGAAAATAATAAAATACATACATAAACTAACCATATTAAAACTCCTAATATAATTGATTGAGAATCTATCATTATTAATTTATTACCTTTTATGAAAAGGTGTTTTGATCAAAATAATTTTAAATTAAGCAACCTAATTCAGACTTTTTTTTATTTTTTTTTATTTCATTTTTAATAACAAGATATTAATTGTACCAAAATAACTTTGTGCAATCTTTTTAATCAGGAGGGTTAGATAAAGAAAGAAAGATATATCATAGGATTTAATTATTTGTTTTTTTTTTTTTTTTCAAAAAATTTTTTTTTATCATTTCATTTGTTTGTTTTAAAAAACGAACGATTTGTCTTATCATAATGTATATAATCTGAAAAAGATTTGTAAATAATAATATAAATATATAAAATTATGTCTTTTTGTTTAAAAGTTTTACCTAGGAATGCATTAAAAATAAAACATTCAGGTAGTTTAGTTCTAATCAGAAATTATAATAGTGGAGGTAAACAAACACAACGATCAATAAGTGAGAGTTTTACATATGCAAACAGCGTCAATAAGAGAAATAATAATAATAGTAGTTATCAAAGGAGAAGACATGATATAGACGAGTTGTTCTCTTCGAGTAAAACCAAAACGTTTGGTGAATTAAAATGGGATGTCCTAATTCAATCACTCTTTGATAGCGGTAAGCATCAAGAGGTCATCAATTCAATTCAGAGAACCAATCTACAGATGTCAACAAAGATCATGACACTGGCAATGAAGTCATTGCTCGAATTGAAGCGAATCAACAGTGGTGTCTCGTCAACAGCTTCACCAACCGGCTTTACAAATGATCTTCGAAGTACAGAGTACTTGATGGAGGACGGCAACTCTAAATCACAGGAGCACTCCAACTTTTTAATAGTTATGCTAAGAATCATTCAAAAGAGATATCCAATGGAGGAGATACTTCAATTCCTCAAGGATATGGAGATTCCAAAGGATTTCGAAATTTTCAAATCACTTTTTGTCGAAGCAAGACCATCGCATGTCATTCAATTAGAACATATATTAGTAGAGTTTGGTGGTATGTAGTTTTTAATAAGAATTGGAAACAGCTTATTTTAATATAAATTAGCATATTCATTAATAATAATAATTTTAAATTATAGGTAAAGACTTTATTCCACCAGGATCACCTGAACAAGGTGCTGTATTTAGAGGATATATATCAACAAACGACTATGAAGAAGCATTGAGAAGATTCAATTTATTACATCCTAGCGAAATTACATCACATTTGATCAATGTAATGGTTACGGCCTTCATTGAGATCGGAAACTATGAAGAAGCAAAAAAGATAATGTTTGCCAATAGACATCTCTCAAAGAAACCATCATATCTATTGACTTCAATCAAGTTATGTTTAGCATTGGGTGATTTAAAAGTAAATAATAATAATAATATCTATTATTAATTATGACGATTTTTTATTAATAATATTATATTTTATCTATTCTATCAGATGGCAGGTCAATTTTTATTATTTTGTATGCAAACAGGATGTTCAATTCAACCGAATCTCATACAGGATGTTTTGTTGATGTGTGGTAAATATAAAGAGTTTGAAATGGCAGAGCGAATATTCCAAACAGTCTCTAGATCGAATGGTGGTGGCGATGGTGGTCACAAACGATATTCATTTGAAGTTTTGTTGGGTATGATGTTGAATATCTACAAGGATCAACCTGATAAAATGAAACACTACCGAGAGTTGCTTGTGAAACATCGTATTTCAAAATCTACCAAACGAGAAGATGTTTTGGTAGCAAAAGGTGTCCAAATTCGTTCCAATCTCCATGAAGATGCAGAGTATATCAAACATAAATTAGAGAGTGCGCCTCAATTCAACACATTGGTTAAATTTAGCTTGAAGCAATCATCAAAAGCAAAGAAGATTCAGAGTGAAGGATCTAATAGTATACCAAAAAATCATCAAGAATAAATATTTATTGATAAACAAGAATGTTTTGATTCAAAATATAAATATTTTATACTTAACTAATTTGACAAAATAAACTTTGTAAATGTTCGAGTTCACAGGACATTAATGACTTATGAATCTTAAATTGTAATCAATTTTCGAATTTTATAAGAAATACCTTGGAATATGGAAACTATCAAGAATACTAACAAATCACAAACACTATAAATATTATAAATATGTAACTAATAAAAGTTGTCTTATTTTATTCATATTAAATAACTGTATTTAGTGTAATTCTCGTAACAAGTTGGTAGCATCTGAAATCAAGAAAAAATGGATCAACAAGCATTAGCTCAGCAACAACAGCAGCAGCCACAACAGCAACCACAACCACAACAATTAACACAGGAGCAAAATAATAATAGAATTAAAAAAACAAATCGTCGAACTACAAGGTGCTTTTGAAACATTAAATAGTAACCAACAACAAAACATGAATATACTGATGGAAGTTTTATCTGTTATTAAGCCAATCGCAGAGATGGTAAAACCTAAGAGCGGCAGCTTCAAAATAGGAACTCCAGAGAAGTTCACTGGATCAGCAAATGAGGTTTGGTCGGAATGGATAGTGAAATTTCAACGCTACTTAGAACTTACCCAATGCCCTAGGGACATGTGGCTCCCAATTTTGGAATCTTACTTGTCTGGACCAGCCGATAGATACACCAGTTTTGTTAAGAAGGAGACGGAAGCACATGACTACAACATAGAATTACTAGTAGAAAAATTGAGACTAAGATTCCAACCGGAAAACAAGCAGATATGTTCAAAAAATACTTGTATTCAGTAAAAATGAGATCAGATTCGATGACATCATTAGAGGAATATAACGAGAAATTCAGTTCATATGCATCGAAAATAGGAAACATGTCTGATGACGATCTTCGTATGCATTACATTGTTGGATTGACTCTCTCAATTGGAAACAAAGTGGAAATACAGTTATTTAATATGAATAAAATAAGACAACTTTTATTAGTTACAAATGTATGATATTTATAGTGTTTGTGATTAGCTAGTACAGCTACTGTATTCTTGATAGTTTCCAAGGTATTTCTTATTCTGAAATATAAAGGACCACTTTGGTCAAGCCCATATTGGCAAATATAAATTATTTAAATAGGAATAAGTAATCTCAACATCCGACTTTAACTCAAGTGGTAGAGTGTTTGACTGTAGTAAGAATCACAAGAGATATCAAAAGGTTGCTAGTTCGAGTCTGGCAAGTCGGATCTTTTAGAATTATTTACCCCGGATGCGGTAAGATTTAAATTATTTTTTTTTAAAACAAATGTCATGGATATTTGAGTGAACACTCATAGAAATTCCAGAAGACGTTTATTAAAGGTCCCTTGATGAATCACCAACCGGAGAAGTTCTAGAATTGTTTACTAGGATGAAGTCATAAACTAATCCGTCCAACCGATGGTAAACCAAGAGAACTCCTTGTTTCGATATCTCATTTATTAATATCGAATCAAGGTATGTTGAATTAAAAGATAATAAATAAAGTTATATCTCATTTATTAATATCGAATCAAGACCTTTTCTACTTATCTCTAAATCAACTTTTTGATTAGAGTACTATCCTAAGAGGTACTCTCAACTTATAACAATCTATTGAATATATATTGAAAATGACAACTTATAATAAAGATAGAGATATTCAATAGTAGTAAAACAACTCGTCAACTACGAGTTTGTCTTGTTTCTCAAGTATCTTTTGCTGGTTTCTGTTGTAAAGAATAAGAGGTTTAAATGAATTATTTTAAGAGTACAATCGGCAAAGCTATTAAATGTATTATTGGCGACTCAAAATTTAAAGATACTGAGATTGAAAACCAAAAAGGAGGTTATTTTTTTTTTTTTTTGGAGTTACAAAATTAAAGTTTGTTTGTAAGTTTTAGAAGTGATTTTTATAAATTTCTATTTTATTTTATATTGATAGTATTTTTAATAGTATCATCATAAGGTATTTGTAGTTTATTTGCAATTTTGATTAAATCCGAAGAATCAATCAATCTAGAATAAGAGTTGGAATCGACACCCAATAAATCCAATTTATGATAGTATGCCCATAGTAATCGTATTTGATTCCTAATAGTTTCGATTTGATCTTGATGTGATTTCTCTTGGACATTGTCGGTCGATAGTTTTCGAATGAGTTGAAGTACCGGTAAGATCTCTGGTTTGTCATGAGTCAAACACTGGTAGAGAATCTGAGTGTTTAGCGACGCTTCTTCTTCTTGGGAATGCTTGGTGCTAGTACAGAAATATTTAGCAAACGCCAGTATATCTTGATCTGCAGAGAACGTTCTTAGTAGCTCCTCTTTGTTTCTTGCTCCACTACTGTACTTTGGGAAACTTCTCGCCAAACTCTTGAAACCTTCTGGATCTTCGTTGTATGGTAGATGGCCAATCTTTCGCTTCACATAGATCGTTGGACAACTCTCAAACTGTTTGGTGCCGGCAGCTGGATTTGGCCCACCGAATTTCAAACTCCAATACCTCTGACTGTTGAGTCGTATCGATTTGATACATCTTGACTCTGGAAGAATGCATGGAGTCATCTTTGAGATGATTGCATCATCGGTTGTTTCGATTTCAATTGGCACTTGACACGGTAGTTTAGTATCGATATCGCGGGTAATCAAACATCTTGGTTCGACGGCCAAGTAGTAGAGATGACGGAGTACCTGCAGATGATAATGGTTATCGGTGCTACTCGATGGGAATTTAGGATAGAGTGAGATCAACAGCGATGCAATGGCAGTGTCACTGGTCGACAGAGTATATTGTCCGCCACCGAGGAACAGGAATCCAATTGCCATGTTTATGGCCATGTGATTTCCATAGTTGATATCTTTCGAGAGTCTCGATCGAATCGAACGCAACAAACGAAGCGCCTTGACATCACCAGTGCCTGCCATCACCAGAGAAACAGAGATAGAAGCTACACCCAGACAAGTTTCCACGGTTGTACGTAATGAACGATCGACTCTCTTTTGCTTTGCGAGATGTACTTGATATTTCAGTAGTTTGTTTGTCCACACCATTAGGATATCCGCTGTATTTGAATTGAGAGAACCAGCGAATCTCAAACCCAAAGACATACACAAACCAGCGACAATATTCAAATAGGCCAACAATAAGAGATCGCTCTGATCCTCATGACTTAGTGGTGTTACATTAAATATCTTATCACCACCAACAAAACTAACAGTACTTCTAATATTAATTGGTATTTGTGATTGTATCCATTCCTCTGATGACTAAATAAAAAGATAAACAAAGAGAGAGTCGGGTTAGAATCATTTTAATAGAATATATATATAAATATTATTAATTTAGCATACAATTATTGAATCCCACATAATTAATGATTTACCAATGGTTCTTAATAATAGTAAATCGGACCTAACGAAATTGAAAGAGTAATTCGATTCTGGGAATGAAAAGTAGGAAGCAACCTTTTGATTATTTGATTTCAAATAGATCATTGTGAGTGCCATGATTGCACCTGGCTCTGTGATATCGATATTTGGTTTGGTTCCCTCAAAGATTAGATTGGATTTGGTATCGCTGGCACCCAAAGAGCTTGTTTGTACAGTGGTCGATGAACTACCGTTGCCAATGAATGATTTCAATTTATTCTCTACGTTCAGATCGTCAAGAATACCATCTTTACCACCACGACCCAAATTTATCAATCCAAGTGCCATACCAGCGGTCAATGTATAGCTATCACGATCCAATGGTTTATCATTGAGTGGTTTCCTTCCGATTTCATTCAATAGAACCTCTGTCATTCTTCTATTGCCGCTACCTTGGTAGAGCAAACCGATTCCCATCACCGAAGCGATCTGAACATACGATGGAACATCCAAATCGATTGAGGATGGCGGATGCAACGATGATATGTGAATGCTGAGTATCTTTGCCACTGACATATCCATTGTTCCACACTTGGAGGCAGCGATACCAATCAACAAACCAACACTGGTGATCTGATGTTTCAATGAGAGATACTCGAACACACGAACGAATGCCAGTGACGATAGTTTACCTTGTAATCCAAGTGCCATCAACAAACCAGAGTAGAACGGTGTAAATTCGGTGGGTCTATTGTAAACTATCCAAGTATTGGTGATTTCTGCATGCTCTGCTGTCAAACTGAAGCCAGCTGCAGCACCTGCGTGGAAATCCGGCCAGTTCAACAAATCGGGAGTTGCAGCTATCGTTTCACTCAATGAAATGTTGGTTTTAGTGGAAGCAACCACACCGCCAAGCACAATAGGTGTAACTGAGATTGGTTCAGTTGCAACCGCTCTCACCGAACCAATTGTCAGCATGCCAAGACCGATTGGCAATGACATGGTTCGTTGCGCAGCCAACCAGAGTTTCGATTGCAATTGCTCGAGGAAATCGTGGTCACTGACACCCTGTTCCTGTTGGTGTGTCAGATGAATACGAGAGGAGAACGATAGCATATGTTTTACTTCGGCCAGACGTAGATCGCTATTGAAGTTGAGTGCTGTGATCAGTCTACGATCGAAAGGTGCCAGCCTATCGGGAAAGAACAGAGATTCAAACGAGAGAGTATCGGATTGATTCGATTCAGAGTTGGATATCGACGGCATTCTATGCCAACTCAGATCGTTTCTTCCGATGAGATCGTACTCTTTTTCACTCCAATTGAACGGTGGATTCTGACGACAGTATCTAATAGCTTCCCGTAGTGGAACCGAGACACCAAATGTCAAAGCATTTAGATCTTCCAGAGTTACACCGGTACTAGTCATTCCAAGTATCAACTGTTCGCAATAGCTCTTAAAGTTTGATGTATCTACCTCATTGAATATACGGTAGAGCATGTTTAATGACTTTGATTGCGAACATGGTATATTATCTAGTCTTTTCTCTTGTCCTAAATAAATTGATGCTAACTGATAGATTATATCTGTATTTGTCTTATTGTTACTGTTACTGTTAATTGGAGATAGAGTTGATATTGTATTCTCTTTTTGTTTTATATCATCTGAATTGGATATAGATTGATTCTCTTTTGAATATAATTCAACTCTACTGTGAATACCATTTATATCTATTAATGTTATTCTATTAAATATTGAGTTATTAATCGATATTATTGGTTTATAATTATCTAATATTATCTTTATATTAATATTATTATTATTATTATTATTATTATTATTATTATTATTATTATTATTATTATTATTATTATTATTATTATGTTGATTTGATAATAGTAGTGTATTTTGATTCTCTAATTGTACAAAATAAAAATATGTATTTGGTATTACTATTGGTTGTAGTTGAATATGATCTGTAGTTATTGTTGATGCTATTGATGCAACTGTAATTGTATTGTTATTGAAAATATAATAATGTTTATCATCTCTAATGATTGAATTTGATATTAGTGTTACCTGTGACACTACTCTCTCTTCTTTAATAACTATATCACTATCGATGATAAACTCATCATCACCTGTTATAAAACTAGTATCTGGAATACCTGATTCAAACTGTTCCATAAATCTGGTTAATGATGTTGTTGAACTATATGTATTCATTATTTCTATTGAATCTGACATTGATATTGGTTCATATAATTGTTGTTGTTGTTGTAATTGTTTTTGCTGCTGTTGTTGTTGTTGTACTCTATATTTATTATTTCTATTATTATTATTGTTATTATTATTATTATTATTATTTATATTATTCTTTAATAAAGAATCTGGTATAGATCTTTTATGTCTTGGTGTACGTTCTTTAAATATAACATCATAGAAATGTAGTGATTTGGTAAGTTTGTTGTAAGTTACAAGTTCACTTTTGTTGCTATGTTTGTTGTAGGTTGATTTCACCTGATGGTTAGAGTCGTAGAAGAATGATAGATCGTCGGTATCATCATCTCGTTGTAGTACCGGTCGAAGTTCTTCCAGTGGATGAAGTAAGCTTAGTAGTGACGGCTGCTCTTTGTTGATGGGTGTGTTGTGTTGACGCTCCAGCAGAATGCCATCCGGTATCTGGTGAATGTTGACTATCGGACATGGTAAAACGACACGGTAGATACTACCGGCGCTATTGTAGAGTGTCAGCGAACTCTCTGTGAGAACATAGAGGAATCGGTTCGATTGTGAGTCAGAGTAGTGCGGCAGTACGATCCAATCGACAGCTATGATCGCACCTACAGAGCGGTCCACCGTTATTCTCTTACGAATGCATCCACTTGCACTCCAGGTAACGATGCGATTAAAGTTACACCAGCCGAGTTCATGTTCATCTGCAAACCACTGCTTTAGAATTCCACTCTTAACGTCCTCACGATAAGGATTCTCAACAAACTTGTAATGATGATCATGTAATCGATCATTATCACTACACAATGTATCTATAAATGGTTTAATAATACCAATTTCTCTAATATTCATTCTTTAAAAAAAAATATATAAAACTATGTTCAAAAAAAAAAAAAAAAAAAAGTATATCACACTGAAAGAGTGTGATCTTGATTGAATTTCAGATCAGATTATTGGCGCTCTTTTTTGTTAGACAACCACGTTTCTTTAGAAAAACCATCAAACATTTTATCCTAAAAAATAATTCCTTATAACCCTTTTTTTGATTTTTTTGATTTTCACTCGTTTTGGAATGTTTGTGGTTGTGCGTGTCTTTGTAGAAATGGGAGTCATTTGTAAAACAACTAATTTGAAAAGATTACTATTATAACATTACTTGAATCTTATAAAGATTTAAATTATTATTACCATTACTATTACTACTACTACTACTACTTAAGTGTAACATTACTAAAACTCAACAATTAATTTCATAAGAAACAACAATGAAATTAATATTCCAATTCACTTTGTTCATAACAACAATGTTGTTGTTATTCCCATTCTATTCCGTTGCAACCAATAATGTTGGTGGAAGTAATTCTGGTGGTAGTTTCAGCAATATCAACTACTTTGGCTGGAATGACTATGGTGTCAGTGTGTTCCCAGAATTCAAAGATTTGAAAATGCATATCAGATGCTATCGTAATCTAAATCTCACCAAAATAAACAAACCCACTGCAATCTTTGACTCTGGACTTCCATTTCCATCGCTTGCCTACGCCGATTTCATTGAAGAATTGATTGCCGAGCTGCCAAGTATGAATATTGGAAAGGTTTGCTTCTTTGATCGATATGGATATGGATACTCTGACCCGTCACCTTACGCCTTGAATTCCAATGAGACTGCCTACCGCCTTCACGAATCTCTCAGAATCGCCCATATCAATCCACCATATATCCTTGCCGGTTGGTCATGGGGTAATGTTGACAATCAATTCTTTGCGCACAACTACATGCAGGACGTAGTTGGAATTCTCTCGATTGACGGAACCGACAGCGGTTATGCCACCGACAGCAACAATCTAGGAATCATCAGTACAGCAACCACCTATTTCAATAATCTCGTTGCCATGCAAAACAACGGAACCATTAAAAGTTTCACTGAGCACAATGTCGTTCCCATGGCATATGGATACTTGCCCAATAACACCAATATGACACAATCGGTTGTCAACAAAATCAACAACCTATTCATCACCGAGGATTTCTTGAATGTCGCCCTCCAAGAGCTCTCGATCATGATTTCAAGTACCCAGTTGCTAGCAAACGTTTACTCGGCAATGAATGTAACCTGTCCACTCTCGAATATTCCATTCTTTGTATTAACTGCTGACCAGAACGACACTGTTTGGAATAACCGTCAAACCCAGATGGCAACAATGTCCAGTGTAAGCGAGCATATTTTTATAAAAAGCTCACACTTTATCCCCATTGATAAGCCATACTTCATAGTCTCGTCATTAAAGTCACTTTTGAAAAATGTTGACAAACAAATTCCAATCAATGTTTTGCAATCCAAAAAGTAATTAGATGATCAATATCCATCCATATGTAACACCAAACAATATTTTCCATCAACCATGATGGGGTATCAACACAATGCAATATTTACAGTATTTTATTTCAAAAATAAATAAAAAAATCAAATATTGTAAAAAAAATTTTTTTATTACATAAGCAATTCTTTGAAAAAATATGAGGGAGATGAAACATTAGTTTTTTTGAATAGTCTTGCAGCAAAAAATTAATTAGATTTTTTAAAAGAAAAATGGAAGTTAATCAAATATATAATCAAGGTATTTATAAAGTTATTATTAGAGTATAATTAAAATGTTTGATTATTAACATTTGTATTTCATTTAAAAAAACAACATAACAAGAATTTGAACAATGGATTAGTAATATCTTCATAGACTCTGATTCAATTGTATCATTATCATTTAGATCTACAGATTATTATCATGTGTTTACACTGAATAATGAGTCACCATTTACGCAACCGAGACATCCTGATTTGTCGAAAATGAAGGAAGAAGAAAAAGATGACACTCGTTATAAACCATTTGAATTTTCAAGATTCTTACAACAACTTTCGGAATGCTCTCATCTCAAGAAACTCTCTTTAGATCTAACAGCATACTTGGTTGGGTCATTCGATATGGTTACAGAGTACTACGAAGATGATAGTGAAGAAATAATGGTACCAAAAGTAAATGAATATGTAAATCAAGTTATATTCCCATCGCTTTCAAAGTTTGTTAGAGAAACAACATCACTTGAGAACATATCTATCTATTGGAATGCTCTTTCTGTGTGGTATGAAATACGAGATGTACTTCTCCTTTGTAAGTTTTTACAATTAAGAAATTAGTTAACCATTCCAATTACTGATAATATATCAAAAAATAAAAGATGAAGAATCATTTAATAGTTTCATTCAGTCAATGAAGATCAATCAGACAATCAAGAGTTGGAAGTTTGCAAACTTTCAATGTTATGAATCGCTTGATGAGCTATTCCAATGGAAACCTACCTCATTAGCATGGCTTCAAGGTACAGTTATCATTATCATCATCATTAATCATTGACAACATCTAAAATAATTTTTATTTTTTTAGATGCTCTCCCTCGAACCGAATTCAGAGAATCAAAGGTTACAGCTCCACTATTTGGATTGAATAACTTGGAAAAGGTAAACAAACTTCACGTTTGTTTTTTATTTTTCAATACTTCCAATGCTTTGAAAACAAAGAACTTCTTTTATCAATCACAATACATTACCTCGGTTACTCTCACCCCTAAATACTTGACCAACCACTATTCAAGTAAACAACTACGAAGTGATTGTAAAGACATATTTGGATTACTTGGTTCACTACCTAATCTTGTGAGACTCAAGATGAATGTTTTCTATAGACTTGAAAAAAGAGACTCTCCATATTTTGTAAATGAATTGATCAAGATCATCGAACTAAACAGGCTTAAAAAACTCTCATTATTATGTAAGTTCATATGAACCAAAATATCAGTTTTCAATCAATCTACTTACTAACACCAAACAACTTACTACAAAGATTGTAATTTTGATATCAGAGGAATAATGGATGCTTTAAGATCAAATCAATCCATTACACATTTCATTTATATTGGTAAGATTGATCACAGATAATAATAATATCAAGTTTATTTACATTATAAATTAGAAAATAGCTATCTTTATGGTGGTTATGAAAGTCTTTTGAGACAGTCTAAAATAATTAAGTTAGGGATGTCAGAGAGTGTATTTAAGAGTTGGTCTGTTAATTTACCCAAAGAGGATTCGGAATTTCTTAAATCTCAGTTAAATTCTGGAGTCTTGTATTTTCGCCCCAGAAAAGAATGGGACTATACTCAGTCCTTATTGTAAATGTCTACTTACTGTAATTAGTTTAATCAAAGGATTCTACACTAAGTTTCAATAAAAAAAGATTTATTCATGAATCTAGGTATCATTCTTAAGAGAATGTATAACTTTATATTTAATCTATGAATTCCTTAGATATACTTGAGTGTATTTGATAATTTTTAAATAGTTATTATTTAAATAAATAAATGGAAAATAAAATAGGATAATGAATTAATAAAAATAATGATTAAAAATAAATATTATTATATAATCATACCTATCATAAATATTGTTATAATTCATGGTTGTTGTGTTCTTAATACTGTATTTAAAAGATTGAATTGAATATTGTTTTGATTAGCAACCAAGACCTAACAATACCAACTAACCCATATGAATGATGACAAAGTAGTTGGAGATGTTACTATCATACTGCTGTTGACCGCGGTCAATTCCAATGCTGTAGCTGCTGTTGTAACTACCATGCTGCTATACTGTTATTATCACTATATGGGTGGGAAGCGAGGATGATTTGTAGTCATTTCACGTTAATTTCTATAGAATTTCTATGAGTGTTGACTACTTTTGTCTTTTATTGGAATTTTATTTTTGACTCTACCGCAAGCGGAAAATTATTTTTGAAAATTTTTCTCCCCTTCCGGGAATTGAACCCGGGCCTTTCGCGTGACAGGCGAAAATCCTCACCACTAGACCAAAGGGGAGTTGATGTTTTTTAAAGCAAAATTTTAAATTTAAGAAATCCATTCTTACTAACCCTTTTAAAACAATACAATCCAAGCTCACAAATAAAGAAATCTTAAATTAAATATATTTTATTTTAAAATGTTTTGGGAATAAAATTGGTTTTCAATGTATTAATCAAGTTAAATTTGAATCTAGATTTAACCTTTTTTCATTAAATTTTGTCTTTACATAAAAAACACCTAGAGTGTGTAACACATTTAAAAATTTGTGGTAATATAACCTGTTCAATATTGATTTGAAAATTTTAGTAAAAACTATTGTTACTTTTTTTAATATAAAAGATGTCCAATACAATCAATGAAATAGGAATAGATGATGAGAAAAACAAAAATGACCAAGATCAATTGTTTAATCAATCCAATAAAATCAATGAAGAAGTTGAATTCAATTTTAATGAATCAGAACCAGATCCTATTATTCAAATAAACAAAGTAATTGTTATTCTTTGGGAAGGAATATTCAGAAGCTGTGTTTTTTTTATAATAATAATTCAAGTTATAGTTTTTATAGTCACATGTTCACTCTATGGATTCACTGACTATTTTCATAATCTTTCCATTGGCCCATCTGATGAATCTCTTGTAAGTTAAAATAAAAATTAATAAAAATCAATTCTCTAATACTTTATAAGATATCTATGGGTTCTACTTCAACAGAAAAACTAGTAATAGGACATCAAAGTAAGAATTCCATTTTTATAATTAAAAAAATAGTTTTAACTAATTCCTCAAAAGTATTTAGATTGGTCACTCCTATTTTTTTGAATGTTGGTCTTTCTCAACTGTTTTTGAACATCCTGTGTATGCTTTTAGTATTCCCTATTGAAATTAGATTTGGAAAATGGATTTTTGGTTCTCTTTATATGGTTTCTGGTATTGGCGCTTCTGTATTGGCTAATCTATTGGATATTAAAAACACAGAGGTTTGTTCAACAGCTCCCTTGTATGGTGTATGTATTGCTCTTTATTTAGAAATGAAACTTCATAATTTTCATCAAAATATGGTTTCCATTTCTAAAGTTCTGTTAAGTACTATCACTTTATTGGTTTTTATCAACTCGGTTTCTCTTTTTGAATATTTTCCAGCTTATATTGGTGGTGGAATTTGTGGTGGTCTCATGGCACTTGTTGTAGTTATTGAATCAAATTCAACATGGAGAGGAATAGGAGCATCTTTACTAATAGTGTATTTCAGTGCAAGTCTTATATTATTATTTGGATTCTACCCAATTTGGTATTTCAATCACCATAAAGTGTACTTTGCAAGAGCAACTCAATAATAAAAATGAATTGGTATTGTTTGCCAAATTAAAAATAAAAATAAATGATCAAAAATCTTATCCATACAAAATTTATTCGAGTGGGGTTAATATTTATAACAAAAATATTTGTTAGTGTTAAATTATCCTCAATAGTAAAAATTCATTTATACAAATTTAATAACCGTTATTTTACATCATAAAAAAAGTGATATTGAATAAATCTTGTTGGGAAATCTTGTGTTTGAGACAAAGGTTGAGAACAATTTTCATTGCCCAATAATTAATTAATTATTTTTAATATAAAAAAATGTCAAAAATAAATAACTATTTTATAGATATATATTCTCAAGAAAATGAAAATAACAATCAATCTAATATTCTTAAGAATCAAACCAAAGATATATCAGATATAAAAAGATTTTTCAATAGAATCAATGAATTTGATCTTAAGTTCTTTAATAGTGTTATTTTTTTTCTTATTTTTATAGAAATTATTATTTATCTTGTAATTACTTTCTCTAATGGATTAATATCTTTCTTTGGAATATCCAAAGATAATTTAGTATGTTTAATAAGATTTTATATTTAATATTTCTATTTACTAACTCCTTTAAAAAGATTGGGCTTGGATCAACTTCCACTTTTGGTTTGGTTATAAATCTTGAAAGTATGAATTATATTTTGTTTTAAAAAAAGAAATATTCTAATTCAAAATCAAGTCTATCGATTTGTAACTCCATTTTTCATAAATGCCAACTTTTTTCATCTTCTTTTAAATATGATAGGTTTGTTCACAATGTATCCATTAGAAAAACAAAATGGAAAGCTTTGGTTTGGAGGTTTCTTATTTGTTTCAGCTTTTGGTAGTAACATTTTCAGTCATCTTTATAATTATAATGGCGCTTCAGTTGGTTGTTCTGGTGCTGTTCTTGGAATTGTTGTGGCAAGATTTGTTAATGTTCTGATCGAAAAAGAAACCTATTCTCAAAGTGCTCATTTCAATACCATTTCCGTCCTAATATTCATTATGTTCCTAACTTTTACTAATGAATTAATTCAATTTTCAGATTGGGCAGGACATTTTGGAGGTTTCATAGTTGGGGCAATGATTGGAGCAATATGGACAGATACAATGTTTACAAAAACTAGATCCATTGGAATGTTATTGTTCCTTTTATATTTTATTTTAAGTTTATTTTTATTGTTTGCAATATATCCTAAACGCATATTCCACTATGAAATAGTTCCAAAATAATCAAAAAAAAAAAATTTTGTGTGTAAAAATAAAACAAAATTTTCACACCATATTGATAAGAGTTATTGGAATAAATGGGGTGTAATAATAATTATTATTTTTACAAATTCTCAATTATATATTTATATTGAAATAACACAATGATAACATAACATCTCATTATTCATTTATTATATAATAATTAAAAGATGTCTAATATCTATGAGTTAGACATTGATGATGGAAAAGAGCAAGATAATGAAAAGTTAGTTCATGCTCAAAGTGATATGTACCCTAATAACTTTGGTAGAACCTATTCAACTTCGAGTACCAATTCATTACATAACTATCAACCAAAAAGAGAATCACCATCATTTATTCATAGATCAATAGAGAATATCAAAGAATGTAAAATTTTGAATTTATTCAAAAGAGTTTCTTTCTATATTGTATTCATATGCATTGTAATGTTCATAGTGGAGATCTCTATCGATGGGCTAGCTTCAATGAGATCAAACTTATTAGGTCCACCTATATCATCACTTGTAACTTATCAATTAAACAAACTAATAGATATATAGTATTAAAGACTAAAATATTATTATTTATTTTTATAGATTTTATTAGGTGCTACTTATTTACCAGGATTAATACAAGATAAACAAAGTAATTAAACTTTTGTAGTAATATATAGAGATCAAATAACTATAACGATATTAATTAAAAATTTTATTCTTAAAACAAAATAACAAAGTCTATAGGTTGATAGCACCTATTTTCTTACATGCTGGAATAGTTCATATTATAATGAACATGATAAGCTTTATCTCTCTCTATAGACTAGAAGATATTTGGGGAAAGCTTAATTATGGATTAATCTTTATGGTATCTGGACTTGGTGGTGTACTTTTTAGTAGCTTATTGAATTTTAGAATAGTTTCTGTTGGTGCATCGGGTGCTATCATTGGTTTGGTTGGTGCTTACTTTATTGAAACTCTGGTTAGAACCGATCAACACCAACCAATAGTTAGAAGGAAATTAATAAGAAACCTTATCATCAATCTAGTGATTGTCTTCCTTTTTTCACTTCTTCCTTATGTTGATTGGGCAGGTCATCTCGGTGGTTTCATCTATGGCTGTCTGATGGCAGTGGTCGTTCTTGTCTACAAAGAAAAGAGAATCTATAGAATCTTGGCTGCATCACTACTTGTCGTAATCTACATTGGTGGTATCATCTTTATGTTTACCTATCATCTCAAGCATTACATTTATTAAATAAAACATTAACTAAATAAGATTCTTATATTTATTTAATTTAAATTTAAATCACAATAATAGGTGGCAATTAATTGACTGATAGCCGGTCCAATCTTCTTTTTTTGTTGACCATATCTTATGTCTTTGAGCATTGATAAACGATCGTCGTCGGTATTCAACTTCTGATAGGCAAGCGTCAGAGCGAGTGGCGATGGATAGAGTTCGACAATCGATGCTGATTTCTCTGAGGAACAACCGCTTATTTGCATGAGCATGGCAGCAAAGAACTCTTGCAGTGGTATATCCTTATTCTTTTGATTCCTTTTATTAAATGATTCCAGAGTACATATATCGTTTCCATCACTCGATGTTGTTGTTGTTGTTGTTGTGCGAACAAATAATGATGTTCTCCTACTTGATGCTGCTGCTGCTGACGATTGAAACGATGTGTCCAACTTTGATTTATCAAACAACTGAGCTTTAACTTTTGACTTTATCAACTCTGTCGTTTGTTTGATAAAGTCTATGGTTGCATCGAGGTTGGGTGTCTCACGCACTACAATGTCATCATGAAGGAATGTCGATACCAATGCACTGGTGAGTGTCTCCACAGGCAGACCATAGTTGACGGTACCCCAACCATTCTCTTTGTGCATACGACCCTCCACCACATAAAAGATATTCTTACAACCGCAACGCGATAATCTAAATTTCTGTTCTTTGTATCGACCGTCGATAATGGAACTACTTAGATCATCGATACGTTTTCTCTCTACAATATAATCGAGTGTCCACTCCTGGTTGTCGGCATCAACAACCACCCAAAGAAAGTCACCAAGCTCCAACTTTCGTACTTGAGCTTCCACACCAAGTTCAGCCAGCTTCTTTACAATGAAATCTCTCTCACTTACTGATTTCACTTCTCTATTATCGACAATACATAATACTTTCTTAAATATAATAATATTCTTTGGAAATGGTAATGTCTTTGATTGAATAGTGATGTTTGATGGTAATGAAATGGGTATTGTTGGTTGTGTATCTAATGATGATGATGGTAGTGGTGAATTAGCTGGATTATCGTTAAAATTGATTCTTGATCTCTTATTTGTTGATTTGCTCTTTGATTCTAATTCCTTACTATATACATTACTATCTACATCTAAATCACATTTTCTTTTAAGTAGTAGCTTTGCTGGAGAGGATAATGGATTTGTCGTTGATGTTGTTGTTGTCGTCGTTGTTGTCTTTGGTGTTGTCGATTTGAATGGAGAAGGTGGGAAATCATTATTATCTCTATTGATACTGTTCAAATGGCTATTATATAATCTGGCAAAAGGTGAAGTGCAATTCTTTAAACGCTTAGGTGTTCCATTTAATCTAAATGGTGATTTGAATGGTGATTTGAATGGTGAAATTAGATTATGTTCTCTTGTTGACTTTGAGGGAGTTTGTGATTTATTTGATGGTGACCAGTGAAGTATACCTGAATCCGTAACATTATCATTGTCATCAGAAAGGTAATTTGACTCCAATTCAATTGGAGCTGGTGAAATGAATTGAAATGATGATCTTGCAAATGAGGACGAGCTGGGTGGTGTAAAAAGTGTTGACAAAGGTGATTTTATTGATCTGTTGGGCGATCCGATAATGAATCTCTGTGGTGATTTCGGCGGAGTGAAAAGTGGTGATTTTAATGGTGAAAATAAATAGGATGTTGTTGTTGTTGATGGAGATCGGTATTTGGTTGGTGATTTCTTATGTGATTTCCTAGGTGATACTGTTGTTGATGCTAACTTGGTTGGAGTGCCAAAATCAAAAGAAAAGTTACTGTTATCGTTGCCATCCATCGTCAAGTCCATTTGGAAACTCTTATCGCTATTCATTGGAGTAACTGGATCACATGACTGATATGTTTTACCACCTGGACTCATCGGCATAATCTCGTCAAAGTTGAAATCGAATCGATTGGAATTATTGTTTATTATTCTGGCTGGTGATTTCTTTGGTGTTTTATTATTATTCTGATTATTCTGATTATTCTGATTATTTACAATATTATCACTTTCCTCATCCAAATCAATAAAATTTGGATCGATATTTTCCTTATCTGATTCTTTTACTTTAGACTTTGATGATTTCTTTGTTTTCTTTAATTTACTATTACTATTACTATTACTATCATTATCTTTATCATCTTCTATTGATTTATTTGATTTACTAGAAGATGATTTTTTTGATTTAGATTTTGTAGTTGTATCTGTAATTGTTGATGAAATACTATTACTACTTTTATTATTAATATTATTATTGTTATTGTTGTTGTAGTTTAATATCTTTTTGAGAGGTGTGTTTGGTCCATTGGGATAGAGAGGATGAGGATGTTTTGCAAGATGACTATCGATCAACTTTGAAATAGATGGACCAACACCCGAGAGAATCTCACATTCTTTACCACTAAAGATCGGTAATGGGTACGCCGTTATTGAATTGATAGCCTTCTTATAAGTAGCGATTTTCTTAACATCACCTCTTGACTTTAGAGTTATTATATGTTGACTTAGACATGATACTATATGTGAATTTATACATGGTTGTTGCTGTTGATTCGATTTTGACATCTATTATACTAGCTATTTATTTACTTATTAAATCATGATGATCCTGTTATCAATTTACAAAAACCAGAGTTACTTGACAAACAATTTTATGAATCTTTTTTTTTAAAAAAAGGCGGGAAGTCATATTAAAAATGGTGTGATTTAAACTTGCATGTTACAGTAAGTTTTTTATTTAAAATGATTAATATGTATCATCATCGAATATTTCATAATATTCATAGTCATCTCTATCTCTATATTCTTCATGAATTTGGTCTTTAAGGTCACCAACAAACTCTTGTGATTCATCAATATATTTATGGTAGATATTATATCGGTCAAGAGTATCCTCTATATTGTTGTCTATCCATGCTTCATTTGTTCCTTTTTCATTCATCTTTTTCTTATTTTTATTTTTTGAAAATATTCTTATTTAAGGATAATATGTTTAGTAATATTACTATAATAATAAACATATTATTTACATACCTATAACTACTTTTGTTTATTGTTTATAATAAATCTTTTTAAAAGATATCAACTTACTTTAATTTAACATATCTTAATAACGTTCATTAAATTAATTAATCATAGAAAAAAAAAGAAAATTTTAGTTTTTGCTAAATATGGATAAAAAAAACAAAAAAATGGTGAAATCAATCTCGTCAATCCTTATATGGTTTGAACTAAATAATCAATAATACTCGACATTGATGAAGATAAACGATAGTATGATTATTATGATGAAATAAGTAATTTTTATTTTAATTTCTGCATGTGATACAATACAATATAACACGTTTTACAAAAAAAAAAAAAAAAAAAAAAAACTTAGAATAATCTATAGTTATTCAAATTAATCTTCGGTTTTACTTTAATCCTATAAATGAAGGTGGTTTAATAGATTGATGAATAATAATAGCATTTTAATTAAATTTTTTATTGAAGTAACAAGTTGTTTATTTTATTGTGATCCTCTTGTTTGCTTTTGAAGTTCTCTCTGTAAGTCTTTTGCCTCGCCATAATCCTTGATGCCATAGGAATGCATAAAGTTATTGAAACTTCCAAATGAATTAATGATATCTCTATTTGACCATGGTTCTGGTTCATTTGTATTTTGATTTTGCTTTCTACCTGACATCTTTAGATCTTTAACTTTTAGTTGGTAAATAAAAATTTGAAAAATAACTTATCTATATATAATAATCTATCTATCTATCTCCAATATTTGGAATTCGAAAAATAACATAACAAAATAATGTTGTTTTTTTTTTAATAATAAAAATTAAAAAATATCAAAAAATGAATACAACAGATTCGTTGAGAATGTGTGTATGAACTGCATAAATTTAATTTATCATTATTATGTTTAGATTTTGTTATAAAAATAATCGAGTTTTCATAGACAGGTGTATTCATAACCATAACTCATATCATACTAGTATTAACCGATCAACAGCAACAACAACCTACAAAATGGATGAAACAGAAAAGAGAGAACTTCTTGAAAGATACAATGCAATTAAATCGAAAATCACTGATCCAAATGTATGAAGTATCAATAATTTATCATAATTAAGTTGATTTTTTGTTAATTCTATTCGTATGAATTATCTATCTTTATTAGGTAACACTAGTTGCAGTCAGTAAAACAAAACCTTCTTTTATGATTCGTGAACTTTATGAGAATGGTCATAGACACTTTGGTGAGAACTATGTGAGTATCAAATCAAATCAAATCAAATCAATCGTAATTGAATTGAATTGAACAAACGAATGAATGAATGAATGAATCAAAGAAACAAATATTAATATGATATCGGTTTTTGCTAGATACAAGAATTAGAATTGAAATCAAAGGAATTAGAGGATTTGAAGGATATTAAATGGCATTTCATTGGTAGTGTTCAATCCAATAAGATAAAACAACTTGGTTCCGTGTTGAATTTGGCAGTGGTAGAGACAGTAGAGAAGTCTTCGGCTGCCGATAAATTTGCAAAGTGTTTTAGTAATCATTCACAACCATTAGAGATCATGGTACAAGTAAATACAAGTGGTGAACAATGTAAATAATCATATCATCATATCACAAATCATTAATTAGAAACTAATCGATGAATCATATGATTTTTTAGCAAAGAGTGGATGTGAACCAAACGAAGTTGTAGATATTGTTAAACATATTATCAGTGATGAACAATGTAAAAAATCATTGAAATTCTCAGGTCTAATGACTATTGGAAGTCCAAACGCAACCGAAGATCAACCTGATTTTAAAGTATGTAGTGTTTTATTTAATGTGTTGCGTTGTGTTATAACTCTTACTAAACAAAATCATCGTTAAACAGAAATTATTTGAATGTAGAGATAGTATATCAAAACAACTTGGTTTACCTATAGAGTCTATTGCATTAAGTATGGGAATGAGTCATGATTTTGTTGAAGCTGTAAGTAGCAATATTATATTAATGAATTTAATCTTCAACAACAACAATGTCTAATCATATATGTTTTCAATTGTACAATTATAGATTAAATTTGGAAGTACAAGTGTTAGAGTTGGAAGTGCTATATTTGGTGAAAGAGACTACTCAAAGAAATAAATAACATCAACAAAAATAAAAATAAAAAAATAGTCCAATATAAAATATATATTACCAAAAAAGGCTAAAGTGTGTGGTGTATGAACTTGAATGGGTCCAAACAACTTATCCTATAAATTATTTAAATTGGATTATTTTTATTTTTTTTAGTTATTTTTAGTTATTTATAATAAACAATATATTATTTATTATTATTATTATTTTAATATAGGTATATATAATGTCAAGTAATAAAATAATTAAAATTCAAAAACAGTTAACTTTTAATCCATCTTTGTTGTTGTTATTGAATAGAAATAGATATAGGTTATGCAATCAAAATTTATACTATTCAACAACAACAACAACATCAGCAACACAGTACTATAGTAAAGAGGAAAGAAGAGGAGGATCCATCGATTATTTAAAAATACCAACACCACTACCAAAACCACCACATAGCGATCCTCACCCTCAAGAACCTAGAGACTCTAATCCTCAAGCACCAAGACCACCCTCTGAAAGATTCCCTTCACCATTTCCGAAACCCCAAAGAAAAGAAAGACCAGATTCAAGACCAGAAGATGGTTATCCAAATCCTTCACCTATTTAAATATAAAGAAACACCACTTTAAATGTATAAATTGTAACAATAAATAAACTTGTAAATAAAAACCAATTGATTATCTTAATAACCAAATTTTTGTTTAAATAAATGAATAAGAAAAGAAAAAGAAATAGATATATAATATATTTATAAATCTATTCGATCTTTTCTTTTGTTGTTTTAATGTATAATTAAAATAAATAATGTTGATTCTAGCTTTTTTAGCTTAAAATTATGATTAGTTGGATGAGTAGTTGTTTAGCTATGATGAACTGTCTACTATTATTATTATTATTATTATCCTTATTACTATAAACTATGATTACTAATTGATTGTATTCTCTTGAGATGAGAATAGATCTTTAAATAATTGTAGTATACCATGTGGATTCGAAGATATAATTTCTAAACGTTTCTCTGCTACCTCACCATCTACGGGTGCATATATAATCTCCAACTTATTATCTCCTACTACTGTTACAGTTTTTGTATTGGCAACTGGTATTTCATATGCAATCTACAATAGACAATAAAACAATGTAAGTAAAAGTGTAACTATCGAATAAATGAGTAGTATACTTACCTTATTTGATAATGAATTAACTCTAATTGTTTCTTTTACTTGTATTGTTACTAAACCACAATCTTTACCAATCTTTTGTTTTATCATATTATATATTAGTTATATTTAATTAATCTATTTAATCGATATATATATATATATATATATATATATATATATATATATATATATATATATATATATATCAACATACCGAAATTGGAATAACAATCTTTCCACCTTGATCTAATAAAGTAATGATCATTCTCTTCCTTGCTAGTTTGAGTTGTTTGATCCAACGTTCCATTTGATCTTGTGTCTCTGTGTTGAAAAAGTACTCTAATCCACGTGAATCTGCCAAACTAAAACACCAGTCCAATCCGTCTAAACTCTTTTGTTTGATGACACGACACGACGATACCAAGAGGAATATCGATCCCAGTGGTTTCTGTGGTGGATCCTCTTTATAGTAGATGAGAGATGTTGGCGTCAGAGTACAATAACGACGATCCCACCACTTGTTTGCCTTGGTCTTTCTCATCCAACCGGAGAGTATCACCTGTTTGTCGGGTTGACTTATCACCTTGGATGTGTAGATCGTTACATTCTGTTGAGTAAAGGTGCGCTCCACTGCATTGGTAATAGCAGTCACCCATTTGATACGATCTTCCTGGCTATCGAACAGCAGCACAAACTCACGTTCATTGTTAATCAACAGACTGATTCCAATCACTGTGGTCACCTCCTCGATGGGACCGGTAACCGACTCCACCGACTGACCGAGACTACCACTATCGCCATTATTTCCCATTCCAAAACATTCGCCTGGTGATATCGATGTTGTGGTGGTAGCACCGCTTCCATTGGTGGTAGTTGTTGTACTGATTCCACCCTCGCCAATTACAGTTACCGAGCGTCCACGGATCTGTGTTAGCATCTTGTCGGAGATCTCAGAGAGATGTGTCAAGTCGATGATTCCCTTGAGATTTGCAATCTTATTGTTGTGTGGCGGCTGTGTAAAGTAGCGCAGTTTATTGCCTTGCAGTTGACACCATCGACGTTTTGTATTTCTAAAGTAGTGTCCTTTTTCGCCACGCTTGTTGAGCCAGCCATAGATTGGCTCGTCCTTTACCTTGTCGGCCAGGTGTATGGCATAGCTGATTGAATATGCCCAGTTTTCGAGATCCTTGAGAGCGTCGGTCGTGTTGACAGCGATACTGGTGAATGTGTACTCCACTGCGTTGGGAGTGACCAAAGAGATTGCATCGATCTCTGTTTCGCCATTGACAATCGACTTCCAACTCTTGTTGTTCTGTGGCGCCATACCAATCGACCAATGCTGATAGATCGGTGTTATGATTCCACCATGTTTCAATTTACATCCTCTTAAATAGATTTGTCCTTTCATACAACTCATATCATTTACATCTTTCTATAGATAGTTACAATTGTAAACGGTTATTGTTTTTTTTAGTGAGTTTGAAATTTCAATTAATTAATGTATGTAAAGGTGTTTTTCAAAAACTTACAGGTTGTCTGTCGAAATAACTTAGGAAATCAGACTGTAATATGAACCATCTTAGTTTCAAACTACCGTTTCTCTCTAGTGATGGAAGAGAGGATTGATATCCAGAACCAGAACATGATTTTTCAAGAACATTCAGTTCTGATTGTTCCATCTCTCTAGATCCCCATTTCTTCATCCAACCACTTGTAATAATGAAATCCATTGTCTTGAACTGATGAAGTAAATATATAGAGATCTAAATTTATTTGTGTGTAGTAATGGAAGAACTTTTAGATTTTACTATTTATTTAATTTAATTTTAGTTGATTGGTTGGTTGTTTGACTGATTGATGGGCTGACTGATCGGTCTTTTGTTTTTTTTGTTTTTTTTCAAAAATATAAAAATTTTAAAAATAAAAAAAAAAGATAAATAAATAAAAATATATAGATAATAATACTACAATTGTGTAAATGGAATTGTTTTAAAAATCTAATCTTGTTTTGTTTTGTTTTTTTTTTTACAAAAGATGTATTTTTGTAGTGCTGCCATGTAATTTGATACCAAAACCAAACCAAACCAATCAAAAGATACAATAGGATTTTTTTAAAATTTTTATTAGTTTTTGAATTATTTTTAAATTTTACCAAAGATATCTTTTTTACATTATTTAACTGAAAAATTCAAAAAAAAAAAAAAAAACCGGTTTTTGATGTAATGTTACTGTTGTGGGCTTGTTGTCATTCGATCTCCGATCGCTTACACCTTATAAAACAATAAATTATTAGTGGTACCATTTAAGAACCTTCCATTTTTATTTATCTTTGGGCGGACTTTATTAATGTAATGGTGTGATGATAATTATGTTTGTTGGTGTGATGATCATCTTTTAATAATTATTAAAACAAATACATAATATTTGATTGAGGGTGTTTGTTTATTTTACATATTTTAACAAATAAAAGTGTTTATGCTTATTTAATCAATCAAACTTGAAATCTTCTTCTTTTTGGTCATCATCAGAAACATCAGAGTCATCGGAATCTATATATTGAGATGCCTTCTTCTTAAGCATTTTTTGAAAGAAAGCACGAGTTTTTTGCATGCCATCATCGTACTCATCCCAAAATCCAACCTCTCTGCCATTTCTGAACGATGCAAAAGATATTCCCCACTCCATATGTGTATGGTCATTGCTCAATATATGTTCTTTATCTACACGTCTAACATCCTCTTTTCTAATAAAAGCAAACAAAAAGTCGTATTTTGGATTGGTACAGATCTTCTTGATGATATACTCTTTCTCATCACCTTCATAGTCACTGTCATTTGTCCAAAAAATAAGAACAATCTATAATATAAAAAAGATATATATATTAATTGAAAATGTTAGTTATTATTTACGTTTGTTTGATAAACTTCATTTTAAAATAAGTTAGAGTACTAACAGGTCTTTTATAAACCTTATAACTTCTTTGTTCTAGTCTTTCAAATTCCTTTTCGTTTGTAATGAACCACTTTGGCATCTTTTAGTTTATTTGTTGTTCAACAATATTATATTTATTAACTTTTTTTATAACTTTAAAATTTACTATCAATACGAAAGAAATGAACATATTTATTTTGTTTTTTTTATGAAAACTCCAAGCATTCCAGCCATAAATCTGTCATTGTACTGCGCCATAAAGTGGTTGGTGACGGGTTTAAACCCATGTTTTAAAACGATTCATGTTTATGGGGTGCAAAAAATACAATGAGGGAAAAGAAAATTCTTTTTTTTCATTTATTAGCCTCAACCAGGATCTAATTTTTTTTTTTTTTTTGATTGATATAATTAGGGATAATATATAAATATATATATATGTGTGATTGATTATAAAAAAAAATTTTTAAAAAAATGATTGTTAGGTCAAAGACTTTTTATCTTTTATCATTGTTCTTTTTCTTTATTTATTTATTTCATTTAATGACAAAAAAAACTAACAAATAAAATGCCAATCAATGATTGATTAAAGATTTAAAAATGAAAAGATAGATCATGTAATAAAAAAAAAAAAAAAAAAAAAAAAAAAAAAAATTGGTCAAATATATTTTTTGAAGATCATCATTTTAAATTAATTAGACACGTGTAAATAGATTAGAAAAATGAAAAATAAAGATATAAACAATAGAAGTAGTAATAAGAATAATAATAATACAACACAAAAGAACTTTATTATAATTATATTAATAGCTATTGTAATTAGAGTCATTTTATACTATCAAGGTTTTCATAATATATTATCACACAGAAATGAAATTAGTACACCTTTAACTGCTTTTAAAAGATGTATGTTTTTGCAATTAACTTTTAGCAGCAGCAGTATAATATAAATATAATTCTTAATGACTGATCATCTTTTATGATATACATTTATTATTACTTTTGTTGTTGTTGTTGTTGTTAGTGATAGAAGGTTTACATTTACATAGCGTTGGATTATCACCGTATGCTGGATCTGCATATCATCAGGCACCTCTACTTCTTTTGCTATTCAAACCATTCTATGAGAGTGTGGCACTGTCACAACTGTTGTTTATTGTTGTAGATGTTGTGATTGCCATTCTCTTGAGATCGATCACCTATCGTGTACCAAAAGTACTGCCTTTGGAGATGAGCGGTGACCAAATACCACCGACCTCGAACTTCCCAAATGTAGTTGCTGCTCTCTACCTCTTCAACCCATTCACTCTATTCACCTCGATTGGAATGAGTACAATTGTATTTAACAATCTCTCTGTTATTACATCTTTATATTTCGCATTAAAAGGTAAATACAAAGTTTAACTTATATATTGTTATGTCATATCATATCATATGTTAACATATCATTTCTAAACAACAAAAGGTAATCAATTTCAAAGTTTGTTCTTTGTTGCGATGTCATCATATCTATCAATCTATCCAATTATGTTGGTTATTCCAGTAGCATTCATTCTTCAGCAACAGAGACAGACAAAGACAAAATCAGATAACATTGTATTCATCTTGCAATCCGTATTCTTCTTTGTATTCTCTTTGGTATCACTATTGTATTTATCGTTTAGCTTGTTAAACTCTTGGGAATTCATTGAAAAGTGTTATGGATTTACCATGATGGTAGAGGATTTAACACCAAACATTGGTATGTCTTTAATATCTTTCTTTCTTTCATTTTATAGTGATAGTAGTAATCTAACAAAACAATTTATTTATTAATTGACGAAACTAAAGGATTATTCTGGTATTATTTCATTGAAGTATTTGAACATTTTAGAAAGTTCTTCTTGTTTATCTTCCAATATCATGTATTTATATATACTATTCCATTGGCAATTCGACTGAAGGCTCATGCTTTGTTTTACTTTTGGACGTTGTGTGCAATCATCGCCACATTCAAGTCGTATCCAGCGTTGGGTGACACATCGTTGCAGCTCTCACTGTTGCCATTGATCTACGAACCACTGAAGGGTGTACGTTACTCGTTTATCATTGTGGTGGTCGGTATCTACGTGACTGTATTGGCACCTATTCTCTGGCAGATGTGGATCTACCAAGGTACTGGTAATGCCAACTTCTACTATACCATCAACCTTGTATTTACACTGGCACAGGTTCTCTTGATTGTCGATTCATTCTCAGTGCTACAAAAACTAGATTATATTAAAAAGTTAAATTCCAAAAAGGAGTCGTCATCATCATCTTCATCAACATCTCAACAAGATATGATTCAACATCCCAACAATACAAAAGAAATAAAACAAGAATAATAATAACTAATTATAACAACAACTAAACTTAAATATTTTTTTTAAAGGAAATATAAACAAGATTTATTTTTTGTTTATTTTAAAGGTTTGTTTTGTTTTGTTTTGATTTTGTTTTAGAAAAAATATATACAAAAATTATTCTTTTGTATTTTTGACATGGATAATTTAAAGTTGGCTAAATTGGTTATATTGGTTATATATGATTGACTTTTGGTTTGATTTTGGTTTGTTATATGTTGACATGGTTTGTTGTTGTTGTTGATTTGAAAAAAAATAATACAAAAAAAAAAAGAGTAAAGTTTTAAGCTTTGGTTCCAAGTATTTGTGGTGAAATCAAAGCTGTCTTGGTCTTTACGACTGGTGTTCTTGGTGTGTATTTGGCTACATATTGATTGTTACTACTGCTGTTGGATGGAGATGAAACGGTAGCTTGCGATTGTGAGTGTGTCGAGTGAGTATTGTGTGTTTTGGTGTGATGGTTTTGTGTGGTTGTACTTGGTGTGGCAGCACTGGCAGAGTGTGACGATTTGATTTGGTAGAGAGTGGCAATTTGGAATTTCTCTTTGATGTGTTCGATTGTGACTGGTGCAACTGGAGTATATATTTCGATGTTGGAGAACTCCAAGGTGTCGTAGTAGTCGATGATGTAGTCAGAGACGTATCCAAGACATCCACCACCACCGACATTCAAGACGTGGGCGTCGTGTTCCAGCTTGACTTGGAACTTGGCATAGGAGTGAGCTGGTACTGATTTGAGGAATCCACGGAGATCGTTCTTGACTCTCTCTTGTCCACGGATGTTCAACTCTGATCTCAGCCATTGGGTGATCTCATTGATTTCGGCGTTGTTCAATCTCTCTGGACTGCAGTAGACCAAATCGGCAAATTGTCTCTTTTGATTTAAATTGGCAACAAATATCTTATCCATTTTATATTGATGTGTATTTTTTGAAATAATTCTTTTTTCGAAAATATATTAATATTTAATAAATTATTATATTTCAAATTGAATTACTATAATAAATAAAAAGAAAAGAAAGAAAAAAAAAAAGAGATAATTTGATTAATATTTGTATGAATTTGAATAATGTCAAGTATCAAAAGGAATGGAATTTAAATAAATACTAGTTAATGGAAAGTTTGATAATTTCTTTGATATTATGTGAATGGAATTAGATGGAAAAAATGAATGAAATTTTGAAATTGAATCACAAGCATTAAATACTAGAGTTGGAAAATAAATGGTTTTAATGATTTAAATTAAAATAATGGTTGATGTATAAATTAATTAGAGTGTTGTTTTTGTTGTTGATTCAATTCAAAAGTGTGGGGATATATTGTGTGTAGTTGTGTTGTATGGGTATAGTAAACAAAACAGATACTAAATAAAATCAGCTATAAAGCAAATAGCACTCACAACCAAATAGATGTAGTTGCAAGTAAATTTAGTTTGATTGACATTCAATATATATATAAGGTGTGGGGTTGGTGGATGTTGCAATTGCATTTTCAAAAAAACCAAATTATTTTGGTATTTTCATTTTTCCACCTGTGAATCAATCTTTTTTTTTATTTTGTTTATACAATATAAGTGTGTGTGTGTAAATGTGAGTGTGATAAATTTGTGTTTTGGTGTGTGTGTGTGTATTTAAGATAGTAGTAATAAGTACTCAAGATAGAAATTCTATCAATTTGTTTGTTGATTGTTTTGATTTTGAGTGCCCACTCTCTCATATTTAATATTCTTGAATTCAATAATTATTATTTTTTTTATTTAAAATGTAAAGATGAATAGTGAAAAAGTGTGGGGTGAGGTGTTTTCTTTTTAGTTATTTTAATGATTGTTATTGGGAAATGGGTGTGGTGGAAATTTCATTTGCAGCGCAAATGCATGGTGTTAAATTTCAAAAATATAAAAATAAAAATGATGAAGAATTTAAAGCTGGTATACCATACTGATGATATTCTTTGGTTTTAATTTTAACATTGGCAACACCACTCTTTTTGAGTTGTTTACTTTTTGGAGAGTGTTGACATTATTCATTATTATTTTTATTCATCAGTATTATTATTAAACTTCAAAAAAAAAAAAAAAAAAATTTGTAATAAATAGAGTATCAATGTCGGATGAATTAACATTTACTACTATTATTGGTTTGAATATGATTATGATTGACTTGCATTACAATTTAATACTATTCTATTTTATTATTATTTTATAAATTGTATTGATGATTCATCATTTCAGCAGAAATCAACGATATTTTTATATCATAGATAATGGTTTTAATCATCTGAGTATAGAGGAGAGTTGTGGTTGAATATGTTATTTGTAGGTAATGCTGATTGTTTGTTAACACCAATTTAAACTTTAATATTTGGTAAGATATAAAAGAAGGTTGATTGTATTCGGTTATACGGTGATGATGGTCGATGGTGGGTGAATCAACTAGTAAATTTGGATTTAATGGAGGTATTAAAGATGAGATATTGGGTGTCTTTATTGATTGTGTTAAATTTAAATATATTTGAAATTTACTCAAACAATAAATGGTGGATGATAAATAAAATAAAAACAAAAACTTACTACTTTTAAAAAACATAAATAGTTTTATAGATCTTTTAAAGATTATTGGGTTTATATTATAAAAATAATTGTTAAGGAGTTTTCTCGGTTTAAATTTTAAAAAGAAATAAGATCTTTGTGGGATTAGTATGTTTTTGAACAACAACACTAATCAACATCTATATATAAATATGATTTGTAATAATAACTGGTATTATCTCTTTAAAAGCATAATATAACAATCATATAATATTTAATTATGTAATCAAGTTATTTATAGAAAACAGACAAATTGGTGTGTGTGGTAAGTAAAATTAATATTAACACAAAAAAATACTATTGTGTTTTTGTGGTGGTGTATCATATGACTATAAACCAAATTATTATTACACAAATAATTTAAAACTAATAATTATTTATAATACATACATATATAGAAATAATTATAATTATATGTATACATAGAAAGAAAAAAAAAAAAAAAAAAAAAAGTTATATTTATTTAAAGACTTACGAGTTTCTACTCTTTTTGAATTTAATGAAATGATAGAGACAAATGGGAGTTGCAGTTTAAATAAATAATGAATGAAGCCACATGAAGTAGTGTAAACAAAACAAAAAAAAAAACATAATTTAATTTCTTTTTGGTACACAATGATGAAAGGGCATCTTCCTTGGATTTATTAGTTTTTTTGTTCAGGTGATTCAAAGTAGTTATTGTGCTAAATTCTGATTTCTCAGTGTGACAATGTAAACCACACACTGTTATTAAGTTTTACGGCTCATTGTTGTTATTTTCTTTGATGTCATAGACGAATATGGTTATAGACGGGGTTTTGTGTAAATCAAAAAAAATAAAAAAACTGCTACCCCTTGTAAAGCTTTAACAATAGTGACATTGTAAATCCGAATCGATTGAGAGTTTTGAAATTTACAATGAGTTGATTATTTTTGGTTTTAGTTGATGTTTTTTTTGCAAAAAAACACTTTTAGTTTTTTTTTTGTTTCCCACCCACAACTCCCCATCCAGCTAAACTTTTGTATTGAAAATCATAAAAAAAAATTTGTAAAACCATTCGATCGGCTTTTGAGTGAAGAAATTTGGAATTTTTTGCAATTTTTAATCGAAATTTAACCCACAAAAGTATTTAAATTTATTATTTTTTCATTAAAGAAATTTCAATGTGATCTCCTTTGGGCTTCTAGAAAAAATTATTTTTCTAAATATATGTTTTGGACATTCAGGAGCAGTACTAATAAGATGTATTCATTTTCAATTAAAACAACTTTTTGTTGTTTTTTCTTACAATATAAAAAGACTTTCTTAGTTTTGACTATAAAAGGTGAAATCAAATATAAAAAAAAAAAAAGAAAAAAGAAAAACATTTAACAGAAAATTGCATTCTCAAAGGTGTAATCTAAGATTCTTCTTAGTTTTATTCAAGAATTGTACAACTTTTTTACTAGATTCAAAAGTGAGAAAGTACTATTAGATATTGATTTATCAAATTAGAAGAAGTGCGTATTGGATGGGTTTAAATATTTGTTAATTGTTTTTATTTTCTATTTTAAATTAAATATTATAAAGAAAATAATGAGTTGTCAACTGCAGATAAATTCTTGATTAGTTCGAAATCAGGTTAGGGGTCTGATTCTTTGATGCCCAATCAAGGTATTGAAAACTTGATAAAATAAATCATTAGACACCACAAATATATTAGTTATTTCATATTATTATGATTTCACCATTTTAACTTAATTTCATGCTATCTATAATTAGGTTTCATTGATAACACATTCTTCATCAATGACTTAAAGAAGTGAAATAATACATGCAAATATAATTATAACATCGTTCATCAAAATATTATTGTTGTTTTTTTTTTGTTTTTGCAATTTTTTTTTTTAAAAATATAACAAATTAAGTAACTAAAATTTGCACCTATGTGTTTCTAATAAATCATTGCTAAGTTATGATTTTTTGAGTTCAAAAAAATACCCCCTCGCTCACATTCGAGACAATTGAGTTTGAAGATAATCACGACATTTGAAAAAAAAAAAAAGATGTTTGTTTATTCCAGAGTGGGAAACACCCATCAAAAATTAACATCTCATCTCATTTCAATTTATTTATTATAAATAATAATAATTTGTTTTATTTTTATCATTAACAAGCAGTTTGCAAAAGAAGCTATTAGAGATAGAGATAGATAGAGATAGAGAAGATAGAGATAGATAGATAGAGATGATAGATTGTTAATGATAAATTCATTTGTATAAAAACCAACAAGCATTTTACTATCGATATTATTTTCGTTAGTTCAAAATGGCATCATTATCATCATCAACATCATCTATACCTACTACAGCATCAACTTCAACATCTACTACAACTACAACTTCAAGTAGTACTACTGCTGGCATGGCTGCTAGAGGTGCACTGCGTTCATCAATGTCATCGGTTACACCAACGACTTTGGCATCTTCATCGGACTCTGCACCTCAGGATGAAGCTACTACATTGACCATACATTCGATTCTCCAGTTTCTCAAGGATAACAATCATACCAAATCATTTATAAAGTATCTATCAAAAAAAAAAAAAATAACATACTTCAAAAAAAATAATAATAATAATGTGTTTGTTAACCGGTTTTATAAAATATCTTATCTATTTATCCTATAGGTTACAAGCAGAGAGTAAAACATATTTCGATTTCAATTATATGTCTGAACTAATTGTGAATGGCAAGTATAAAAAGGCAGAACAGTATTTACGTAGCTATACCGATGGATCTTCGACCGACGTACAACAGGTTGCCGACACTATATTCTCAAGTATATACCGTTATCACTTTATGGAGCTGCAAGCAGATGAAAAGGTCACTGAATCAATGGATCTCTTCTTGAATAAAATTAAGACATCACCATTCTTCACCCAACAAGATCAAATTAAACTATTGGCTCATTTTGTAAAGAATAGAACAGGTTCAAAAGTGTATGTTAAATCAGTCATTGGAAAAGAGAAATGTTAAAATATTTAATAATTATTTTGATAATAATATAATCGAAATTCAGAGATTATATATTAAATAATAGATTAGCGCTGGTTAATACTATTAAATCATTGGTTTTGTTTATAAATGTAAATCAACAGTTGAAACCACCCTTGGATTTGGTGAATTTGGTAAGACAACATCAGAGACAACAGCTATTGCCGAAACCACCTACTTCACCACCATCACCACCAGTAGTGGCACCACCTGTAGTAAAAGTAAAAAAACAAATATCTTTTGACTACAGTCAAAAAGAGAGAACACCATCGAAAGAGTTTGATTCAAATTACAAACCAACGCCAATCCTGAGGAATGCTCATGAGAAGACACCCCAGATTTCATGGATCGAATTCGAAAAAATTGAAAGAGAAAGAGAAAGAGTAGAGAAGGATAAACAGGAGCAAGCACAAAGAGACAAGTCGAGACAACTGCGAGAGGTTGCTGGGCAAAATATAGACATGGATAGAGATAGTGTTAGATTGCAGAAAAAGATTAACAGGTCGGAAATGGAGGCGCAAGAAAGAGAAAGAGAAAGATTGGATCGTGAAAGACAAGAAAGAGAAATACAAGATAGAGAAAGACAAGATAGAGAAAGAATAGAAAGAGAAAGAATAGAAAGATTGGATCGCGAAAGACAGGAGCAAGATAGAGAGAGAATAGAAAGAGAGAGAATAGAAAGATTGGATCGCGAAAGATTAGATCGTGAAAGACAAGAACAAGATAGATTAGAAAGAGAGAGATTTGAACGAGATAGAGAAATAGAAAGAGAAAAGGAGAGAGCGTTAAAAGAGAGAGATGATAAACTGTTCAAACCATCTACACCACCAATTATCAATTTCTCATCGAACCTGTCGAATAAGTTGAAAACATCAACTGAAAATGTACATTATCCACCTACACAAATGCAGGCTTCCAACAGTCAAATGCCTGCTCACAATATTCCACCTTCACATCACCCACCACCAGCTTATTCCAACCAATATCCATACTCTTACAATCCTTATGGTTATAATTATAACTATTACTATCCACCACATCAACAACATCCACCACATCAACAACATTCACCACCACCTCCTCCATCTCAAGCTCCACAACAACAACAAGACGATGGACCAGTGACAATGGATATAGAAGCACCAGCCTACTCTCCACAAAACTTCCATCCATCTTCATCAACTGCACCACCACCACCACCACCACCAGCACAATCAACAACCAACCAATTACCACAACAAACACCAACACCACCACCACCAGACAAACCAAAATCATTGTTCAGTTCAAGTATATTGGTACCAAAATCAGATTCAAATTCAAACCAAAGCTTAGTACGACAATCTAATATCTTTGGAAATAACAATGCATCATCAAGACAAATCACCACTCAAAATCAAACAGTATGTAGACTTTAAAAGTCTAGGACTACAGCAACAGAAACAACAATTTTCATGTAACTAATTATTAAATCATCGATGTAAAATTAGCTAACACCAGATATTTTAGATTCGACACTAACTGGACCAGTGACCCACATGTTTTATTTCTCAGCGAATGACAATAGTTTTATTTATTCAGCACCAACAACCAGTTGTTATATATTCCAAAACCGTCAGGTCAGAGAACATACATATATTTTCGGTGGAGACACACATCAAACCAGCTCTCATGTGATTGTAGTAAACGTAAGTACAAGATTGTTTATCAAACTTATCAAACTTATCAAACTTATAAACTAATAAACAACCTCTGTGATCGATCACAATAGGATGTCTTTTTTATTTCGACCAAAGATAATACTATTGGTGCTTTTAATTTGGCTGATTGTACCATGCACAAAGATATTAGGATTTCTCAAAAGACTTGTCCTGTGACTGCTCTATTCTTTGGTGCAGAGAGTGGAATGTTCTTTGGATACTCAGTATGTAAAATTGATTTGTTTTCCTATATGCTCTTTATTGTTTATTGTTTATTATTATTGTTTTAGGATGGTGCTATTTTAGGATCAAATATTTTTAAAAACTATTCTGAATTTAAAGATATGGATCATGGAGCATCAGTGAGTGAGATTATAGCAAGCTCTAGATATCTCATTTCACTTAGTAGATTAAACAATAGGTATGAATGGTCAACTACCAACAACAAAAATCTTTATAGAAATTTATTATTGATATTAATAATTATTTAATGGTCATCTCCTACTATAGTTTAAGATTTTGGCAGCTCGATGGATATAAACCTGTTGATGTACCATTAGATTTCGATGGCGATATTCTACATATTCGTACCATTCAGAATAAACTAATGATTGTATATAGTAATCAAATTGTAATACACGACCTTGAAAATCCTCAATTTGCTGCAATATTTCTACGTTCTTTTAATGGTTCCTCTGAATTGACAGATGCTGTTTTTTTGGTATGTTTAAAAAAAACAAAGAGTAGTAATCACAGCTTAACTAACTTTATTATTTTTAATAAATTAAATAGAATAATTCAGATTCATTCATTATTAGTCAGACCAATAAGATTATTCTTTCAAGAGTGGTCTCTGGTGAATATGAAGTTTTATCCACTTTTGAATTACCTCCAGCAAGCGGTAACATCACTGTGATTTGTCCTCACTCAACTAGACCAAAGTTTATGATTGGAACAAGCAATGGTTTAATCTATGAATTTAATGATGTTTTAAGATAGGTGGTAGTCACTGGAATGATATATATGTTCTCTTTACCCTTATTATATAATATAAATATAATAACAAAAAAACCATAATAAAAGCTGGTTTTTTTCTTTTGTATATGTAATTATTAAAATTTTATCTTACTTTTTCTTTTATTATTCAATATAAAATGGAGGTTAGTGAATTTCTAAAGAATTCGACAATATAGAGCATCATTGCAGCAGGTGGTACACTTCTCAGTAGATTTGGCCCGAGACCTCGGTAGAATCCTTTAAGACCTTCGCTCTTGTATATCTGTGTGATTGCATCACTTATAGAGGTATATTGACAACTCTCTGATTGTAATGAAGATCTTAACAATAGATATGGGTAAGTTACTAATCCTGCTACCAATCTTGCAGTTCCACCCGACATTAAATATCCTGCAACACCTATATTTCCTTTGTTATTTTGTCTAATTCTTTCCAATATCTATTTATCATTTGATAATATTATTATTAAAATAAAGAATAAAAAAAAAAGGTTCATATTTAAATTTAAATAGATACCTGTTCATAAGTTACAAATTGTACTAAACCTTCAGATACACCCATAAAAGATGGTCCTACTCCTTTCCAAAATCCAGATATTCCTTCATTCTTTAGAATAGATTTAAAACAATCGGTCATTCCATTATACTTTTTAGAGGTTGCCAATCTTATTTTTAATACCCAAAATGGATTTACAACAGCTAAACAGATTATTAAAAATGGTTGTAGTATATTATCATCAATAAATATTATTATTTACCTGTTGTTATAATACCAGCATTGATTGCAGATAAAGAATGACATATTAAAGGTGATTGTATTGATGACTCTGTAGATAACCAATGATTGGTGAATCTATAGACTGAAAAGTAAACACCCCAATTAACAGCATTCCCAATGACTGTCGGTGTAACACCTTGATATAGACCACGTATTCCTTCTTGTTTAATGATCGATCGAGCAATGTCTACAGGTGATCTTGGTTGATATGATTTCTAAAACAATTAAAATGTTTGTTTTAACAAAAAACTTTACATCTAACTATTGAATGATGATTGATTATTACTTTCTTACCGGCGTTAACTTGAAGTTTTGCTTCAAGACATTCCAATGGGTAAAATGTAAAACATGATATCATACCAGCCAAAGTACCAGATATCACCTCAATTAATAAATTAAATTCTTTAATTAAATATTAATAGTTTGTTGTTTTGGTATTTCTAATTATATGATAAACTTTTTACCTTTTTCTTTTGGACCTCGAGGTGGAATGTAAACAGCCGGTTCATCTTCAAAACTACCGATAGTATTCCTATGAGTCATTACTATTAAAAAAAAATTTTAAAATTTTAATTAAAAAACACGAAAAATGAACATCAAATATTTGCAAATACCTGTATTAAATAAAACAATAAATAAAGTTATTAATAATAAATATTTTATCATGATAATCAATCTTTATTTATTAATATTGTATTCAGGAATGATAATCATTAAAAAAAAACATAACATGTTTTATTTAATCTTTTTTTTTATTTTTATTCAAATTAAACTTTTTTTTTTTTAGTTTAAATTAATTTAATTTAATAGTTTTTGTGGGGTTATTGAATGATTAATTTAACAAATTTTGTTATACTCAAGTATTATTTATTAAAAATAAACAAGTAATTTAATATTTACTATATTGTTTATTAGCAAATGGATCATTAATTGGATAAAAATAAAAAGATAATTAAAACTTTTGGAAAAACAATTTTCATTTTAGTGATGACTTTTTTGATTAATCATATTTGATCATGATTAGCCTAGTAAGTATGATTTTATTTTTAATATAACTGTCAATAGCTCGATATTATTTTTTTATAAGGTACATTCTTTACCAATAATAGATAAATAAAATGCATGTGATTTTACAACCTACAGATAGATGGTGTTAATTTCAACAACCACCCTCCCTTTCTCTATAAATTATTTGTTTACGAATATTTTATACAATGAGCACGTATTCACTCAAATAAAATTTATAATGAGATAGATCATTTGAATGCAGGTGATGATAACAATATAAATAAAATTAATAACCTAATACTTTTAGTTCAACTTTTAAAAATTTATATACAACTAGATTTCTATATAATAGAAATTTCAATGTATTCTATTACATCTAATATATAGATATAAATAACATTTCATCTTTTCGAAAATTAATCTTTTTTGTTTTATTTTTATACCAAAAAATTTTATATGTCTGGTAGAACTTTAATTATTCTTTGTTTAATATTTACTTCTTTGATCCACTCTGGATATTCAAGTAGTTTTATTTTACCATGTAGACCTATTCCTCCAACCGAGCCACCACCTACTTTAATTACTCAAGTTAGACCATCAGTAATTATTCATAAACAATTTATTCAAAATGAAAACAACACATAATTAATAATATTTTTGAAATAGGATATCAAAGTTGTTATGGGATTAGGTGATAGTATAACAGCTGGATTTGGAATTTCATATCATAAAATTGGTGATTTCGTTGGAGAATCAAGTATTTTAAAAAAATTAATGTTAAATGAGATATATTTGTATTTAAAATTAATTCTAATAATTTCTTTAGGAGGTGTATCTTGGTCAATGGGTGGAGATCTTCATGAACCTACTATTCCAAACTTTTTGAGTCAAGTTGGAGCAACAATTAAAGGACAATCACATGGTACTATGCTTCCATTTTTACATTTTCTACCGAAATCTATCAGATCTTTCTCAAGAGATTTCACAATATGTCAGTTAAATGCTGCGGTATCTCAAGCTGAACTTGAAGATGTTCAAGAACAAATTCAATACCTATCTTTTCATATTCCAAGAGTCAGTCCATCCATTGATTTACAAAATGATTGGAAAATAATCAACTATTTCATTGGTGCAAATGATGTAAGTTTAGTTGTTTGAATTTTACAAATTCTTTATCTTTCAAACTAATTAGCTAATTAAATTAATAGCTATGTGATGCATGTGATCAAAACAGAACAGTTGTTACACCTGCTTATTGGGAGAAAAACTATTATGAAACATTGGTTAGCATGAAAAGAAAATTCCCAAGATCTATTGTCAATGTATTTCTATTACCAGATGTTGCTGAAAGTAAATAACTATACTCTAACTTTTATTCTTCTTTTTGTTTGTCAGTACACTCACTAACTTATTTTGATAAAAGTGGGATATGTTGGAATAGGTGAAACGTGTAGAAAACTAAGAGACATAATCGGATTTTGCTCTTGCTCTAGCAGTGACTCTGGAAGACAACTAATGAGTCAACGTAGATTACAATACAATCAGATTATGATTGATGCCGCTGCCAAGGCAAATCAGATACTTGGTTGTGAAACCTTTGCTGTTGTTGTTCAACCAGTTCTATCAGAGAGTAAGATTGAAAGAGAATATATGAGTGATCTTGATTGGTATGTAAATTTACATAAAGAAAATATATCTTTACATTATACAATACAATAACATTAATCATAACTATTGTAAATATAGTTTCCATTTGAATGAGAATGGTTCCAAGTTTGTTGCTATCGGTGCATGGAATAATATGATCTCTAAAGTAGGAGAGAAAGCAAACTCAACCAATAGGAATGTCATCCCACTATGCCCAACAGAGAATACTTATTTAGTATCATAGCTATAAATATTAATAAACTAAATTATTGTATAGATTTTTTTTTGTTTGTTTACAATTGAGAAGTAGAACCTCTTGTTAGTTTATTTTAAAGATTAGAGTGTATAAATTGATTTTATAACTCTCTAAATGGCAGTGCTGGATCAGGTCTTTGTAACCAATTATTTGACTCGTAGACTGCAGATCCATCACCTTCAATAAAATGTAGTGTATAGGCGTGACGTGAGATATTCGATGTGTTTGGTTCACTATAATGTACAACTGCACCATCCAACAGAATGACCGAACCCTTCTTACACTCCAACGCTACGAAATCCTTTTTATCATAGTTGTCGGTATTCTCTTTCGGATCAAAAACCAATGCACCACTTCCATCTTTATCTCTAATAAATCTTCTATTAATTCCATCTAAAAATGATAATAATAATGATGATGATAATGAATTAGTGTTATTGTACTTAAAGTAACCATATGATTTGTTAACGTGTTACTTTTATGTGAACCAGGTAAACCTCTAAGACAACCGTTGGCAACAATAGCATCCTCGAATGCGAACCAAAGACCGATTGTAGTGAGTGGTGAGGTGTGTAAGAAAGTGCTATCTTGGTGAATTCCTACTTCTCCTCCAATCTTTGGGTTCTTAAAGATGTACATCGATTGAACAGAGAGTGGTTTCTTGTAAAAGTCCAATGAGTTTATGAGATCTTTGATTCTCTGATGATAAGAGAACTTTTCAAACACTGGATTCAAATCGTGAAGTGCATGACCAATCTTATTCAAAGCAACACCTTTATCAACGACCAACTTTTTATCTTTGATTGCATCCGGTTCGAAAAAGTAACAAATCTTATCACCACTCTCCAAGAAATATTTATTTGAATTTCGCTATAAACAATATGTACATATAATATAGTTAATAATAATTAGTTATCTAGATATGAATGATATTAAAATTAAATTGAATTGAATTCTCTATTATTTACATCTTGTTCATTTGTTTGAAATGTATTATTTATTTCATCTTCTATATTCATATTAGTCAAGATGTTTGACATTTCATTTCTAATCTCATCGATTTCATTGTCTGGTACGAAATTAGGAACAATGAGATATCCTTGTTCATTAAACTGCTTTACTTGTTCACTAGTTAACTTCATTTCTAAATATTAATTATAAAATAAACAGAACTTTAATTAAAAAATAAAAGAAAAAAAAAAAAAAAAAGTCAGAATAATTTGGTTTTTTTAATAGAGATCTATATTTATCTAAAACGTAATTCTAAATTTATAAACATTCTATTTAAATATGGAAGTAAATTGCATAAAACACAATAAATTAATAGAGTTTATTTGCAATACATGTAATATATTGATGTGTTCAATATGTACATTGGATCATTGTAAACAACAACAAGATCATTCTATAGAATGTGATCATATCACTCAAATTAGACAATCATTAAACAATATTGATATTATATCAGATAACTATAATGTTGATAATAATAATAATGATAATAGTAATAAAGAATCAGAATTCTCAAAAACTATGAAATCTATATGGGAGTCTTTAAAATCATCAGCATCTCGGTATCAATCACTCTCGACAACAGAGAATGAGATAAAGCAATACTTTGAACAGCTACATCAATATCTAATAACTGAAGAACATAAGCTAAAGAAAAAGATCACACTTGAAATAGATTCAATACAAAACCAAATAGATAATAATATAAATCATTTAAAATCTATTGTTAATATTATAAAAATAAATAATACAATAGATAATGATAATAATTGTAGTAATAGTAATAGTAGTAATAGTAGTATTGATAGAGACGTTCCAATTATTGAAGATACAACATCAGAATATTCAACCTCAAAAATAATGAAATCTATTATATCGAGTAAATCATTACCATCATTCATAAATAATAATAATCAAACACTATTCAACGATCATTATGATCCATTCGATATTGATGAACTTATTAAACAATATAATAACGATTCATCATTATTATTATTGAATATAATTCATAAATATAATAAACAGTTCACTAAATACGGTGGCAATAACAACTCTACACCAGCAAAACAACCATCATCCTATGTATTAACAGTAAAACAACCTAACTTTAGTCAGTTGGATTCAATTATTAAAGGATCAATAAATCTTGAGAGAATTGCATCAGCTTCATCTTCATCATCAGTAACAACATCAAATAACAATCCTAAAGTATCATCATATATTTTCACAACACACGAAGCAATGGGAGCAACACTTATCAACGTGTCAAACAATTCAATTGAAGAACTCAAATTAGATTATGACTTTGTTGGTACATATTCATCAATAGTTAAAGTTAATGAATTTATCTATATATTTGGTGGATACAAATGTCGAAACAAATGGATGAAATTATCATTGAAATCGAAAACAATTGAACATATCGGTGATATCGAAGGAATCCAGGGTGATTACTTGATATCAGCTTGTTATGATTTTAAGGATCATATGATCTATTTAGTGAATGGAATGGATTCAAATTATAGAATCGATAGATTCCATATCAATTCGATGAAGTTTGAAAAATTCCATCATGACTACCCAACACCAAATGGAAATGATAAACATGTTTCAATGTCAACCATGTCCTTCAAACGTAAACTATTTTCAATATTATACTCCAAAGATTTGATGATTGAATTCGATGTGAGATATAAAACTTTAACAGAACATCGAATTGGCTTTGTACCAGTGGCTGCATGTAACGACAATTCTGGAAATTTCTACATTGTCAACGAAGCATACCAAATCGTCAGATATAATGTGGACAGCAAACGAACAGTGGTCCTCGGTTCTGTCCCTCCCGATGATAGACCTTTTTTGGTGTATCATCAAGAATCATCATCAATCTATTCATTTAATAATAACAAACATTTCAAATATTCATTGGAATCCAAAGTATGTGAACCATTCCTTCTAAATGATAAATTCGATCGAAGGTGGTATGCATCCCTATCATTTTCATTTTAATAACAAATAAAAAAAGATTTTTTAAAAATAAAAAAAAATAGTGTTTTAATTTAATTTGTTGTCTCAACTTTTAAACTAATTCATAATTAGAATTAGTTGACTTGTTGTTGATTTTTATTGAAAATAGTTGAATTGATATTGATTAGCAACTATATTGCTTTGAAGTGTATAAATATTTAATACTAATCAGATTAGTTATATTATATGTTATTTTTAGTTTCAAAGATATATCTTTGAAGTTCAGGAAATATTCAAAGTCACATTGTATTTAAATATGTGACCTTCCTCATTCAAAAAAAAAATTAGGTTATAAATGAAAAAAATTTTTGTACAAAAAAAAAACATTAATTAAAAATTTTTTAATATATTCTTAATTAATTGTACAATATTGGTTATAGATACATACATAATGATACTATCTATATAGATATTTTAAATAAAAACTAGTAAAAACAAAAACAAACATTTTATTTATATATTTATTTATTTTTTTTTAATTTAAATTTATTAGATATAGATACAGATATTCGAATATGAAAAGAATAAATAATAATAAATATCAGATTCAAAATGATGACGATCAATTTCATGGTGATGTTTTGAATGCCGATGGCGATGATAAAGATAACGATCATCTGTTTTTAGATAAGAGAATAGAGAAGGATAAATACCTACCGTTTACAAAGAGATATTGGAATGCCTTTAGAAGATGGGCATACTTTATGAGACATCTACTGCTACACACATACAATAACAACCGAAGAAACAAGATGAGTTATTGTCTTGGTTTCTCTGCTTGTTTCCTCGTGGTGTTTGTAGTGTCGCTCTGTGTATCGATCATCTCAAACACACCGGTAGTATTCCTCAACCTCTCTGAGGTGTCGAGCGGTGAAATCGACATACAAGTAGAGCCTGCCAGTTGGACGGAAGCACTAACACTCAACTACACAATGATATCGTCGCTGCTGAACGATAACGATGAATCGTATCATACGCCTCGGTTGATTAACAACGTCTATGTGGTGGCGGCCAACGACTGTCCGCGCGGTGACGTCTCTAGCCAGCTGTGGAAGTATCACAACCGGACTGCTGGTGGAACAAAGTGTGAACCTAGCTGTTTCGAGTCGTATTGTAGCGGTGCCAGTTCCGATAAGGGTGAACTCTATGTCATCGATACCGATCGTGAAGAGAGAATGGCGCTTGGGCGTGAGTGGTCGTTGAAGGCACCGAGTGCTGGTTCAGTCTACCTCCAGAGCTATCTTGCCAGCCTGCTAGGTGTAAAAGAGAATGACTATATCTACATCGTAGTGGCTGCAGATGCACTACTAAACACAATCTGGACAAACTCCAACACCTCCAACGAGATTCCATTCCTCTACTTGACTGCCAAGGTAGAGAGTATCTACAGTAGTGGTCATGGAAAATATGGATCATCAATAGACAATGGTATTATAATGGATTATAAGACTTTTATTGAATATATAGTAACACAATTGGATCCACAAATCAATCCAATATCAAAAGAGTAATTAGAATAATAGCTATTAACATTATTATTTAATTACTAACTAATAATATTTTACGATTACAGATTAATTTCATCAAGTGATATTTATGAATTTGCAGAAATAGTATTATTTAATTTACCACCCAATAGAATGGAACCATATATTAATTCGAATCAAGATACCATTCTAAAGTATTTGATTCAATTCTCATCAAAGATTCTTTACAAGATTGGATTTGACCAGTTGAGTGGATCGCTTCCGGTGATGAGTGAACTCTCTGGTAATAAATATGTATCGTTGTTCCTCGGTCTCATTCTGAATGTAATCATTTTCATTCTGCTGTTCCTCTCGATTCTCTTGATCTACTCGCTACTGATGATCGATGTAGAGACACGAACCTTTGAAATGGGTGTCATGCGTATGATTGGAACAACGCGATCCGGTATCATCCAACTGATGCTATGCAAAGCGTTCTCCTATAGTTTACCGTCTTGGGTTCTAGGTCTAGTGATGTCACAGCTTTTCGGGCTGATCGTTTCAGCCGGTTTCAAATCGTTGACTGGCGTGCCCATACCCGCGCGTCTTACACCTTCGGCGATTCTGCTCTCCTCGGGTCTGGGACTGATTATTCCGATGGCTGCGTCGATCTTCCCTATCAAGAGTGCACTCGGTAGAAATCTCCATGATTCTCTCGATGTCAAACATTCAAAGACCATGGCAGTTCAGATCTCCATAGAGCGTTCCGAAGACAGCAGCTTCTCCTCGTCGGTTGCAATCATTGGTTTGCTACTCTCGGCATTTGGATTCGGTATCTACTATATATTCCCATTGTCGTTGCTATCGTTCAACTTGGCACTGCTGTTGAACATGTTCTTTTTGTTACTGATTGCAATGCTACTTGGTCTGATATTGCTGGCGTTGAATCTCGAGCATCTGCTGGAGCGTCTCATTGTATTTGTATTTTTATTCTGGGAGAAAAAAGCTATTCCTTCGCTGGTCATAAAGAATCTGGTTGCACACAAAATGAGAAACAGAAAGACTGCCATTATGTATGCCATCTCACTGGCATTCATTATTTTTGTCAACGTTAGTTACTCCACTCAGCAGGCATCGATGAACTACAAGATTCAACAGAAATTCGGAAGCTACTTGCGACTGGACATATCGTACTCTGACATCGAAGTGAATCAAGATATCATTAATTTCCTCGATAAAAACAGTCTGGTAGATTCCTACTCGTTTGTCTCGTCGGCATTCGTAGATATCAGCGTTGCATACTCGGTCAGTCAGATCTCCAACATCGGACATATCTACAATGATATCAATCACGTGTATGCCGTATCACCAAACTACTTTGACTCGACGATTCCAGGTTTCCTAAAGGTTGCCAGCCTCGCAAGTGATCCCGATTTCCAGATGGACAAAAACACCTACGATGGACTATCTCAACAGATCTACTCTGAGCAATCGGCAGGCAAAATGATCATTGGATCACTGTATGAGACGTATATAGGTGCTTCACTCGATAGCAATTTCCTCGTTAGATTGCCATACGAAGATGTCAACGTTGTCATGAACACCACCTCCTATCTCGTCAAGCCAATGGCAATGTTGGAATCATCGCCTGGCTTCTCATTCTCGAAATTCCCATCGGTGACGAGTCAGGACGCTATCATATCGATTCCAGCCTACATTGAATATGCCGGTATGCGATACCAATCGGTGCGTGAAATCATGATAAGTCGATTCCTCTTGAAGTTCAACACCGGCCAAACCTCAAAGTTGAAATCACAGATCACCGCTTTCTGTAACTCACTGGACACCACTTGCTCCATAAGAGACTACGAACAGGAAGTCGCACCAATGGCAACGGCAAGCACCATCATTCAATACTTTTTTAGCTTCACAACGGTGATTGCCATGCTGATTTCGTTCTTCTCTTTGATGTCATCGATGTTCACCAACATCTTTGAGCAGACCAAAGAGATTGGTATCCTGAGAGCAATCGGTATACCGAAATCATGGATGGTAAGAATCTACATCTACGAATCATTCGTACTCGTTTTCTCGTCATCTATACTCGGGGTAATCATAGGTTCTCTCGTAGGATGGACAATGATTTTACAACGTGTACTATTTACTCAACTCCCAATTCCATTTGTTTTCCCTTGGGTACTACTCATCATTATATTTATTTGTTCAATACTATTCTCATTTATATCAGCATTTGGTCCGATTAGAAAGGTTTTAAATCAACAAGTTGTTAGTATAATGAGAATTGTTACATAATAAAAGAAAAAAAAAAGATTTTTATAATATAAATATTTTTCTGTAGTACCAACTTTATTTTGATAGAACGAACTACTAATCTATTATATAGAACATCATTTAAATGACTCACAAATCAAAAATATGATGTGTCAAAATAATGATCGTTATAGATCTATAATCAATTCTACAATAATTAATAGAATGTTCAAGAAAAAGTTATTTGTTTGAAAAAAAAATGAAATTTCGCTAAAATTTATTTTAGATTTAAAAAAAAAAAGAATAAAACTATAAAATTAAGAAATATTAAAACTATATAAACCTAGCTAGGTTTTGAATAGATTATATATTCAAATAAAATTATTTAATTACAAATAATAAACTAATAATTATATAAATTTCTTAATATTTTTTAAAACAAAATGTCAGCTACATGTTATTCTCCATATTACAACAATAGATTTACCAACAATCATTGTTCTAAATATCAACAATCCAATTATTTACAATCGCTTTTAAATGAATTGTTATCAACTCAAGCAAAAGAGAATGTCCAAGCCACTCAGTCAGCTTCAGCACCAGTCCAATCTCAGTCGACATCTCCAAAGGAATGGACACCAAAGGCAGATTACCAATTGGAAGAGGATCTTGTCACACTTCAACTAGAGTTACCAGGTGTAAAGAAAGAGCATATCACTATTGATATAAAGGAGTCTACTCTTACGATCACTGGTGAAAAGAAAGATACCATTGCGAACGATGAAAAAGTTGAAACTTCATCATCTTCCCCATCATCGTTGGTTGGAGAAGACTCCCCAAGATTAGAAGAAGACAATGAAGAAGTGTTCAACGAAAAGTCAGATTCTCCCACCAATAATCCAGATACATTAAAGAAGAAAAGAGTAATTAATCACACAGAGATTGTTTATGGTAAATTTAAAAGAGTATTCCAACTTCCAAAGGATATCGATTTGCAATCTGCCACTGCCAAACTCCAAGATGGTATTTTGAGATTTACAATCAAAAGAATTCTACCAGAGCCACCAAAGTCAATTAAAATTCAAATCAATTAATCAAGAATTGATAGTATTCTATTGTAAATTGTTGTAAATTTATTAAATAAAGTTAAATTTAAATATAAATTTATTATTTTATCTTTTTGAATTAAACTATTCTTAAATTTTATTATTAGTATGTCAAGTTATAAATGTTTTTTTGTTTTCGAATTATTGGTTCGGTAACCGGTATTATCAAAATCAGCAGATATCGTTCTAATCTCTCTATTATTTACAACTAACAGTTAAACAAAGTTAACAACGATTGTTGCAAGTATTGAAATTTCAAAAAGAAACAACAACAATTCGTTGTTGGGTGGTTTAAAATAATCATTATAATATAATAATAAGTGAAGCAAATTTCTAATATCGATATATTTAATTACATATTAGAAATTGTGTGTGGTGTGTGATTTGAAATTTACAATCAATTTTATTTTGTAATTGACACTGTACAACCCATTTATTGCCAAATATAACTAATGATATGATCAACTTAAAAATTCGATTGATTTTTCTCCAAAAGGTAAAGAGTGAGTTTGGTAGTGCTGAAAAAATTAAAACAAAAAATTTAAATAAAAAAATTTCAAGAGAAATTAAAAATTTTGTTTTAGAGATGACCAGGCATATAAAGAGGTGTATATTTGCAACAAAACTCTTATAATACACAGTAATGGAGAAGATTGCGGTGTAAATAGTGGGTTTTTCAGTAGGGTTTTTGTTTTTTAAAAAAATGAAACCACACAACAATATTGTTGGTGGCAGGTGTGTGTTAATACATTTGGATTGTTTTTATCAAAAATTGTGTTTAGTGGTGTAGAGGATTTTTATTTTGAATGAAATTTCATCTAACAGATTTTCACCCCATTCGCCAAAAATCACACTTCTGATTCGACAATCACAATTGTGTTTGTCTACAATCACCTGTGCAGCCATATAACATAGGGTTACTTTTGGGTGGACATGCTTCATTATCAATTTATACAAACAAAAATCTGGAACAGAGCACAAAACTAAATGAAAATACAAAAAAAAAAAAAAACCGATGAACAATATTTTTTTTTTTAAATCCTCTAGTAATTTTCAATATTTTATTTTATTTTTAATTTATTTATTTTAATTCTCTTCTTTCTTTACCATCCAAATTTTGATGAAACCCACACACACCCCATCATCACCAATTCCTTTTTTCCTTCTTCTTCTTCCACACTGATATCGTCAAACTCATTTTTTTTATTTTCTATTCCATTTCAAACAAATAAACAAACAACACAATACATACAGAGTTAGTTGTCTATTGATTATAACTATCTACCTATCTTATTTATCCACTTTTTATTTTAGATTGAAACAAAACTTAGTTTCCACTCTCCCTATCACTTTAAATTTTTAATTCACAACAATAATAATTAAATTTTAATTAATTATTGTCAATAACAAATAGTCAAGCAACCAAAAGGTAGAATAATAATAGTTATTGTTTATTTTATTTAAATTTCAATTTTACATTTTTTTTTCCCATTTTATAATTTTAGATTTTAAATCTATTTGTATCAATTACTTTATTTTTCATTCACGTACCCAACTACACTACTATATACATATATTATTATATTTATAGTTTTTTGTTTTATAATCTTAGCAGCAGAATTTCATTTTCTCAAAATTTTTATTTTATTTTATTTTTTTCGCGCACCGAAACTTCATTTGCAAACCTATAGATCTTTTCCCAAGCGACAAATAACAAGTAATAGACTTGTCATCTCATTATAGTAAATAGTTTTTTTTTTTTTTTTAGTAATACTACAGCATTAGACTACCAGTATAGTAGTTTTCAAAGTAAGTAAAATTAAATTTAATCATATATAATAATAATAATAATAATAAAAGAAATCAATCAAAATAATAAATCAAATACAACATCAATAATAATAAATCAAAGACTACAATCATATTATATAATTTATAATAACTTTAATAATAAAAAATAAAAGAGTTTTTTAATTCAATGAATATTTTGTAAATAATAATATATTTTTTTCCTATCAAATTTTGTAAGAATGATATTGTTGTTTTTAACGTTTTATTTAACCTCATTATCATATCAATGATTCTTGAGAATGGTTGACCAAATTACTATAAAATAATTAAATTTAAAGTTATTTGTGTTTTTTTTTTTTCAATTCCAAATTCCATTTCAAAATTTATTATGTTAGTGTGATTTTTGTTGCGCTCAATTCCAGCTTGACAATTCATCACACATTTCAAACACATCAATTCAATTTCAATACACTGTTTTCCAAAATTCATCGTTTATTATCATTTTTATTCCAAAAGGTAAAAAAAAATAACGATAATTCACCACCAGCATGATCATCTATGCACATATAAATAACTCTTTTTAATTGTGATGTTTTTTGTAAATAAGTAACTTTAATATTATGCTGTTTGAATAGATTGCAATAACTAAAATTACAATCATCAGCCTGGTTTCCACCGATGACACTGTGACGCAACAGTTTTTGTCGGGCAAACTTTGGGTTGTGTGTGATGGAGATAAAACGGGGTTAGTGTGGGTGTCTGTGGTTTTGTTGCTGCAAATCAAATCAAATCACATCATTAAAGTATCTAAACTTATTCATTTATCTTACCATTTTCTTTTTCATATGTACCCCTTAACAATTAATATCCATCAATATAAATTAAACACACTTAATCTGCATAAATTCCAACATTATAATTATCTTTGTGTTAAATTTGGATTACTTGTAAATAATTTCAAAATTTTTTTTTAATTTTTTTTATATCACATCATCAGTCAAATATAAATTAAATACTTTATTTAAATAAACAAAAATGAATAAATCTAAAGTGGAATTGATTTTCACTAATTATTTATTTCTTGTGTGTGTTGGTTGTTGGTGAGAAGATTAATGTGTGGTGATGTGGGTTGTTTTAAAGTGATAATAGTAATGCTTTGTATACCCTTATTAAGCTATATGTGTTTTGCATTAAACACCAATTCATTATAACCCACCCCATGATCGATCACTGTCTCTGTGCAATAAAAATAACTAAACTAAACTGCTCCCGCCAATATTATGAGTGTTTAAACACACTCATAACACCACCACTGATCATACCCACAATCGATTCAAATACCACCCACCATACACACTTTTTTTTTTTTTTAAAATAATTTAATTTAATTTGCAAGTGTGTGTTAATGTGTGGGCAGTGTCTTTGTGTGTTTGAATTCATCGATGTTTGTTTGTTTATTTGATAATTATCATCATTTATTTGTTCTCATTTAATTCACTCTCATTAAACCACAGCTTGCTTACATAGATACAAAAAACATTCATTCCCACACCCAAAAATAAACATAAAATTATAGCATTATTATTTATATAAAATTTGTTGTTTCACGACTTTCTTTTTCTCTCACTCTCACTCATTTCATTACACATCAACAAACCAACACCAATCCAATATCATCATCATCATCATCAACAACAACAACAACAAACATTGTATAAAATTGTATTGTTGACAACAAAATAATAACAATAATAATAGAATTAAACCATATATATAACTGCACATTTTTCAATATATATATATAAAATAGTGCAACTACTATATACTACTACTAGTAGAGTAGTGGTGGAGTGGTCGTTATTTTTATCAAAAATAATAATCAAAAAAAAATAATAATTATCAACAATAATCAAATTGTACATTAATAATAAACATTAAAAATAATAATAATTTATTCAAACCACTCTCAAAACAAAATTTTCTTCTTTCTTTAGTTTTTTTTTTTTTTTTTTTTTTGTTTCTCTCCAAAACAAAGAGAATTAATTAAAAAAAATTAATAAATAATAATAATAATCTTTTAAAATATTAGTTTAGTTTAATTAATTTTAGTTTTAGTGACAATCATCTAAATCAATAATCATATTTGCTTTATCCATTTAGTTTTTCAAGCAAAAAAAAAAAAAAAAAGAAAAACAAAAACTTCACAGCAAACAAAACCAATTCAATCAATTAATTAAAGTCTAAAAACCACAAAGCATCAATATCGATTGTTTTCTATTTTTGTTTAAAGTTGTCGTCTTCCTGGACCGCAGACCAATCCAAAAAGAAGGGAAGAAGTTTTTTTTTTTCAATTTTTTTTTTTTTTGTTTTTTGTTTCTTTTTTTTTTACTAAAAATTTCTCATCTTTTTGATTTTTTTATTATTCAAATGGGGAGTTGATCAATTGTTGTTAACAAAAGAATCATATTTCCCTTCACCACCTTCACTACCATCATTCCTCTTTTGTAAGAATATCTTGATCCCGTTTCTTTGTCAGTTAAAGTTATTTATATATTATTATTATTATTCTTTAGTTAAGTTTAGTTAGTTAGTTAGTTATTTAAAACAAAAAATAAAAACATTATAACAATTATACACATTAATAGTTTAAGAAATAATTTACCATGCAAATTGTAGTCCAAGATAATAATAATAATAATCAACTCAACAATTATAACATTACCAACATAATATTAAATCAACTACAGCAACAATAATAATTTACAAAATTATTTAATTAACAATCTTTATTTTCTTTCTTTATAAATTTGTAGATAATTATTATTTTATATTTTTGCAAACAACTTTTATATATACATATATTTTTTTTTAAATAGTAAAAGCAACAAATCAAATTAATCATATTATTATAATAGTATAAATGATAAATAGTTGAACAAAATTAAATAGTTTTAGAATAATTAAAGTTTTATAATATTATATATATTTTCAGTATAGTTTTAGTTTAAATCAAAAAAAAAAAAAAATAATGCAAAAGATTCACCCCGCAGTTGGAGTTCCAAACTTTGGAAAACCAATACAATTTGGTTCACTGTTGTTATCCCCTTCGTCGCCATCGTCGATCTCCCACTTGAATAACAATAGTAACACAACATTCATGTACAAACCAACCGGTTCCAGTGGATTCGATTCATTCCCACAGTGGACCTCGAAATCATCAACATCAACATCATCACCTTCACCCTCACTTTCAGCTTACTACTCTATTCCATCGCCATCCTCACCGGCCACCTCACCAATACCAAGCTATGAGATCAGTTCGCCAACACCAAGCACCAACAACAAGAAACAAAAAACAAGCAATAACGATAAATTTTTAAATAATCCATACAACGATTCTGAGGGTAGCAGTATCAAGAACATTTTGAATCCAGTCGACAACTTTAGTTACCAATTCGACGGTCATTTACTGCCTAGCAGATCTAGTTCGTCATCGGCTTCATCGTCTTTGTCGTCCACCCCAGTCACCTCATCATCATCATCGATGATCATCAAAGACGGTACCAACTCTAACCGTTCCATCTTGCTGAGTAACTCTATTGCAGAGTGCTGTTCACCTGTCTCTTCACCATCTTCACCAATCGACCACCAACTTCCAAACAACGCCTCCAACAAACAATTGGTGTTCCAATGGATTCAAGAGTTGGCCAACTTGAAGAAGCGTGAAACATTCCTCTTGGAGAATTTGAAAAACTTTACAAACTCTGACGTCGATTCCGATGATCAAATGGAGATTTTCCAAGCACCAAACAGCAGCAGCAGCAGTAATAAAGAAACTGTTCCACAAATTGAAAAGTAAGTTAAACAAAACAATATTTATAATTAAGATAGTTTTATTAATTTTTTTATTTTTTTTTTATAGTGTTAAACCGGTTGTTCAAAATCAATCGATTCCGATCAATATCTCTCAACAACCACCAGAGTTGGTTGTTTGTCATAGATATATCCACCCATCACCTGTTTTATCGGTTGATACCGATTTGTTGAATAGAGTCAGTGGCCAATTGGTTGTACAAGTCTCACTTGTTTACAATTCAACTTTCAAGCCTGTTACCACCAAACAAGCCGATGGTAAGCAAGAGGTCTTACAAGGTGTCCGTGTTCAAGAGGTCGACAAGAATGGAGTTGTCGTTTTCAACAAACTCAAAGTAAGTGAGGTTTCCTCGAAACACTTGCACCAATCCTTCTGTTTCCTCTTTACTTTGAGTGAGGTCCACAATGCCGAGACCACCTCTGAACAATCTACCGTTCTCACTCAACTCACCTCCTCTTCATTCCACGTCTTGTCCCGTTCAAACAAGCGCAAGAAAGACGATGAAGTCGAGTCGGATTCCCAAGAGCCATCCTCTCCAATCCACTCGAAATCCAGCCCAGTCTGCTCGTCTCCTTCATCACCATCATCGCCATACCACAACCACGTTGTATTCCCAACTGTAAGCTCTGCTGCCACATCTGATGAGAATGTTACTGCAACCACTTCTCCATCGCCAGTCTCTATGAACACTGTTGCTCACAGTCCATCGTCGTCGTCGTCATCGTCATCGTCATCCGATCCAAACTACATTGACATTACCGAGCTTTTGGTATTACCACAAAAGGAAGCCGCCTCACGTTTGGGTATCTCTGAATCGATGCTTTGCAAGAGATTCAAGGAGTGCACTCGTAGAAAATGGCCATACAGATACTTGAGAAAGATCGACAAGGTCATCAAGATACTCACCTTCCAACACGGAAACGACATTCCAAAGGAAGAGAAAGAGAAGCTCGACAAGTTAATGCAAGAGCGTGAAGAGTGTCTCAAACCAGTCAAGATCCGTATCACTGGATGCCTCGAAAAAGACGATGACTCTCAGAGTCCAAGCGGAACCTACAACTTCAAGGTTGTCAGTGCCGGTGCCTCTATCGCATCACACCGTTCCAGTGGTTCATCCAGTCAATTGGTACCACAGACACCAACCAAGTCAAACTCTATCCAGAGTATCATCAACTTTAGCAAGGACGAAGTTGAAGAGTCGACACCACCACACCAACGTGTCTCTAGTATTCTCCCATCATCAAGCCAATTCTCACACAACAATGGAGGTAGTGAGAACGCTCACAATGGACTCGAGAATATCTTGGAGACATTGGAGATGTTGAAACATACTCGTCAATAAGAGAGTGCCACCTCTCTATTGACAATATCAATGTTTATTGTCATCATCTTGTGATTGATGCACAATAGGAGTACTCTGTTTACTGCTATTTACAATATATTGATATTTATGTCTACATCTAAAACATCACCCCTTACAACCAACCAAAACACTCATCAAACTCACCTTCACCAATTCGCCAATGTAATTCCGAATATCGGCGTTACAGATTCCATCCAGGCTTTGCTTAAGATTGAATCCAATGGAAGAACAGGTTAATGGATAATCTATTTGTCTGAATTCTGCCATATAGTTTCAATTGAACTCAAAGTTTCGATTGTACGATATAATATATATCGCACATATCAACCAAAAACAAAAACACTCGCCACACCCCCTATATCTATATCTATATATAATATTATTGTATATATATAACCTCCTCCTATCTATATCCAAACACATATATATATAATATCATTTTTTTATTGTTTTTTAATTATAATAGTTTGCATATTTTTTTTTTTATTCAAAAAAATTTATATCACCAACTAATCCAATCACTATCTATTTATTATCTATTTATCAAAAATAATGTTTTTTAAAAAAAAGAGGTTTTAATTTTTACAAAAAAATTATTATTCTATTCGATCAAAGCACCAATCAATTTTGTCATTCTAGTTTGTACTATTCTTTGCTTGGCTACACATCACATTAATAATCAATCAAACCAAACAACCAACAATACCAAGCACACTTATACTAGCATCATCCCTTCACTCAATTACTCAACCTCTAAAACTCAACCTAATTTCACTTTAAACAACTCTCCATAGCTATGTAATATACATTGCTATTCCATTTGGTAGAACCTCTGTTGATTTTGTTGTAACGAAAACACAACCAGCGGTTTTATTTGGTTAGCCACAGAGTTCCAAGACCTTACCGAATCCGTGCGTCCTATCTTTGGATAATTTCTTTTGTTTTGTGCTGGCAGGATTTCTCTGTAATCATCATCGCAGTCACCGTTCATGCCACAGATGAACACCACTTGGTGACAGTGTGATTTGAAATCCTCCAGTCGAAACCCCGTCGCTCTGAAATTATCTCTTCATTATCGTATTTTCAAGAGTTTCAAAGAAAACTATGAAAACATGATGATGTTCGAACTTGATACAAGTAAAAGATACGACAATCGGTGGAAGTAAATATTGCAACTCATGCTTTCCATTGTGTCCTATTGCCATCCAGAAATGAGTATGGATACCAATAGTATGCATCAAATAACTCACATCAAACTCGTTGAGAGAGATTATTACTTCTAGTAATACCTAATAGAAATGCTTTATTAAATAAAATAATAGAAAAAATTTTCAAAAAAAAAAAATCTTATTTAATTTGAGTTGTAATTGTTTTTTTTTGCAATATTATATGATTTAAAAGACATCAGTCACACTAATCGTTTTGATTGTTGATTCTTGTTTACAAAAATAATGTGTTTCATAACATCCATTTTAAAAGTGGAACTATAACTTCATTTAATTCATACAATGTTATCAACTCTCACAATCGATATTCAACTTTGTGAACATGTAGAAAAAGTTGTCTTGTTTTGGTACATCTTTATTTCAATCGGTTTACTATTCAAATGCAATTAAAAGAGTTTAGAGTGGCTATATAAAAAAAAGAGTGGAGAATGGCACTACTGCTGAAACCACGACACCAACTGAGGATTATTGGTTTTCTTGCTTTGTTGAAAATTTATGGTAATGTATAATCCTCCCACTACTCATTTAATGCTTAGGTATAGTTTCATATTACAAACTATTAGTTCAACATCTCAAACAAGATATCAACATCATCTTTCATATATTGCCAAGGTGATGATGGTAACAATGATTTCAATTTTAGGTTGCATATGGTTTCTTTGAAAAGAGATCTGGATCTTGGATCTAAACCAATCACCACGACCTGCTCGTGCAAGACTCCAAAAATCCTATCTTTAAGCTTATTATATTGTTATTCTGTATTGAAATAAACGGTAGTTTAAATAATAACATTCCTATTGAAGGTATATACTTATTTCCTTATTTCCATCCGTGTTTCCACTTGGAAGTAAGTTTCTGTCCACCACACTTTTATGTTTTTGTCAAAGTTGAGGTTTTTAACTCTAAGACACCGAATATTTGATCAATTACGAGTTAATACTTCTGGTAACTTTGATCTATTTCCAGAGACCTAACTCTCTTTGAATCTTGTCACAACTCGAACTCAAAAGTCTTGTTTTAAGTAATTCTATTCTTCATAAAAATTTTTTTTTTCGCCTTTGAACAAGAAGAGAATTTAAATAATAAGCTATTAACTAGAATCAACCCAACAAAAAAGAGTACAACTGATATCATCTTAAACTCTCTTATTATTTTATTGAAAAATTAATGTTTTTTTAGAAAAGTTTCACATTAATTTCAAGAGTGTTTTTTTTAGAAAACAAAATTTAGTTTATTTTTTATTATTTTGTTATCATTTAAAACATAGAATCTATTTTCAACAATGAAAAGAAGGAATTAGAAAAGGGTGTTACTTTGTCGAGTACTACAACCACAATCTTTTAGTTTCATTGATGCATAAGAAAATAGTTGTTCTAAAGTTGTTCTTTATTATTTATATATTGTTGCTCTATTTGAAGATTGGAGCGTTTTTAATATGTTTACTATTGCTTTCTGTGAATCTCATTATTGAATTGCATCTGTCAATCTTTGAACTATATGATCTTAGTTCTTTATATGGATCCAAGTGATTACATATTTGAAGTACGTCATTTACTTCTCTATGAATTGTAAATTTGGATATTAATCTTGATTGGCTGTTCATTAGATATAATTTTATGATATTAAAATAATAACTTCGAAAACTAGTTAAAAAAATTGTTTTTTTTATTTTTTGATATTATTAAAATATTTATTTCTATAGTGGAAAAAAATAGACTTAGTAGAAAAAAATGATTTTTTTGACCTTTCGATTGCGCATTATCTTGTTTCCAACACAAATAAGGAAATTTAGATCTGCCAATTTTCACAAAAAAATCTGTTGTTTCATCAATCAAGATCAAAAAATGATTTTTTTTTTTGTAAAAAAACAATTTTGCAGTTTACAGATTTTGAATTATTCTATTTAATTTGATTCATCAAACGTTTATCTTTAGTAGTTTAATTTATGACAGAAAATAATAGCAATCATTTATTCGTTAATCTATCTCATGTTCTTTTATCAAAGATACATAATCAATTAACAAACAACTTTGATAGATTAAGATTTAGTTTAACTTGTAAGAAATGGTACAATGATAAAGATCATTACTTTAGTTTCATTGTAGATGACATTCAATCTACAACCGATAGTCATTCATTAAACATATTAAAACAATCAATTGCATTGTCATCCTATAGTAATCTATTAGTTAAATCATTACAATCAAAGAGCAATTGTAAATTAGGTATATCTAATGGTAAAACACACCTTTATACAGATTATAAATATAATTTAAGTAAGTATCTATTAATTATATTAATAATAGTGTATTATTTATTTAACATATTTATTACGATAGTAAGAAATAATATAAAAGATTTAGAGATAGATAAATCAATATATAAAATAGAAATATGGGATTGGAATGATAATAATATATTGGATGAAAGATTCATAGAGAAACTTATCAATTCAAATGTTTGTCAAATAGATATACTTTGCAATGTACTCACATCATTTAAACAACTACCAAGTAATATTAAACAAGTAAAGTGTACATTTGGTTTTCATATGAAACTGTTACCATCGAAACTAGAGAGATTACACTTTATACCAACAGTTTCAAAGTTTAATATTACATCTTCAGACTTTGATATGAAATTATTACCTCAATCATTAAAATTCTTACAGATAGATATGGCAAATTTCATTTTGAATATTGAAACTTTACCACCCAACCTGGAAGAGTTTATTTGTTTTTCAAGAATAAACATTCAACAATGTCAATCTCCTATCATTCCACATTCTCTTTTTTCACTTACATGTACATTCAAATTTTGGAAACATTTGATATCAAACAGTCCTATACCAACAACTATTAAATATATGGATCTAAGTACTCAGTATGATGATTTTCTGCAAGCAAATTGTATTCCAGAGTCAGTGGAAACTCTGAAATTATACTTTGGATTTGGTTGTCACTTGACCAAAGATCAATTTCCAAAAACACTTTTAAATCTTGAAATCATGGTTGAAAATTTCGAAATGATTACATGTGAAATCGATTTATTCAAATATATGAATCGTTTGGAGTCACTAACGATAGAAGGAGCAGAAGATTGTAATTTTGGACAACTTCCAAAGAATATACGTTTCCTCAATCTACAAGGACCAAATGTAAAGTTTGAATTACCTGATGGTTTCATTATAGATAGTTATCTTTTAAAGAATAAAGATTTTCCAAACATATCAAATTCTATACCAAACAATTGTAAGAGTTTAAAATTTAGCAATAATATAAATCAACCATTAAAAATAGGTATGATTCCAAATCAAATTCAATCTATTGACTTTGGATCATACAAGTTAAGCATCGTACCAAGTGTAATTGGTTCGTCAAATCTCAATCATATAAAGATATCATACTCTAATATCTTGTCAAATTTTACAACAAAGACATTCCCGTCGAATATCAATTCAATTCAATTCAGTTATAGAATCATAGTTGTTCATTTCTCTAGGTTGGATGAAAACTATTTTATTTATCAATTTAATTTACGTAGCTATCAAATTGGTTTAATTAATATAAACAAAATTGTATCCTATTTAAAAGATATTGAAAAAAATATATTATAAATCTTAAAATACAGTAAATAAATATCTTTACTTCATATTATTATATTTTATTAATTTATTTTGAATTTACACATGTTGCATTGAAATTACTAATTTGAAGACCTTCATCTGGCGAGAAACAGTCACAATTCAATGGGAAGGTTGATGGTGCGTAGTAACTATTGACAGAGACATTTGGTATATTATTGATACACTCATATTGGTATCCAAGTTTGGTGTCGGTGTATCCATTCTTAAAGAAAGCATAGAAAGCGATTGATCCTCCGCAATTCGGTTGAGAGTAATAGGTTAACTGTATGCCATCCAAATGATTGATAAAGTTTTTCTCTGTATATGTAAAGTAGAATGATGTTGGTGGACCATATGGTAATTGGAAACAAGTATTACCACTAACAGTTGTCTTATTGATTACAGAACCTTGGCAGTCTGGCACCAACAAGTCGTGAGTGTTTATTAAATATATATCCCATGAAATATAGTCGAAACTGTAAGCAACATTGTTATCGATATCTGTAATACATCCGTCAAAAGGTGCAGCATATCCATAATCTAGGTTGTGACCACAACCTGTTGGTAAGAAATTAATATATTGTTTAGTGTTTTTAGCATCTACATTAGTACTACTACAACTGTAAACTGATAATATCACAAATATTGATAGTAATTTAATATTATATTTCATTGTTAAAGTTTATTTATTTATATATATAGATGTATGTGTCTGATTAAATAAAATATATAATAAATTTAAAAAATTTAAAGCAAGTTAAATATTGAAATTAAAAAAGCAGATATTTTAGTTTTTCGTAAAAAAAAAAGATGACATCAGATTTAAAAATCTTTAAACTCGGAATTGGGGGTAAGATTCTTTGTTAGAAATCTTACTTCTATACCATTTGATAAAACGAATGATTCCAATCTATTACTTTTTATTCCATTTAATTTTTTAGAACAATTAAATGTTGTTTATAGTTATATGAATATTGAAAAAAAAAAAAGAATCAGAATGTTATTTATTGAATTAATTTTACTTTAATTTATTATTCTATATCGATAAGATTCCAAATAGAACATTTGTTTGAAGCAAAAGTTAAGAATTTAACCTAGTGTAATCAATTTTTTTTTAGATCATAAATCAATCTTGTGAAGAATATTAAAAGCTTTTCAAATAAACTATCAATAAATTCGATTATTTGTTTAAAAGATGAATGTAAATATACATTAGATTTATTATAATATAAACATTTTAAGCGATTTTATTTTGGATTTACACATGTTCCGTTGAAATTACTAATTTCAAGGCCTTCATCTGGTGTGAAACAATAACCATCCAATGGGAAGGATGCACGGTGCTTGTATTCTTGGAAAAAGACTGTTGGTGTATTATCCATACATTCATATTGATAATTAAAAGTTTTATCGGTGTATCCATTCTCAAAGAAAGCATAGAAAGCGATCGATCCTCCGCAATTCGGTTGAGAGTAATAGGTTAATTCTACACCATCCAAATGATTGACATAGTTATTCTCTGTAAATGTAAAGTAGAATGATGTTGGTGGACCATATGGTAATTTGAAACAACTGTTACCACTTATAGTTGTCTTATTGAGTACAGAACCTTGGCAGTCTGGATCTATCAATTCATGAGTGTAAATTATATATACATTCTCTGAAATATAGTCGAAACTGTAAGCAACATTGTTATCGTAATCTGTAATACATCCATCAAAAGGTGCAGCATATCCATAGCCTAGATTGTGACCACAACCTTTTGGTAAGAAATTTACATATTGTTTAGTGTTTTTAACATTGACACTGGTACTGCCACAACTGTAAACTGATAATATCACAAATAGTGATAATAATTTAATATTATATTTCATTGTTAAAGTTTATTTATATATATGTTGTAAATTATATGAAAAGATAAAAAAGTTGATAAAAAAAAAGAATAGTGATACTATTTTTGGTCAGATGAATGTTTATTTATGTCTTATCAAAAGGATAATTGGTTGAAAAAAAATAGATGACATCAGACATTATAAAATCGTAAAAACTCGGAAATGGGGGTTAGATTTTTTGATGGAAGCATGTTTATTAAATGAATGGTTCCAATCGATTCCTTATACCACTGTTGTTCCTTTAAATTTTTAAGAATAGAAACAATTCATTTTTTTTACCTACTTTCTATTGATTATTCATAATAATTAAAAAAGTTGGAAAGATGTTATTAAAAAAAATCAAAAAATAAGTAATAATATGTATAAAGGCTCGCAGCATTATATCCTAGGTAAACAAATTACTTTTATTCTCGGCATCCATTTGATAATCTAGTAGCTTTTAGAATAGCCGATACATCTCGTGCAAACCAATCTATTCCATTTTTCCTTGGCCGAAACTTTTTTTTAAATCGAAAATCAATCTTGATAATACTTTATTAACTATAGATAAAAATAATATTTTATACTTCTGAGAGATTGTAAATTAATAATTATTATATCTTTTTTTTTTTAGTTTTACCAATGAATAAATCTTACTAAAGTTTAAAAAAAAAAAAAAAGGTTAGACTTTGATCTGTTATTATTAAAAAAAAAATTTGATGAGGTTCATTTCAAAATTATGGATAATTATAATAATATAGATAATAATAACAATGATAATAATAATAATAATATAGTGCAACAACAAACAATATCAACAACAACAGTATCATTAAACAATAGTATTGGGATAATAAATAACTATGCAAATACAGTTGATAATAATCTTTTAAATAACAATGTTAATAATAATAATATCATATCAAATTCTATATTAGATAATAATAATAATGATAATAGTTTAAATAGTAGTAGTAGTTGTGAGAATAATATATTGGATGATATTGAAACGTTACATCTTGAATGTTTAGAGTATATTGAATTGGCATCACCTACCAATATCTATAGTTATAATCATTTGCATTTCGATGCTGATCTCCTCTTGGTTGCATCGAGAAACAGTCTATTCTCAATCTCTGCTCTCGAAGATGAAAAATCGCGTGGTCTACAATGGATAACGAAAGACTTGATTACACCACCACAACTATCTTCATCAATATCACCAAGACTATCATCTTCACCTGGCAACATATCATCACCACCCAATGAATATATACAGCAACATCAACAACAACAACAAACATATCAGCAACAAACATATCAAAATCAGCAACAAACATTTCAACAAAACCAACAAAATAAACAACCGCAACCTTTATATAAACAAATGCAACAACCGCAACCACAGCAGCAACAACAGCAACAACAACAAACACAAGCACAACAACAACAAGGTCAACAACCAGGAATGCCATCTCAACAAATGATGAAGAGTCACCTTCAAAGGTTACCATTGTCACATAAATCTAGAATACCACCATTACCATCAAAGACACCATCTGGTTCACTTCCAATTTCACCTATACAACAACAGCAGCAACAACAACAGCAACAATCACAACAACAACAACAACTACAATATTTACCAACAACATCATCTACAAATAGCCCATATCAATTACAATCTAGTATGCTACCACAACCACCTCTTGGTTCAAGTAAAGATCAAGCAGGTCAAGGAGGAAACCAAGCAGTTGGTAATCAAAACATAAGTACCAGTGGCGGTGTAAACTCATCGATCATTGCTAAACATCCACAACAACCACAGGAAGATACTATTGTATCGATCGATTCACTTAATGAAGGTGGTGATCAGGCAACCATTGCTATAGCTATTGTATCGTCGCAATCTGCAAGTGCCAAAGGTTATCTATCATTCCATACCTACAAGAGTCAATGTCAAAATAAAACAACAACGACAACATCATCATCATCATCAACAACCATCAACACACCTAGAATTCAAACAATTCAACTTGATTTTATACCATTCAACATCACTCATACAACAGTCAACAACTCCTCAACCTCTAAATCTGTATTCCTACTTGCTGGAAGTGATGATCGTGTACATCTATATAAAGTAAGTAATAACAGATGGAAAACAATATCTATCATCGTAAACTAATAGTAATACACTTCAAGTTAAATGAATCAGGTCAATATGTAGAGGGTGATACGAATCAATATTTCCCTGAATTAGTTAATCTACAATCAAATGTAATGAGAATCATTATTAAATATCACTTAAACTATAGAATCATAGTTGCTGGTTGTCAAAATGGATTTCTACAACTATCGGTTACTGATTGTAAGTACTTGCAAGAAAAAAACAACACCTCTATTATTATTATTATTCCTTTGTTTTACTTATGATAACCTTGTTATTTAGTGACTACCAATAAAAAAACAGTGGAATCTTGTTATTTCGATGGACCTGTTCAAGCACTATGTTTGTATATCGATAGAGGACATCTAGAGACATCGAATCAGAACTCTAGTTTGTCAAAAATAAAGTCATTCCAATCGTCGCTACTCAATGATCTACTGTTACAGATGAAGGAGGACAATGGTGGTGATCAGCAGTCTTTGACTGACAAGGATGCACCGTTCAACCATGTACATCTGGCGGTAGGAAGTATCATTGGATACGTCATGGTCTACAGAGACATACTCTCCAACGGTCTATCCGAGTTCCAGCTACTCCAAGACTCTGATACATTCGACGGTGTCACCTGTCTCGATTGTTTCGATATCGATGGTGACGGAGAGAATGAAATACTGGTAGGAACCTACTCAATGGAGTTGCTAGTTTACAAATTGAAACCATCGCCAGTGGTTCATTCTACTATCAATAGTAACAGTAGCTATTATAATAGTTATCATGGATATCATACTTCACCTCCTACAACCACATCGACAACAGCAACAGCCAACACTACTATTCCAACATCACCAAAATCTAATCAATCATCACCAACAACAGCTGCTAATACATTAACATCACCATCATCTTCAACATCAAGTCTACCAAGTCAACAAACATATCACCCAACCTACCAATTGATCTCACATAAACACTTTTCTCATCCAATCCTAGGAATACTAAATTGTAAACTACTCAAAGATGGACTTAATCAAACCATTATTATATCAATGTATGGAATATATATTATGAGAGTATGTAAACTATTATTGTATCAATCAATCATTTAAATTTGATACTAATATCACTATTAATTTAGACACCAATATATAAATATGAAAAAGATGTAAAAGATAAATTAGATTTGATAAGTGAGATTTTAGGTTTACAAAAAGAATTGGCATCAATCAAATAATAAAACTAATAATAGTAGTAGTAGTATTTAAAAATATTATTTCTTTTATAATTTAATTTTTAATGTTTTAGTGTGTGTGTGTTTTATAAGTTATTATTACTGTGATTATTGGATTATTTTATATTTAAAAAAAATTACTATTATTATATTAATATTATTTTGATAATTTATTCATCACCGACAATGATGTGCTCTGAACTCAAGAATTTATATGGTGGGATGATAAGATTTTGGGGAGCTGGACCCTTACGAATACGACCGGCGTTGTCATAGTGAGAACCGTGGCATGGGCAGTACCAACCACCGAAATCACCACCACCAGCAATTGGAATGCAACCCAAATGTGTGCAGACACCGACGAGAACGACCCACTCTGGTACCTTGGCACGCTTGTCGTCAGCCTCTGGGTCTGGGAGTGAGGTGACATCAACCTCCTTTGAGGATTCGATCTCTTCGGACGAACGATGTCTGATGAACAATGGCTTACCACGCCACTTCAAGGTGACGGCGGTCGCCTCTGGAATTGAAGAGAGATCGATCTCAATCGATGACAACGCAAGAATATCTTGACCTGGTGCCATTGTCGAGAGTGCAGAGACAACGGTATTCTTGGCCATCGCTGCAAGACCGGTAGCAGCACCACCAACTACCATATATGTATATCCACGTCCCTCTGGATCAACAGTCGATGGTTCAGTTCTATATTTATCGAAATGTTGACTTGGGAAGGTTGTTGTATTGTTAACCATGAATGATGATTGTGATGCATAGTTTCTAATTGAGTTGCCTATTATAAATTAAAATTATTAGATATTTAAATAATTCGATATTTTATTTTTATTTATCTATTAAAACCATCATCAACTTTTACAACAAATCTAACTAATTATTTCTATGTGTGTGAAAAAAAAAAAATTTAGCTTGTGTGATGATCTCAGTGTGTACTAGTTCATTCGTTTTGTTTTATACAATGAACTGACTGATTGATTGATTAATTGCTTTTTATCATTCATCACTATTGATATTTGAACATTATTGTTGTTGGTTCACTATTTTTTTATTTCTTCTGCCTGTTTTTATAAAGAAATCGAATATCACGAAAATGAGCTGTATAGTGGTAGTCTAGTCTCTTTTTGTTTTATTTCTTTTATTTTATTTTTTTCGTTCTGTTATTGATCTGTGTTCTATATTTATATTATTTATATTGGTAGTATAACTATCCTATCTTGAAATTGAAATAACTAAATTTTTGATTATCATGATCTGCATAATAATATCTGATTTCATCTAATTCTAATTTATTTGATAGGTTGTTTGTTGTTGCTTGTTGTTGTTGTTGTTGTTGCTTGATTATTAAATCTTAAACAATAGTTGATGGTAGTAGTAGATAGTTTTTATAATTAAAGATGAACTTACATCTTGGGGCAACCTTTGTGACGAATCTAGAGAACATTTTGCTATTTCTATTAAAGAATTATATATACAATTTTATGAAAGATAGTTAAATATTGAACTACAGAGAGTTTTTGAACAATAAAATACTATGTTTCGATTTCGAACAAAATTTGATTTGCTTTAATTAAACTGAATATATGTATCTCACAACACTAACTATTATTGTTCACTAAAAATGACAATGTTGAGCATATCAGAGGATTCCTCACACAATAATTTGTTGTTTTTTTGTTAAATTTTTTTTTTTTTTTGTAACTAAAAATTTTTCATTTTTTTTTAATTTTTTTTATTTTTTGCATAACACCATTAAAAAAAAAAAGTAGATCATTGAAAAACATACCGAATGATTTGAAGTCCTTTTGGTAACGTTGCTAATTTTTTCTAAAAAATAGATCTCATTAAATAAATAAAAATATTATTTTTCTGATTTGTCATTTTACTATTATTTTACTGGATTGTAGATTAAATCATTAATCACTTTTTTAAAAAAAATAAAAAATAAATAAAATTAAATAAAATTAGATTAGACTGCAATATCTTTGTTTTATTTTTGTCAGATAATAAGATACATAAAGTAAAAAGTCAAATTCTTATAAAAAAAATAAAAATAGTGTGTTTTGAAAAAAATAAATAAATTAAATTCCTGTAAAATCTAAAATGAGGCATATGAATTAAGGAAAATATAATCAACGATTGTTAGTTAATTATCGAGTTTACATGTATTATATTATTTATTATTTATAAAGAAAGAGATAAAGAAAATGAGTAGTAATAACATCAACAATAATAATAAGAGAATGATCAATAAATTGGGTGAAGATGTTGTTACAAGTATTCGCTCAACACTTTCCATTGTTAGTTATGAGCAAGCTCTGGAGGAGATAGTTTACAATGCTATCGATTCCAATGCCACTGCTATATCGGTCACTATAAATACGACGACATTGGCATTCGATGTCAAAGACAACGGTGCATCGATTGACTTGGCCGACCTAAAGTTGGTGGGTGAGCGTAACTGTACCTCGAAATTCACTACACCCCAAGACTTTGAGCATCTTCATACCTTTGGATTCCGTGGTGAATCTCTAGCTTCTATTGCTGCCATCGCTGCACTTGAATTAATATGTACGCCTGACAACAATAACAACAATAACAACAATAACAACAATAACAATGACGACAAAACAACAACTGACAACAACAATAATGAGAATGAAGATCCAGTAAAATATTTAAAGAGTTTTGCAAAGTTAATTAGATTTGGTCATACTGATTATACAAAAGAATTGGATGTACCTAGAGATTCAGTTGGTACTATCGTAAAGGTTAGAGAGTTATTTAGATTCGTGCCTGTACGTCGACAGAATATCAATCATTCATCGCTGAGGTTGTCAGTCAAGAAGAAACTTGAAAACATAGCATTGTCACATCCAAACATATCATTCACTTTGTTTGATGAAACAAAAGGTCCAATTTTTGAAACACCATCTGTAGGTTCACACAATTATTTTGTTGTTGTTGTTGTTGTTGTTTGTTTTATTATTTTCAAGGTTTAAAGAGGAAACTAACACACAGTCAATCGATCAACAACCAAACACACATTATAAATAGGATCATCAATTCTTATCAATATTCTCAAGTTTCTATGGTCAAGTTAAAGCAAATATAATGGAGTTTATTGACTCAACAGAGTTTTCTCATCAATCTCACGATTACCGTTTGAACGGATATCTTTGTTTACCAACTAAAAAAGGTCACCCAAATCAATCTTTACAATTGATTTGTAAGTTAAAGATTATTTTTATAGAATAGCTTATAATTTAACTAACATTTATATATTCTAATAATACTACAATTAGTTGTAAATAATAGAATAGTTTATAATACTAAATTACATAGAATAGTTAATCAGTTGTATAAATCATTTAGATTGTTCAATGAGACAAAGTTGGCAGAGGAGAATCACACAAAGATAAGAAAGGAGGTCATCGATATACATCCAATGTATTGTTTGTTTTTGGAATGTCCATTCACATCGTACGATAGATCCTATGAACCAACGTCAAAGACATTTCTAGAGTTTAAGAATTGGCAACTACCAACTAACTTATTCAAAGGTGTACTCACCAGATTCCTATCAAAGAACAGATCAGCAGAGACAGCTAGTTCAAAATCATCTTTTTTCAATAAGAAAGTTGATTATCATCATAATAATAGTAGTAACGATAATAGTAATAATAGTAATAATAATGATTTAGCTGGATTTCATAGTCAAGATAGTAATAACAATAACAACAATAATAATAATAATGAAGTTGATAAAGATAACATTGGTAATAGTGGATTTGAATATGATTTAGATGTTAATATGAATGATTCTTTTAATGATGATACAAATACGGTTGTTGATGATGATGATGATGGCGGTGACATAGGGGGAGATGAAATGGAAGAAATACAGCAATCAGAGTCCGAGATGGTCGAGCCAGTTTCACCTTCTTTGCTATCACAGATTACTACCGATGAGATTAAGCCGTTGGAGAGTGACCAATCCAAATTCTTTAAGAATACTATATCAGTAAAGAAAGAGCCAAATTCAAAGCAACAGCATCACCAACAGCAACAACAACAGACATCACCATCATCTTTATCAAATCAAGATGTCATTTTCATTGATATAAGTGATGATGATGACAATGAGATTGAAACAACCATTAAAAATAATAATAATAACAACTATAATAATAATAATCATGATAATAATGATGAATTTGAAGATTCTTCATCTTCTCAACCTCAGTCTCAACAACAACAATCCCAATCATTATCTCAGTCTCAACCACCAACACAATTATTATCATCAGGCCACTTTCATGTTAAAACAGAGAAGCTTGTGGATAATGATGCTTCACAGTATTCACAATATTCACAATCCTCGCAATCTTCACAATCCTTACAATCACAACTATCACAACCATCACAAACATCAGATACACCAGTACTATCTCAGTTGCCAAGCCAGACTTCACAATCATCACCCAAAACCCAGAACTCACAGTACAGTGTACCAAAGATAAAGTATGAAAGTACATGGGATGCGACTGGACTTCCGAAACAACGATACGCAGAGGTACAAGAGACCGAAGATAAAACTGTGGAAACATCTTACGATGAGATTATAGATGTTGAAACATATGATATCAAATCAATTACAAAAGTTGTTACAACTACCACTACAACCAAAGTCGTATCCAAGCCATTAACACTTACACCACCACCTCCTCCACTCGTTAAAGAGGAGAAACAGTATCAACAACAACAACAACAATCTATAACAACACCTCTTAATCGTAGCTACTCTTTTGATTATGATGCTTTTGGATTTGGTGATGATGATGAGAGCAATGACCATCCAATGTCGCCAATTACCAGACCTTTGTTTTCATCTGGCTCAACTATTACATCACCATCCAGTTCATCTGTGTCATCAACGAGTACCTCTCCATCACCACAAAAGAAACAACGATCAAAATACTTCCAGGATTCCAACGATACCAACAAAACACCCACCATCACATCACCATCTAAAATAACCAAACCAACCGTTGTACATTCTCAACACTTTGATATTGTAAAAACACCTGTTACCAACAACACACCAGTCCTATCGAAATTCTTTGTTCATAATAATATTGCAACCACCAATGCAACAACCAGTGCAAGTTCGCAACCAATTCCATCTACAACAAGTTCAGTCTCACCTGTACAACCAACACAACAACACCATGCAACTCCAGATCAACAATTGAAGCAAACTCTAATTGTCCAACATTTATCACCAAGACAACAGCAACAACAACAACAAGATGATGAGGAAAATGAAAATCAAGTTGCTCAAGAGGAGCTAAAACATAAATCATCAAAGAAAATAAGATTCAATGCATTCAATACAGTGTATCCTTTTGCTGAAAGTGATTTGGCAATCAAGGATGAAAATGATCGAGCAGAGACTGGCCATACTCGCAACAGGTTGAATGAAAGTATAGATGTAATCGATTTGGACTGGGAACCAGACGAAGAGATGACTACTTACAAATGTGAACATAGCCATGATAAAGATATCATACTCACACCAATGGAAGAGTATGATGACGAGAGCACAGAGGAAGAGGGTGAACCATATTCAAAAGTAGTCACAACAACTACCACTACCACTGTCACTGCTACTTCAACTACAACCACTCCAACTACTCCAACTACACCTCCACCTGTTATAAACAATCCTATTATCTTAACACCTAATAGTTTACCAGCAAATCTAAGACCATCGATAATCATAGCAAGACAAGATGATTATCCGTCGTCATCTCCTTCCAATTCATCATCATCATCACAATCCTCAAATTCAACTACATCAACATCATCACTTTCATCAAATTCCACTTCTTCGTCCTCATCGAATTTATTAACTCCACAATTCCAGTTGTGTCCTGTTGTTGAATCCGAGGACGGCAGGAGATTAAGTCCTTATTTTGAATCTAATTTCGCTGGATCACAGGTTGATATGGAACAACAAAAGCAGATACGTGAAGCCAAACAGAAACAAAAGATACAAAATGAAGAACTCCAAAGAAAAATGGTGCTACAAAACAAGAGTAGTGACCGTGTAACTCGTGAACACATTGACAATGTCAGATTCATTGCACAACTCGACAAAAAGTACCTGTTATGCGAGTCGAATGGATTGTTCTTTGTGATGGACCAACATGCAGTTTCCGAAAGAATCAATTTAGAGAACTATAGTCGTGCCATTCCCAACTTTGATGTTGTCCCACTGAACGAACGTTGGTCGCTGACTCCCGACGAGATGCATCTCATGTCAGAGTACAAAGCAGAGATTGAAAAGTATGGATTCAAATGGCAAGCAAATAAATCCACCATAACACTAGAGTCTGCGCCAAAAGTTTGCTCTCAAACACTGGGCGTTGGTCAGCTGCACGAGTATCTCTCGATGATTGCTGACCGTGAGATTGGACCGCCACCTTCATTCCACAGAATCCGTCAGACACATGCATGTGCGCGTGCCATTAAGTTTGGACATAACTTGCCGCGTGAGCGATGTGAAAATCTCATGAAAGAGCTTGCCAAGTGTAACGATCCATTCCACTGCGCACACGGTAGACCTGCATCAGTTTCAATGATTAACTTTGGAAAACTATCTAAAAAGCTTGGAGAGCTACAAATGGAACAACTTAAACCGAAATCACTGAAATCAATCATTCAATCAATGCAATCTGCATGATCAAAGTTACAACGCGCGCTACACCACTACACACATTTTTCACAATTCTATCAAAATTGATAGATACAAAGTTTGATAGATATTTCCGATAATGAAATCTATTATTATAAAAAAAAATAATAAAAAAAAATTGGATAATTTTGTAAAAAGATCGTGTGATATTGGTGATGTTGATGATGATGTGGGTTTTAAAAAAAGAGTGGAGTGATGTCACTAACATTTAATATCTTGATAAAGTTTATTTAATAGTCTAAAAGTCTATCAGATTTTATAGTTTTAATCAATTAAATTGTGTTTCTACACTAAAAAATATATTTCAAAAAAAAATCTTTTCAATTTTTTACACAATCAATGGGAAAGTTGACATGTCATCTGATTAAGGTCAAAAATAAACAAGTTTTTTTGATAAAAATGCAACAGCTGCAGCTTGAAAAAGTATTTTTTTTTTTTATGATTCTTATTTTTTTCATAATAAAAATTTAGTTGAAGATCTATAAATATCTAGATACATAATTACATTACCATATCAATTTTTTTTTTAAATATTGTGTTTGGTGGGTGCGAGTAGATATAATTTAAATAAATATTTATCAGATTACTTTGATTTTTTTTTTTTTTTTTCTAATGGTTTCCATGGCTTCTCAGCCAACTAACAAAAAGTAAAATCAGTATACATCATCTTGGCAAATATTAATATTTAATAATAAATGGATAGTCCAGTGGCAGCAAATATATTTGGTATTGTTGGTGTAATACTTTGGAGTGTGCAGCTGCTTCCTCAGATCAGATGGAATTATGTTAGAAAGAGTACAGAGGGTGTTTCTATTGTTTGTTTCACCTCTTGGTATCTAGGTGGTCTAGTTTTGGCACCTTACTTGGTGGCAACAGATAAAGCTCCACCCTTAGTAGTTCAAATAGTAGTGTTCTCTTTATTAGTATTAGTTATCCTATTTCAACATTTCTATTATGATAGGTAAGTAGTTATTAATATTTCTTTTATCACATACTAATTGTTTTTTTCTTAAAGAAAAAAAGATTTAAAAATGTTAATGGCAGTATTGTTTTTTATTATTGGTGCCTCAGTTGGAATTACCTATGGTCTCTATAGGCTGATGAAAGGTTACAAAGAAGAAGAATTTAAGATTTCCGTTGTTATTACAGTGTTGTCTGCTATTTTTATGGCGGGTGGATTCATTCCAGCGGTCTATGAGATCGTGAGAGCACAGTCTGCCGAAGGTCTCAGTAGAATTTTTGTTGCAATGGACTTTTTGGGTGGAAGTTCATCGATTTTGTCTTTGGTTTTCATTGTACCTTTCGACTACCTGGCCTCTGTTAGTTATGCCATCGTGCCATGTTTCGAAGGAACCATCTTCATCATGAGTTTCTACTATGGAACTCAAGTGAAGACTGCCAATATCCAATATGATACCGATCACGTATTCAATAGAAATAGATCTAGATCCGCAAGAACCAGATCTGACATTGAAATAGGTAGTTCGAAAATGGAAAAACTTAAAGAAAAAGAAACTACAACAACAACGACAACAGTTACCTTATCACAACCATAATAATAATATTATTACTAAAATCCCCCAAACTCCCTCCATCTTTTAAATAATTGTAAAACTCGAATCTCGAATAATCAATGCTTAAATTTTATTAATAATATATATTTATAAAATAAAGCAAAGTAATAAAAAAAAATAATTATTTTAAATATTTTAAAAAAAATAATATCGATTCAGAACCCAAAACGTATGATAAAATTCGTTGATTTTTAGAGGTGGTTTTGCATGATCCAAAATTAAAATCATGTGATCATAAATAAATATTTTACCACAAAACTTCATTGAAATTAATTAAAAAAAATATTTCAAAAAACTAAAATAATAAAAAAAAAAAAGAAATAATCTAGTAAAAAAAAAAAAACAGATTTAATTTATCAAATTTTAATTTTAACACACCATTTATTTATTTTAATATAATTATTATTTGTTTAGTTTTATTTTTATTTTTTATCACTATTTATTATAAAGGTATGTAAGATCATCATAATGTACATATTGAAATCAAGTTATTTGATTTTAAATAAAACAAAGACTAGTTGTTTTTTGTTTTTTTTTTTTTGGATTAGAGTTCATGATGATCTAAAATTTGAAGATTGAGCAAAAAAAAAACTAAAATAAATAGATAAAGAATTAAATAAAAAATAAAATAATAGAATATATCATCAACACACACCACCCACAAAAAAAAAAAAAAAGAAATAAAGTGCAAAACAAATAATACTCAAATGGATAAAAAAATAATATTTTGACAGGAGCATCACACTGTAGGAAGAAGAAGAAGAAGAAAAAGGTGGTGGTTTCATTAATAATTCACTCTTAATCAATTAGCATAGTAGATACTATTGCGACTCAACTATAATCAAATTAAATTGTTATAAATAGAATGGGGTGTCAAGTTGATATAAAATTTGTTGTTTTTCATTATTTTTGATTTTTTTTATCATAAATTTCAATTTAATTACTACACAACAAACAAAACAATAACAAAAACAAACAATTAACATTTTCATTTATCAAAATTAAAATAATAATAATAAATAAATAAAATAGTTTAATAATAACATTTTTTTTTTGCTTAGAAACCAATCAAATCATATATCGACTATTATATATTACCATATTTTTTTGTTTAGTTGTTTACCTTTTTTATTTTTATTTTTTTTATTAAAAGAAAAAAACTACATTTTTTGATAAATATATTAACTTATTATTATTTTATAGTTATTAGTTAGTTTGTAGTATAGTTAAAATTCATTTAGATTCGATTCATTAAAAAAGATTTATTTTTCGTGGAGATTAGATTGATTGATCAATATTATTATTATAAAGTTGTTTTTTTATCAATATTGTAAATAGTTCATTAGAATATATATAAGTAAAATAATAGAGTATATATATAGGCAATCATATTAGTTAATTATTAAAAGTGAGAGTTAGAGAGATATGTCAACAAAACCAACAAAGTTCTTGGTTAAATATTCAAGTTATCCACACAACAATGATCCAAATACAACTACGACAGCATGGAAGTTGCTAGAGGAGGCAATAAAGACAATTCATTTGAAGAATGCATCGTCACTGTCATTCGAAGAACTCTATAGAAATGCATACAATATGGTGCTCCACAAGAACGGTGAGATGCTCTACAACAACCTCAAGAATCTCGTCAATGGACATCTCAAGGAGGTTGCCAAACAAGTGGAGATTGCCAACGATGAGGCGTTCCTCAACGAGCTCAACACTTCGTGGTCCGAGCACAAGACATCGATGCTGATGGTACGTGACATCCTCATGTACATGGATCGTACCTATGTCGACCAGGCCAAACTACCAACCGTCTACGACATGGGTCTAAACCTATTCCGTGATAACGTAGTCCATTCACCATACATTAAAGATCGTCTACTCAATACATTATTGGATTTAATTCAAAAAGAGAGAAATGGTGAGATTATAGATAGGTATGTTGTTTTATTTATTACCTTTTAATTACTTTTATTAATCTCTATCTATCTATTTATCTACAATTTATTTATTTCTTTAGAATATTAATAAAGAATATAACACAAATGTTGATTGATCTTGGAGTGAATTCAAAGATTGTCTATGAAGAGGATTTCGAAACACCATTTTTGGCAAAGACAGCATCTTATTATCAAGTAGAGTCACAACAATTTATTTCATCTTGTAGTTGTCCAGATTATATGAAAAAAGTAAGAATGATTAATAATAATAATATATGTTTATTCAGTATTTGAAACAATAGCTCAAATGATCATGTTTATTAACCCACCACACCTTTTATTATTTTTAATTATTTAGGTTGAAATATGTCTTAAGGAAGAATTGGAAAGAGTCTCACATTACCTCGATAGTAGTTCTGAACCAAAGGTTAAGGATGTAACTGAGAAACAATTGATTTCAAATCATATGAAGACATTGATTAATGTAAATATTTTATTATTATTATTTGTTGTTAATAATTATTAATCAATCTATTTTTTTAAATATATTTATAGATGGAAAACTCAGGATTAATATCAATGCTTCAAGAAGATAAGATTGAAGATTTAAAGAGAATGTATAATTTATTTGGTAGAGTTTCTGATGGTTTGAACTATATGAAGGAGGTTATTAGTAACCATATCAGAGAGATTGGTAAAGAGATTGTTATGGATGAAGAAAAGGTAATTATAAAATTATATATATATCCTAAACCTTTATTATAATAGTATAGTATTATTAACTATCTATTCTTCTTTTCAATTTAGACAAAAGAACAAACAACATTCTTCCAAAGTCTGCTTGATCTCAAAGATAAATATGATAGATTACATAAAGAAGCTTTTTATAATGATAAACAATTCCAACATTCATTGTTTAGAGTAAGTTTTAATTTGATATTCTAACTAGATATTAAATCATTAATAATAATAATATTATTATAATTATTAGGCATTTGAATATTTTATAAATTTAAATCCAAAATCACCAGAATATATTTCACTCTTTATCGACGAGAAGCTAAAGAAAGGATTGAAAGGTGTCAGTGAAGAGGAGGTCGATGTATTGTTGGACAAGATTTTAATGTTGTTTAGATTCATTCAAGAGAAGGACGTCTTTGAAAAGTATTACAAACAACATCTTGCCAAACGTTTGTTACTGGGACGTAGTGTATCTGACGATGCCGAGAGAAACATGATTGCAAAGCTAAAGACAGAGTGTGGATATCAATTTACTTCCAAGCTCGAGGGTATGTTCACAGACATGAGATTGTCAGTAGATACAATGGCTGGTTTCAAAAATTATATTCAAACTTTACAAGTATGTACTATTACTACTACTACTATATTCATTTTACAAATATACTAATGATTGATTTTTAGAAACCAATGTCATTTGATCTAAATGTAAATGTTCTTACAACTGGATTCTGGCCAACTCAGAGTGCTTCAAATTGTATTTTACCACGTGAAATCCTTCATTGCTGTGAGGCATTCAAGGCCTACTATCTTTCAAATCATAATGGAAGACTGTTAATTTGGCAAACTAATATGGGTACTGCTGAAATCAAGGCGTCCTTCCCATCAAAGACACATGAACTACAAGTATCGACATATCAAATGGTTATCCTTTTATTGTTTAATGAATCACCAAAATTAACTTTTAAGTATATATCAATCATCATCATATCATCACCACTTTTCTTCTTAATCAACTAACATATAAATTAATTAATAATTACAGAGAAATATCAGAACAAACAGGTATTCCACCAGTTGATCTAAAGAGAAATCTTATGGCACTCACCAGTGCAAAGAATAAGGTGTTGGACAAGGAAACTAAAGATGCCAAAGAGGCACCCAATAAGAATATCGAGGAGAGTGATGTATTTTTCTTCAATACCAAATTTAAGAGTAAACTATTCCGTGTAAAGATTATGTCTGTTGTACAAAAAGAGACTCCAGTAGAGGCTACCGAAACAAGACAAAAGGTCGATGAAGATAGAAAGCATCAGTATGTTATTATATTTTAAATTATCAAAAACTATTGTACTTACTAATCATCAACAAATCAATAGAATCGAAGCTTCAATTGTACGTATCATGAAAGCAAGAAAGACAATGGATCATTCAAATTTGATTTCCGAGGTTATCAAGCAATTGCAATCGCGTTTCGTTCCAAATCCAATCATCGTAAAGAAGAGAATAGAATCTTTGATAGAGAGAGAATATTTAGAGAGATCCAAACAAGATAGAAAACAATACATATATATGGCCTAAAATCACTATCAAATCAAAGACTTTACAACACAATTTAATAATTAAAACAACCAAAACTAAACAAACAATGTAGCTACCTTGTTGATATTATGTTAAAAAAAGAAAAAAAATTAAAAAAAAAAATAATTAAAAAAAATTTAAATAACAATATGTTTATTTTATTTTAACCATTAAAAAAAAAACTGTACAGTCACAATTATTATTATTATTGATCTATTGTAATAAATCAATTGATTGATTTTGTTTCTCTTTGTAGATCTTATCTATTAAATCTAAATAGTATTGTTTAAGAGCTGGTCTATTAAATTTACCTGAACCATTGATCAAATTGTTTTCATTAGTCCAAATTGTATTATCTAAATGAATTACCTTTGGTGTTTCATAAACAATAATCTAGATTGATTCAATTGTTAGAGTAGATTAATAAAAAAACTTTAAAAGAATTCTTTAAACATACCTGTTTTTCTTCAGAAATCAATTGAATTTCACTTTCAATAGCTTCCAAGAGTGATTTATTTTGATTCAAATCCATCTTTAGATTAGTATCAAAGGAAGACAATGCTTTTTCCGATGGTACAATGATTGCTATCAAATATGAGTGGTACGGATCTCCATAAACAAAGATATGACGGATGAATGGGGATTTATAATAATAGTTTTCTATTTTCTCCAAACTTAAAGAATATTAGTTATTTTTATGTGTGAGCTTTTTTTTTGTTAACTTACCAAATAAATAAACCAGTTGATGATTTAAAAGAATTTTTAATTCTATCCAAGATTCTAATTTTTCTTGGTTCATACTCTTCGACAAGATCACCCATATGGAACCAACCATCTTTGAAGGATTTCTCGGTATCTTCTTTGTTTCTATAGTAGCCAACAACATTTTGATCTGATTTAACCACAAGTTCACCAATAGGTATTGGATTCTCTGTTGCCAAACCTTCTTTGATAATCTCTTGAAGTGGAATGATTCGGTATTGAATCTGGTTCAACATTATGTCATTCACTGACACGATCATTGCTTCTGTTGATCCATATATGTTGAATACCTTATCAGCACCCCAACACCTTCTCATCATGCTAATGACCTCTTCTGATATAAGAGCACCACCTGTTGTAAGCGAATCTATTCTATCGCCTAAAAGTTTTCGGAATTCTGGAAACATAATTTGTTCAATCTCTGAGGTTTTGAATTGTGGGTAAAGAGTTCTAAGTGAATTCATGGACTGTTGATATTTTGTATAAAACTCATTCCAAATAGAGGGAGGTGCCCACATAATAGTTGGTCTTAAACATGCAACATCATTAATAAAATAATCTCTTTTTGGTAAAGTATAAATACCTAAATTTAAAAAATTAATATAAAAAATATTGTTTTAATATTTTTTATTACATACCTAATCTTCCACCATTATAAATCATTTTTAAATCTGCTCTTCTCTCTAAATGAGCTAATAATAAAATAAATTAATAAATAAATTAATTTACAAACTTTTGTTGTTTAATATTTACATAGAGATAAAAAGCTTAGTTGAATACATGGATATCCTAATTTATAATCTAATAAAGATGCCAAAAAATCTTTATCTTTGATAATGATTCCTTTTGGTGTACCAGTTGAACCACTACTATAAACTTTTAAATTAAAATAAATAATAATTAGTAAGTGAGTTTATAATAGTTTATAATTTTATTCTTACCTAATGATAAAACTCCATTATTGAGAGGGTTGTGAGGAGCAATTTTACAATCTTTATATTGATTTAAAATCTCTGAAAAAATCTTAAATGTGATGTTATATGGTATTTGTTTTCTCAAATGAGGATCTGGATTATTTCCTACATATATGATCATATTTAATCCATTGTACTTATTGAGAATATCTACTAATTTGACCAAACTACTTTCTGTAACAATCATGACTGAAGGTTGACAATTATTAATAACACCGATAAACTCTCTTGAATCTAAAATTATAAAAAAATTTAATACTATATTTAATCTATTACAAAAGACTTTTCAACTTACTAATAAAATGATTTATTGGTACTATTGTGTATCCATAGAATAAACATCCAAAGTCAATATAAAACCATTCTGGGGTATTATTTAGCATAACACCAATCATTGATTCCTAAATTATTATTAGTATATTATAATTAAAATAAAAAGATAATGAATTCTACATACTCTAGGAACCAATTTTGAAAGAGCAGTTCCAAATATCTCTGATCTATTGTAAACATCTTGATATGATATCCATTCATATTCTCCAAATCCTAAAGGATTATCATTAGACTTTGGAATTATTGATCTTATACCAAGGCATCTTCTTTTTGGAAAACATTTAAAAGCATTTCTTTACCAAAAAAATGATTTAGTATTTTGATCTGCAAAATGATTTTTATTACATACATAAAACATTGATAGGTAGTATCACTTTTATTTGATACAAAATATTCATCATCAGTTCCTATTAATTTTAAAGTTAAAAACAAATAAAAAAATATAACTATTCTAACAAACTACCTACTTGTTTCAAGTGATGAGAAATGAGGAAGTGGTGCAGAGTCTGTATGAACTGAGTTGGATTCAGGAAGTAGAAAACATTGTGGGCAGAGAATTACATTATTACACTCTGAACAAACATGTCTTTCTTCTCCAGACTTTATTAAAATTGAACAAAAACTACAATTTGTATTATCTTTGGTAATAAAAAATTAGTTTATTTGTTTATTAATTGATACATTTAAAATAAAACATTACAATTTATAGTGAATCCTTTATGATTTCTATTGAACATTTCTTTCTATATTGAAAATAGTTATATTTGTAAGTTTTTTTTTTGATACTAAATATTCATTTATTATTTTTTGTTATCGCCTAAAAATAAATATAAAAAATAAAATAAAATCATGTGGATCAATGTTCACATTTAATTTAAAAAAATGTTACCACATTGGGAATAAAAATTCAAAAAAATTGTTTATAGGTCTAACATTTATTTTAATGAGGAATCTTATTTTTTTTTTTTGATACAAAGATAGACATCGAAATTTTGTTTTATTTATTACCTTCACTTCTCACTTCATTAAAAACAACTCATAGTATGTTATGACTTTGTAAAAACAACTCATAGTATGTTATGACTTTGCAAAAACAAAAAAATTTAGAAATTAAAAATTTTTTTTTTTTTTTAATGTTTAAATTATCACTTGGTTGTTGTTTTGCTTTTTATCACCAATTTTTTTTATTGAGAAACTTATGAAATCTTTTCTATGACTGTGTTTGGTGGCATCATCTTTGTCAGGGATACCACTCATAATTGGTTGGATTTCACATGTGATATTCATACCATTAGTTATTATCTCTTCTACCTCCTCCTTAAAATCAACTTCCAATACTAAGTCTTTGAGTTGCCTATTTAGATTGTTGGTGAGGGAATAATCCAAATAATCGAAACCTCTTAAAAATCTCAATATATCTTTTTTTTCATTTTCTCCTATTGTTCTTTGACATATGATTTTTACTGATTTAAAATTGGTGGGGTGTCTTTGAATTGTGATATAGGGGTATTGAGAAAATCTCATCACTAAGATATAATGTGTATTGTTGTCAAACGCATATAAATCTGGATGAATTTTGGTGACAGGTTGATCTTGAATATATTTTTTATATTGATTTTTTAATTTTTCACTATCAGAAGAATCCTCTTCACTATCGTTAACATCATCTTCATGGTCATCATATTTGTCTTTCTTTCTTTTCTTTGCTTTATTAACAAGTTTCAATTCTTCACCCTCTAATTTACTTGCTGTAATAGCTAATATGATCTATTATTAATAAGAAATGTATTTTTCAAAAAATTGGGTTAAAGTTACTTTTTCTGTGATTTTTAATTGTCTTAGGTTTTACACCGTATTTTTTTTTAGCAAGTATATAAAAATCTGCAATAGTCTTTGGATATTTATCTTTTATTGACATTTTTATCTCTATTATTTTGAACTAATTATGTTTCTTCTGTTTATTGAAAAATGAAGTATAAATTAATAAATTTTATATTTGATATTCCACACTATAAATTTAAAAATGCGGGTTAAATTTCATATCCTAAAATTATATTTTTTTGATTTTAAGTGGGGAATTACAAAAATCGAGAAAATATTGATATGGAAACCTCTAGTGGTTAGAAACATACTATTGATAAATAAATTCAAATTATCTATTTGGGGTTAAATTTAAATTAAAATAAAAAATAAATTTATCTTAAAAAAACATTTTAAAAATTATTTATCCTATTTTTTTCATTTAGATGAAACTTACACTGACAAAAGACATCTTTCACTTTTTGGATGTTCTAATGATATAGCACATCAAACACAATCTAAATTTAAGTTTAGAGATTTGTTAATAGCACTTCATTTTATGAAGAAATACCCAACAATTGTTCTTGGATCATCTTTTTGGGGAATGTGTAAACAAACATATGAATCTAAAGTTTGGACAACAATTGATTTATTATCTCTAATTTGCCTCCTATTTTAAGTAAATATTTGTATAACAATGATATAACTTCAAGGTTGTAGGCTGTTTGTATTTATAGTTGAGTTTACAATGGCTGACGTGGTTGTGTGTTGTGGTGTAAGTGTGTGTTGAGATTATTAAATAAATCCTGTCAACAGTTTTTTTTTTTTTTTTTTAAACATTATCCTTGTACTACCAATACTGATAGTCAAGGTGTAGATACTGGAGTAGTGCGTGGTGCGCTCCTTTCAAGTCAGGAAAATTTGGATTTTTCTTTTTTTTTTTTTTTCCAAACCAAAAACTATTTTTAAAACTAACCTTGTTGCAAATTGTATTTTGCTACTTTTATACTTTTTCTAAAACAACAACAATAACATATAACTTATAATTATATATCTATTTATTTTGCAATCAACCACATACCACAACTTTGTCCAATGTCTAAGACTTTTACACTACAAAAAAAAAGATTTGTTGACTCATGATCAATCAACAAATTGCAGGTATTGATATTAACATGCTAGTTCTTGTTTATATTATATATACATTCTCACACAGGCCGTGAGAAATAGCCAAAAAAATATTATTATTTTTATTATTATTATTGTTTAAGGTTATTATTAATTAATAAGTTGAGTGGTATTAGGATTGAATAGATCTAACAGTAGTTGAGTGTTGATGAACAACAGTATAAAGTGGTGGCACGTAGTTGGAAGGATTAGATTCCAATCAGATTTAAATTTACGTGTCATGGCAGCAGTACGAATAGGACCTTCGAATTTGATGCTCATGTGCTTTCCAATTGCGAAGTCTATAGTTACTTGTGGTATATGCTTGATAAGAGAAAGGAACTGCTGTGAAACTACATTTCCTGGATTTGAAGAAGAAATTTCTCATGTGGGTTGCAGAGTTCAGTGAAGGTATCACCACAGAACTCACAGATATAACCAGTGCGCTTGTGGTTGATGGGAAATGTGTGAGAGTACAGCCGGAATATGCTGTTACGTAGCATAGGCGCTTTGACTTTGGATATTTGTAGGAACTGAGATTGGAGAACCAAAGAGTGACCAATCTGGATGGTTAGTTGACCTTCAGTACGGCGGATAGGGGGTACTTGTGGTTGAATAGGATAGAATAGATTTCCTTCAGAGTAAAGAGACTACCATCATCAGCAAGGATGGGATTGCCTGGTGTGACTCTGGAGAAGTGATTGTTTCTAAAATCCATCCAAGATGAATGGAACAGTTTGAAGGATGGTGAAGAAGTTGGATTAGTAAATTTTTTTGGCACAATCAAGCATGGATGACCAAGTTTTTGAAGTAACCAAATGAATTGCTTCTACTCTATCTATTAAAAACCCATATTTTGTAAGCAGCAGAGCGAGGAGATAAATCCCACTGATTCAGACCACCATCATTCCAGTGAAAGCAAGACCTATCCAAAGACATCAAAGCGGTGAACTTTGCTTTGGCATCAGGTGCACTGGTGAAAAACCAAGCAATAAGTCTGTTGACAAGCTTGATTTGATCAGGTGTGGGTGACTCAAGATAGAAGTGATAGAAGAGCAAGGGAAGTACATAATATTTAATGACACTCTAGGGAACGGAAGGTTAGTAGTGGAAATGTTACCCAGCGGAATGATAAGTTATCATTGATAACCGATTTACTAGAGTTAACGTCCGCAGTGGTGGATAGTTTGAACAGGTTAAACCAGTGGATGACTCTGTGCAATTCATCCAGAGTGAAAAGCACCAGTGTCTTCAGCGAGCATGAGCAAACTTTATTCTTTCGAGTGGATGAATATGTCTAGATAATGGTGTATATTTCATTGTGCCACAGCATCTATCCAAAATAGGAATACAATTGGAAAATACATTAATCTAATACAGTAAAATTACTATTTTTTTACCATCTAGTACCAAACTTAAAGATTAGTATTTATCTTTTATATTTTTAATTTATTAAAGTTAAATAATATATTAGGAATAAGTACAAAGTAAGATGTATTCAAATATATAAGTCTTAATTTAAAAAAATAAAAATAAAAAATAAAAAAAAATAAAAAAGAAAAAAAAGTTATAAACTCAAACATGACAATTATTTAGTACGGAATGGTGACAGTTGATGTTTTGAAGAAAAAATAATTTTTAAAAAAAATAATTTATTTAATATATGGTCCATTTGCCTTTTGTCTGTATATAGATAATAACATTTATCTTTAAATGATTTTAAATGTAGAATACTTTAACAATTAAGATAAAGTGAATTGAATAATGATAGTTGATTTCGCTCTGAGAGGGTATTGATATAATCATACCAACTTTGCTAGAGGCTTGGGCGAAAAAAAAAAATTAAAAAACTAAAAAAAATTAAAAATTAAACCGCATGCGAACCCTTCTAGAGTATAAAGTTTGGGGCTCCACCGGGAATCGAACCCAGACCACTATCACCCTAAGATAATATTGTACCATTCAACTATGGAGCCACATTAATGGGATATTTTTAATGAACGGAGGTATATACCACTGACGTATGTATGCTTATCGGCAAAAGGATCTCAACAACACTTAAGTTATTTTTTTTATTAAAATAAAGAATTTTTTTGTTTCAATACTATTTTCTTAGTCGTGGATTACAAACGGAGGATCTAATCACTCTAAAATGTTACGTTTACGTTTATCCGTCTAACAGCCCGCTGTGACTCCCTTAGCCCTCTCTCAGTAGTGGTATCCTGTTGGCCTAACCTAAGGAGTAGAAAATAGAACAGATATCATTCCCCCACCTGGTCTTTAGTTGACGTTCATTTTAAATATCCCTAGTTGAAATAAGACCCGCGGTACAGTTTTTGTGTTATTGAACATCTCAACTTCCACCTTGTATTGTCACTTCTAAAAAATTATGAAATTTAAAACCTAAAATCAAAAAAAAAACAACACATCAAAGGCTCCATAGTTGAAAGTCATCCAAATCAAAATTTAGACTATCCAAATTCGCTATCTTTTATATTTAAATGATTAAATTTATGTCCCATTAAATTGTATTTGATGTTTAAGGATACATGTTTCCAAATAGCTAAAACTCTAAACTTAATCAGTTAGTATCCTTGCGCTCCTAACTAAATGAGTAGAACAAATGTCATTCCTCTTCCTTTTTTTCAAATGATTTTGTGAAGAAAGTTTAAATTTCTATTTTAACCTTTGTTGATTTACACCAAATTTATAAAATAAATGTTTTTTTGTTTTTTGTTTTAGTACTTTAACAAAAAGAAACACCAAGAACCACTTCCAATCTTCAACCAAGAACTAATTTTAATTAGAATGTCGTACTCACTTTACGGGGAAATAAATAAAATTCTTCTCTTCTTGTTTAAAGGGTGAATCAAAGAATTTAAATGACTTTTAAATAAAGAATAAAAGTACTTAAAACTAAACTATTGAGTTCGAGTGGTGAGGATATTTTAGAGATTAGATCACTTTGGAAATAGATCAAAGTTACCAGAAGGTCAGTATTACCTCGTCATTGATCAAATGTTTGGTATCTTTGAGTTAAAAACCACAACTTTGACAAAAACATAAAAGTGGGAGAGAGTAACTGACTTCCAAGTGGAAACACTGATGTAAATAAGGAAACAAGGATATTCCATCTAGAGTTTTCAAAAGAAAAAATATTAATATGGAATAATTAAAAAAAAAAAAAAATACCAAGAAAAAACAATTGAAAAAAGAATATTTAATGTTGTTTGTTTTTTTTTTAAACTACCTTTATATATCCACATATTTACCCAATTATTATAAATAACAACATATGAAATATTCGACTAAAATCTAAAGGTTGTTATTTTAAAGTTTATAAATGTACAATATATCAATTTAAATAGGTGAAAAAAATTAAAAATTGAAAATGGATTGTTTCCATTCTCAAAACAACCACTCTGTCTTTCTGAAGCCTACTGTGGACCAAGGATATACTTATGGATCGTTCAGCAGAATATATTAAATTAATATACAAAACAATTCATATTAATGATACACTTTATAAATTCAAAAAGATATATAAAATGACTACCTGTAGGATTTTGGAATATTGTATGAGCACAACGACCTACAAATTTCTTTTAACATTCAATAAGATTTATACTTTCAATTGACACTTGTATTCATTTGAATCAAATTATTTTATGCAATAAATTCAAAAAATTGAAAAAAAAAAAATTCAAAAAAAAAAGTGTGGTGGGCGGAAACTGACCGACTTCCAAGCGGAAACAAAGGTGGAAGTGAAGAATCAAGAGTATATCTTCAACAGGACTGAACAGTTTATTAATAAAGTACCGTTTATTTCAATACAGAATAACAATATAAAATGACTATCTGTAGGATTTTTGGAATCTTGCACGAGCTCCACGACCACCAAATTTCTTTGGCTCACAACGACGTGGGTCAGCGACCAAGAGAGATCTGTCATAGGCGAGAATTGCCTTCTTAATTTCGTTTTTGGTAGCCTCATCGACGTCTATTTGATATAATTAATGTTTGATTGTTAGTTTCTATAATTTTCTACTTTTTCTTATCTTTTCTATATTCTACCCAAAATAATCACTATTGCATCTGAACTAGTTTCACAATTCTAAATCAAATAGTTCCTTTCCAAATACAATTGTGATAAATTTGATAGAAGCCAATGAATACCTACACTTTTGGTTGTAAGCAACGACAGCCTTGGCCAAAGCTTGACGGATGGCGTAGACTTGAGCGACTGGACCTCCACCACGGACTCTGACACGGATGTCAAGAGTGCTGTATGAACCTTGTGGGGCAACAGCGAGTGGCTCGTAAACCTTCAATCTCAAGGTTGGTGGTTGAACCAATGACAATGGAACACCATTAACTCTGATTGATCCCTTACCTTCAGTGGTATAGGCGACGGCAACAGCGTTTCTCTAGATAATGGATAGTAGATAGAGTTTCTGTATCAATAATCTGTTTTTTTTGTTGTTTTTTATTCCTATCATAGATCCTGTATCCATTCTACACTAACTAAAAAACCTATAATAACAATAGATAGAGATATATACCTTCTTTCCGTGAGTTTGAACACACTTCTTGGTAGTGGTGGTTGTTTCAGCCATGATGAATGATGAAAAGGGAAAAGGGTAGAACAATATCACTGTAACAAACTTAAGCTCAGAGTCGAGAGTCAGCTGAGGTTGGTTCCACTGCACTACTCACACACCGACAACCACAAAATTTTTGAAAAATTAAAAAAAAATAAAAACTTTGTTTTGACAACGAACTTCCTTTGATTTGATTTTTGCTCACGATAAAGTTTTTCGTTTGCCAAAAAAACCAAAGTTATTGTAATAACAAGAAATGACGATTCATCATTTAAATGAAATAATAATTGAAATAAAATAAAATTTTTATTTAATATATCGATAGATTATAGTTTAAAGAATATTGAATATAGCTTTCATCGTAGTAGTTTACCAACAGGTCCAGAAAGGAGTTGACCATGGAAGTCTAGCTAAATCGTTTGTTGCTTGGTTCATTCTAGCGTTGGTTGATGAATTGAAATTTGTATTATTGCTGCTGGTAGCAGCAACAGATTGAGCACTATGAATTGAGAGATTCATAATCGTATCTAAATATCAACAACAGTGTTTGTTCTTTAGTTAAAGAATATTAAAAATCTTGAATTAAAAAAATACATACTTATTAACATTTTTTTTTTAGTATTATTAGTGATTTTAGATAGATAAAGTTTTATATTTGATTATTTTATAATTTCACTAAACAGAGTATTTATAGTTTGAACAATACATATTTGTTGGATGATCATCTATTTGATTAAAGAGTGGTTTAAGATGTCATAGAAATAGATTATTATAATTTATTAATTTTTTATTTTTTCATATATTTCAAGTTGTCCAAATAAATCGTTCGTATGTAGATAAACCTGAAATCGATAAACATCGAAATTATTGTGTGTTGATCTTCACACTTTATCAGTTTGAAATTTCATCAAATCGTGAGTGTTGAAATTTTTTTATATCTATTTTTATTTAAAAAAATATAATATAATATATTCTTTAGATTTTTTTAAAAGTGTTTTATCATTAATAATGGTTCTTTATAAAAGAGTATCAATATATTTATAATTATTCTATTTGTGATTTTAATATTAATATTAATAAATATTAATATTATGATGAAATTGATTTATCTATCGTCTTTCTAGAGGAAAAAATATATTTGCATTAATCCCTCAAAAATTAAAGACAGGGTTATATTATAATATATATAAATAAATTATTGTTTTTTATTTTTATTTTTTTTTTAATTCATGTGAAGCTCACATTGGGAATGTTTAAATATTAATTATAAAAAAATTTTCGCAAATTTCGTGTATTACTATATAGTAATATCAAGGTGTAACAGAGTGATGATATCACATACAGATATTACATTTCAATTAGAGTTTCCTGTTGGTAGGAAATATGTAGCTGCACAGTTTCATCTTAGAAAGGGTGAAGATACATCGGTTGCAGTTGCACAATTCATGCAAGAGTTTGATATTCCTCCGTATCTCTCTGTATCACTGCTAAACACCATCGATACCTTTTTAGATGATCAATATATAAGATATAATGATGATCAAGATAAATTAAATAGTATGCAAAGAAAAAAAGATGATCATATAAATAATAATGCAAAGCAATAAATTTCTTATTATTAATGATTGTTTATTATTTCTATTTCAAAGTTGATAGTTTACAATTGTCAATGTTACAGCAAAAGATAAATACACTGGCTCTACAATATACAGAGAGAACACATTATTGGAATAGTATGTTACCAAATGAAGTAACTGCAGACCAGACTCTTCAAGAAGAGCGTATCAAAATGTTCCTCTATCTCGTCAACAAATCGATTGAAACCAAAGAAAAGATAATCAATCAAGAAGAACTATTTGCAACCTCATTCAACATATTATTAAGTAAAAGAAAAGAAGAATTACAATTTATAAATGAAAGGTAATTACATAATTTGTTAAAATTTATTATATTTTATCAATAATTTAATTATATCTTTAAAAATATATATAGTCATTCAAAAGAGATGCAAGAAGCAGCAAATCATGGACATACTGGTGATATAATAGAACAAATGGTTAGTGACAATGTAAAAAAGATTGAAATTGTGGAAAAGAGATATGAGAATGAAATCAACGATTTAAAGATAAAACAAAAGGCTGACTTTACATCATTCTTGAATGATCTATATTGGTTAGAAACAACAAAAGATGAATTGGATAAAGTAGATGAGGATTTTGGTATACCAAACAGCAATAGCAACAGTAATAATACATCAAGTTTAAATAATAATAATAATAATGCACAATCAACAACAACTACAGGTGTAAATAAAACAAGAAGTAATAGTAGTAGTCGTAGAGATAGTAGTATTGCAGATAAACCAAAGGAACCTGAAAAGGTTGGAATCATTGGATCACTTGGACAAGGTTTAGATAAAGGTGTTCAAAGAGCATCTTCTTTCTTCTCTTTTGATAGATTTAAGAAGAATTTACCTGGTGGAAATCAACAACAACAACAAACAAATCAACAGCAACAACAACAACAAGGTAGTAATACATCACCAATTACATCACCAACCATACAATCATCACAAATAGATATTAATAATCAACAACAACAACAACAACAAAATCAACAATTAAATGATGTTGGATCACCACAACGACATAGTAAATCAATGACACTTGGTGGAGCAATGACTACTACTACCGGTGGATCGGATGTTACAGATATTATGAACAGTAAACCATCTAGAAAAGATTCATTCGGTGCGGCTGTCATGTCGACTTCACCCAAGTCATCGATGATGACACAATCAAATGCATCGAAAAAGTCATACTACAAAGTAACAGAGAGTTTAATGATTGCTGTTGGTGTTCAAAAGAAAAAGTTATTCGAATTCAAACTTATCGATGCCCTACCTCTACACTTGTGTCGTCCAGTGTCAACCGGTGAATACTTAAAGTCCAAGAGAATAGAGTATATCCAAACACTCTATTCCGATTCACTGTCCGCCGTCATTCTATTAGCAGATCCATCACTTTCTTTTAATTCTCAAAGTGAAAAGAGTAATTAATATTATTATTCATTTATTTTTTAAAACTTAAAAGTTAACATTTTATATATCTTAGATTTCATTCAATATTGTAACATGTCAACAGAGTTACATTTCGATTCAATCGATAAACAGATAGAGATGTTTAAAGAGTCAGTCGATACAACAGATCTAAAGAATGGTGATTTCTTTATTACTAAGCATTCCAATCTTTCAGATGTACAAGTTGTTTTCCATTTATTAGCTGATAGTAAAAGTAATTAAACACAATAATATGATAAAGAAAAATAGTATTAAACATATATTTTTTTTTAAAAATTTATAGATCGTACACCATGGGGAGAATCACCATTCCCAACTACATCAGATTTAGCAAGAGGTTTGAGAAATATTATTTTGACAGCTTCAAAATATGGAATTGGTTGTCTAACTATACCAATAGCACTCACAGAAGCAGATGCAGATCTCAACGTATCTGGTGCAGCAATAGCAAATAGAACTACCGCTATTTTAAGGTAAGTAATTCTCTATAAAGATCATGTGATTCCAATATTAATTATAATTTTATAAACATTAGTGTTGTAAGAGCTTCTCTAACAAGCTTACACGAGTATACATCGATAAAAACAATACAGTTTTCACTTCCACCAAGTTTAGATGGAGGTAATACACAGGGTCAAGGTCCAGTTTCCATCAAATGGAGAAATGCAATGAATCCCTTCATTTATGAAATTTTAAATTAACATAAATAATTATCTAAACCAATAATTTTTTTATTACTCTTTATCATTATTATTTGACATATTCAATTTTCTCATGAATTCACTTTGAAGAGTTCGTTCATCTTGAGGTGATAGTGGATTAGTTTGAATAGTTGTTGTTATTATACTTGTAATTGGTGTTGTTGGAGTATCATCTTTGTTATTATTATTATTATTGGTTGGTGATTGAGGAGTCTGTGGAGTTGACTGAGATTTATAGTTTTGTAGAGGTGTAGCTGGTACCTGTTCAACTTGGAATCTATGTATGGAAGAGTATTTTATAAATTCATTCAAGAATCTATAGGCATTATCAGTCTTTCGATTGTTAAAGATTTTTTCATCGGGTTTCAATAGTGATGATGAAATGATCAGAACAATACGTTTCTTGGCTCTAGAGAAACTGACATTCAATCTGTTACGATTGAAAATAAAATCGGAATCCTTGATGTTTGCACTCCAACCATTGTAACAAATGACAATGGTGTCAAATTCCTGTCCTTGCATCTTCTCTGCCGTTGTGACATGTGGCATATGTTGTTCACGACAACCATATTTCTGTTGCTCAGTCACCAACATCTGTTGGATTTCTACTCTCTGAATATTCATTGGAGTGACGACACCCAATGTTTTTGAACTCCAAAGTTGTTCTTCAATCTCATCGCTTGTCTTATTCTCCAATTGTAGACTGTCTCTAGTGAATTTATAGATTTGTCTAACAATCTCTGCCTCCACTGAACGATTTCCAAATTGTTGATGATTCAACAAGATTGTATGACATCCAATATCGTTATTCTTGAAAATCGTTTGAATTAAATCGTTGTTCACATACTGTGGAGAAACCAACAATTTGTTCACAGGTTCTTCCTTTCTTGGAAGAAAACTCTGATAACTTGGTCCATATAAATTAATTGAAAAGAATCTACAAAGGTTATCAGTCATTCTGGAGAAAAAAATAATTATATATTAATATTAAATAATATAAATTTTTTTTTCTCTTAATTACCTAAAATTTTCACATAATGAAATGAATGGTTTTGAAATACCTCTATCTTCTAATTGACCTTTCAAACAAGAGAATATGGATTTGTGGAATTTAGGTTCTTGATGTTCCAGTTTATCACTAACTGAAAGATCTTTTCTAACGATAAAGCTTGCTTTTAATACAGGTCCAAGTTGTTTTGGATCACCAACAACAACAACTCTGCTCTTTTCCAAGTTGACAGCATTCAGTCCCAGGGCTGCAAGTGGTGATGGGAGTTGAGATGCTTCGTCAATGATCAACATGTCCAAGTCTAAACCAAGTGTATTCAATCCCCAACAGGTACTACCAATACACATAAGATTGAATTTATGTTTCTTATCATACTTTACAATGTTGTGGCTTGTCAAGCTTTCAGAGAGTTTGGAAGATTCCTTTTTGACGATTTGGAAATTAAGTGCATTACCAGCAAATGACTCGTACTCTTTCTTTAGTTCAGCAATTCTGACCAAAAGATTATCGATTGCTGTATGAGTATGTGCAGTGATTGCAATGATATACGATTTCTTCTCTGCTCTAATCAATGTTTCCATGATAATCAACACCATCAATGCCAAGAAATGAGTTTTACCAGTTCCAGGTGGTCCAACAACCAATTGTAAACGTCGTTGAACAATGGATTTGACAATTCCCAATTGTGAATCTGTCAAAGATAGTCTGAGATCAACGTTTTGATCACGAATCGATTGGAATGACTGGGTGGTTCTCTCTATTCCTTCAATAAACTTGGTGATATCTGGATCCTGAGATTCAACAAGATTGTTGGTCCATTGCAATGGGTTCTTAAAGAGATTGAGCATTGGTGACTTTTCACCTTGTTGCTCAGCTGCTTCAAAACCTTTATTCATTGGATGGAACTGTGCGAAAAAGTTGATATCGAATCGTTGTGATAAGATATATTCTTTTCCAGGTTGAAAAGTAGAGTCCTTTGACTCCAAAACTATACTGACCAAACATTGATAGTCAGATTCTACATTGGATTTGAAATTCATAGTTATATTGTCTGCTGTAAATGTTCCATCTGGTAGTTTCTTTGTACTATAAAACATATCATTAAAAGATTCCAGCTTTTGCAATCCATCATCCGAATTCTCAACCAACATCATCTTTGTAAATTTATCACAAAACAATCTCATGAATCCAGAGAAATGTGATAAATATATAACTGATTCAAATACATGTAAATCACTAAAAATAGATTAATAGTTAGTAATATAATTAATAATTAAACTATTTAATTATACATACCCAGATCCAATATATTTTACAATTAAATATTTTCCATCTAAAACATTGGTGAGTACCGATCTTGATCTCGATGATTGAATTTCTTTGCAACCAGCTAAAAGATCATGATGATGACAATATTTTAATTTGTTTAAAAGTGGATTCTTATATTCATAGATATCCCTAATTTTAAACTGATAAAATGCGATCGATTAGTAGTTTATAAATTATATTGATTGTCGTTGTTCTTTCCAACTTACATTAAATGATACTTTTGGAGTTTTGAAAATATGTGATAATAAAGTATCTTTGATTGTTTTTGTATAGAGTAAACGATTCTTTAGCTCTTCAGCAATCTTGTCTTTATGGTTTGGTGCAATAATGGTTACGTAGATGTGATCATTATCCAGACAAGTGGGGATCGAAGGAAGTAAAAGTAATCGTTTGGCAACGGCACCAAGCGATAGAATTGGGAATATTCCAGTTGCAATTGATTTCGACACCTGTTCTTGGATGATAATAAGAGGATTGACTGATGGCAAAAGATTTCCTGGGATTTCTACGGGGAATACACCACCCAAATTGAAATTGATCCATTCCGAGCTGTGTAAAAGTGTCAACAATATTGTTAGAGTATCTTTGTTGGTTGGATCGGATTTCAATTGACCGGCAAGTAGACCAAAGAGATAAGATCGCTCATAGTAATCATAGATGAAACACTGTAGAGATTCTTTTGACTTGTTATACTTGTTGAAAAGAGAGGCCAAATCCTTAACAAATGAACTCGAATCGAATCCAGAGTATACAGTTTCTTTGGTTGCACCACTATCATTGTTTTCTTCCAATGTGTTATTGATATGAAGAACAGAATAACCAAACAACTCTTGTGTAATTGGATTCTGTTGTAAACAAAGATAAACTTCATGATCTTGTTTAGAATTTAACGATAGATCCTTGTAGCTTGTCAAAATTAAACTGTTATCGTTGCTGTTTGATTTGATGATTGATCTAATGTATGGTAAAAGTGATACTAATTCTATTCTTGTTTGATTATCATCGATTCTGTCACTATTCAAAGCAATGGAATAGAGTAAATCCAAATCAGTTACAGCTGATTGACCATCTTGTTGTTGTCGACGCTCATTTTCCATCAACAATTGTACTTTGGGACTGAGAGGTTTTGGCAAGAGATTCTGTGATTTTTCTTTGATTGCTTGAGATTTGCAGTGATCGAGATATTCACAACCATCACATCTCTCGGTAAGTCGCCAGTCTGCGTCGTATTTCGGGGTGGAGAGAATGGCTAAAAGTTGAGATTGTCGTTGCTTGTCGCCATAGAGGAATGTCTCGAGAATCTTAACGGTCGGTAGCAATTGAAAGTCAACAGGCTCATAGATTCCCTTGAGATAGATCGCTGCCACATCATCCAGCTTCAAATCATCGATCTTCTCCAATTGAATCAGTTCGCCGAGAAGGAGATAGTAAAATGCCAATTGTATCTTTTGTGAAAATACAACGGAACCAGTAGATTTGGCATCGAGAATCTTTAGTGACCGATGGATAGGCTGTCCTTCGCTGTTCTTGATTGTTGTTATCTGTAAAAAGTCTGGTATAGAGATCGAGAATGATACAGACGATGGCAAGAGAGCTCGACGAATGGAAGCGGGTGGTTCTAGTGTTGATTGGAAAATGACACAATCCGAAGCGGTCTTTAGAAGTTCCATGGTTTTTGAGTAAGGGATGGCCGATGCATTTTCGGCTGGTATGTGTACAGTACCCTTTAGAGTGGCGGCAACCTTTTCCTCCCATGCAAATCCACCGTCAATCATTGCTTGTTTGAATAGGAGTCAACTTGCTATTCTTGTGACTGCTGCTGCTAACCGTACTACTAGTATTCGAAGAACTCTTCTCCCTCGTAGAGAATGCAAGATATCTATCACAATTGAAATGAAAGTATCTACCTACACCCGATGGCTTTATACGAGCAGGTTCCATATCTTGATATTCAATTTCAATTGATCCCGATTGTTTCTCATCACCAACATCCATCTTTCTAAAGCTATACTTTAAATTGTTTGATGTGTTTTGTTGTTGGTGTTGCTGGTGTTGATTGGTTGAAGACATAATTGCAAACGATGACAATGATCTTTGTGGTGGTAACACTGAAGAAGGAACGAAAGAGCTATCACTATATCCATTAGAGTCAACATTTTGTTTAAATGGAGAAAATGAAGAAGAAGATGGTGGTGTATTCTTGTTATTGTTGTTTGATTTAGATGATTGTGGTGGTGTATTCATATTCATGTTGGCAAATTGATTTGTTAGATTGGAAGTAGCACCGCTTGCAGTATCTAGTAATACATAATCAGATATTCTCTTATTATTGATATACATTATGTTGTTTCCTTCGATGGTTGATGCAGATGCAGATGGTGATGTTGGAGTTGTTGTCTCTGTTGTTGTTGTTGTTGTAGGTTGTATGAATGCAATGTATTTCTTTATAAAAGTGGTTGATCTGTCTTCGACAATGTCATTGCCTTCTACGGTTGCAAAGAAACAAGCTTTTCCATTTCTTAATACGATCTTACACTGATAGTTTTGTTTATTGTAAACAAAGTAACATTGATCATCCACCGTAATCAAACCGTCTTCTAACAATGACTTTAATGTTTTTATTCTCTTATTTGATGAATTAACACTCTGTGGTGAGTTATTATTACTATTCATCTTTGAGGTAATGAAAATAAATAAAATAAAAAAAAGATTTTAAATTTAATAAATCTTAAAAAAATATGAAAAGTTTAAACTCTTGTTTTTTAAAGATATTTTTTTTATTACTTGGAATTTTTAATTTTTATTTTAAAAACTTACTTAATCCTAATACAATCCCAACAAACAATTTGATTTGAATTATAATGATTTAACTAGTATATCTATCAAAATGATTGATGATCTATAATTATTTTATGATTGATCATCGACAGGTCCTTTAATTGAATCAACATTAAATCTAAAATAGTGTTCTCTTTCATTATACCATCTTTTACAAGTTAAACTAAACCTAATTCTATCTTCATTCTCTTCCAATTCATTCAATATCTTTGATAACAATAGATGTGATAGTTTAACAAACATATGTTTGGATAAAAATGAAATAAATATAATTAAAAAATTTTTTTTTTTTTCACAATATTGATAAAATTGAAGAGAGATTCGTTATTTGATTTATATATTGTTTGAAAATTAATTTTTATTTAATAATTTGTATTATTGACATGTTAGTTAATGTTTAGATAGCTTGCAATATTATTATAATGAATTAAACCAATTTGATAAGGTTTGTTTGTTTTTTTATCAGAATAAAGTAATGATCATCCAATCTTGAAAATTGAATATGTGTTATAGTGTCATCAAAATAAATGGTTCTGATGGTGGTTGGTAATGATGAGGGTAGTGTGATCGTCGGTCGAATTGTGATCGTTGTAATATTTGGAGGAATTGAATCTGCTTGTAATTTAACTTGACAATACTCTTCAAATTCAATGGTTTCAATATAGTTTGGAATCATTCCAGGTAAAAGAAGAATACGGATGCGACTATTAAATGATAGATGTTTACAATGTTTCGGAACAATCTGGTCAAGTTTATCTAATTTATGAACATTGGATATGAAAAACCGATCGTTATCTGGATAGCTGAAACCGTCTGCTCTTGGTGGTTCTAGTATTTTCAAACTGGGTGGCAATAGACCAAACTTTAAGCGACGAAAATATCCTTTGAATTTCAGTGATTCTAAACGATTGAACTGGCTAAACAAATCTTTTTCAAATGTAAGGTCTACATCTTCGTCATCATCAAATTCGAGTATGAGATGTTTGATTGAAATTGGAATGAGAGATTTTGTTAAATGAACATCGGATTCAATGTACAGTCGGATATACTCAATCGATCTAAGTTCATCTACATCTGAATAATTCAATAGTAGATTCTTCCAAAAACCAAAGGAAACCTCCAAAGTATGTAGAGTCGATGGTATCAATGGAATATCTAGATGTGTATAGGCATTATCGTAGAATACGAACATTTCAAGTTTTGGTGGGAGTGGTTTGATTACTATAGGTGGTATCGTTCGAGATAGCTCAAAGTACTTTAAAGTTTTGGGTAGTGCTGTTATATAGAAATGGTGTTCCTTTGAATGATGTGAAGAAACTTCTAAGGTCTCTAGTTCAGTAGGCAAATGATTCATGTCGAAGCTGTGGTTGCAATGAATATGTTTGATATTGTTTGGTAGTCTTTTAAATGTTGTGACAACATTACTATTCAATACTAGGTTGTTAACATTGGAATGAGCTAACTTCTCAATGAATGGTTCATCCATTGCAATAATGTTATCATCAAACCACCAAAACTCTATTTTATTAACAGATTTATGAATGATAATATCTTCTATCTTATTTAAAGCTGATAAAAATAGTGTTAAAGATTATTATTATTAATTAGATATATAACAATATATTTATTTATACAATACCTATGTCAAAAAAGTAGTCAAAGATTGTGTGATGATTTCTTTTATTTATTCCCAACAAACAATTTGATTTGAATGATAATGATCGAACTAGTATATCACTGTATGATTTCAAAATGATTGATGATCTATAATTACTTAATGATTGATCATCGACAGGTCCTTTAATTGAATCAACATTAAATCTAAAATAGTGTTCTCTTTCATTATACCATCTTTTACAAGTTAAACTAAACCTAATTCTATCCTCAATATCTTCAAACTTATTGAATATCTCTGATAACAATAGATGTGATAGATTAACAAATATATGTTTTTGATTATCCATTTGACTAAAAACATTGAACTGTGAAATTAATAAGATAATAGGTTCATAAAAAAAGAAGAAGAAGTTTTAGAAGTTCATTATCAAATAAATCAAAGATTTCTTTTTTTTTTTTTTTTTTTAAAAAAAAGATTTTCTTAAGAATGTTTATTTTTTAACTTTTTTATATTTGTTTTTACTTTTTAAAAATCTTGATTTAATAAATAATAAATAAATAGATAGGTTTAGATTTCATCAACTAAAAAAGGTTGCATTCTAACTAGTAAACTTGGAGATAAATTATTCTTTCTTGTTAACTTTGGTGAAAGTGGGGGTGTGATGTCATTTGATGAAGCACCAGATACTTTGGTTTGATTAGCTCTAAAGAGATTGGCAGATCCCCCAGAATTCTTTCTGGATCTTGGTGGTGATGAAATTAAACTTGGTGAACTTGGTGATGATCTGCAAGTCAATATCGATGAGCTCGAAGATACCAAGTTGATTTCAGAGAAAGAGCTGGATCCCGATATGGTATTTACTCTTCTGACCTCTGGCAATGGACACCAGTATTGACCGTAGGGTTGAACTTCACCGACACCCATTGTGTTTCCAGTGTTCATTGTGTAGAATGTTTTCATAATCTCCACATCGATTACTTTTAATTGGTATTCCTTGGCATTGGCAACAGATCTACAGAAGAGGTGATCGAACAAAACCTTTCTTAATTGTTTTTGTGTAAAGAAACTGTGTGGAGAGACTGAGAAATATAAATCCTCATTTCCCTTATCACAGAGTAAGATTGGACGACCATCAGTAGAAAATCTATCGAATCCAAAGTAAAATGAAACTTCTTCAACTTCTACTCCATAATATTCTTTAATCAATTCTGATTTTGTTGGTTCTATAGATAGAAAAATTCGTAAGTTATGAATTCTATAAAAGATATCTATCTATTTAATATTTACCTCTATTATTCTTTTTGAAGAAATTAATTGATTTATCAATAATCAATGTCGATGGATCTTGGATGTTGGTACCAAAGAGAACAACTTTCTTGGTATTGTTCTTGGTAATTTCCATGATTCTTTCGAATACTTCAATGAGTTTGGTATCGTTTTCTCTCATTAACAACTCTCTGAATTCACCATAGAAAATAATACGGATACCAGCTTTCATGTAGGCTTGCAATAAAAGTGGTTCAAGTAGGAGCGATTTTAAACCTTGGAGATATCCAATAAACTTTGGAACATACTCTGGTCCTCTCATTTCAAGAGTGTAGAACCACATTGGGTAGATAACAGTGGAAATTCCATGTTCAAAAATCATGAGTAAGTGGTCCAATAGTTTTCTAATGGCATTTTGACTGTAGAGCTTGTAGTCGATAACAATCTCTTGGGAATGGCTGTCTTGGTAGTCAGGCAACGATTTAATACCCTGATCCATCAGATAAGATCTTCTGGTACCATCGAAAGCATAAACCATTGTTTTGTTTCCAGATTCGGAAACCAATTTACTGATTTCAATATTTGATAAATTTAAGAATTCTTCCATTTCTAATTAATTAATAGATTGTAAATTATTTATTATATTAGTTTATTTATTAGATTTGTTTATTTGTTTGTTTTGTAATTTGATTTTTGAATGAAATTGATGAAATTGAATCAATATTTATAGGTTTGTAAAAAAAGATATTATAAAAAATCACTACAATCATAAATTGGTTTTGCCTTGAATATTTCTTAGGAACCAAATAATCTTTTGCCCCTGTAACATAATAAAGCAACAAGATTTACAAAGTTACAATCTTTTTTACAATGGCGATTTCATATAATAGATGATATAAATCATTATGTATTTATTCTGTAATGTGGTGATTAACTTTGAGATGCATCTGCCTCAATGATTTATTCTCTTATTTCCAAAAATATTATATTTAAAATAGAGCAAAGTGTTTAACCAAAGATGGTAAAAATCATAGTTTATCATTCATATGTTAATGATATTATTGATCCTAGTCAAGTTGTACAAACAACAAAAAGTTGGGTGAGGCAATACTATGAAACAAAACTGCTCTGTGAAGTGTGATTGTGGTATGGTGGACAGAGAGTGGGAGTGGGTGGGGGTAAGTTAATTTATTTTATTTTTTTGTCTTGTGTTTTTTATTTTTGTTGTTGAGAAGTTCACCAATGGTGTCTATATGAGATTTAAAAGGATGATATCATACTGTACATCAGAAGAAAAGGATATCCAAGATGGTGAGGGTAGTGGGACTACTTACGTCTATTTTTGTAAAAAAAATTCTTTTCCAAAACTTTAATTTAGAATTGCTAAAAAAAATATATTTTAAAAAGGAAACAATTATATTATTCATTAACTGGAGAGAAGATCGGGGAATAAAAACAATTTTAAAAAAGTTTGATCTTTCCAAATAATATTGATTTATCGTATTTTTACTAGATATATATAGTAGTAAGGACAAATAGAATTTTTTTTTTTATTCTTTTTATTTTATTTTTGTTTTTTTTTTTTTTTTTAAATTGATTTAATACAATTGGTGGTGATAATGGGCTAACCCTCCTCATAAGAACACACACTCAACTAAAAACTTGCCGTTTGAAAAAAAAAAATGATCAAACAAGAGGAACTTTGTACCGGTTTCTCTTTGAACCTCTCTTGTTTTTGTTGATTTTGTTTTTAGATTGGTGTTAATTTATATTAATAAAAGATTTAACAAAACGATATAGCATGATTATTCAATTGAGGTGGAGGCAAATTAGTTTATAAACAACAGGATGAATGTGCATGTGTTTGAATTTTGATTTTATTGATTTTTGAAAAGTCGAACAACAGAAAAAAAACAAAAGATATATTTAGAAATAAAAAAAATAGATTGAATCATGAAATTAAAAAGAATGTAAAATGGTGGTATTGAGAAAGGAGGGAAACCATTGCCACTTTACGATGTGTATTTCTATCTAATGAGAACACACCAAAACAAAGAAAGAACCACTTAACACTCTTACTTGTTGAATATTCCATTGAGAACTATCTCTTAGATTTTATCTCTCCAAAAAATAAACAACCAACAACAATCACCTCTATCCATCCAAAATCCAACAAACCTCTGAAACAACATCATCATCATCAACATCACAAACACTGATATGATTCTATTTTAATAAAATAAAAAGAGAGGATTTGCGAAAGATAATAAACATTACATTGCAAGAAAACTATATTATTGGTAGAGAAGAAAGAATGTTTGAACAACAAATCATCTGCTTCTACTGAACAAACACTTGTAGTGTATCTCCAAAGATGGAAAGATAATAAGCACGGTTAAAATAATGTGGTCGATATTGTTGATAAACAACACATCATCTATTATTATTTTTTTTCCTAGAGGATAATTCAATACAATTACATTCTTTTTCATCTCAACCATTACAATATTGTTATCTCATACCAAATGATCACTCTCCACAATTGAAACAACATTGAAAATAAAAACAAAAACAAATCTCCAATCATGTTAGACAGGTATAAATAACAACAAAGAGTAAATTCATTTAATCACATCACTAAATTTCATCTCACTGATTAACACACATTTTTTCCCACTTTTGCACATGCACATTCAAACACATTCCCACACCCCCACACACTACAAACACACACAACCACAACTTATGATCTACACATTAACAAAAATCGTAAAAGTGGTTACCAACAACACATATTTCACAGTTACTTATATGTTAGTTGGCTTGTCAAACTCAAATCATTATTATTCTACCATCACTCTATCTCCTATCACAGCACTATGATAGTCATCTCAAAATTGAAGTAAACTTGTCGTTTTTCAAAAGGCACTCATGCTTGGTAAAAGAAATGTGCACTACACAATTAAATATTCATTTTCAAATCTTATCACTACATAAAGTAACATGCAAGATACAAAAATAATAAAACAAAACATTTTAAGTTTGAACAAATATACTATTTGTTTATTCATCTTCTAAATAAAAAAACAAACCAAACAAACATTTTTTTGTGTATGATGTCATCGCCTTAATTTTAAAATGATTTATCAAGTTGTGCGCACTGATCATCATAATATTAACATTTTATATTTCATATTTGAAAAAAAAAAGTAACCCTCTATTCTTTAAACACATATTACAATTATTCTTGAATGAATCACCTCTTATTAAATATAATTAAAATAGTACTAAAATGAATAATTTGAATTAAAAACCAAATGGAGAACTAATTAACTAGAAATAAATGTTAACATAATAACTACCTACCTACTAATTTATTTTAATGAAGCAGAATATTTACTTTTTAGAATATTCATTACCTATATTATACACGTTTAATTTATAAATAAATATTAACAATTTACAATTATTTGTTAACAAGTAAGAATATTGAAATGAAAACAATAAATAGATTGTCTTAATAAATATTAATGTATATTTTACTCTAAAATCTCGATAACAATTATTATAATTCTTAAACTACTTTTAATAACAATATAAAAAACCAATCAAATTAAAGTGATAATAAGATTGTCCACAAAACATTTTTTTTATTCCTAGTGAATTCACACCCCTATTACTTTATTAGTACAAACTACTTTGTGGAGTGTTTTTGATGCGACATGTGTTTGTTCGAAATTGATTGGTAATGTGGAATAATAAGTAGATCGCGATCGATTCAAAATCGTTCAAAGTTATATTGTTAACGCCAACATCAAATCACAAGCTCATTGTGATCTACAAAAAACAATAAAAATTGATTATTGCTGCTTGTTGTTGAAATACAAAAAAAGATAATTGATTATTTTATTTAAATAAATAATATATTTATTAACATATTATTAATTCTTATAATTCTTATTATTATTATTATTATTATTATTACTATTATTATTATTTAAGATGTTGTTATTTGAATCATTATAATGATAATATCCAATAAGTTAATGAAAGTGATTTGATTGATTTAGGTTGGTTTGTCTTTTGTGTGATGTTTGTTTTGCTATATTTACTGAAAAAATGATCTATATTACTGGTGAAGTTGTGCTTCTATATTCTATGGTTGATCGATCAATTATTTATTTTAATTGTCACCATGCTTTGCTTTGTAGATGGCTTGTCTGTCACCCATACGAACTCTCCATTCCTTTTCATTTGGGATCTTATCGGGATCACCTCCATACTCTAAATATAAATTATCAAATGGTAAATCTCTTTCAACCTAATAATATGATAGATAACATGATTAGTATGAATCTATCTACGCTTGATCAAGTAATATGCCTTCTCTAATGATACATACGACTTCCTTCTTTAATGGACTGATGAAGAGATAACAACCAAGACCAACTACAGCAAGTGCACCAAACATTCCAAAGAAATAGTTGACTGCAGCCTGTGGATTACGATTCAAATATGGATCATCATCTGGTGCCATCATATCTGGGTGTTGGTCAAATGTCTCTGGAATCTAAATATATATATATAATCAAAATCACCAATATATATATATATATTAATATACTTTTGTTATTAATTGAATTACCAAAATATATATTTCTATTCATAGAAGTCATATTCTTATTCATAGTCTAGTCGTTCTAATAGATCATATAGATATGATATAATATCGTTATCATGCTTTTTTTTTTCATATATGATCTAAATACGTTTTGTTTTGAATATCTAATCTATCTATTTATCTATCTATCTATCTTCAAACTATCTATCTATCTACCTAACTACTTTGTATGCTAATAAATAATGATAGACTTGATGAACTGACTAACTAACTAACTGAACACCAGATATCTGACAAGTTGAATGGTAGGGGTGTGATCAAGATATTCTTACCTCACCATCATATTGACCATCCTTGAAGTGGATTGGTTTTCTGTGACCAGCTCTTTGAGCAGCCAAGTATCCATTCAAACTGGCACGTGCCAATGGACCTTGTCTAGTTACCAATGATCTAAACATTTATAATAAATATATATAGATATGCAAAATTAAACAAAAACTGAATATTTCTTTTTTTTTTTTTTTTTTTTGCTCATTGTTAGTGATCACTGAAATCAAAAAATTAAATTAAAAAAAAAAAAATAACGTTAATTTTTCGTGTTATTTGTTTTATTTTTTGAGTACAAATACCTCAATTGTTATAAGTGATTAGAATTTACTTTATTAATGTTAATTGATCTTAATGCCGACATTTTAAATATAATAGCAACTATCTTAATAACAACTTTTGTTTCAAATATTTCGAATGATTTAGAGTGTCTTAATTCGATTTAACTTCCTGTTGTTGATCCTGTGTTAATTTTGTGGTCAGATCTGAAATTTTACACCAATCAACAACGCTCAAAGTTCTTATTTATTCTCAACCAATTTCTTTGATTGGATAACATATAGATATTTTATTATCTAGATACCATGAATATTTAATATTAACAGTGAGAATATATTATTTTAAAAAATTTGAATGGCTGAAGCTTAAAAATGATAACGTTATCGACAATTTTTTAAAAAATCAGATTTGTGTGAGAGAATTTATCGAGTCGATCAAATAATCAGAATATTTTCAATATTTTAATTGATTACTGTATATACTATTTTTTCTATTAAAATTAATTATATATATATCAGTGACAAATAATGAATACATTGTTTAAATCTATAAACATTACACAAAGAGTTGTATTGAATTCAACTACAACCTTTAACAAAAACAGCTGTAGATTATATTCGACTATCGTTTCAAGATCATCACCATTGCTCAACAACAATAGATTGACTTTGAACAGATCAGCAGCAGAGACTACCACTACTACTACAATTACATCGAACAACACAACAAATAATGGTGGAGGATTAAAAGATTTCTTTGAACACGTCTACACAAAGGGTACTTACCCAGTCTCTGGTAAATCATGGGAAGCAAGAGATCTCCGTGGAAAGTCATTCGAAGATCTACATAAACTTTGGTTCGTTCTATTGAAGGAGAGAAACAAGGTCATGACCGAACAAGAATTGGCAAAGAATCATAAACTTGTAAATCCATTACGTTTAAAGAAGGTATGTTTTTTATTAATATTTTTATTTTTATATTTTTAAAGTATTCAAACAACATAATCATGTATTAATACTTATATATATTATTGCAATTGTTTGTTGTTTGTTTGTTTGATTAATTAATTGTAGATCCGTAAATCAATGGCAGCAATTAAAGTAGTTTTGGGTGAAAGAGATAGACTTAGAAAACAACTCTATATTTTGACAAAATGTCCAGAGTCAGAGAGAAATCAAGTACAAAAGGAAGTCGAACGTTTAACAAAATTGGTTGGTGCAGTATCGTTGACACCTGGCCTTAGAGATTTGGAACAACTACAAGATACACTTAAAGTCGATGAAAGTTTAGAGAGCAGCATAGATAATTTACAATCAACCAACTAAACAATCATTCATTTTATAATACTTTATATAAATAAACCTAAAAAATAAAATAAACTATAATAATAAAAAAACAAAATATAATATAAAAGAAAGAAAAAAACAAAACAAAAAAGTATATCTTCTTATATACTTTTATTTAGATTTAGCTTAGTTTAAGTTAACTGTTATATATATACACATATCTATTATTGATATGTTTATTTATTTATTTATTTATTTTTTTATTTTTTTTTTACAAAGATAATTATAATAATTAAAAATTTTATATAAATACATTATCTGATCTTAATATTCTTTCAAGTTGTTCGATATCTTCTGTTTGGTCGGGTTGTGGCGGTAGGAAGTCAATGAATTCCCAATCTTCTTTATATTCTTCGGCGTCTAGCGTTGTGTAGATGGTGCTTGATGATGGTGAGTGAGTGGTACCTAGTTGACGTTCGTAGGTGAACGGTCCGGTCTTGCCAAGGTTGGGCGATGCCAACAACTCCACTAGATTCTCAAGGAAGTAGGTGTGTGATTCCTTCGGTGTCAGAATGCCCTGTTGGAATCGGAGAAACGATATATTATCGCCCAGCAAATACAATGCCTTTTGATAGTCACGCGTCTTTGTCTTATTATTGAAATAGAGTGGTAGCGGTTGTTTGCCAACATCGATATTCTGTTGAATCGTTGACTTTGAACCAACAAACTTCATCTTGTGTGGCAAAGGAATACCAAGCATCAAACTAATCATCTCTGTTAACTTTACAACATATCCTAATGTTGCTGATACAATATCCTTTGGATACTCTTTTTTTGTTGTTGTTAACAATAAAAACATCATAAACCAAGGTTAGTTAATAATCTTTTTGCATTTTGGGATAAAGTTACATACTCTGAAGTTTCTTATCGTTAACAACAATGTTGACTATTACAAGGTTATCTGGTTCTGTTGCTGACCGCATTATGGGTAGTATGTAATTGGTTATGATATCTACGTTTTGTTTGCGTTTTAGTTCAAGACGGAGACGGTTGTCTGTGAGGTCGAGTCGGAGCCGTTCAATGCGTTCCGGAAGTTGTGTGCATTCCGACTTGTCAGAGTTTTCAAAGATTGCTTTGTTCTTTTTGAGCTGTGAACGTCTTGCACTGAGATACTTCTTGCGTGACTCTATCAGTTCGTTGCCGTCGTTGATCTCGCGCTTCATTACGTCACACTGTTCACGCAGACGTGCCAATTGTGCACGCTTCCCAATGATTAAACCAATCTTTGCCTCGCGATCCAACAACGCTTTGTTACTCTCGAGGTGACATTCAATCGATTTCTTCAATTGTATATTCTGTTGACGTTTCTCTGTGACATTTTCAATCAAATCGAATACTCTTGTTTGATCCGCTGTTATTCTATGGTACCATAGATTAAAGGTTAAAAAAGTGTTGTTGATACTTTTATTAATATTATCATCATTGTAAATGATAGTCAATACATACTTTGCTATACAATATTTACAATATGATTCTTGAAAGTTAAAGTTTGTATTACATGAACTACAATTAAAAAAGAAGTTCATTCCCTTCCCTTCAAATAAAAAAACTATCTAACTATGTACACAGTATATTAAATATACTAAAATAAAATATATATATATATTATAAACAATAAAACTATATATATCTAGCTACTATATTCAATTGTAATAAAATCCATATACTATACTTATAACAAATATAGATAATAATTTAATTTAAAATAATAATAATAATGTTGGACGATGTTAAATGAAAAAAAAAAAAAATAATGTGTGATGTAAGAAAAAAAAATAAAATAAAAAGATCTTAAAAATTTCTGTTTGTCTCTATTATTGATAATAGTAGTAGTAGTAGTAAATAGGTACCACTTTAAAGCAGATCATTGTTCTTTGCTTTGATCTTATTAATAGATTCCACACAATTTACTTCTTGTAAATATACAGTTATAACAAGTTTGCAAAAAAGAAAAAGAATATTATTTAAATAGACTAACATACTAAACTTTTATTATATTTTTGCGAATTTAGCTAAATCGATGTAGTTTAGATAGCAACAAAACTTTCAAATTCAAAGATCGCTTTTATTAGATCTATTCAGTGTGAATTGTGCTGATATCAGATTTATTGATGGTGGAAACTATAAACGCTTCTTTTTGACATCAATTGCAAGCTAGATGTTGAAACGATGCACATTAAACGGATTTAATTAATCATATTAGAACAAGTTTTTCAGCAAGATGAAAACAAGAGCTAGTATAGAATCAAATGGCTTGGATATCCTACATGGATATCCAGATTTCTCACTCATTCAAATTCATGAATTTTCAAGAATAATGTTATGAACTGGATAGCGTAGAAATCGAACTTCTGAATAAGGGTTAGTTTGAGTGGTGACCAATGAATTATTCATCTCTCCCGTATTGAGACATGGTTGTAAAAAGTTATGGTTTAATTATGAAAAGTAAGCTTATTTTTTTTTATTATTATTACTGTCACATTAAATTTTATTAATAATTTTTTTTTTTAATAACAGAATATCAAAAGAGTAGATTTTGTATCCAATTCAAAAGCTTTGTCTTCATTTATGACGAACAGAAAAACTTGTTTTAATATTAGCTTAATAAAATTTATTTTAATTTAATAGTACAGTTGTTTCCGATCTTTTAAGCTGTTTGATTCATCACAACAAACAAACAAACAAACAAAAACACCTTAATAAATATTCATATTCTTTCTTGTTGAGGTCATTCCGACTGTTGGTTATTGGGTCTGCAAACTTTATAATGATGTTATCAAATTTTCTAACAAATCCCTTTTTTTTTGTTTTTGTTTTTAAAAAAATATCTTAAAACAATAAAAATTTCAAACAATTTATTTTTGGTTTGTCGTCATTATCATTGAAAAAAATTTTATAGATTCCCATCTGTTGGACCAAAACCACTCCCCTCAAAACCAACAATCAATTTATCATTTTTTATTATTATTATTTGTTTTGTTTTAATTTTTTTATATTTATATTTGTGTTTTATATTTATATTTGTGTATTATAATAGTTATTAGCGTATAAGCAGCCAATTGCTTGGAAATTTCAATTATGTCAACTTGTCAACAGTGTAGTTGTAAGAATTTCCAAGCCAATCCTTTCAAACCTTTGTATTGCTCGATATGTTTACATAATCACACTCAAAAGACATCGAGTTTACAAACATTGGTAAAGAATGACAGTGCACCACAAAACACACCAACAAAGCTGTTGTCTTCATCTGTAAACAACAACAGCAGCAGTAACAGTAGTAGTAGTAGTGTTAGCAAATCAACACCACAACCACCAGCTAAGATAACTAAATCCAATTCATTCTCAGCAACTACTACAAAACCAACAACAACATTGTCATCATCATCATCATCAACTACCCCACCACCACCACTCCCTTCTAAACCCAAAGATAGACCAAGACCACAAGATTTCTCAAAACAAAATTCATTTTCATCATCATCTCCATCTTCATCATCACCATCCGTTACCAGTCCAAAGTTATCGTCTTCCAATGGTAAATCATCATCTTCCTCTTCCTCTTCTTCCTCTTCATCATCTTCATCGAAATCATCGAATTTGAAGAACAAGTTTGCAGGATGGAAAGGTGCTATTCAAGGAAAGATGAGTAATCTAATGAGTGGAACTAACAGTGACGAAGATGACCAACCGGTAATGGAGATCTCTGGTCCTACCGACTACAAACACAACACTCACATTGGTATCACTTCAACTGGTGCCATCGAGGCAAAGAACATTCCCAACGAATGGAAGGATATATTCAAGCAGGTCGACGGTGCTTTGAAGTCACTCGGTAAGAAGGGTGTCACTCGTCGTGAAGCCGCACTCATTTTGAATACTGTCTTGGCTGGACAACCTGCTCCCGGTACCATGTCCAACAACAACAACACCAACACCAGTAACACCACCACACAATATAAGCAGTTTGGAAACATCAACAACAGCAACAACTCTACAACACCAGCTACACCACCACCATCACTTCCACCAAAACCAACAAAACCAGTTCCAAACAAACCAATTACAACAACATCTCCATCAACAAGTGGAACATCATCGCCATCATCTAATGGAGCAGTAACAACACCACCAATTAGCTACAACAAACAACAATCATTCAGTAACTATAGTTCTCCACAATTGGTATCTCAACAAAGTACGGCGACTGCTTCTACCAACAATAACAGTTTCATTGAGAATGAACTTCGTGAGAGATTGAGAGAGAGTGAATTGAGAATTCAGAATCTCGAAAAGACACTGAAGAGCACTGTTAGTTTGTTTGAGTTTGAACAACTTCAAGAGAGATTGAAAGTAGCAGAGATGCGTTCAAAGGCACCTGTTGCCGCTGCTACCGGTGGTAATCCTGGTGATGTCAGCAAGTTTGAATACGAACAATCACAGGAACGATTGAAATCCAGTGAAGCTAGATACAAGACACTCGAACAATCAATGAAGAACGTTGAACTTGAACTAGGACAATCTGCAACCAGATACAAAGCATTGGAATCCAACAACCAAATCCTAGTCAACCAACATCGTCAATTGGAGACCGACTACGAACAACTCAAGAAATCGTTACAAACCGATAAGAAGAATGTTGAATCAGATAAGAAACCACTCATTGACAAGATTTCATCTTTAGAATCGAAATTAAATGAATTGGATTTAGTAAGTTTTAATTGCTTGTTACATAGAAAAAAGATGGTTAGATTATTAACTAATATATATATTGTTTATTGTTTTTTGTTGTAGGAAAGAAAATCAAATCAAAGTCAAAACGATAATCTTAATAAGAAGATTCAAGAGTTGAATAAAACATTGAAGGATGCAGAGCAATCAAACTTTGATTTGAATTTGAAAAACAAAGAGGTTGTGAGTCAACTCGATTCTCTAAAGTCTACTTTGTCCACCGATCAGAGCAATCAGATTCGTGAATTGACCAACCAGTTTGCATCAAAGGAGAAGCAACTGAGAGAGTCATTCGAAGCACAGTACGGTCAGAAACTCAAGAGTCTAAAGGACGAGAACGAACAGATCTCTGCCAAACTCCAAGTTGAAACATTGCGTGCCTCCAAAGCAGAGATCGATTCGCAATCGAAACAACGCGACTATGCAAACTTGACAAAGGCAAAGGACGATGTCACCAAACAACTCGATTCACTACTTACACAGAACGATCAACTATCGTCACAACTCGACACCCAGCTGCAACTCGTAAAGAATCTGAAACTCAGTCAAACTCAATCGCAATCGATACTCGATAGCAACAACAAACAGACCGAGGAACAACAGGCTCAGATTCGTTCGATGACCACCCAACTCAATAAGTTAACCACTCAGCTCGACGAACAGAATGCACAGCTCGGTAAATACAAGTCGGAGATCAACAATCTCAACCAGCAACTCCACCAACAACAAGCTGCCGGCAATCAAACCGCTGAGATTCAACAGCTGCAATCGCAACTCGATAAATACAAGAATGAAATGGCCAACGTTCGTCAACAATCGAATGAGGCACAACAACAAGCTCAACAACAATTGAAACAAACCGAATCCAAGTATCAACAACAGATTCATTTACTTCAACAACAAGCTCAAGCTCAACAACAAGCACATGCTCAACAACAAGCTCAAGCTCAAGCTCAAGCTCAACAACAAGCTGCATTACAACAAAGTGTTTCTGCTCCAGCTCCACCACCTCCTCCACCAGTTGCTCCACCACCTCCACCAGCGGTCAGCAACAAATCAACGGAAGGCAGATCAGCTCTATTGGATTCTATTAAGAACCCAGATAAGCAATTGAAACCAGTTACCGAAGATATGATGATCAAATACGATCCTGCACAACCCGCCGACGATCCCAATAGCATGGTTAACATCTTGGTCAAGGCTCTCATCGATAGAAGAGCTGGTATGAATGAACAAGATGACGATGACGACGATGAAGAAGTTGGTTGGGATGATTAAACAAATCACCAAAAAGAAATATAGAATAAACTACAAAAATAAAAGTGTAATAATAAAATAAACCAATAAAGTAAAATTATCTAAACATATAAATTTATGTTAGTATGTCATATATATATATATTCAACTCTTTTGAACTGATGATTGATCAGAAGATATTGACTTATATTCTCCTTTTTTTTTTTTTTGATGAACCAATTCTACAATAAAAGAGTAATGCAAATAAACAGATTGATCAATTACATTTGGAAATCTGCTATACTATACCTATGCTTTCCAATATCTCTATGATAATGTCGATTCCTTTTTAATATATTAAAATCCGTATCCAATCACTGTTCGTGTATGTTACCTGATATATGATTCAATCAATTAAAACTGAAGATATGGATATCGATAGAAATCTCAAACAATTATTGCTAAATACACTGTTTGTTGTCTATTTCAAACCAATAAAGATATATCTTTATTTATATTTATTTGTTTTGTATTTTATGTAAATCTACCTGTATAATCGAATTGATATGATGATAACAAAGATACATTAATAAAAATGATTTGATATTCACCGTGAACTGTTAAAAGAGATATATAAATATTACATACATTTGTGTTTTTTCGAATTTAATGAATCTAATATTATTTATTCTTCAGTTGGCTTAGCTTGCAAATCCTTGGCGGTCAAGTAGTTGTCACCGACGATTGGCAAGTGCTTGAAGATAACACGTGGTTGAACTGTGTAGAGAAGTGCCATGGTACCAGTTGCACCCCAAACGACAGCGGTTGGTGCCCAGTTCTTAGCGAAAGCGATTGATTGTCTGATGGTGAATTGAATGTTGTTGGCGTTTAAGTTGTTCATTTTTATATAAAATAACTATCTAAATAAATAAAAAACTATGACCTAAATCATATTCACACACAGAGCTATTTCGAAAAAAAAAAATGATCAAAAAAATTAAAAAAAAAAAAAAAAAAAACTTTTACAAATTTAATTTTGGAAATAAAAAGAGGATATGTAAAGTAATATTGATCAGGTGATCATCAATCATTTCATATTATATTATTTAATTATAACATCAGATAAAATGGCTACAACAATATATCAATTTGATCAATTGATTTCTAAATCATTGGAATCACTTGTTGATCAAAGTCTTAATCTTATTGATATTGGATTGCTGATTGGACAACAACAGAATGAAACTAAAGCAACGTTTCTATCAATGATTTCAACACCCAAACCATTTGACAATCAAAGTTAGTAATATTTGGAAAATCTATAAATTTTATAGAATATATAAGTTATATTGACTTTTTTTTTATTCATACAGATGTTGAATACAAGACCACAAAAGATATTGATGATGTATGGGTTGCAGAACATTCTAGATTAGTTTCAAAGATGCTCTATGGTGGAATCAATATAACTGGAATCTGTTTGAGTGTACCATCCATCAATGTGGTAAACGATGCCAACCTTGCACAGATTTTAAAATCAATAAGAACAACACTTATTCAAGAGAGAAGCTGTAAGTAAAAGGAAAAACAAACAAACATAATATTAATTTATTAGGATAAGCTAATTAATAAAATTATTCATTTGATATCACGGTCGTGATATATATAGATTTAACAAATATTATTAAAACACTTTATGTTTTAATTTATATTAGATCAACAAAACAATATATTTTGAAATCAATTTCAAGTGCATCAACAGACAACAAATTCAAACAGATCACCGACATCAAATTCACTCAGCCAACTCAAGACTTTTTATATCTATCATTAAATACAACACTCAATATTAAAATGAAATTAAATTCAAGGTATTTAACGATCGTCAATAACTACCAATTAGATAGTATACTAAATTAATTTATTCATGTTTTTATTTTTTAGTAAACAATTTAATGTTGAAATGTTCAATGAAATGAAACAATTGATTGAAAAGAATTTATATAGTCAACTAAAGAAATCGATTGTATTTACGGTTGACAATCAATATTGTCCAATGGATTCAACTGGATCCACAGTAAAACTCTCAGAGTTTGCCAATGGAAAGTCACCGATCGTCGTTGTCGATGCACTAATGTCTGGCACTGACATTGTTTTGGGAAGAGACAGTGCTGTCACACTCCACTTTGGCAATGGTGTACAACAGTACCGAGCGTATGCATTGAAGAGCGAGTCTATCACCAACACTCTCGAGTATTTGTTGCACGACATCATCAATTCTCTCGAGTCGAGAGTGGAGCTACTCATCGATAACAACGACGTCGACCAATCCAATATGTCAAAGAGCACAGAGATAACACTACCAAGAAGAGCATCGGTCCAGTGGATCAATAACAACATCGAGCTTTGCGACTACCTCTACGACGCTGAGGGTTACTACGATTTCCAACAACGTATACAGGAACTTACCAATCTAGAGTTTTCACATCAATCCGAGAGTACTCAGAATCAAAATAACAATAGTAGTTCATTACCTAGTTGGATTAAATCAATAGAGAAAAATAATAGTTTATCAAAGAGCAACAAAACAGTTTCATCATTGCCTCCAACAACGACAACTAAATCAACAACATCCACTACATCTACAAAGAATCCAACAACCTCAACAACAACAGCCACCACTTTGACCAACAAACAACAAACAAAATCCAACAGTAACATACAATATTTGGCAATTGCTGTAATTATTTTCATTATTGCATTGGCATATCAGTTAAATAAATCTGATGTTTAATAGATAGGTAACCACAAAAAAAAAAAAAAAAAACATATTTTGACTTTTTATTATTACAACCAATGAAGTTTAAATCATCAACACACACACACACACACACCAAAGTTTAATTTTATATATTTAATCAAATATTCCCTTTTTATGAATGATCATCATATCATTAAGTTAATTATTTTTAAAATTCAAATTATTTTTTATAAAGAAATTATATATTTATAGATATGAGAATAGCAATAGAAACAAAATTATTAATATTATTTATTCTAATTTATCCTAGTAATGTAATAGAGTCTGTAAATATTTTAAGTTGGAGTGGAATAAGTTGGTGGGGATTAGGTGAAAGACCTTATAGGTATCCTAGTTATCTTGGACAAACTGTTGATTCCGAGAAAGAGTGTAAATATGAATGTGGTCATTATAGTAAAGTATCGAATTATTTTTAATGATTTCAAAAAATATTAATTAAAAAATATTTAAATTATTTTTATCGCCAATAGAGGAAAAATCAAAATTACATGATTCTCAAATAGTATTATTCGAAGGTCAACCTTTATCATCGCTTTATTATAACTATCTATCGAAACCACCAGAGTTCCCTCAGAAAGAAGTCGGTCAATTCTTTTTGAATTTCGGATTCGAGCATGATATCTATTTTCCAATCACCACTGAACAGAGATTTTTAGATCATATCGATTATCAAATGACATTCAAGAATAGCAGTGATATTCCTATTACTTTCGCCTGTCTCTGGGGAACCTATGACAGTGGTCGTGGTCTGGAGAGCTTCTCTACCTTTAATAATACTTTGCCATTCAGTAAGAAGAAGAAATCGATTGCAATGGTTACCTACAACTGTGAACAGGGCGGTGCATACTATAGAAATGCTTATGTTCGAGATTTGATGTCTTCCTACAAGGTAGAGAGTTTCGGACAGTGTATGAACAATGCTCAGTTGGATCCAGAGGATGTGATGCCCATAGGTGTATGGAAAAACATTGGAATGGCAATGAGATACAAAACACAGGCCATCAAGAAACATCTCTTTGTTGTTGCATTTGAAAACAATAATTTTACTGATTATGTATCAGAGAAAGTTTATACTGCTCTCCTGTAGGTATTAAATATTAATTATAAATACTAGATCATGATCTTATTAATTCTTATTATTTAGTGCAGGAACTGTTCCAGTTTATATGGGTGCAGATAATATAGATAAATATGTTCCAGAGAAGAGTATAATTAAGACAAGTGATTTCCAAAGTCCATTCAAGGTTGCTGAATATTTAAATTATTTAACCAATAATGAAACAGCATACAATGAGTATTTCGAATGGAAAAAGAAACCACTTCCTGAGCACTTTGTTGATAAATATAATAAGTGTGTTTTCTATACAGGTGAATGTAGGTTATGTACTTTAGTTACTGAAAGAATTATAAATGTAAAGTAGAAAAACATTATTATTATTATTATAATTAAAAAAAATTCTAATCTCTTTTAACAATTGTAGGATGCAAAAGTTGCAATTCAAAATGATAAATTTAGAGTGGATTTTGGTGAACCATGGGATGCAATTCAACATATAAGAGCTTTACATTTATCAAGTGAATCAAATAGCTGTGTCAACATTGGTCATTCGACAACAGCGAAAAGATCGATTGAGAATGAATTTACCTTTGAAACATGGTTATTACCCGATACTGTCAGAAGTCATTCGTAAGGATTTACATAAAAACAGTATTTACTTTTAATTAAACTAATATTTAATATTAAAATTAAAAGAATTATTAATCTTGGAGATGGATTCTTGGAAGCAAATATAGTTAAAATTGGAAAAAGAATGTTTTTTGAAGTTTGTATGAATCACAAGACAGATTGTATAACAACCGATAGAACATTTGAAATTCAATGGAAACACTTTGCATTCACTATGAAATTCGATGAGAAATCTCAAACTAGTGAAATTAATCTATATGTAAATGGAATGCAGGATGCAAAGAAGATATGGCCTGGATTTATTAAGAAAAAGGATTTGAAAATAAATGTTGGATGTACTAAAGGTTCGTATGGAAATTAATAATAATTCAATTTATTTTACTAACCAAAAAAAACAATAGATAACATATTCTCAGGAATGTTGGATGATGTTACACTTTGGAGTAGAGTACTGACGGAAAGAGAGATTTCAAAATCAATGTTTAAGAAATTCAGAGGTGACGATGAAGGACTTCTTCTCTATATGACATTCAATGGTGGAACTATTGTCGATTACTCTGTCAATAAATTGGATATAGGTTCAAAAAACGCTCAAGTTATCGATATCAAACATAAAAATTTAGATTTAAATTGTTGTTAACAAATAAAATTAAAGTAAAACAAAAGAATATATTAAAAAAGAGATACCAATTATATTTATTTATTTATTTGCTTTATTCTTCTTATAAATAATAAATGCAATGACACATATAGCAATAACAAAGAGAGGTACTAAAATACCGGCTGCAATCTTTCCTGCATTGTTACTCTTTTTCTTTGGTGGAATCCAACCACGTGGATCGGTACCGGTGGCATCTCTAACAAGCTGGACACTGCTCAACAAAAAGGTGCTACCTCGAAGATTGCATCCAAATTTAACTCCATTGAAACTGGCACCGTTATCCGGAGAGACGTTCAGCTCTGATAGTTTGATTCTACCTTGAACATAGTTTCCAAAGATGTTTAGATTGGAAAGATACACAGTGGAGTTTAAATAAATGGCTTTCGGTGTTGGTACGGTATCGACAAAGACTTTGACAACAGGCGGATTGGAGATGGAATAATTATTTACATTGATAACAAACTCGAGGAAATATAAGGACTCTGAGTCATATCCATTTCCATCATATCTAAATCCCATATAGTCTAGAGAAAAAATTAATTAATATTTAGAAAATATTTAAAAAAAATTAAATCTTGTTTTACCATTTTCATTTACAATATTTGCCATAAGACAGGAGACATTGGTATCATTTGCACAATTAGTTACAACAGTTACTGGTGCAGTAGAATCACTTCTTACTCCAGAACCATATTGGTTATTATATAAAATTACAATATTATTTGATTTTACAAGTGTTAAAAATAACAAAAAGATAGTTAAATTTTGATATATATTCATTATTATTACTGAATTACGATTTTCTTTGAGAGAAAAACAGGATAAATGATTTACTGAACACAGATTCCCTTGATACCATCTTTGATGGTTTAAGGTTTAAACAAATCTTTTTTTAAAAAAATTTTTATTTTTTAAAAATAAAACAAGTCTGAAAACAGAATGGACTGCTTTCTGCTACCAATGATTCCGTTCTCATAAAACAATGAATCAAAAATCGTCAATTAATTGAAAAACCACACATTTTGATTGATTTTCAAACACATTTGGACCAGAAAGGAAAGAGATTTTGAAACAAAAATTATTTTTTAATCTAATTATTTTTTTAAATATTTTTATATTTTATATTTTTTGTTTTTAAATTATTTGTTATCTTATTTATACATATATTTAAGATTAAGATAAAGATATTTTTTAAAACAACTTTTATAACCTCTTTATTTTTCAAGATGTTTTTTTTTTTTGAGAGTGTGAATTTTGTTTTATTTAATTTGTGGATTGTTTTTTTTTTTTTTTGAATTTTTAATAAAATTTTCATTTATTTATATTTATTTTACTTGTTTTGTATATAGATATATATTTATCTATTATCATCGATTTTATTTATAGTTTAAGATTTGTTTTGTTTTTTTTTTTTTAAGCGAATATTGATATAGAGAGTTTGAAGATGTTTTCATTCCTAAAGAAACCAACACCAGAAGAGATGGTAAAGAAATGGAAGAGAGAACTAAGAAAAGAAGATAGAGGATTGGATGCACAGATCAGAGCGATCGATCTACAGGAGAAGAAGACCATTCGAATGGTGAAAGAGCGTGTTAAAGCCGGTGATCAAAAGAGTGCAAAGACATTGGCGAAAGAGATTGCCGCTGCACGTAAAGCAAAGGAGAGAATCTACACTGCAAAGGCACAGATGAATTCGGTGTCGATGCAACTCCAACAGAATCTATCGATGGCCAAGGTTGCAGGTCACCTTGCCAAGTCGACCGAAGTAATGAAGATGATGAACAATCTAATAAAGCTACCGGAACTCAACAAAGTCATGATGGCAATGGGTCAAGAGATGATGAAGGCCGGTATCATCGAGGAGATGATCAGCGATGCCTTTGGAAGTCAAGACGAACTCGAAGCAGAGGCCGAACAAGAGGTCGATAAGATTCTCGACGAGATTATGATCACCGGACCAAAGGTATCAGAGGAATCACTGGAAACTACAACAACTACCACCGAAGAACAACCCGTCAAAGAAGATGATGAAATATTTAACAGATTACGTGCATTAAAGACTGGATAAAAAAATAACAAAACAAAACAAAACAACAACAACAACAACAACAACAACAACAACAACAATCAAACAAATGTACAAATAATTTGATGATTGAAACTAATTAATCATCTACTTTCACATCCGCTCACTTCTTAAACTTGTAATTCATTTCTTTTTCAAAAAAAAAAACATATATAAAGTATCTATTTCTTTTACTTTATATATTTTTAAGAGTAGATAGATAAATAAAGATATCATATAAATCTTTATTGTTTACTACTCATATAATAACAATACTAAAAAAAATAAAATAAAAAGACTTTTTTTTTTAAAAAAAAAAATAACTTACTTTTATTTATTATTTGATGTTATTACAATAACATATGTAATGATTATGATTTGCTTTTTTTTTTTTAATGTTGATCAAATTGACAACGGTGAATGAATTGAATACCTTCGTTACGTAGGGACTTCAAGATTGGTTTGTAGTATTCTTCGGTGATTGGTAGAACTACACCACGCTCCTTCAGTGAACCTTCTACGAGAAGTTCGGCAGCCATGGCAACTGGCAAACCAATGCAATAGGCCATGGCAGAGATGTCTTTGTCTCCGTAGTAGACCAATGTCGATGTCTTGGTCTCGTGCTTACCGCCTGGCCATTCGATACCAAAGATATGGTGGAGAATGATCAAGTCACGCTCCGATGGCGAGAACTCGAGTTTACCCTTGAGCAACTCACAGAATCCATCGATGTAAGTACCCTTCTGTGCGATGTCTATGGTTGTCGAGAAGATACCCAACCACTCAAAGACCGAAAGGATCGAAGTGATCTTCTCGTCGTCGTAGCCTTTGTTTGGATAACCTCTTCTGGTCCTGAGTTTTCTTCTAAAGATTTCCTCGGTCGAGATGTTCTCGTTGAGTGGCACCGGCAAGATCTTACGCAGTGCTTGATTCCAAGAGAGCGATGCCTCCGACGGTTGCAAGTAGCTATATACAGTTTCATCGAGCAGTCCGACTTCGACGGCCGCTTCAATAACCTGGCAGAATCCCTTGTATCTCAGAGTACCACGGAACAGGGTGTTGCAATCCTTGATGTTGTAGTACTGCGCGAGATCCAAACAGTTTCTGTTGGGTACTCCCTCCAATGCCAACGCTGGGAAGATGTCTACTTTCTGAGTACGCTTGTAGACTTCTGCGCCTGGGATAGAGATATCACGACCGTCCTGACGGTACTTGGCGTCGAGAGTGCATGCCTCCAGCACACCTCTTGGACTCCACGAGAATTTGTAACCCAAAGGATTGTCGGAAGACTCTGGTGCTGGAAGTCCACCTGCCCACGATACAAATGTTCTGATTCTTCCACCCTGTGATTGCACTTCGTTGATTACTCTGGCTGCTTCGAGATGATCGATTCCTGGATCCAATCCCATCTCCATGAGGAATGTCAAGTTGTTTGCTTTGGCTTCGGCGCTGAGCGAACGAATCTCGTCGGTCAAATAGCCGATGGAGATCAAGTGTTTCTTGTTACGCAAGCAAGACTTGGCGACTTCATAGGTCAAATCCTCTGGCAACAACGAGATGACAACGGTCTGCTTCTTGACGAGCTCGTCCAGCTTGACCGGATCGTTTACATCGACAATGGCAACGTCAATGTTGTCCGGTTCGAACTTTAGAACTTTTCTGGTTTGCTCGACGTCGATATCGGCAACGGTGAGGACATGGCTTGGATTACGAGTGAGATAATCGATGACTGGATGAGAGGTGTAACCGGCACCAATAATTAAAATCTTTCCAAACATTGCTTCACGCTTCTTTCTCAACTCCTTGATGTACTCGAATGGTGGAGTCAAACTACCGTGTGCAGTGATGACAGCTCTCTTGATTTCCGCTGGCAAGTCATCCATCTTATCGTATGGCTTGCTTGGATCCGACTTGACAACTGCCTCCATAAACTGTAACAAATGATCACCAAACCATTGAGTTGCTTCTCTCGGGAATTCAGTTGGCAAATTATCTACTGCCAAGAAAAGAATACCATCACGATACATATATTTTTGATCTGTTGTTCTAATTATTTGTTTATGTATGAAAAAGTAAGTAAAGATGATTAGTTAGGTTTAATCGTTTTGTGTTATGATGTTTTTGACTTACGGATCATGAATTTCTTGTGTTTTTGGATCATATACAAACAAAGGTGAATCAATTGAAGTTGTCTTCATGAGGAATTCAAGTGAACCGTTGATATCGGCAGAGATATCAGCAACACCGACCAATCTTGAGTTTCCAGTCTCGACCAACTCTTCCATCTGTCTGATGGTGATAAGACGTGGGAACTTGGCATCCCAATACATACAATTGATGATACAAGAGATGTGTGGTGCATACTTTTCATAGAAAATAGATTTATATTGAGATGGATCATTGTAATACTCCTTCTTGTCAAACTTTTTCTTTGGATCTTTTGGTGCAACCATGTGTTCGGAAGTAACGATTGTACCATACAAAATACCTCTTTCACCCTCTAAATTTAAATGAAATCAAAAAAAAGAAAACAGAAATAGATTTAATGATGAGTAAGTTTGTTTATAGAATAATTATGTTGGTTATACTTACTTTTGTTCTTTACAATGTCAACCATTTCATCGGGTGTAATCATTTTGTGTGGGAGAAGCTTAAAGATGGAGAGTGCACCTTGTGCTACAGCACCATCGGAGGTGAATGCAAATGTGAATGGAGTCAACTCATCTGGTAGACCGACTTGTGAAATTTCCTCACCGATGGCACGAACGGCATCCATTGCATTCTCAAGTCTTGAGTACACATAGGAGTAACCGACATGTAAGAATGGTGTAGAGAATCCTTTTGCCAATAAACGATCTCCCAATGCATGGAGCATATCAATCATACCAGCATATCCTGCAAAAGCACCGAATCTTACCAATCTTCTATTTTTATCATCAGTAATTCTTTCATAATCAATCAATCTAATATTCTATTAAGAAAAATTGTCAATTAATATATAAATTTCAATGAAAAAAAAAAAAAGGAAAAAGGAATAGAGAGAAATGAAAAGAATGGAAATGAAAGAAAAGGAAAATGTAAAAGAAAGAAAGAAAAAAAAACAAAAAAAGAAAGAATACATCAAAAGAATACATATAAAGAAAGAATAGAATAGAATAGAGTATGTCAATAACAAAATGTAATATAATGATTACTTACTTTCTTATTGATTTCATCCAACATTGGCATGTTGTATGGCTGAGCTTTGATTGTGTGAGAGAAGAAAATGTAGGTTTTTCCTGGGAAGAGGTACTCGGAGGGAACCTCTTTGACAGCGATAATGACATCGCAATCACGGAGATCCTCTTGGATGATTGCACCGGCATTCTGGTAGGCACCGTTCGAGTAGTTTCTGAGAGTCGATGGCTGAACGATACATCTGATACCCTTCTTTACGAGTTGTTCAATGTGAGATGGAGCCAATGGTGCTCTACGCTCCCAACGATTCTTGTCTTCACGACGCATACCCAATGTATAAACCTTTGATTCTAATTTGTCGACTGCTGCAAGAATGGCATCGCCCGATCCACCCTCTACACTAACAACATTAACACTCTTTGATTGTTCTCCACTCTTTGAGGGAGTAGTGGTAGTAGTTGTAGACATAGTTGCTGCTGCTTTTTTTTACTTTATCTAAATATTAACTAAACTAATACTTTTTTAAATTCTTGGATTAATAAATTTGAAAAAAATATTGTATTTATTTGTAATTTTGAAATATAAAATAACAGTTAACAACACACACACACAAGATATATATTTGTTTCAAAAATAAAATAAAAATAAAATAAGCATGGAGGTGGGTGATAATGTCGATTTTAAATGAGTTGGAAGAATTAGATATGTATTTCAATTTGAATTCGATTGAGACGAAAGACGATTGATATTAACATTTTGGATAGATACTTACAATAAAATTTTAAAAAAACTATCTCTAGAAGTAATACTCGAATGATGTTCTTATTCTGATGAAACACTAGACTCACTCAAAATCACTAATATATCCAGATTATTATGGTCTGATGAATTTTTAATATTAAATTAATTTGTGAATAAACTGTTGTGAAATGATGATGGAATATTATGAAGAATAAACAATAAGAAAAATTAAATTTTTAGTTTTTTTTATTAAAATTAAAATTATGGACCACCATTATAATAAGTTATGCCCCATTTTGAGACTTTTTTTATTAAAAACCTCAATCAGCATCTTGACAATAAAAAAACACTAATTTTTTATCATTAAATAAATAAAAAATGGTGAAATTCAATAAAAAAAAGAGATCTGATTTCTAAATTTCCCATTCCAATATATAAAAAAGTTGGTGCTAACCAGGCACCTAAATTTCTCTCATGTTTTTTTTTTTATGGTTTTTTTTTTATTTTTAATGATTATTTTTTATTTAACAATGAATAGAATATATTTGTATGTTTTAAACAAATATGGTTATTGTATTTTATCAATCTATTATTGCCATCAAATAATCATAATTTTTATCATGTGTTGTGCTTATTATTATTGTTTTTTGTGAAGAGCATAATAACAGTATGAAACCTGCAACACAAAAAACAACCATTATCGAAAAAAAAAAAATAGCAAACAAACAAAAAAAAGTTTAGAAATAAGTAATAGAATTATAAATTATAAATTAGTAGAGTAAACAGATGATTTTAAGATTTAATAGGTAACAAAAATGTGTGTGTGTGTGTAGTCATTTGCGTTATTTTGATTAATTGATATTCATAATGAGTATTGTTAATTTCTATTTTTGATCGATTTTTTATTAATGTGATGCAATACATTCGCTCAGTATGATGCAAGGTGGAATAGGAGTAGTGTTGCTGATTTAACTTTTATAAATATATAATTATATATAACTTACTTAATTTTTTGATGTAGTGTGGTTTATTTGTTTGTTTGTTTGTTTGTTGATGTTGTTTGTTGGTAATTAGCATTTCAGATGTGGTAAGTCAAGCGTAGAGTAGTATATACTTTTGCATCAATTTTGATGACACAGTGAAAAAAATAATTAAAAATAATACAGTTCTCAAAGTAAAATCAACAGTCATTGTCTATGATTGGCTGTTTATTTGTTTGTTATTTCAATTGAACCAACTAGGTTGAAGGAAAAAAATAAACATTTTCTCTAAATATTTAAATCTTATGTTCTTATTAGAATATATATGGTGTGTTCTTCTTGTTGTATTATAAAGTGTGTAGTGTTGTAAGCATCTACTGCTTTTTGAATAAAAACAAACAACAACAATAACAATAACAACAATAACCATCACTTTTGGAATAACTTCTCCATACACATATCGGGGGTAAAAGGTGGTTCGAAAAATAATTAGATTTAAAATTTCAACAGAAACGAGAAAAGTTGGAGTGGAGCGGAATCAACAATGGAGGTGAATTTATATATATAGTTATTAATTTGATGAGATAAACAATGAACATATTTGATCTAGATTTTGTTTTAAATATTATCATTTTTCAAAATAATAATATAATAACAATAGACCAAACAAAGAATATAAAAAAGTGGATGTGTGGTGTGTTGTGTTATGGTGAAAATCACTATATATTTTTGTTGTATGTAATCTTATTGGTATGAATAATAATATCCCAATTAGAGATGGGAATTAATTAAGGTGTTAATTGGTGACTTCACTAATCACCTACTTGGATATCTAAAACATTTGATATATTACCACTAATAAACCAATCAATCGATCCATCCATTTTCAACAGTAATCAGCACTCAATTTTAATCAGTTAACAATATTGTTGATTAATTAAAATTATTAAAAGTGAATCAAATAAAACACCATGAAAAAGGAAACCTTTTATAGCAAACTATTATATATATTTAGTTGTTGGTTGAACGTAAATATATGTGAACAACAATTTTAGTTGTTGTTTTGCTGCTACTGCTGTTGTGTATTTATGTGGTGTGGTGATGTATGTTTTTTTGTTGGTCATCGCCTTAAATGTTATCGATTGTGGTGTCTGTTAGTGGTGTAATAATAACTAAAGTACTAAAGTTATCACACTTTAGATTGCAATTTTCAATCAATTTATTAATAATTACTATCGCATACAAATAAAATGCCAATAAAATGAATTTATTTTAAATAACTTCCAATCTCTTGATTTATAAATCTAAATTATAAAATATTCACAAAACTAAACTCCTAAACTATCAAAAATGGATATTCAAAACCTTGTGAATAATGGAGGATCTTCTTGTAGCATCCTAAATTTCAAACAACGGCTACCTCACCACTATTCAAGTGAGAGATATTATTTTAATTCTCCAGATACATCATTATCTATTACAAGACCTAATTATCCTTTACAAACAACTCTACATGTAAGAAAATATTATTTTATTATAATTATTTTTAAACCAATTTCTAATTTAATTTTTCCAAATAGAGAAAAGGTTCCATTGAATCTTTATTGAATTGTAATAAACTGTTAATGGAAGAAGATAACAAATTAATGAATACAAATACTTCTTTTACAAATTTAGTAGATAGTTTAAAATATGTAAGTATTATAATTATTATTATTATTTGCAAAACCAAGTATTAATTTTATTTTTTATTTTTTCTTAAACAAGGATGATGATGAATGCTTAGATAACTCTGATTCAGGAGATGAGTATTATAATCCAATTAAATTTGAATTCACTCCAAAGATATATTCTTTCATGTCTCCAAATGAAACTGGTTCCTCACCGATCGCCTATAAAAATCATTCCAACCAAAGAAGAAATAGTGGAAGTAGTAGTTGTGATGAGTCAAACTATCAAACCGATGATGATGATGAAGAGTCAGTTGTACCTTACCCTTTCTGTGAGAATGGCAGTTACCAAAATCACAATAATGGGTACATTCCACTACAAAATATTCTTACTGCCACCACAACCACAACAACCACGACAACGACGTCCAAAAAAATACGACTACTACAACAATAACATCGACAATGTTATTTGATGGATGCGATGAAATCATTGTGAATGACGGAGAGAAAATCATTGAGAGTACAACCAATGATCTAAACAATAGTAATCCATCGATACCAGTCAAAAGAAAGAGAGGAAGACCACCTTCAAATCGTCAAAAGATATGTTTCATTTGCTATCGTAGAAACACACCAGAGTGGAGAAAGTTTCAAGGAGTCGACCTCTGTAATGCTTGTGGATTGAAACAAAGAGGAAAAGAGAAAAAGCTCTTAAAATCAAAAGGAAATCAACCATCACCAATTGATAATAGCAATTCATCACCACCTCTTTTCGTTTCATCCAACCATTCACAAACCATTCTTTCTACTACCAATAATAAAAAGTTAAAAACAATTAATAAATAAATAATTTTTTTTAGAAACCACACTCTTACACTTATTGTTTTTGTTTGTTTTACAACACCACAATTTATTTATAAAAACCAATCAATTTATGATTATACTTTTAAATTGAATAACAATTCATTTTTCTTTATTCTTTTTTTTTATATATTTTTCAATAGTTTTTTAACAATGTTACCTTTTAATAATTTAAATTTAAGAAAAAAAAGTGAATATCTTGGTGGTAGAGGTATATTGGATCTATCGTTGTTACTCTTGAGATATATATTGTCTTACAATGAAATTGATAATATCGATAGTATTTGCTTTAGTATGACGTGTAGGAAACTATTTAATGAAAGAGAGCGCTATCTTTGTATAAAGATTCCTCAGCCACCAGAAGATATGAATCCAATGTATTCCTATCAACGTTCTCTACCGTACAAGAGGGCACCTACCAATCTAAGGTCCTATCAAGGAGTTTACAGGAAATCGATCGAACACATTCCCAAACAGATGATCATTGCCTCGAGAAACAACAATCCTATCTACAGTAGTGGTAGTCCAGAGAGTATTGTCTTCATGGAGAATGACATCGTGATACCAGAGAGTATAAGGTATCTCGTTGTAATCAACGATTCCCGTGAATTCAAATTTGAATCGATCAAGTCTGAACTCTACAAAAGCAATGTTGCATGTCTGTTTTGTAATTTCATCGATCAATCGCTTCCCTCTAATCTGATGCCGAGTACCCTAACGTTTTTAGATTTAGGATCTTCATTTAACTTACCGATTGAACCTTTTTCTCTTCCGAAATCGCTTAAGCATATAAGATTTGGTACACTGATGAGTAAATTCAATCAGAGAATTTCAGTGGGTGTGTTTCAAGAAGGTTTGGAGCATATTGTATTGGGTGACAGTTTCAACCTACCGATTGAACCCGGTGTTTTCCCTAAATCTTTGATATCTTTACAGTTTGGAAGTAAATTCAATCAGATATTCAGAGTAGGATCACTTCCACCGAATCTGAAAATATTGACTCTTGGTTCAGGTCAAACACACTACCCAGAAAACCTACCGGCTTCACTTGAGAAGCTTGTGTTTCCAGTCAATGGATTTCTATCACATCAGTATCCCAACAACTTTGATGAAACACCTCGACTTTCGATAGTTAAAAATCTACCTTTTCAATTCGCTAGGTATCTACCACCGAGTGTAACCGATCTAAGTTTATCGATAATGGATCAGTCGATTATAGATCCATCCACTTTACAAGGTTCAATACCACCATCCATCAAAATATTAACACTATCACAATTACCATTTCCAATTGATATGCCATATCTGATACCTAGTGGTGTAACAAATTTGAATCTTGGTAATGTTAGAGATATCGATTTAAAGGTTCTAAAGTATTGCAGTTCCATCTTACAACTTTGTGTTGGAGGTTTCAACAATAAACTAAATCAAGGTGATCTTCCAGAAACTCTTGATGAGTTGATACTTGGTTTTCCATTCAACCGTAAGATTGACGAAGGTGTCCTACCATCTTCTTTAAAGAGGTTAGAGTTGGGTGATGTTTATTCCTATGAAATAGGACCTGGTATATTGCCTCATTGCTTAGAGTATTTAAAACTAGGCAAACTTTATCAACACACCATCACAAAAAACACATTGCCATCAACTCTACATACATTGATCACCTACAGTTTCGATGTTATAGGTGTTGAATCAGTGTCACATCCACTCGAATTGACAGTTCACCAAAATAATTTGGATTACAACAAGATTAAACAACTTCCATCATGTATACATACAATCAAATCAGGTTATAAAATTGTCAGAAGAATAGATAAACCTAAAAATCATTTTATTTGTAATTTTTAAATATAACAAAAAAAAAAAAAAACAAACAAACAATATCTTTTCTTTACTTTTTATTCTTTGGTTAATTTAGTTATGTTTAGTTTGGTTAGTAACCTAACTTGTTTCTTAATATTAATATTTTGGTGATGCTTTCATCTCTTCAATGATTGACTTTTTCTCGGCCTCTGAGATTTTACATTCTTGATTCCAGTCTTTGGGAATCAATTCCTGACTGATCTCTATGAATTTCTCATATGGACACATCTCATCGACTTCGAATTCTTTGCATTTCTTGATGTGCACTGGTTTCTGATTATAAATAACTTTTACAAACTGTTGTTGTTGTTGGTTTGTTGTCGGTTTTCCTGCATTCTCTGTTGCCAATTGTTGTTGTTTGCTGTCTTCCACTTTCTTATTATTATTCTGATCCTTTTCAAACAAAAGGAATTCCAATGCCGATGCTGTCTCTGGATGTGTGTTTTCTTCGTACATGTCATAGGCAACCAAGAGTGCACCAAGTGTGGAATCGTGTGCAGAGTACAAACCAAACTTGAGATCCTTTGTATTCTCTTGGTTGGTTGCCTTTGACTTGAGTTGCTTATTGAGGTCACCGATGAATCGTCCGATTCCAAGACGTTGCATCTCGGGGAACAACGACATTCGCTTGTACTCCTTCGATGCCTCCAGATACATACGTTCGACAATCTCATCGTTGAAACCCTCGGGCAATGGCAAACCGTGATTCTTGAAGCAATCGAACGAGTTTACCAAGCCGGCATAGGAACGCCACGACGGCACATAGAAAGGCGAGTCGTATCCCTTCGACGCCTCAAAGATATCACGCAGTCGCTGTGAGAAATCCTCGAGTTTACTGTTCTTTTGCTCTTCGAGAACCTTTGGATGCTTCGGGAGTATCGACTTGAGGAATGCGTAACGCGGACACGATCCACGCGGGTAGATATTCTCGACCGCTTCCGGGAGGATCACAAAAGAGGTGGCGGCATTCAGCATGTGTTCTTGGGCGTCGGCGAACGCACCTCCATAGAGTCCGTGCATGAGAGAACGCGCCGAACTAATGGTACGCTCGCGGTCTGACGATCGCACGAATATCTCGTCGGGCTTGTACTCGTCGGAGAGGAAGTGAACCTTGTCGATGAGCATACGATGGTAGTTCTTACCGAGGTTGATGAGATCGCGAGTACCAAACACAGTGAGTTGACCAAGGTTGCACTCTGGACGATTGGCATCCTTGTTGACAATGAGATTATCGACAGAGTTGCACGACCATAGCGAAAGTGGATATCGATTGGACTCTGGTGTACGACGTCCATGACGAGTGATCACCTGCATCATCTTTAAATGATATCCAGCTGGACGATACTCATCCACTGGCATTACCAAGTCTTTCACTGTATTCATAGGTGATGTTTCAGACTTACATTTATACTCATGGATCTTGTCTGCTATATTTGAATGGACTCCACCACTACCACTACTACCTACATTATACATATATACATATTATTATTATTATTATTTAGTTAGATATATATATATTTATTAAAAACACTAATACTATCTATTACTTACCAGTTGTTGAAGGAGTAGCAGCAGCAGGAGTAGAGTTGTTATTTACTTTTTGTGTATCATTAGAGGATGACATCATATAAATAATTAATATATTGAAATAACAGATGTTATGTATATTTATTGATATTGATAGTTCCGATAGATAAATAAATAAAATAGAGAATGAAATTAAATACTAATCAATTTGCGCACTTCTGGTAACAGAACTTATTTGAGTTAGTGTGTTATTTGTGAAGTTCCTTCACCCCACCCTGCAAATGTTCTCATTTTTTGTGTCTTTATTTATTTTCTTTTTGTACATTTGGAATCTGATTAATTATGTTCTGAATATAGACTCGATATCTGTTCGCATTCTGGAAATGATCTAAAGTTATTCCATAAAAAAATAAAAAAAAATCTTTTTTTGTTGTTATTCATTTAAAATTATCAGACAACAAACAAACTTTGAGAAAACAGTTAATTATTTATTTGAAAAGTTATATTACTTTTCATTTTTTTTAAACGAAATATAATTGATCTCCGATTCTATCAAGATTATTTTAAACGATGGTTTTAAATTTTTATTTTTTACCAAAGACTTGTTTGGCTTCTTGACAACCAAAAAAAAAAAAATGTTTATTAATATAAAAATCAACAACAAACAACAACACCCACATCATAACAATGTTTTGTTTAGTGTTTGATTGATGTGTTTGTTTATTATTATTATCAATTAATTTATTAGTGTTATTTCTTTTTCATTCCTTTATAGTTAGTTTTTTTTTATTCGCATTTCTTTATTTTTATTTATATGTTGTATTTATATTTATTTGTTGTTTTTTTGTAATAATAAGAATAGGAATCATTAATAATATTAGTATTTATAGTATTTAGTTTGAAACGTTTATTCTCTATAGAGATAAGATCTATAGATCTAGATAGATGGGACAGACCGATTCTAAGCCTAATCAAGGTGCACACGATGCATCTTTGACATTGTCAATGGATGCAGAGTTTCTAGAGATCAACGGTCGTCATCTGGTTGCATTCCCAATGCAGCTGAACCAACTCACTAAACTAAAGACACTGTCTCTGGCACACAATAACATACAGAAATTGGATGGAGTATCTCAAGTGCTAACTCTTGAAGATTTAGATTTATCATATAATTCATTGCAATTGCTATCTGGTAACTATTTATATTAAAAGATAGATAATAGTCATTCATTATAATCTGACTCTCAATATATATAAAATAGATGAACTGTATCATGTTGTCAACTTGAAAAAGTTGAATATATCATTCAATCAATTACAATCGATTGGTGCCAATATAGCGCTATTGAAACAACTGAAGGTGTTAAACTTGTCAAACAATCAATTGGTAGCCATTCCCAAAGAGATTGGACAATCTTTATCTTTACAGATAATCAATATTTCATTTAACAAAGTAAGTAAGATGACAGCTTGATCATATAACTTATCTTATTCAATTCAATTAATTGTATTTTAATTTTACTTTACTAGTTGGAAGCATTACCAAAAGAGATTGGATTATTAAATCAATTGACAAAGTTAGTTCTTAATAATAATAAGATCGGTACACTACCTTCGGATATCGGTAAATTAGGTCAACTTACACTGTTGGATCTGGCAGAGAACGAGTTGAAATCATTGCCACATGAAATCGGTCAACTTAAACAATTGGCAAAGTTGTATTTGGATAATAATGATTTCTTAGTGCTGCCAAGTGAAGTTGGTCAGCTTTCAGAGTTGAAAGAGTTGAATCTTCGTAGTAATCAATTGGTTGACTTGCCGAGTTCTATGCACAAACTCACAAAGCTAACGTTGGTCGATCTCGAAGACAATCAGTGGGAGAGTAGCCAGTATCAAGCCACTGACATTCCACAGCTGCTTGCCTTTCTAAAGACCAAACGTGATATCGTCAACAAGTCGCGAAAGGCAACCTCCAAAGAGTATAGAAGAACACTGGAGCGACAGAAAGTCGAAGAGAAGAAGCGCAACAGTATCAACACTCTCTTTGAGACAGAGTTTACTTTTATTGGCAATAAGAAGTTGTTTTATCGTATCGTAGAGGACAGTGTAAAGGTTGTAGTAATACGTCAGAACTTGACAGAGTGTCGAGTGAATGACAGCGATTGTTTCATCTTGGATATTGGTAAGCAAATCTATGTTTTCCTCGGTAGTTACTCTAGCCAGAGAAAACGTTTGAAATCTACTCATTTCGCTGAATTGATGCTAAAGGAATCCAGTGCCAAAGAGTTGATTGTAATGGATAACAAGACAAAACGTGAAGATCAATCGGATTTCTGGAAACAGCTGGGTGGAAAATACTCGGTTAGCAAAGAGGCGGAGATCGACGATCAATCTACTCTCGACGATCGTATGCTCATGATAAAGATGTTCAAATTCACAGAGGACAAAGGTGGTCGTATAGATATCCAGGCATATATGGGTGAGGAGTTGTACCGCTCGATGTTGGAGAGCAGCAGTTGTGCTGTACTCGACACTGGTTCCGATATCTTTGTTTGGTCGGGAACTTATTCTACGATGAACGAAAAATCATGGTCAATGTTGAAAGCCGAAGAAATGCTTGGTCATCGACGTGACTCTGCTGAGATTCTCTGGATTATGCAGGGTGAGGAGTCACTCATCTTTAGAGAACACTTTGTTGATTGGATCGATTATGCTTGGGATCCTGAATGGGTGCGCAGACTCAAGGCTCAGAACGAAGAGGAAGAGATGTTGCGAGCAGAGGCAGAACGTGAGAGAATGCGTATGGAGAAAGAAGAACTTGAAATGGCAGAAAAGGAACTTGAAAGAGAGAGACAAGAGAAAGAACAGAACCAAATATTGAAGCAACAACAGCAACAACAACAACAACAGACTCAAACTACAACAGTTGTGGTTCAACCAACAACTACTTCTTCTCCTTCTTCAGAACCTAAATCCGAGAGAGAAAGATTAAAAGAAAGAGAGAAAGAAAAGATTAGAGAGCGTCAGAGACAGAGAGAGTCAAGTGCCAATCAACTACCAACTTCGGCTACCTCGACTCCATCATTGACACCAACACCAATGACACCAGCACCTTCGAGTCCAGTTGTATTACCAAACCTTCCAATTACAGAACCAAAGAAGACAGAGTCTGTATCGAAACCAGAGCCAGTTGTTGCACCTGTTAAACAGCCAGCGGCAGTAACCCAACCTACAGCAACAGTCTCTCCAAAACAAGAACCAGCAAAGTCAACAACTATCTCTTTACCTGTAGTAACAAAGCCTGCCGCTGTTGTTACACCACCAGCTGTTACAACTACACCTACCAAGACAGCAGTCACCCCCACACCAACAGTCACTCCAAAACAAGAACCAATTAAACAAGAACCAATTAAACAAGAACCAGTTAAAGTTCAACCAACAACAACAGTTTCAATTTCAAATGAATCACCAATTGTTCCAGAACAAAATGTTAATTTACTAGCACCACTTCCAGAGAAAGCAGGATCGATCGCAAGAAAACCAGCAACAAAGAATCCAATTCGTGCCAGACAAGAGAGAGCTGCTGCAGAGGAAGAGGCAGCCAAGTTGAGAGAAAAGAATGAAAAGCGAAAGTCTACAACATCAGCAACAGGTACCACTGGTTTACTTCAGGCATTGAGTTCCGATGCTGAAAAGATGTTTATGAAGCGTCGTGAAGAAGCAGAGAACAGAGGACAACAAGGTATCACCGCTTTGATCAATCTGGCACCAAAAGATCAACCAAAACTCTTACATGTAAAAGGTAGAAGATCGCCATTCGTTCGCCAAGTAGAATTGAGCTATCTATCATTAAATAGTGGTGACGTATTCATTTTGGACTGTGGAAAGGAGATGAATCTTTTGTATCAATGGAATGGTTCCGAGGCAAACAGAATCGAAAAGGGAAAGGGTATGGACATTTCAAAGTCGATCAAGGATAAGGAACGTGTTGGATGTCGTGTTTTGTTGATCGACGAGGGTAAGGAGCCAGACGAGTTTTGGAAGGTCTTGGGTGGAAAGGGACCAATTGCCGATGCATCGAGCGCAGGTGATGATCGTGAGGCAGAGCTCAATATTCGTAAGCACGTCAATCTTTATCAGGTGGTCACCACCGATCCAAATCAAACACAATTCGATCTGATGCCAATGGAAGGTCGGCTATCAAAGAATATGCTACAAGGAACAGACTGTTATATCCTCGACTGTGTATCAGAGTTGTTTGTTTGGACTGGTTCGTCCTCCACGTTGAAAATTCGTAATGGTTCACTCAAGATGGGAGCTGATATGCTGGAGAAGCGTAAAAACAATATCTGGGTGTCTGCATGTCACCGTGAATTCCCAGGAAGTGAACAGGTTTTGTTTAAAGAACGTTTTCCAGATTGGGGAGGATCCATTCCCATCATGGTTCAACAGACACCGGTTGGTCTAAATACTGCCACCGCTAAAGCACAGGTCAAGATTGATGTAGCCACTATCCTGAAGCCAAAGGCAGAGAAAGAGGAGGTTGTAATCGACGATGGTAATGGAAAGATTACTTGCTGGCGTGTTGAGGACTTTACTAAGATCCCTGTTGACGCTTCGCGTTACGGTCATTTCTACAGTGGTGACAGCTATGTCATTCTCTATACCTACATCTATAAGAATAAGGATTGCTTCCTCATCTACTTCTGGCAAGGAAAGAATTCATCGATCAACGAAAAAGGATCTTCAGCTTTGCTTACGATGGAGTTGGACGACACCCTCAAAGGCATGGCCAAAGAAGTTCGTGTCGTTCAGAATAAGGAGCCAAAGCATTTCCTATCTATTTTCAAATCCAAATTCATTGTTCATCAAGGAAAGGATCCAATGTCAAAGGGTTACAAAGCACCAGAACCCAATCAATTCTCACTCTATCATATACGTGGTACTTCTGCAATGAATACTCGTGCCGTGCAAACCTACACTTCTCCACACTCGCTTAACTCCTATGGTACATACGTTTTAGCAAGTAATAATGGTTCAAACACCTTTGTTTGGTACGGTAAATTGTCAAATGAGTTGGAAAAATCCTATGCCAAGAGTATCGTAGGGCAGTGGTCATCTTCAAAGACTGTCGAACTCAATGAAGGACAAGAGACATCTGCTTTCTGGGACTCAATTGGTGGCAAGGAAATTCATCCAAAGATGAAGTTATCAAGCAGAGTAGAACCAAGATTATTCTCATGTTCAATTGGTTCAGGAATATTTTTAGTTGAGGAGGTTCACTCTTTTGCACAAGACGATTTGCTTCAAGAAGATGTCTATATCATCGATGGAATTGATCACATATGGGTATGGATTGGTACTGAGACAACAGAGACAGAACGAAAGATGGCAATGGAGCTATCACTTGACTATGCAACAGCATTACCAGCATGGGATGGACGAAAGGACATAACTGCTTACACTATATACTCTGGAAAAGAACCTTTTATTTTTACGTCAAATTTCCACGGGTGGGATTTCGCAAAACGAAAATCACCACTTTCTTATGAGAGTGATATTACCTTGGTATATGATATCGTTCAGCTTTATACAAAGAAATATACACATGATGACATTATCAACAAGAGATATCCAAAAGGTCTGGATGGTTCTAAACTGGAAGAATATTTATCAGATGAAGAGTTTTACAAGTTGTTCAATATGAACCTTGATGAATTCAAGAAGCTTCCTCTTTGGAGAAAGCAGTCAATCAAAAAAGAACTGCAATTATATTAATACGAAATAAAATTTAATTAATGTTAAATTTAAATGTTTATTTTTATGGAGTGGTTGCACCAGCAACGGTAGTTAGACCAGTTACACCAGTGGCGATACCGCCAATTGCGGTAGTGGTTGCAGGGGCAGTAGTTGTTGGTGGAGCGGTAGTTGTTGGTGGAGCAGTTGTTGTTGGTGGAGCAGTTGTTGTTGGTGGAGCAGTTGTTGTTGGTGGACCTGATGTTGGTGGACCTGATGTTGGTGGACCTGATGTTGGTGGACCTGATGTTGGTGGACCTGTTGTTGGTGGACCAGTTGTTGGTGGACCTGTTGTTGGTGGACCAGATGTTGGTGGACCTGATGTTGGTGGACCTGATGTTGGTGGACCAGTTGTTGGTGGACCAGTTGTTGGTGGGCCTGTTGTTGGTGGACCAGTTGTTGGTGGAGCAGTTGTTGTTGGTGGAGCAGTTGTTGTTGGTGGAGCAGTTGTTGTTGGTGGAGCAGTTGTTGTTGGTGGAGCAGTGGTAGTTTGAGTGACACCGGCAATGGTAGTTAGACCAGTTACACCAGTGGCGATACCGCTAATTGCGGTAGTGGTTGCAGGGGCAGTAGTTGTTGGTGGAGCGGTAGTTGTTGGTGGAGCTGTAGTTGTTGGTGGAGCAGTTGTTGTTGGTGGAGCAGTAGTTGTTGGTGGAGCTGTAGTTGTTGGTGGACCACCTGATGTTGGTGGACCTGATGTTGGTGGACCTGTTGTTGGTGGACCAGTTGTTGGTGGACCAGTTGTTGGTGGGCCAGTTGTTGGTGGGCCAGTTGTTGGTGGGCCAGTTGTTGGTGGGCCAGTTGTTGGTGGACCAGTTGTTGGTGGACCAGTTGTTGGTGGACCAGTTGTTGGTGGACCAGTTGTTGGTGGACCAGTTGTTGGTGGACCAGTTGTTGGTGGGCCAGTTGTTGGTGGACCAGTTGTTGGTGGGCCAGTTGTTGGTGGACCAGTTGTTGGTGGACCTGTTGTTGGTGGGCCAGTTGTTGGTGGACCTGTTGTTGGTGGACCTGTTGTTGGTGGGCCAGTTGTTGGTGGACCTGTTGTTGGTGGACCTGTTGTTGGTGGGCCAGTTGTTGGTGGACCTGTTGTTGGTGGACCAGTTGTTGGTGGGCCAGTTGTTGGTGGACCAGTTGTTGGTGGACCAGTTGTTGGTGGACCTGTTGTTGGTGGACCTGTTGTTGGTGGACCTGTTGTTGGTGGACCTGTTGTTGGTGGACCTGTTGTTGGTGGACGAGTGGTAGGTCCTCCAGAGCTTCCAACTGTAATGGTGATAGTTTCACAAATGGTGGCGGTTGTTGAGGCGGTGGTGGAGGCAGTAGTTGTAGATGGTGAGGCAGAGGTAAAGGTGGTGGTGGCAATCGAGTGTCCAGACGATGGTGGAGCAACACAATAGGCAGTCATTGGGCAACATGAAGTACCAACACATTGAGTGTTCTTTCCATAAACACAACCAAGACCACGTTCAGCACATCTCAAGGATTCACAAGTCATGTTTCTTGGAATGTATGGAGTCCATCCGTGGTGTGGTTTGCATTGTGACCAGATCTCATAGATGTCGCCATACTTGTCGGTTGCACAGCTCAAGTCCATACTGCAACTGGTTCCACGAGAGTCTACACAAACACTCTTGGTTTGTCCACAGCAACCTTGGAATGTAAGCCAACGGCATTGTGGGTATCTGGTATGACATTGATCTTTTTCGTGGATTGCTTCACAATCACAATCGGGTGGGGGTGGTGGTTGACGTTTGATACAGACTGGTTGTCCGTTTTGGAGAACACAGAAGGTTCCCCATGGGCATTGGTAGTTAGAACATGGATCTGCACCGCTGGTTTGAGAACGGATACATACTGGTTGTCCGTTTTGGATGACACAAAAAGATCCCCATGGACATTGGAAATTGTGGCATTGGTCTAAACCAGAGGTCTGACCGGAACTTGATCCACGGACACAGGTTGGACTACCGTTTTGGACAATACAGAAGAATCCATAATCACATTTGTAGTTGGAACACAAATTACCACCAGATGATGAACCTGACGATGAAGTTTGACCGGAAGAAGAGGCATGGACACAAGTTGGGACACCGTTTTGGACAACACAAATAAATCCATCGTTACATCTGTAGTTGGCACACATATTACCACCAGATGACGAGGAACCTGACGATGAAGTTTGACCAGAGGAGGAAGAGGAACCTGATGACGAGGTTTGACCGGAAGTAGAGCTTCTAACACAGTATGGGACACCGTTTTGTACGGCGCAGTAGAAATTTGGTGGACATTGATAGTTGGTACAGGCTAAACCTCCACCAGAGGAAGAGGATTGACCGGATGAACCAGAGTTGTTTGGTGGAACTGGTAAACATTTTGGTTGACCATTCTCTTCAACGCAATAGGTGTGTGGTGGACAGTTGTTGTTACGGCAGACTGCAGAACCTCCGGATGATTCACCAGAGTTGGATGGAACTGGCAAGCATTTTGGTTGACCATTCTCTTCGACACAATAGGTGTGTGGTGGACAGTAGTTGTTACGGCAGACTTCAGAACCTCCAGATGATTGACCAGAGGATGAGCCAGACGATGAACTAGAACCAGAGGTTGAACTTGGTACGCAAAGTGGTACTCCATTATTTAAAACACATTTATGGTTGTTTGGACAGTTGTAATTGATACAGGACTGTGAAGAACCGGATGAGGATGAGGATGATGATGATGATGATGAAGTGCTGGAACCAGAAGTACCGGTTTGTCCAGAAGTTGAAGCTCCTGAGGTTGATGCACCGGATGATGATGATGATGAAGCTCCAGAAGTTGATGTACCGGATGTTGACGACGATGAAGTTTGTGCACCGGTAGAATCTCCCGATTGACCTCTACACTCTGGTTGTCTTGGACAACATGAAGTACCCATACATGGTGGATCGATCATCTCACAGCTCATACCTTTGGACTCGCACTTCAAGCTGTCACAGGTGGCATTTGGAGTTGGAATACGGACTCCATCTTTAAACATACATGAGCTCCATGACTCGGCAATCTCACCATTTGGCAATTTCATACAGCTCAACTCTGATTTACAATCTTTATTAGTGGCACAATAGAAGTGTTGTTTTCCACAGCAAGTGACATACTGTAAGACAACACAATCTACACTTGAATGACATTCTGTTTCATCTGTTATTTTCTCACAAGCTATAAATTATTGTTTTAAAAAAAAAAAAATGAGGAAGATTGGTAAGTAAGATGATCGATCCAGTTTAAATTTAAATAATATTGAAGAATATCATATGTACTTTGAGCAGATGTAGTCAAAACTGTGACTGCTAGCAATATTAAAACTAAATATGGTTTCATTCTAGTTCTAATGGAAAGGGGTTGTGGTTGTTGTTCTCAATTAATTATATCTTGAGTCAATATATAATAATTGTTTGGAAATGGATAGAGGTTAAAGGTCGCTCCAATATTTATTTTATTATTTTTGTTTTAATTCGAGTATATATATATAAAGATAAATAATTAAATTAAAAGAATACTCTCTATTGATAGTTAGATAAAAAGAGAGATTAAGTAACTAGAGAGAGATAGAAAGAGAGCAAAGAAAGTTGAGAATTAAAAATAATAACAATAAATTGTTGTTTTGAATATTGATTGATCCAAAACAAAGCAACATTAAATAAATAAATTCAATTTAATTTAAACAATATTATTTAAACCAAATTGATTTGATATTATTGCACTGATATGTATTGGAATAATAATGCACATGAGTGATTGATATAATTATATTTTTACTGTGGCAACACACAAAGTGAACCATGAAACCCAACAATAATTCATATCATAATTATTTCATTCAAATCAATATTGAGGAACTATTGTGATTACAATAGAATGAATGAAGTGAACTAATCATGATCAATGCGCACCATTGAACCACCACCACCATCCCCAAACACTATGTAGTAAGTATATAAATATGTTACATTGGTAACATTCAAAATTGATGATTTCATAACATTTCCAAAAAAAAAATATATATTATTAAATCTGATATTCAATGAGTATATGTATGTATATATGTATAGATGTGTATATCAAAGAGTATTATTAATAAATTGCTCTCTCCATTCCATTTATCGTAAAAATTAATTGAACATCATTATACTAACTTAATATTAGCATCACTGTAATTACAATGATTATATGAAATGTGTTTCAACACATGTTAAATCAAAACTTTAAACCACAGTCACTTTACTGTAGAAAACAACAAACAAACACAAACAAAAACAACATACAAGTTTGATTATATTGTTATTGTGTGTTTATGTGAGTATGTGAGATGTGTGTGTTAAATGTGCTATAGAATCACATGTTTTATTATATGTTTATTTTTTGGCTGTTACCTTTTTTACATCAAAGATTGAACATTCATTTACCACTGTTCTAATACATTTGGCGCCATTGTATTGTACACATTCTATACTCTATGAAAGTTTATATTTTTATTGTGAGCGTATTCAATCAATAACAAAAACAAAAAAATGAATTTTAATGATTTAATAACAAACACACTATTTAAAAAAACAAATTACAAAAAAGTAAAGAGAGAATGAGTAAGTGAGTGAGACTACCATTACTAGTAGTATTAAGATTTGATTGGGTATTTGAATTTTTATTAAATCATATAAATTATTGTGAAATTATAATTGTTTAAAAATAATAATGATTAATTATAATTATCAAAGAATGAATAAATGATTTTGATTATTGAGTTGTTAAAAATCTGTTTCAGGATGATCACTAGATTCTGTTGCACTGGTTTCTGTTGCCGATGTAAAAATGAATTCCGGTAGTAGTGACTGTCTCTTTTGTTTTCTGATAGATAATACACGTTCGTCGACTTTACTTTGTTCTTTGATTGGCAGCAGTTCGACGTCTTTGATGGGAAGGTGTTCTAAACTGCAGGTCAGTGTGTTCGAAGTGGAGTCGGGCTCACGACAGACACCGACCAGACCATCGCTATTCTGATAGAATATCTCTTTGAGTGAGATAACAACGAATTGAGTCTTCTTTTGCTCGGTCGATTTGCTTCGTACGTAACGCACCAACTTTAGTACGTTGATATTGTCAAAGGCGGCATCGACTTCGTCCAGCACAAAGAACGGCGTTGGACGATACTGGTGCAGTGCAAACAGCAGTGCAAGAGCAGCGATCGACTTCTCACCACCGGACAGCTGATCCATCTCTTGATAACGTTTGTTCGGTGGAATGGCAGTGTATTTGACACCGGCGTTGAAAGGATAGGCAGTGTCCTCTACAGCCAACTGAGCACTTCCCTTCAAGTATGGTGGATACAAGTCACGTGTCAGCTCTGCATAGATCTGATTGATCTTCTTTGATATCGAATCGAAAGCACGGTTGAACAACAGAGTTCTATCCTTTCTGACTTTGGCAAATGCTTGGTCTGCTTGCTTGGCGACCTCACGCTTTGATTCCAAATCTTGGATGGTGTCTTTCAGTTGTTTGGAAACGACACGTGAGTGTTCGTATGCCTTCAGATTTGGATTGTAGGTTTCCATCGATGTCTTTATCTTGTGAAGATCGTGAGAGAATTCCTTCAACTGGTAATTCAAACGCTCCTCTGATTTTATGACGATGTCCTCGACCAATGCGAAATCGATTGGAATGCCAATGTGTTTCTCGTAGAATTCATCTTCCTCTGGATCCATTACATCGGGTGGCAACTCCACTAGTGAACCAAAGTTGTTGTCCGCTTCATCCTCGAGGTCGTCTTCATTGTCCGAGTCGAAATCCTCATCATCGGAATCGTGATAGACACGCGATAAATCGTTATCTGTTTCCTCCTCTTGTTCGGTCTCTCCTTTTTCAGCTCATCACTTTCACTGGCAGTTGATTTTCTCTTTCTAGATTTCTTTGCAAAAGACTTTTCCTGCTTCTTCTTTTTTTCAACTTTCTTCTTTCCACCTTCTTTCTCTTTTTCCTTGTCTTGTCCTTCTCCTTCTTCTCCTTCGCCAACATCTTTCATTTCCGTATCTTCATCCTCTAGTTTTGTCATAGGAATTCTAATATTCTCTGTTTTTGCTTCCAATAAATGTGAATGATATTCTTTCTTTAATTGTCTAATTTCATTCAACTAAAATGAAATAATAAATATATTAATATAAATCAGCAATCTATCAATTTTTATGTTATGAATTTAAAATACATACTCCAACCATTGTTTGATTTTCAATTTGTCCTCTCTTGAAATTATTATCTGAAATCTTCTTTTTAATATCTTTGATAGCTGTATTCATATCTACCAATGTAGATTTCAAACCTATTATAATAAACAATAAGAGATTAATATAAATTATTTAGTAAAGTTTTTTTTTTTTGTTTAAAACTTACTTTTAACTTTTGTATTTAAATCTTTGGATTTTGATTCAAACTCTGAAACTTCTCTTTGACAATCTTCTTGAAGTTCAATTTGTCTGTCAAGAGTCGCTTGGTTTGCTTCGAGGTCTGCACGTAGTGATTGGATTTCCGATTCGAGATTTCTGGAGCTTTCGTATTCAAGTTGATTCTTGATTCTAGAGATCGCTTGTGAAAGTGCCATCTTCTCTGTCGATGCCTGTTGTATCTTTGAGAGACGTTCCTCTTCAAACTCCTTGATGTTCTTGACACCGAGTTCATTGCTCAGATCCTTGAACAACTCCTCTTCGACTGCGTTGATATCGAATGTAAGTTCATTGATTTGTTCTTTACGCGAGCCAATCGATTGCTTCAGTTTGTCAGTTTCTGGCGCGAGCTTGGCGAGTTCCTTGTTGAGAGTGTCCAGCTCCTTGGTGTTACGGTTGATACGCTCCTGTAGTGGCGCCATTGTAATGCGATTGGTGTTGACAGACAGTGTCATTTCATTGACCTGATTGTTCATCACCTGAATATCGTTGATACTAACGAGTTTCGATGCGATCTCTGCCAGTTCCTGTTGAATGGAATCACGTTGTTTCTTCAGCTCCTCGATCTTGCTCTCGTCCAACTTGGTCTTTGACTTCACTCCCATCAGACCACCACTCATCAAACCGGTCTTGGTGATCTTTATGCCCTGAATAGTGACGACTTTGTGACGCTGATACTGGTTTCCAAAAGCGAGTTGTTTCGCTTCGTTCAAACTGTCGCAAACCAACGTGTTTCCCACGACATATCTTACGGCTGGCTCTATCACCTTGTCAAACTTTAGACAGTCGATCAGCAGCTTTGAAGTACCACCTATCTGACGGAGTTTGGGATCGAGTGCTTTCGGGTTGAGCCGATCGAGTGGCAGGAATGTAGCTGTTCCATAGAGCTGCTCTTTCATGTATTCAACGCAGGTGTATGCAGTCTTTTGAGTGTCGACGACGATGGCATCGTTCAACTTACCCATGGCAACAGCGGCGGCAGTTGCATACTTCTTCTGAGTGTGCTCCACCAAGTCGGAGAGACGACCTCTTACGTCGGGCATCAGGTTTTTCAACGATGCAATAATCAAGTTCATTCTCTTGTCTTTGTCCTTCTCGTTCTTCTCTGTCTTGTCCTCCGATACAATGAATTGAATACGATCCAACTCCGAGGACAATTGACTCTGTCGGTTCAGCAATGTCTTGTTGTTGCCTGTCACATTCTTTAGTTCCTCTTTGAGTGCATCGAGTCGCGCTGCAGTATCATTCGCCACCTGAGTGGACATCTCCAAACGCTCCTTCATCTTCTCGCTGGTCTCGAGCAGCTGACTTTTCATCTTTTCCAAATCCTCTTTCTTTGCTTCCATTGTCATGAGTGAAGCATTCTCGATATTCTGTTGACGCGTCAGTGAATCCACTTGTTTCTTCAGGTCGGCAGTGTCTCTTCCAGCCTGTAACTTTATTGCACTGTATTGCTCCATCTGCTCACGAGTGAGATCGATCTTCTTGGCAATCTCCTCGTTGTCAAGCACCGACTCTTGTCGCTCCAACTCGAGTAGCTCCGTTCGCAACTGGTCGATAGTCGTCAACTGCACCGAATGATTCTTCTCTGCGCGCTCAATATAATGAGTGATTTTCGATATCCTATCGTTGAGTTGCTTGATCTCCTCAGAGATCTTTAACGCGCCAGGTCGTCCATGATCCTTGTCCTTGCCGACCGACTCTAGCTCATCCTCAAACTTCATCAGCTGTTTGTGTGTTTCCGCCTGTTTCTTATTGGATTGCTTGAGCTCGCCTTCCAACTCCTCCGATTCCTTCACCAGCGCGGTCAGCTGCACCTCCATACCCAGCAGCTTCTCCGACAGCTGATGGATCTTTCCGAGACGGTATCGCAACGAGAGCAATATCATCTTCACACGGATTCCCTCTTGTTTCGAAACAAACTCTCTAAACTCTCTTGCCTCTGCGAGTTGCGCGTTGATCTGCTGCTTCTCGTTGCTGATCGACTTCTTCTTGCTGTACGTGAGTAGCACGTCGTCCTCTGCCACCTTCTTTGCCTGCAGTTTCTCGTCGTACTCGCTCTTCAACTCGGACGAGCCCGAGACCTGCTCGATCAGCGTTGTGATATGCTTGGCGTTGTGCATCACAATATTGACGACGTCACCTTGGAACACAAAGAAATTCTTACAGTTGACATGCACATCCAAATCGGCCAACTGCCGTTCATACTCCTCATACTTTAGCAATGTATCATCGATGAAATACTGTGACTGTGCAACTTCTCTCTCTGATTCCTCGCCATCTTTATTCACTGTCTTTTGTCTCTGAATGATAATCTTTCTCGTAAAAACATGATGTTTATCAGTTGGTTTGTGATGATAATTCATCTTTACAAATGAATCTTCTAAAATAATAATAATAATAATAATAATAATAATAATAACATTAGTAAAAGTTAGTTAAACATTTGTAGATGTATACTCTTAGAAAACATACTCATTAAATCATCATTATTATTATTATCATCAGATGTTGTTGTATCTTTCTCTTTCATTGGTTTAAATATTAGATCAGTCAAGTTTGTACCTCTGATCTGTGATGATTTATAACCCAGTACGAAAATGATTGCTTCCATCAAATTCGATTTACCTGAACCATTAGGACCGATAATACATGAAAACTGTTTAAACGTTCCAATCACATGATGACCTTTATATGATTTGAAATTATTTACTTCCAAACTGACAATAACCATATTTTATTTTTTATTTTATTTTTCTAATCTTATAAATACTATAATTTCTTTATTCTTAATATATATTAATTTATCTCGTTATTATTTATATACAAATATTAATATATATTATATTCAATTCATTATTAATTAAAAAAAAAACAATAACAACCTGAAAATCAAAACATTAATAAATTTACTTTGAAAAGGCGCCAAAATAAATTCCAGTAAAAAAAAAAAAAAATCAAAACAAGATAAAAAATTTGAGCATAATGTTTTTATGATCATGAATTTATATATTTTAAGATTAGGGAAAATCTTATAAGTTTATTTCAATGATCATGCAAATATATTTATAAAAAAAAATTAATAAAAAGGTAAATTATAATTATACTGAAAAAAATTAAAACAAGAAAGGGTGAAAAAAAGGATTTTGAAAGTTTCATCGATTGGATTGTTAATTGTGTGTTTTTTCCCAACCCAATAATATCTTTGCAAAGCATTTTTTAAAAATAAAAAAAAAACAAAAAAAAAACAACTATTTCTCATTTCATTTTTATATGTTTTATATGTTTAGTATACACAAAAAACTCACACACCTTAAACTTATTAATTTAATTTTATCTGTTATTATCTAAAAATAAAAATAAAACTCTCTTTAATATTCCATTTTTATTGGTTGTTTATTCTTTCCATTCATTAATTCATTAATTCATTACATAACATTCAGAATTCTTACTTTCTATCTTTCTTTCTTACTTAATTTTGTGTTTGTTACGATTTCTTAAACTAGATGAATTTGAAATAAATTTGTTATAAAAATATAATTATATAAATATATATTAATAAATAAAAGATAGATAGAATAAGAAGAAGAAGAAGGTGAGAATTTATTTATCATTGTTATAAATAACTATTTTTATAAATGATAGAGATAAATAATAGTAATCGTACTAGTGACGCGGTTGACAATGTGGCTGCTGTCAACAATGTCAGTGAGTACGATCGTTGTGTCGATGATTCAACGCTGTCTTGTAATCATGTGGATGTCACCAATACATCTTCTACCACTTCCAACCTTAATGACAGTCACGATAGTAATATCAGCAGCAGTAGTAGTAGCAATAGTAGTAGCAGTAGTATTGGAACAACAACAGCACTTGAACAACAGATGGTAAACAAAATAAAAATAGAAGATTCCGTCTTCAAAGAAGAGGATCTAGCACAACTATGTACCATTTCAGAACCTGTGGATCCACATTCCACCAACAGTAATAATACAGCAACGACAGCAACTCCAATCAATGATGATATAAATGATAACAACAAAAGCAGTAGTAGTAGTACATGTAGTGAAAATGAACAACCACCACAACAACTTACTTATTTAACAAATGTACAAATATTCCAAAGATCGCCTATCTTTGCTAAACTAAAGTAAGGATTCAATGAATGAGCGAATGAAAACAATTTATTATGATAATATATTAATGAACATATTTATATGTATATTGTGATTTTTTATAGACCACCTGCAATGAAAGAACATGTTAATACATTCCCTAAGCTTGAAAAGATAACACCACTTGAAATGGAATGGATGGAACAAGTTATGGTTTGGAATACAGCGCAACGTGATTGCACAAGACTCTGTAGACTTGGTATTCCTGCGAGATTGCGTGGTTTCATATGGCGTCTGTGCTCGGGTGCAGTCGAGCTAGAAAAGAAGAACATTGGTGTCTACCATTACTTTCTAACCAAACAATCCGATGAATATGAATACAAAATCTCCAAAGACATTGCAAGAACATTTCCAAAAGTTGAACAATTCTCAAAAGAACAAGGGTAACACTTTCACATTTCAATGTACAAATTGATTCAAATACTAATATCTTTATCAATATATATCTAGTCAAATTGCTCTTTTCAATATTTTAAAAGCTTATTCTGTTATGGATCCAGAGATTGGCTATACTCAAGGTATGAGTTTTATAGCTGCTGTTCTCTTGTCTGTAATGGATGAAATTGTATGTATTTAAATCAATCATTCATTCAATTATCTTTTATTATATTCTAACATTCTTTATTTTAAATGTGACTCAACTATAGGAATCGTTTTGGACATTTACAGGAATATTAAAGAATTATAAACTTTCAACGCTTTATTCAAATGATTTGTCATTGTTGAAAAAGTATCTCTATGTGATTGACAGACTCATTGAAATAGTTTTACCCAAGCTGTTTTCGCATCTCAAGGAGATCGGTGTAACACCTGTGCTATTTGCAAGTGAATGGATATCAACTTTGTTCACCTACAACTTTAATCTGGAGATCAGTGTCAGATTCTGGGATGTATTCTTTGTTTCTGGCAGATACTATCTACATCGTCTGGTACTTGCAATACTCACCATATACGAACGACAACTTTTACAATACGATTTCGAGGGTGCCGTTGAATTCCTCAAGAAAGTTGGAACGATCATCAATCCAGATCATGCAATATCAGTGGCTGATAATATTCAAATCACTGTGTAAGTATTATTAGTTTGAATTATATTATATATATTTAACATTTAAACTAAAACTTCACTTTTCTTTATCTATAGTTCTAAAATTGAAGAATTGGAAGAAGAATATGATCATCCTGATTGCGGACCTAGTGATTATTTCTAAGCATTTTCATTTTTTTTTAGTTAGTTTTGTTTTGTTTTTTCAATCTTCAATAAGTTAAGTTATAGTGATAGATAGATATTAGCTATATTAGTGAATCACTATTATTAGATATATATATATACTATTATTCTATTATATTATATTTTTGTATAATTTCATTAATCTCCTCCCACTCCCAAACTCCCCTTTTAAACATATACCAACAAATCTTTTTTTTTTTTTTTTTTTTTATTATTATTTTAAATCTGCTCCAAATAAAATATAGAGAGAAATATAATATTTAATGTTATATTTTAATTTATTTAGATTTAGAAACAACATATGGTATCTTTAAACATTTAATCTTTAAAAATGAGCAAAGTTGTTGTATAGTTTCCTTTACGAATATACTGTAAATGATAAAACTACAAATTGAAAATGAATATAATAATGTTGTTTCTTCAATGATTGAACTAAAATGATAAAGATAGATAATATATATATGTTAATATACAAATGGGTATTTTGATTGGTTAAATGTTTGGTTACTTACACTCCCATAGAGAAATTGGTAATGGAAATTAAAGTTGAAATAATCAATGGATACAATGGAAGTTGGAATACACTGTATTTAATATGACACATATGTGATAGAATTAAACGACTCTGTGATTGCAATAGAAATAGAAAAGCAATAATTAGTTTAAAACTTGATAATATTTCAATAGTAATAATAATACTTACAACTAACTCTCCAAATAGAATACCAATGGATAGTTGAACGGTTCTTGGATTCTTCATCCAGATCGATTGTGATCCGTAGATGGAAGTTGAGGTGTAGTACCAGGCGAATGCACAACCGGTCATGATCATCCACACCAAGATGTGTTTCATAGCGGGTGCAACTGGTTTGCCTTTTTGACGGAGTGCTCTACTGACGTTTCTGATGTTCACTACGACTGTGATCAGTGTTGGAACGGTCAACGCTATAACAACGAGGAGATTGAGCTTCGACTCGAGAACAACGTTCGGGAGGAGACGTGCAACGCTCGATTGCTCACCGATCAAATGACGAAGAGGAGTGGTCCAAATCGATGCTCCAAACAAACCGGTACTCAAGAACATCAAGCAGATAATGACGATACCTTCGTCAGGACCGTTGATCTTACCGAGATGCAGAGTTCCAGTGTGATACTCCTCCCATGTCGCCATCCAGAATGGCAATAACGCTGTCATAAACAATTGGAATACCGGGAGGAATCCATTACCATAACATGCGATACTTGCTGCTGTCAATGATTGTAACTAATCAAAATGAATGTATATGTATATGTGTATGTGTATGTGAGTGAGTATGTGTCTTGAATGTGATGATTATATCGTATAAAATATGATAAAACATACAGTACAAACAATGGAATCACAACCATGATCAAATAACTGACCCAATGGAGAACTTGTTCCAGTACGTCTGGCTTGTCTACCATCTAGATTGTCCATTGTCTGGTAGAAGAACAGTGATGCTGCACAAAATAAATAAACCCAAGTTGGCATGACACCATCAAGATATGGAGAATACCATCCAACAATGAAAAATGATACAATCACTGCAAATGTACCTGTTAATGTGATCTAAAGAAAGAAAAAAGAAAAAAAGGAAAAAGTATAATAATGAACAAACAGTTAAAAAAAAAGAACTGGAATGTTGATGACGATGACGATGACGATGAAATGATGATGAAGTTCACCATTCATTTATTCATTTAACTGCATGCAGAGAATAGTTACAAGATTAGGAGCAATCCATAATGGAACCAATTTGATGCAGAGATCCCAATATCTTCTTAATATAAGCTTTGCAAGAATGGAATCATCGATACCTGAATATTTATGATTGCCAAGATTGGTTAATGCCTCTTGTGATATTCTCCAAAACATTTCTTAACCAATCTTTATTTTTGATATTAAAAAAAAAAAGGAACTAAAAAGATATGAATATTTATAAATTGAATATAATATGAATTGATTCGTTAAAAATTCAACTTTAACTAAGTCTACACATTTGCCTGAATGGGTATTCCCACAACTTCACTGACTAAAAAATATTTATTTTGACTTTATTTTTAAAAATTTAAAATTTTAATTTTGCTTTTTTTTTTTATCCAATAATAAATTTCCTCTACCTTTTTTGTGCACAAAAAATATCTTCAATCATTCGCTTTCAGATGCGAAATTTACAACGAAATTTATAACAAAATCTAGTTTTGTTCATTCATCATTTTTTTTTGTTTTCAATTTAATTTATTTTCTTTATTGGTGTAGATAATAGACAAGTAATAATGTAACTTACTAAAATTTATTTGTTTTTTTATTTGTTTTTTTAAGAATATAAAAAGTAGTGTTTTGGGATGCCGAACACAATCCCTTGTCTTGCGTAGTTCGGATGGTAACCGTCCTTTATCGAGGGGTTTGCCGAATTTCTCTCCTTTTCAACAAATTGAATTGATGAAATATCTTTGCAAACAAAATGTGTCATTCATTTTGCCATTTTTAAAAATATTGATTATGGGTTTAATTAATTAATCCACATTACTAGCATATATCTGTATGGTAATAAATTTCTAACCAAATCTATAGCTATTTAAAATATATCTTAAAATAAACTTTAAATTGATAAGACTTTGATTAATAGAGATAAACAGAAAAAATTTGGAATAAACACAATCATCTTTACATCATCAACCTTTTTAAGCGGTGCTCATGGATGACAAAGATCTTTTAAATTTTTGGAAGAGGTTTTTTTTTTTTTTTTTTGATCAGTTTTTATTTTTATTTTATTTTTAATGATAGACAGACATAAAAGGACCTTTTAATATATCTTTTTTTTTCTTTTAATAATATCGTTAAACTATAGTGTAAATACATTAAGTACATAAATAAAAATGGTGCTTCCATTGCTCAAAGTTGGTAGTTTGTTCATCAAGAGTTTAGCAAAGCCATTCTCAAAGCAAATCAAAATAGTTGCTAGTAAATCACCAAGATTTCACGCATCTGTTGTTTGGGTTGCTAGAGGTTTCTATAAAATAGGTACGTACCTAATTATATTATCGTAGTAAAAACAACAATATAATATCAAATGATTAATCATTTATGTTTGATTCATTTTGTTTGTTTTTGATTGATTGATTTGATTGATTCGATATTTATTGATTGGTAAACTGGTTTAATTGGTTGGTTGGTCGGTTTGGTTGGTTATTCAGACTTATATTTATCAAAGTTAAGTGGTGATAGTACGAGAAAAGCAGCGCAACTCAATGTTAACAGTGCGATTGATTTGGGAAGTGAGATGGCCAGTGAATTCTTCTTGTTGAGCGTTGCAGTCGGTCTGTTGTTGTTTGAAAACAAGAGATCCGCCGACAAGGACAAAAAGAAAGAGGAAACACTCAACGCGAAATTCAACTCACTCGAGGAAAACATCAGAGCTCAGTCCGACGAGATCGATCTACTCCGCAAACAAATAGACTTGCTCTATGGCGAGAACAATGTATTAAAAGGAAAAATTATAGAATCTGCACTTTCACCATCATCATCATCATCAACGTTATCATCATCAACCGACAGTAAATCAACATACACAGGTATTGGCTCAATCTTTAAATATTAAAGCTATTAATTAATAGAGATATAAATAACAATACAACAAGCAAACAAACAAACAAACAAACAAACAAACAACTATATATAATATAAAAGTAAATAAAAGATAAATAATAATATAAGTAACATTATTATTGTAATATTAAAAGAATAATAAGCTTTTTTTTTTAGATAATAAAGTCTATTAAAAAAAAACAAACAAACATCATATTATAGTTATATTTACAAGTTTATTAATCGATTTTTAAGTTATTATATTATATTATTATATATTGTTATTGTTGTTGTTGTTGTTAATACAATCCTTTTTTACAACGATTATCATTATGTAATTTAAAACAAGCAGGACTACAATATCTGTCTGTACACTGTTTGCAAGAGTATGAACTTATTCCACCACAAACTGAGCAAAAACTTCTGGCTGGATAGATGGATGGTGATGACTGTGATGTTAAATATGTTGGAATATGTGATGGATATGTTTCTAAATACTAAAAATAAATAATAGATTAATATTAATTATATGTGATTATTATTATTATTATTTTTTAACTAAATCATGATTGACATACAGCTTTTTCTAATACAGATTGAAATTGTAGTATCCTCGATTCCGATTTCTTTTTCTCTCTTTCACGATTTATTTTTCTTTTGTTCTTTGGTGTATTGTAGATGAGATCGTCGTCATCGTCTTGATAGTCATCGTCATCGTCTTGATCTTGTGGCATCTCATTGTCATTCTCTAGTTGTTCAAGATGTGCCTGAATGTTTCTCTCTTTCAATGTCTGTCTGTCTTGTTCATTGTTTATTCTGAATCGTTTCGAAAGCGATGCTTTTCTCTTGGTATTCGTATAGTCTGTGGAAAGTACTGCTGTCGATTGAGTTGGAGTTGTTCCTCCACTATTTTTTGGTGTATGTGACATTATTGTTATTATTATTATTAATATTCACTTATCAACAAATATTATCTTTTCTTTTCTTTTTTTTGTTGTAAACTATTATTAGTTTGATAGTTAACAGTCAGTCTTCAAAACTGCTTGCTCACTCTTTAAATTTATTTTTGTAGTTCAGTTTAGTTTTTTTTTTTTATTTTCAAAAAATTCGAATATCTCATTGATTGTGTTTTTTTTTTTTGGCTCTGTGTGGTGATCATCTTTTTTTCATTATATTGTAGTTTTATTTATCTGTTTGATTGATCAATCATATTCAGTAGCTACTTAATTTGACGAAATAAATCAACTATATATCATTACTTTTATATCTAGATTTCATTCTTTTTTTCTCTTTTGAAATATTTATAATATTTAAATAGAATGTTCACTTCGAAATTAGCTAGACAATCATCATTGTAGGTTTCATCATAATTTAGTTACATACATTCTCTAGAGATAAGAGTCTATTCAGATTAAATACGATAGACTTATTTTGTATAAAAGTAGAATATAAGATCAGATCTATCATTTAATATCAGATAAATCGATTTACAACATATCATATTCAATCTAGACAGTCAATAAAAAAAAAAAAGAGAGAAGAGAAAGAAGAGGAATCTGTATAATTAATATATGTTTTTATTTTCAATACTATTATAAAAACAATAGGTTGGTTAGATCATATGCAACAGCAGCAGGCAAACAACAATTCAAATTGTCAACAGAATCGATTGCAGATAGATTGAAGAATGTATCAGAGAAATATCCATATTATGATGCATTGCTGTTCCCAAATGAATCAAACAGTTTGAAGTTCAATTTTCAAGAGATGTGGGGATCGGTCAGTGGTCTTGCCAGTGGTTTCGTTGAATCCAACCTCAAGTCTCAAGAAGCTGTTTTGACCAACGCACCACAATCATCCGAACATATCATCACTCAAATGGCTGCATCAACTGCCGGTTTAACTTTTGTCCCAGTTGCTCCATCATCAACTTTACCACAAATTGGGTATGTTTTAAAAAATCAAATCATCAAAAGAAACAGATAGATCAGTATCTAACAATTTTTAAAACTAAATATCGATTTATTTACAGAGAAGTTCTTGCTACATCATCAACAAAGGCATTCGTTCTTGCAAATCAAAAGAGTAGAGAGATCGTCGACGAAGCAATCGAATATTTCCCAACTTTGGACAGCAGTAAATATCGATAAGAAAAAAAAATCGGTGAATGAAAATAATCAAGATATAATATTAACTATATTGTTATTTATTGAATCGTTTAATTTTTAGTGGGACACGACGAATATTTCAAAGACAACAGATATCCATCATTGAGATACATCATCTCCACTGGTAATGCTCAAGAGCCAGGTATCGATTTATATAAGGAATTTGTACTCCAAGTTAATCTCCTCAACAAGACTAAAACTTCAGCCAATCAAATCTCTACTTTACTTCCATCCACCGTAAGATTATCTAATAATATTTCTAAATTGATTATCAATAATTAATTGTTATTATTATCATTATTTTTAGGATGGTAAATTAATTGGATATACTCATGGATCATTATTAAATACTGGAGATTCATTGGTTCAATTGTTGGGATTGAAAAGACATGAAAGAGTTTCATTTGCAGTTCCATTCCACAGTGGTTCATCGTATGCATTCTATTTGGGATGCTTGTCGAATGCCTCGACTGTCATTGTTCCAGCCCACATTTTCTCAGTGGAAACAACCCTCAATACCATCACACAGAATAAATCAACTGTGCTCTTTGTCACTGGTGAGCAACTCGATGCCATCTTGAACTTTGACAAACTCTCTAAATTCAACACCACCACTTTGAAGACTGTCGTCGTCGCCGGAAGCAACGTCTCTGCCGCCACCTTGAAGTCGGTCCAAGACAAACTCAAGGTCAACAACGTATTCGGTGTCGAGCTCGTTGAAAACACTCCAGGTCAACTCGCCGGTGTCGTATTCAATCAATCGGGTGCCGGTCAGCTTTTGCCAGGTGTCGAATCAAAGGTCGACAACGGAGTACTCTTCACCAAGGGATACCACGTCAATAGCAACACAAAGGAATGGCTCAACACTGGAATCAAAGCTAAAATCAACCAAGATGGAACTGTATCTAGAAATTAAATTACAACAATCCATTTAGAAAATAACAATATAACAACTCATCAAATATAATAATAATAATAATAGTAATTAATAGTTTTCAATTGAAAAAAGAACAATTGCTTTCTTTTTTTTTGTAATCATCCAAATCAAATACCGAATACTCTATAACAAAAATATTTAAATAAAAATTAAATAATACAATATTTATTTTATTTTCAATGATTTATTTGACGGAACTATTCAATACAAATCAATCTGATTGAAATAAACCTATTGAATAGATAAAGAATATCAAATCTATCATTTCCTAAGCTGAGAATCAGATTGTTTGATATCAAAAGAAACAAATCATATAAATATTCATTCAAATTGAGACTGTCACTTGATCTGAGATTGATACTGGATCAGAGACTAATACTTTATCTGAGAGAGCTCAAAAACCAATCAAAGATCACCCAACTCAAAATTTCTTCCACTTTAAATGAATACTATTCTATTTTTGAAAGACTTATTTATACACGAATTCATGTTTTTTTTTTGAAACATGTTAATTTTTAAATATTGTTTTTGTTGTATTTCAACAATTTAAATTAATCTTTTTTGTTGTCCACTCATAAACTTTGATATATGTTTTTTGAAACTCTCTTCATAAAACCATTTTTTAATAGTATTTTTTCATATCTATTATCTTTTTTTATTTATCTATTTATCTATCTTTTATAAATAATGACAATAAATAAATTAATACAATATCAGATTATAAATCAATTGTTTAAAGGTAATGGTGGTAGAAAGTACCATACATTGAGAGAATACTCAGAAAGTGAAACAGTAGATCAAAATAACTTTGGTTTTTATTATTTCAATCGAATAATCTTTGATTTAGTGGCACCATCCGTTATATTGAACTATGCTTTGGTCAGTAGAGAATGGTATAAATACATATCGGGAGTGTTATTCAATAGATTCTATCAGACAATCATATTCGATGAAGCAGAGGAGGATACACTTGTCGATCTGTCAAAGGAGTACTCAATGTATCGATTCGATAGTGTGACTATACTCTACTTGGATTTTATTGGAGAATGTGGTACTCCCGATGACAATTTCCAAGAACGAATGGCAGAGCTCTTCAATTGGGTCAACAAGTTCAGATCACTCTCTAGACTGGTTCTCAACACTGGATCTTTAAAACTTGTAGCTGAAATAATCAAACAATATCCAACAGTAAAGGTCGAAGTTAATGTTGAAATTGGAGATGATATGAATCTTGGTTTGAACAATGATCTCTTGAGAACGGAATTTAACAATCTGGAGTATGTCTATTTCGATGCCTCTTCTGTGTTTGGGGTTCTCAGACAGCTCGAAGGTGAAGATAATATGTCATTCTTTGAGGTAATCAGACAATGGAGAGTCAATGGTTTTCAATTTGATTATGAAGACAATGAAGAAGGCAACCTTTTGAAGAATAGATTTGAAGGAATATTCAAGATTCAGTCACTAGAGAATATTGTCATTATCAATGGAGCAATCGATACATCGGAATTGATTTTCTTGGTCAAAGACAACACTCATATTCAAACTTTCAAATCGTTCTTACCATTTGGTTTATATGATCACAAGGAACCACAGACCGTAGAGGAAGAAGAAGTTTTTCAATTGTGTGATTGTTTGGTATCGAATTCACTTGATCCAATTGAGATGAATAGAACATGCTCCAAAAACAACAAGATTGAACATTGGTATGAATTCTGTGATTCATTGGCAACCAACAAGACTCTCAGAGTATTAAATCTTCAGAATATGTGTGAAGCCAAAATATTCTCAACTCATCCACCTTCAAAATCTGGAACTATCAATCATGCCTCCCAATCATTCGGTTCAGCATTGTCTATCAACAACACACTCACAAGATTAACAATATCAGGCCAAGTTATTTCGAATTCATTCTATGATGTGCTCGCACAATCAAATAGATCAATCAGTCATCTCTCGATTAAAGGATGTCCATTGTCAGATCATTTAGGATCAATCACCAAAATGATTCAAAAGAAACCATTGGTTAAATTATCAATAGTCTATAATGATGGTCTTGCAGATAGAGATAACGATGAATTCGGTCAGCATTGGAGTGACTTTTGTTCAACTATTTCAACCAACAAAACAATTACATCTTTGAAGATAGTTGGTATGATATCGAATTCACTCAAGGTAAATAAGGACTACCACCTTAAACTACTGAAGATAACACTCAAAGGTCAAAAACCAATGACAATCATACAATCTCAAAGATTTTGTTCAGCAATTTCAGTCAACAAATGGATTCAATCACTCTCTATCTCGTGTAATTTGATTTCAGATTGCAAATTATTTTATCAGGTATTATCAAGCTCCGATCGGAATCAATCGATCAAACATCTTCATTTGAAAGATTGTGATTTGAGTCATTTACAAGCAGTCTCAGAGATGTTATTGTTGAACAAATCAATAACAAGAATGAAAATTCACAGTTTTGTTGATGAAAGACTATTTTTACTCTATTTCTATGATGAAGTGTTATGTGAACACAAGAAACAAGAATTTGGAGAAAGGGTGTCAAAAACAAACAAATCATTTGCCAAATCATTGGAAATCCATCAACTTGCCAAGTTGACATTGGTTAGAGATCATTTCACTGAACAATTTATGAAATCTCTTGATAAAGACTCCAAAATCAAAAACATTATTGAAATGTGTTCACACTAAACTTATACTGAATTTTAAATAAAAGAAAACCATTTATTTAACATTTTATAAATGTATTAAAAAAAAAAAACTATTTATTTCTAGTGGAAACTAATGTTTGACAATGCGTTGATTATAATTTATTTTATTTTTTTGTTAATTTTTTGCAAACTTTAAATTTTGTTTAGATCTGCTATCATTAAACAAAAATGTTTTATTTTAATGATTTTATTTAAAATTTTGAACTTCTTTCAAATAAATGAAAAAAAACTCCAAAATAAAATTTTTTAATGTTTGTCGATCATATTCATTAATAAATTTTTGAAAGATGATTTTTTAGTTATAAAGATGAAAGAATTACAAAAACTATTACAACATAGGATTATAAACGATGTATTCCATACTTACTTATCTTATCCAACATGGAAAGAAGCAGTGGAGAAAGAAATATTGGTGAATAAATACTATATGGGCATGGATTACTATAATCAAAACGATCTTTTACAACCTGGTAGACCTAAATCTCGATTGTTGCTAAAGTTTGCAATGGTGTGTAAAGATTGGTACAACTATATTGTCAGTCATCTTTCCACAGGTTTCATTTATGCGGATTTTATGTTTGTAGCCAAACAAAAGATTGGAAAGAATCTATATACATTCCTTTCGAAACCAAAGAGTCTCTATCGTTACAACAATATAAAGACGCTATACTTGGATTGCTATTTAGGTGAAGTTCATCCTGGAGCTGGTCGAAATCTTGAGATTGCTCGTATCATCCAATGGGTATCGAAATTCACTGTGCTCGAGCGTGTCTTTGTCTCTACGGTCAGTTCAAGACTGGTCAAGCAACTGTTGGATCGATTCCCGAATATAAAGGTTGAGGTTGACATCTCGGAGACTGAATCTTGCGATGTCAATTCGATGGAAGAGGATCTGTCGAAATACGATCATTCACGATTGGAGTTTGTCTATTACAAGACATTGCCAATGACAAACCTGCAGGAATCTTTGAACGACAACATCAACGCGATATACAATCATATCAGAAAGTGGAGAGTCGATTACATCATATTCAATTACAAGAATGAACAATTGGAACCGAGAACACTCTTTAGGAATCGTTACAAGATGTTGTTGTTGATCAAAACGATCAAGAACGTGAAAATTGTCGATGACGTAGTCGATACATCGGAACTCAAGTGGGTAGTCGACAACAACAGTCATCTCGAATCTTTCAAAGCGTTCGTACCGTTAAGTCTGCTCGACTTCAAGCAACAAAGTAAGAACTACAAGGTACCACACCACGAGGAAGGCTGTCGATGTCAGGACTGGATCGATCCAGATGACCCTTACACACTTAGACTCAATCAAATCAATGAGAACGAACTTGGACATTTCCAGGTGTTCTGTGAAGCATTGGCGACCAACAAGACTCTAAAATCACTGACTCTCAAGAATCAATGTAGACAAATACATGAAGTTGCAACTGGACACAGTCTTTCACAAATGGCACTTCTGTCAGCGTCGGGTTTCTTGCGTAAAGCCTTGGCCGAAAACAACACACTCACTTTTCTCTCTATTTCATCTAGTATACTCGGTGATTCTTTCTTCAAGACGATGGCAACTGACAATCGAGCGATCACTCACCTCAAACTTACAGAAGTTCAACTCACCTTTACACTTGATAGTCTGACAGAGATGCTCAAACAAAATCACTCGATTACCAGTCTTAATATCAAGTATGAGGAGTACGACAAGAAACAAACATCACGAATCAGTCCTGCATGGGATTCATTCTGTAAAGTGTTGACAATCAGTACCACCCTTAAGAAACTGAGCATCGTCAGTATGGAGGCAAGATCAAACTTGAGATTTGGTAATGAAGATATTAAGTACTTGGTGCAAGAAAACCCATTGGCAGCAGCTCAGTGCAAATCATTTGGAAAGGCACTTGCCAGCAACCAATCAATAGAATCACTCACATTATCATGTCCATTATTCTCTGATTGCAAGGTACTCTACCAGTCAGAGTCACGAACCAATCAAACACTGAAAGAGCTTCGATTGAAAGACTGCACATTGGATCATTTCCTTGAGATGTCAAGGATGTTAAGAATCAATAGATCGATAACCAGACTTTCAATCTACTCTTTCAATGATTCTCAATCGTATGGTTACTTTTCAGAGGCATCTAGGAATAAATCAGCGATGGCCGATAAGATCATTCAATCAGTTGATACTTTTACAAAGGCATTGAAAACTCACCGTCTTTCAAAATTAACATTGGAGAACGAAGATTTTTTAGATTTAATTGACGAACAGATTATAGACATGTATGGTGACTTGACAGGATTCGATGAGATGGATTATTACACATTGGATTTTGATGTTGTGCCATAATAAAATCAATATTTTCTTTTTATATAACAACATTGTAAATGATAATAACATTTAAAATATCTTGATCTATTTGATTTATTCACTTTTAAAAATGAATTATTTATTTTTGAACAATTTGTACATACTCTTCCAAAAACAATATTGAGATTATAATAAAATTATTTACTAATTTTTAAATAGTTTTCCTTTATTTATACATTAGAGAGTTTTTGAAGAATATTAATCAAAATATTTATCATTTTTCTCACATTAGAAAGTGGAGGAGTCAACACCATTATTTTCGATTACTTGAATGAACACAAGCTGCTGTTGATGCTCAAATCAATCAAGAATGCCATATTCTCATCGACGTCGTCGATGTGTTGGAACTCAGATGGTTGTCGATACCAATGATCATGTCGAATAGTTTAAAGCGAGTGTACCGTTTGATTTATTCGACTACAAAGAACATTATGAAGCATCTCAACGAGGTACTTCGAGGATGCTAAGAGTGAATACATCGATAACCAGACTCTTGATCTACACTTTCCACGATAGAATAGTGAATACTTATTTCGATATCTCTGGATATTCGAAAGAATATACCGAGATGGCAGATAAGATCATGCAATCAGTAGGTTCATTTGTATCAACATTAAAAGTACATCGTCTGTCAAAGTTAACATTAGAATCCTCTGCCTTTTCAAATATGATTGAACAAGAGATTTACATAGATCTATGGTGACTAAACAGTATTTGACATTACAAAAGCTTAATTCATATTAAATTTTTACACAATATCATAATTATTTATTATATCTCTCTTTTTAATAACAAATAAAGAATAATATTTTTTTAACAAACATCATTCAAACTGAGTTTGTGAAATTTAGAAAAAAAAAAAAAAAATTTTGATATTGGGTAACAAAACATATTTATAGAAAGTTTAAAAACATAATCATTAAATTAAATCGATAAATATTTTAAAAGATAGATAGATAGATAGATAACCAAGATTATTTATTATATATTCAATAAAGATTATCGTTGTAGGAGTTTAAAAGAATTTATTGAAAACTATCCAAAGAGTTATGATGGATTAGAGTATTTCAAGACAAGTGTTATTATGCCAGGTAGTCCTGGTTCTCAACTTATGTTGCAAATGGCTTTGGTTTGTAAAGAATGGTACAATTATATTTCCAAAGAGATTTCTATTGAATTCTTTTGCGAATTCGTTCCCCTTGAAAGTAAAGACAAGGATTCAGTTGTCAGCGAATACCTTCTTTCAGGTCCGAAATGTTTATATCAATATAATGGTATAAAGACAATCTACTTGGATTGCCTTGATGTTGGTTATGATAATGCTGACTGTTCAAGACTCGTAAAATGGATTGCCAATTTCAAGAATCTGGAGAGATTGGTTATCAATACAACAAGTCCAAGAATGGTAAAAGTAATACTCGATACGTTGGGAGATCTAAAGGTTGAAGTCTACGTTGGGGAGCAATCACGAGAAGCCATTAAGATGACCGATGGTGATTTGTCAATGTTTGATCACTCTAGACTAGAGTATGTATACTACAAGACACCAGATTTTCCACAAGTACTTGGAACACACAAGAGTACCACTGGCAATGACGGCAACGATAAACTTGAAATTGTTTATTCCCATATCAAGAGATGGAGAGTTGATAACATCCTATTCGACTATCGGCTTGCATCAAAGAATGGAGCAGGTGACTTGATCGACTATACCGGTCTTCTAGAGATCAAATCACTTTCACATATCAAGATAGTCAACAGTATGTCTGGATTTAGATTCCTGCCAGGTGTTGTCGGAAATGCCTCCAACATCCAGTCATTCAAAGCATATATACCAGTACATTTTCATATAGGTGTCGATGAACTTCTTGAGTGGAATAAATTTTGTTTGGAACTGAGATCCAATAAGACTCTAAAGACACTCTCACTCAAGAACAAGGGTAGAAAAGACAAAAAGGATGGTGAAGAGCCAGATGTACATGATCTTACGGAGAATATGGGCAGAGGATTTGCAGCGTTTCATTTCTATAGCGCTTTGATATCTAATAATACGCTCAGCTCTCTTACTGTCACAAGTAGATTGGTTGGATTGGAATTCTATATGATTCTCACCAAGACTAATCGATCGGTATCACATCTAAAACTGACAGAGTGTAAATTGTCTTGCCATCTCTATCATCTTAGAGAATTGATTCAGCAGAACAAGTCGATCACCAGCCTGACTCTCAAGTATGACGAATTCGATAACAAGTCCAAAAGAGGAGTCTGCAAGGATTGGGATCTGTTCTGTGTCGAGTTGGCAGCCAACACCTCGATTTCAACGTTAAAGATTGAGAGTATGGAATCGCGATCGAACCAAAAACAGGCCAAATACTTTATTGCACAGACCAACGCATTTCCAGAGGATCAAACGAAAACATTTGGTTTGGCCATCGGTGATAATAAAGCGATTCGGTCACTCTCGATCGGTTGTAAGCTACTCTCAAGCAGTCAGCTATTCTATCGATCGTGGTCGGAATCCAATCAAACCATTAGAGCACTCCGAGTTAGAGACTGCGATCTTAATCATCTCTTTGAGATATCGAGAATGTTAAAACACAACCACTCTATTAACACGCTAAACATATACTCCGTCTATGACCGATCGATGGACTACTACTTTGCATGTAGTACTAAAGTTGATACCGTAAAAGTAGCCAACAAAATTGTTAGAGTCGTAGATTCGTTGATCAAAGCACTGGAAATACACCGACTCTCTGCAATGACAATGGGTAATCATTACTTTTCACATGTACTATGTGAATGCTTACACAATAATGACATAGCATCGATTGTATCTTTTAATAATATTCTTTATATTAAATTTGAATAATAATATTTTTTGAAAACATATTAGATAAATAAATATAAATAGATCTATCTATTTGCACACACAACAAAAAGTTCAAAGAGTTAAAAAATTTTTGCTGTTATTTTTTTTTTGATTTTTTTGAATGTTTTTTTTTTTGAATTTTTTAAAATTTTTTTTTTTAAATCTTTAAATTAATGGTACAGTTTGTTCTTTGATTCATTTCCTTATTATATTTAGAGTTGTTTAAAGATGTTTTATCATGTAAGATCATCTCATCTAATCTCATCTCATCATGTCATATCATCTTACATTGAAAGAAAAGAAAAGAAATTAATTTCGACATTGATTTATATTTCAAAAGACGATGTGATCATAAATATGTGAAAGCACTTCAATTTAACTATATTTATCTAGATTTGTAGATGAAATAATAAGTAAAGAAAGTTTGCTAATTATTGATATCAATTTATATTTTTAGCTCACATTGGAAAGAGATTTACATATACATCCAAAACATTGTGGACCCAATTTATATGCTATAGCATCGGAACAACTACATAGTGAAGTCGAAGGTACATGCTCTGGTAGATATGGTTTCATCATTACCATCACCTCTGTAGATTTCGTATCGAGAGGTAAGGTATTGGAATCAACCGGATACGTCGTACTCCCAGTAAAATATAGAGCTATCATTTTTAAACCATTCAAAGGTGAAGTACTTGATGCCGTTGTCACTAAAGTAACAAATGTACGTACATTATATAACTAATTATTATTACTATATAAACTTATATACTTATACTACTTACTTTTATTTACTTTTATAGCTTGGATTCTTTGCAGAGGCAGGACCATTAACCATTTTTGTATCTACACATGTAAATATTGAAATGATGATAATGATTACTTTGAGCTAACGCGTTAAGAGTTCAGAAACTAACAATATTGTTAACTTTTAGCTTATACCAACTGATATGCAATTCGATGCACAAAGTGCAAATCCATGCTTTATCTCTGACGATGGCTCATCAAAGATTAGTAAAGACAACGAAGTTAGATTACAGATTAAAGGAACAAGAGTAGATGCTACAGAAATTGTAAGATTACAATATATAATGTAAGGTTCAAATTTAATTATAACTAACAACGATATCATTTGTTTTCAAACAGTTTGCAATTGGATCAATTAGAGAGGATTATTTAGGTGTTATTGGTTAAGGCATTCATCAAGATTCTTGAACAACATCGAAAAAAACAAGAGAAGAAAAGAAAAGAAAACTAATAACCAGATAAGCAAAAACAAATCTAAAAACAACCAAAAAAGAAAACCTATAATAAATATATAAGATATATATATGTTTGTATAATGTACATTATAATTCAGTCTTTAATTTAAGAATATTAATAGCATGCTATTAATCAACAACAATATCAAGATTGTTATTTTTTTTTTTTTTTTGAGGTCTATCGCGATTAATTATAAAGTGAACCAATGATCTTGATCCAATTGGTTAAGTTGATCAATGACGGGTATTATGTATAATTTAATTGTTTGTTTGTTCATTTTTAAAAAGTTAGTTTTTTTAAAAATTTTCTGGTATCTAGAATTATGACAGGTAAAATTTATTTATTTGTTTAGTTCAAGATGTTATCATATTTAATCGTTATAATAATATCTGTTATATTTGGATTCTCTCTATCTTATTATAATGTACATCAGTTAATATTGACATCGATTTTAGATATACCTTTGCTTAGTCATAAAGTAAGAGATATATAGATAACTATGCGATATTATCTTTAAATGAAAATAACAAACACTAACAAAAAAATAATCTAGAGAATGATAGCAGGTGTAATAGGTGGTCAGTTAGTATTCTATTTTCTCATATTCTATTATCCACTGTCTAGAATCGTGAACAAGATGATCAAGTTTGACGAACAGTATCAAGATGAATACAATCAATACAAGATAGCAAGCATCAACTCGATATACAGCAACAAAAACAATAATTTCAATAATAACTATCATATCAATAAGAAGATATAGATATATAAATATAAATGTATATAATATTTAAAACAAAACCATCATTCATTTGATAATAATAATGTTTATTAAAAGAAAAAAAGAAAAAGTAATTAAATAATAATAGAATGGGATTGTTATTTTATATTTTTTTAAACTCTGTGAATTACAGTAGTTGAAGCTTGATTATTGGCCATTGTTTCGATTGTGGTGATCTGAACGTGCTCTGGTCTCGATGCAGCGTAGTAGATGTTGTCAGCGATGTCATCGGGAGTCAATGCGTCGATACCCATATATGGTTTCTTGGCCTTCTCAACGTCACCACCGAATCTGATGACAGAGAATTCGGTCTCAACCAAACCTGGACAGACGTTGGTGACACGAATCTTGGTGGCAACAACCTCCTTTCTAACGATGTCAGAGAATGCATTGACAGCTGCCTTTGATGCACAGTAGATACTTCCATTGACGTACCAGTGGTTACCTGCAATACTACTGACATTAAAGATATGTCCTGTATTACGCTTGATCATATCGGGCAAGAAGCTACGAGTAACTCTGAATACTCCTTTGACATTGGTATCGATAACTCTATCGATTTCATCCTATTAATTAAATCATTATAATAGTCTATTAATAAACAACATTCTATTATTATTATTTATTATTATTATTATTATTTTTACTTACATTACTGATGTTTGAAACTGGTTCTGAACCTAAAGCTAGACCGGCATTGTTGATGAGAATGTCGATGTTCTTAAGTTCTGTTGGAAGTTTTGTGACCATATCGTTGATGGATTCACTTGAGGTTACATCACACTCCATTGCGAAAACCTTTGCCTTTGATTCACTATTCTCCAAATTTCTCTTTATTTCATTTAACTTGTCGATTCTTCTACCTAAAATGATCTAATGATAGTGAATAGTAATTAATAAATCACATGTGATTCAAAAAATTATTATAATAAATATAAATAAACAAAGATAATACATACAACATGATTACCATTTTGATGAAAGATCTTTGCACATGACTCACCAATACCAGATGATGCACCTGTACTGTTTGTTTCATTGAAGTTGAAATGATGAACATTCATTGTCAATGTTAGTAAGAAGAATAGCGCTATTGAACTCAACTAACATATCAAAACATACATTAAAACTACTTTATTTGTAAGTTGTCTGAACATGCTTAATAAATTAGATTGTAAAACTAATAGATGTAGATAATAGAGAATAGTGAAGGTAGTCGGTGTTTAATTTAACTAACAAATATCTGAAAAATAAAATTTTTGTCTCAAAAAATAATTAAAATAAAACATCAAATCAATAATAAATTGTTCTTTGTTTTTTTTTCAAGGCTAATAAATAAAGGACTTCAATCAATGAATATTAAAACAAATAAATCATTATTTATTTATTTATATTATTAGTAACAAAAGAATGATTGATTTTTGAATAAATAAATGATAAAGAAAAAAAAAGAATAAATAATTCATGGTTCGGATCGCTTTAGGAAATTTATGACATTCCTACCGGTTTTTGAAAAAAATCATCATAGGAGTTTGTAGGGTTGGGTGTTTTTTTTTTAATGTATTTGTGTGTGTGTTGAATATGTGTGTATGATTTTAATAGTTTGTTTTTTAAAAAATGCAAACATAATAATCTTTTTAAGGAAATTAATATCACATTAATTTACTGATTTATCCGTGTTGTGGTAAATTTATTGTGAAAAAAATATCGTCCTCAACTTTTTTTAATTAAATTTTTTTGAAGATGACTTTTTTTTTTGTTATTTACTACATTTTTTTAAAAATTTTATTATAACCATTGTTTTTTATTATTAGTGTGACTGTTCTTTCAGTTTATAGAAACAATTTGTTTGTTTATAGATTATCTATAAACACTATATCAAACATTATTTATTTGACATATTAAATTAAAGAAAAGTAAAGTAAATCAATAATTATTTATTTTATATTTTATTCACTTACAAATTTATTGACTTTTAAAAAAAATAAGTAAGTGATTATAATTATCTTTGTTGTATAATTTATAAAAAATTGTAAATGTGTTGCAATATTTAAAATTTCATAGGATAATTTACAAAACTTTCAAATTTCCTCCCCCTTTTTACACCTTGTTTCCCCAATAAAACTATTTTCGTATTGATGATTTATGAAATAAAAAATTAATACCCAATTAATATCCAATCTCAATCATTTTTTTTTAATTTTTAATTAAAATTTTATTATAGTTATAATACAACATTACATACATAAAAATAATACAATTACAGTATTTGTGGTAGTTGTCAAACACAATCTATCTGCAATCTAAAATAACCCTCAGATTGTAGACATCTACACTCAAATTTTTTTCATCCCACCTCCATCTTTATTTTTCACACAATAAAAATTCACAATTCACAATTCACAATTCAAAAAAAACAAAGATATTTATTTTTAAATAATTTTATTCTATACTTTTAATATTAATATTGTTTATTGTTATAACAATCATTTCATATAGCATAGTTTAGTTATAATTTAAATTATATATATTATATATAAATGAATTCAAATCTTAGAGATCTTGAAATTAGAGGAGCACCATTCGAAGAGTCTCGTCGTATTCTTACACCTGATGCTTTGGTTTTCTTGGTGCAATTGGAGCGTCGCTTCGGTGGTGTCAGACGTGATCTCTTGGCAAAGCGTAAGGAGCGTCAGTTGGAGTTGAATCGTGGTGTTCTACCAGACTTCCTTCCACAGACCGCCAGCGTTAGAAGTGGCAGCTGGCGTTGTGCACCAGTGCCAGCCGATATCCAAGATCGTCGTGTCGAAATCACTGGTCCCACCGACCGTAAGATGGTGATCAATGCACTCAACTCTGGTGCCAAGGTATTCATGGCCGACTTTGAAGATGCCAATTGTCCAAACTGGGCAAACTCTATCACTGGACAACAGAATATGATCGATGCCAACCGTCGTACCATCAGCTACACCTCACCCGATGGAAGACAATACAACTTGAAAAAAGAGGTTGCCGTACTCTTTGTTCGTCCAAGAGGATGGCATCTCGATGAAGAGCACATCTACATTGACGGACGTCCAATGTCTGGTTCACTCTTTGACTTTGGTCTCTACCTCTTCCACAACCACAAGATTCTAGCTGACAGAAGATCAGGTCCATACTTTTACCTTCCAAAATTAGAGAGTCACTTGGAAGCAAGACTTTGGAATGTAAGTGATCACTATTATAATATGTCCAATAATAAATGAAAACTAACCAAATATTAATTTAACACGATCTAGGATGTATTTGTATTCTCACAGAAATATTTGAATATGCCAAATGGAACTATCAAGGCAACAGTTCTCATTGAAACTATTTTGGCATCTTTCGAAATGGATGAGATTTTATATGAACTTAGAGATCACTCTGCTGGTTTGAATTGTGGACGTTGGGACTATATCTTTAGTGTCATCAAGAAGTTCAATCAGCTTCCACAGTTTGTCTTGCCGGATCGTTCAAAGGTTACAATGACATCGCCATTCATGGAGGCATATGTAAAGTTGTTAATTTACACCTGTCATCGTAGAGGTGTTCATGCAATGGGTGGCATGGCTGCACAGATCCCAATCAAAGACAACAAGGCTGCCAATGACGCTGCCATGGAGAAGGTCAAGCAAGATAAGCTTAGAGAAGTCAAATTCGGACATGACGGAACATGGGTTGCACATCCTGCACTCATCCCAATTGCACTCGAACAATTCAATACCTACATGAAGACACCAAACCAAATCGCAAACATCCCAACCAACCCAGGTATCACCGCCAAGCATCTACTCAACGTTCCACCAGTATCGCCAGGCGATATCACCGAGGATGGAATCAGATCAAACATTATCGTAGGTGTAGAGTACATCGATGCCTGGTTGAACGGTAACGGTTGTGTACCAATCAACTATCTCATGGAAGATGCTGCTACCGCTGAAATCTCTAGATCTCAAAGTAATTATCCTATAGATATCACGATATTCATTTACTATTTTTATATTAACTGACCGACTGATTTGTTTCTTATTATTAATTTTAGTTTGGCAATGGATTAGACATCATTCAAAGCTACCAAATAATCAACCAATTACAATTCAATATATTGATGGTGTATTGAGAGATATTGAGAATAAGGTATTCTCAAAATCGAAATCACAAACCATCAAGCATGCCACCTCAATCTTTTATACATTAATTTCATCACCAGAGTTCATTGATTTCTTGACACCATCAGCATACAACTACATTGTCAAACAAGAAAGAGTTGCACAACAACCAAAACTTTAAATTTATTATTATAAAAAAACAAAAAAAAAAGAAAGAGTTTTAAAACTTTATAATTTTAGCTATTTATATAAACTATATTTTTATTATTACCTATACTATTCTATTCTATACTATTCTATTCTATTCTATTCTATTATTTGCCTCTTTACAGCAACAAAGAATTGACATTTATAAACCACTTTCATTAGTGATGTCTTGTTTGAGGTATATTCAGTCTCTCTAAGTGACTCTGATAGTATTTCGAATCCACTGTTTGTAATGACATGCCTGAGTTGTTCGTAGCTCAGTTCGATCGAGTCTTTGTGGTCGGCGTAATGATACAACAAAGGTCCAAAGTTTATCCAATAACCACCGACCTTTAACATCTTCGAAATACACTCTATATATTCAACTATATTTCTAGCTGTATCAATAAAGAAACATGTACAAACTGAATCCCAATGATCTAAATAAATAAATAATAAAATAATATTAATAACAACTCTTTATCTATCTCGGTAAACTGAAATTAAACATTTATCATATCATCATACTCTCTTCTATTGATTTTGTAAAATCACCAGCAACCATTGAGAATTCAATATTTTCATCTCTTGGAATCATTTCCGATGGTAATACATCTGGTATCTTTATATTTCTTAACTATCATCGAAGATTAGATTGTCCTGTTAGTTTATAAACTAGATAGATTTACTTTACTGTATAATGAGTTTGAATACAAACTTGATCTATATCTCTGAGTACATTAACTGATTGGTGTATGAATGGATAAATAGTAAACTCATCTGTTTTTGTTGTTCTAATTGAAGTTAGTTATTGAGTTGATAATTACATTCGATCGATCGATCAACTACTATTTCAACAATATTTACTTGTTTAAAATAAAACTAGATGACAATAACATAAAGTATGAAAACTCTATTCCTTGACATGAGAATCCCCTTGATACTACCTCCAGACATAATCTACCTAGACCAGCCCCCTTATAAGGGTAGATAGATAATACAAATCAAATTAGATATCTCAAAATTATGGATTTACAATATATATATAAGTGTGTATGTATACTTACAGGACAATACACTCTTATAGAGGCTCTCGATTCTTTTTGTGGATAAAGTCTCTCAAGTTCCTCCAATATCGGTAGGAATGTAAGATCTCTTTCTCTTTTACCCTAGTAAAGATGAAGTGTTGAATATGAATAGTTAGTCAAATCTGTTACATAACATTTTGCTTGCAGAAATATTAACTAGATAAGTACCTCTAAACTCCATTCTCTTGCAAATTGTCTTAGTGTACTCTTGACCTTATCGATCTGTCTAGGATTTGGAATACTATTAATAAGAGATTGTTCTTCAAGTTGTGGGATTGGTGAAGTCGACTTGTCCAACATGAAAACTTGGTTACACTCTTGTCCAACCTTCATTAAAAAGTTAGAATTTCCAATGGATGCTTGTTTCAATGCATTTAATTTATTTAAATAGTTTGGTAGTAGACTCTAGATTATAGAATAGTGAATAATAACATTATTATTATTATTATTATTTTAAAAAATCAATCATTAATAAAAAAAAAAAAGAATAAGTGATCATTGAAAGTAGTGATGAATCATAGTATACAATTGATTATTGATGATTATTGATTATTATTATATCATTTCATTTATCTTTACCATATTATCATTATTATTAGGTTAGATTAATTGATGATCTTATTAGATAATTTGTTGGATGATTGGTTGGTTGGTAGTACCTTTTGTTTATCAGTCAACTTTTCATTGTAATATTCAAGCATGTGTTCTACCCAATCGGAAGAGTATTCCTTATAATTAAAGAATGCATCGACTACCTCTTTGAAATGTTTTATTTCTTCTACATCTGTTTCTACATCATTCTCCTCGTCAGCATCCATCATCTCATAGTTATCATCATCATCGTGATCATCGTGACCGTGACTATGATTGTGGCTATGACAATGACTATGATCATGGCTATGACTCAAATGTGACATTTGATCTTTCTCTATTCTATACATACGATCGTCGTACAACCTAATTGTAAAAGAACTAACTAATTATAACAAGTGTTTAGGTCTTCTGTGTGTGATTTGAAAAAAAACAAATAAACACCAATAAGGCGATGTTATTTATTTTGTCGTTTTTTTTTTTTTTTTTTTCTTCAATACTTAAGTTTTTTTTCTTTTTCTTTTTTTTTTTTGTCTATAAATAACTTATAAATATATTATTTGTCATTCAAGAATTAATTAGAAAATCTCTTCCTTTTATCCCAACAAAAGATATCTGTGGTTTTTTTTCTCTTTGATGATCACCAAAAATAACGGAGTGGTCGCAAAACATTCAAAAAAAAAAATCGCCCAATAATTTTTGAATGCAAAAAACAACAAAAAACAATCAAAATCAAACATGTTTAGTCTACCCAGGAAAGGAATTGCAAGTGGTTGTTGATTACAAAAAAAAATTTCTTCAAACCTCCATTTATTTTGTGTCATTTTGGCTAAGAAATAAATGTTTTATTTTTATTTTTTTTAATCTTACCAGTAATGTTTTACCAATATTTTGATTTTTTTTATTTTTAAAAAACTTTTACTTTTTTTTTTTCTTTGTTTTTTTGTTGATTCTCCCTTTTTTTTTCACCATTTTCACCACATTCACTAACTCACCCTAAAATCAATCCAATACGACAATTCAAAAAAACATCACTCACACAACCAAACAAATAATTATAATTTTATAACAACAGAACGCCACACCACACACAATTTTATTTGTTTATTCAAAAGTTAGATAAATAATATTATTATCTGTCTAACTTTAAAATTATTAAAGTTTATTTATTTTTTATATTTATTTATTGAATTTGATTCATTTAATCTATTAATCAAATTTAATTTTATCTAAAGATAAACTATTTATTTTATTTATATATTTATTTGTATCTCATAAATAAATTTAGTTTAGTTTAGGTTGTTTAGTTTGTAGTTTGTATTTATATATTTTTAGTATTAGTAAATATAATGGGAGGTCCTCCTTTCCAAAATAACAATAATAGTAATAGTGATGATAATAAAGGCAATGGTCAATCAACAGATACAAACGATTCCATATTGATTTCCTCGGATGATTTTTCAAGATCAAATTTAGAGTCAAATGATTTAATCAGCAACAAAGATGGAGTCATCTCTCCAGAGACAATTGTCTTTGAAGATAGAAACTATGGAATGACCTCACCTCTAGTATCACCAAACTTAAATGAAGGCATTTCACATACACCACAATACACTAGATATTTAGAAATTGTTGAAAAAGGTAAAAAAAAAAAAAAACAAAAAATGTTTCATTTTTAAAACCATCTAACAATTTATTAAATATTATTAGCAACTGGATACATTTCAAAGGCATTGGATTTGGTTGAACATAGAACACCAGAGCAAAGAAAAGAATGGGAGGAACACAACACTGAATTCTATACAAGATTATATGAAAAGAGCAATGGTGAGGATATGGAGGAAATAAAGTCCAATTTGTACCAAACTTGGGCTCATGAGATAGAAGAGAAGTTTGTAAAGTATGCCGGCTTTGAGGGTTATGAAATCTTTAAATATTTAAGAATGTCATATCAAGTATTATATGGTTAGTATCATCTATCAATCAATTAATTTATTATCAAAGTAATTAACTAACCGGTTATATAAAAATTTTCTTTAGATTCCGATAGAAAGATTAAAGAAACAAAGATTACACCAAAAGTTACTATTAGACATAAGGAGAAATATGATTTCGATGCACCAAGTTCATCACCAGACCTACCAAAACCAAAATCTAGAAATATATCTGATCGTTTAAAATATGCCGCTCAAAAGATGACAAAGTTTTTGAAAACTAAAGGTCTGATCGTAAAGAAATTCCTTCGTAGAAAGTTCACTTTGATCGACTTGATCACTACCTACAAGAAAGAGTATCTTCAAAACGATATTAGTGTTGGTATTTCCTCGGGTACTATGATCATTCCACAGTCTATGGCCTATGCTTTCTTGGCCGGTCTCCCACCCATCCAAGGATTGTACACCGCATTCATTCCGGCGGCGATCTACTGTTTGTTTGGATCGTCTAGACATCTTGCAGTAGGACCACTCGCTCTCATGTCGATTATGGTTGGTGCTGCCGTCCAGGGTCAAGAACCAAAGGATAACGATCAATACATTTCCTATGCCAATTTGCTTGCACTGATGGTCGGTGTCAACTATCTGCTCATGGGATTCCTACAGCTCGGTTATCTTATCAACTTTTTGTCACGTCCAGTTCTCAGTGGTTTCACATCGGCTGCAGCCATCATCATTATTCTCAGTCAGGCGAATTCCCTATTTGGCATTAAAGGTGATAATCAGCCGTATGCCTGGAAGTATTTCTATGAGATTGCTAAAGGTCTGCCCGAAACACAGTGGATTGCCGTGGTCATGGCAATAGGTTGTTTCACGCTACTCTACGTATTTAAGAATTACTTTAAGACGATACCTAAAACAACGATTCCAGTTCCCGCACCACTCATTCTTGTAGTGCTAGGTTTGATCATCTCCTTCTTTGCCGACTTTGAAGGTAGAGGATTGGCACTTGTAAAAGAGATTCCTTCATCTCTTCCATTCCCATTTGGTTCTTGGCAATCGATTAGTTTCGACGTAGCACTTTCACTCTATAAGGAAGCGCTTGTCATTCCGGTGATTGGTTTGATCGAGACTGTCAGTGCAGCAAAGGCCGCCGCCAACAAATGTAAATATGATATCAGTATGGGTAATGAGTTGACTGCTCTCGGTATGGCAAATCTATTCAGTTGGGTGTTCCAAGGTTACCCTTGTGCAGGTGCATTCGGTAGAACCTCGTTGCATATGTCATCCGGTGCCAAAACACAATTGACAACCATCGTTTCCGTTGTGGTCGTCGGTCTCACCCTGTTGTTCTTGACACCAGTATTCTACTACCTCCCGAAGGTAGTGTTGGCAGCAATTGTTATTTTCGCAGTCAGTCAACTCATCGATTTGGAAGAGGTACAGAATCTCTGGAGAATCAACAAAATCGACATGTTGTTGCTTCTCGTTGCTTTCTGGACAACTATAGTGTTGGGAGTCCAACCAGGAATTGCAGTTTCAGTTATTCTCTCGTTGGTGTTGGTCATTTACCAGAGTTCACGTCCCAACTGTTATATCGTTGGTCGTATCCCAGGTACCACAACCTACAACGACATTGACCTCTACCCAGAGGCGATCACCGAGAACAATGTCGTTGTCTTCCGTTTCGATGCACCGATCATCTTTTGTAATTCATACTATCTACGTAAGCAGCTCAAGAAGATCTATAAGAACGAAGACGATACAAAGAATGCCAACGTTTCAGCGATTGTTTTAGATTGTTCGTCGGTGACCAACATCGATTCCACCGGTGTCAAGTACCTCAAGGAATTGATTCGTGAGTTGGTCGACCTGAAGATTCCCATGTGTTTTGCCGATGTAAGACCAAATGTGGTGGAGTTACTCAAACTCTCTGGAGTCTACAGAGATCTTGGTGGAGATCATTTCTTTGTCAAGGTTCACGAGGCAGTTGTCATCGCACCGAAACTCACCATCCGTCCCATTGTCGAACCAAAGGCTGGATTAAAATTGAATTGTTTCAAAAAACGTCCAGATGGTGTTTATACCGAACTTTATTAAATTAATAAAATAAAATAAACTATATATATTTGTATTGAATAAAAAACAAAACAACTTTTTACTTTTCATAGAAAAATGTACAACACAATTCAGTGTGATGTGATTTAATAATAATAAATTGTTTAGTTATCAGGTTTGTTTGTTTGTTTGGTTTTTTTGATTTTTTACATTCTAGTAATTATTTAATAAATATATACTATCGCAAACATGTTTAAGAAATATTATATTATTTTATGTTGCAACGGATGACTCTAGTTTCAGTTTGGTGTTGGGTGGATCGTCGAAATGGATATCATCTTGTGAGAGTGATCGTTTTCTACCAATAAAGTTCAAATCAACTAGGTCCGTAGGCAGTACTGCAGCCAGAGGTTTGATTTCCATGGAGGATCGCCTGCTATTTGAATAGTATGGGTGAAGCAGTGGCAAAGAATTATCGACTAGTGGTGGACCGATATCGATGCCGCTCAGCAGTGATCCACTGTTTTTACGATCGGCGGTGAAGAGGAAGCTGTTCTTACGTTCCTGACCATACATGCCTCCAATACTGTTCTTTCTTGGCTCTGAGAAGTACATCATTGAGTAGGGATTACTGTTCTTTCTGTCCACCCAAGGATCAAAGTAATCGAAAGATCCAAGTCCACTTTTGTTTTGTTTGTCGTCGACACTGTCGATAATCGGTGTAATTGTATACTCTGGCACCTTGATATTGGGTGGCGGTTGTATAAATGGTATCGATACGTTCTGACTGTATTGCTCTTGTGTTGGTTTGATTTGGATCGATGGTAAGTTACTGTATGACGAAAGGTATTCTTTGTGACTGTTATTATTGCTATTGCTATTGGTCTGATTGGTAGTCTCCTCTGCAGTTGGAGGTAGTTTACTATGAGGTGCAGCAAAAGATGACAGAGGTACAACGATTGGAAGTAAACTGGGTGGTGATGATTCTTTGTGAATAGATGTTGCTGCTTCGCTATGAATACTACTGTTTGGTGAAGAGTCTACCGATTTAGTTGTTGTTGTTGTTGTCGTCGTCGTCATTTCTGATCTCGATTTTGGTGTTAGAGCAGAGTTACTATGTAAAATATCGTTGTTGCTGATTGTTGTTGTTGTTGGTGTTGAAGCAATGTTTGAGATGATTGCACTTCCACTACTACTCATACTGTTGGTGGTAGGTGATGTTTTCTTCTTTTGCTTCTTCTCTTTATCTCTTTCTTTTTCCTTCTTTGAGGAATCTTTCTTTGAGGAGCTTTCGCCATTCTTTTTCTTTGAAGTCTCTGATGATGTCTTTGGCGTGCTGGTGGACGATGATGAAGTGGTATCGAAAGCCTCTGCTGGAGACGACGACGATGAAGTGTTGGCAGATGAAGGTGGTAAAAATTTAGAGGGTATATTTGGTGTATATACAATTGAAAATGGCGCATACGACGAAGGTGGTAGCGGTAAATCCTGTGAAATTATTGTTGTGTTTGGGTGATAATGAAACAATGTTTTGTAGAACTGTGAAACAATTTTTTGCATATGTGTTTTACCATCGTTTTCTTCGTCGGTTGCTGGTGACAATGAAGCTGATGCCTCATCAACAAATGCAGCCGGCTCTGTCTTGTTAATTTGATGTTGGTTTGGTGGAATACGATATAGTGGTTGAGCGGTGGGTGTTGCAGTGGTTGGTTGTGGAGGTGGAGTGGATGCATATGCAGCTGCAGAGTGTGCCTGTAATGAAAATGGCTGTTGTCTGTGCATCTGTTGTTGTTGATGATGTTGCTGTGCCTGATGATGCTGCTGCTGTTGCTGTTGTTGTTGTTGTAGATTTAAATGTGTTGCGCCTGGAGGCAGCCAATATGAAACATTGGCAGGATATTGATATGGTGAAAAATTCGGATTGGTGGTAGTCTGTGGTGGAAGAGAATAAGTAGGTATACTACCAGGAGTCTGTAATGAAGCTGCTGCAGCGGCGGCTGCCTGCTGTTGGTGATGTATGAAATAAGGGTGGTGTGGATCCATCATTTCGGGTGGTATATGGTGAATCTGCTGTTGCTGCTGTTGATGTTGCTGCAGTTGTTGTTGGTGTGTAGCTGCCTGTTGTTGGTGATGTGTAGCCATTATCTTTGGAACACCAGACCATTGAGGTGCTTGTTGAATCATTTCCATTCGAATACCACTGCCTATTGCTGTATCATGAGGATGGCTGGAATGCAAGCTTGGGAGTGGATGTAGATGTGAATATAGTAAAGATGTATCGTTTAAATAAAGATTTGGTAAACTACCACTAAAATATGGAAGTGGATGATATTGTGAATGATTAGGTATTAGTTCGGAACCAGACAATTGTTTGGTTGCTAATGTTGAAGCTGAAGTTGTGTTTGAACCTGCTGTTGCTGTTGTTGCTGCTGATACGAAAACTGGTGGAGTAGATAAAGGAGAAGATGAATTTGAAATATTTCCTGTTTGTTGGTTCGTAAACTATGATATCAAATAATAAACAATAAATTAGTAACATAAATAACTTTTTTTTTTTTTTGAAAAAATAAATAAAATAAAAATATATATTTTAAACTAATTGTTTTTTTAAAAAAAAAAAAAACAACAACAACACAACACAAATAACTAACTAACTATATAATTAACACAAAAGAAGTCACCAGACAAAAATTAAAAATAGAGTAAAAATTTGAATCCAACTGAAAATGTTGTGCGAAACATTAAAAACATTTGGAAATAAATCAAAAGTTTTCAATTTAAAATTTTGTATACAAAAAAAAAGAAAACTATAAATAAATTAAACAATTAACAAAACAAAAAAAATCACTTACATTATTAAAGTGAGCAGGTATCATTTATCGAAAATATTGATTGATGAGATGATGGTGTTAATCAAAAATATAGTAGGTGGCGATGGCGTCAAGGTGTGTGGGGTGTAATTTAATGAGTGATTGGTATGATTTATGCTGATGAACTTTTTGCAATCTTAAGCTTCAACTGATAAGCTTGCTCTTGCGATTGTCTGTCTCTGTTAACAATGTGTAGCTTGTTTGTTGGTGCTATACTCTGTATAATATAACTACATAACCAAACAAACTAGTACAATGTAATCCACTCTGTTACTAATAAGTAGAAACAAGGTTCAAAAGTGATGATGTTGTTGGTTAGGTTTATGATTATTAATTTGGACTTTTCGTCAAACCAAACAACAAATGGCAATCATCAATCAAATCTCAGAGATAAATGAGGACAAAAAGTGGGTGAGTTTTTTTGTTTTTCAGTTGTGTTTTGATTTTGCTGATTGTGTTGTTGGTTTATCTGCTTTTTGGTGTATTTGTTTGAAGTTATTGTGAAGTTACTTGATTTCTTTATCGAATTTTATTGTTAAGTTTATTATCTCTTTGTTTGCTGCTTGTGTGTGTGATTGTTGTGGTTAAGGAGAACCAAGTTGTATATTAAATCATTTGAAAAGGTGAGGGTATGGATGTTGTTTGGTTTGGCGTGTGAGTAAATAAACAGACTAACCTCCAATCAACTTTACTTTTGCAATCAACAACAGTTGTTGAAGAAAAAAAAAAAAAAAAGGTAAAAATTGATTGAGTGTGTGTTTTTTTTTTTGGGATGCAGATGAAAATGATTAATGGGATGATGGCACATGCTCACTTTAGTGATGGTTTTTCTAAAATTTTTCATTCCAAACAATTAATTGTTTAGAAACAGTGCGAAATATTTGAATTTATCGATAAAAATCAAAATCAGAACTGTGTTTCAGGTCAAAACTATTTGAGAGAATGACTTTTTAAACTTGTGAATACTGGGACTTTTATGATTGTGATATTTCTACAGTAATGACTGTTTTTAAATATGAATAACTTGTTATGATTTTAAAATGTGAAAGAAAGGAGATTACTTTTTTTTTTTTTTTTTGTTTTTCTTTTTTTTCAAAATATCAGAAATTATTAGTTTCCTATGTTTTTGTTATTTAAAAATATAAATATCTAAACTTTGCTGTTTATGTTATTTTCTGTTCTGTTTTAATATGTTCTAAAATTGATTAAAAACAAGTTGTTTTTAGGTGAATGATTGTAGTACTAGTAGGATAGATATCAGTAAATAGATTGATGGATGGGAGTGTTGTTCTGACAGAGTAAGTAAATAAATATACTACTGAAAAAAAAAAAAGATATAAATAGGTTACTTTCTATGTTGATGATATGTAGTAGTAGTAGCAGCAGTGTAGTTGTTTTCTGGTTTGGCAAATGGAATGGTAATAGGTGGAGTGGAGCGATGTGATGTGTGAATAAGGTTTGAAAAATGAGAGAGAAAAGTAAACAAATAATTGAAAAGGAAAGAAAATAAAAGAATTGAAGAAAATAGTACAAAGCTAAATTGAAAAGAATTGAAATGCAAAGCAAAAAGGAAAGGACAACAACAACAACAACAACAATATCAACCAACAATAACCCAATAGTTAAACACCAATAAGTACTATTTTATGTGTGTGTATATATGTGGTGAGAGAGTTAGTGTGTTAATAAGAAAAAAAAAGAGGATTAAAGAGATATACTAATGGTGTATGCTGCTGTTACTGTTTTCATTCGGTCAGTCACACACACACCTCTTTAATTAACAAATATCTTTGGTTGATATATGCACAATGTTGACATTGAGATAACATTTATTTAGTTGACTGTTACGCCAATAACACACCACACGTGCTTTAAATACAAAAAACAAACCACACCACACACACAACACACACGAAACCACACTATTTATTTGGTTAGTAACAACCAACAACTGTACATGATATGTCTATTTTTGTTGAATAGCAATATAACAATTCATTACTTTAACCTAATATATTAAAATACATACAGACATTAATTAGAGAATGTCAGTGGTTGAAGGAAAGTAGAAGTTGTTGGAGGCTGAAAAGTCAATATTTATTTGTTTGCTTTTTTGTGTTGTTTTGTATTCCTATATTAACAAAACAATTACTAAATGATATCCGTCTCTAGTCGCTCACAAGTAATTATTTTGATTATTTCGTTATCACACTACTGCTGCTAATACTGCTATTAATAATATTAAGTAATAGCAGGTTGGTGGTTGAAGATAAATCATAATATAAATGATTTAAAAGACAACAAACATTGATCACATATAATGGAGAGATTTATATTAGGGGCAGGGGATAAAAAAATATTGTTGGTTGCGTTATTGTTACTGTTGTTGATTTGATTTCAAATAAATAGTATGATATCATTTTGTTATCATATTCTAGGAGGTGATGATTTAATAAATATCATAATATCAATATGATATAAAAGAATGAAAAACAAATAAAGACTAATCATATTATTCGGTTTATTTAATGAAATGATGATTGTGTGTGTGTATATGAATGACAATAGTTTATGAATCCTCATTTTGTTTGTGATGTATATTGGTTTAGATTGGATTGAATCAAGGGAAGCTGAGCTAAGCTTAAATGAGCTGATATTACTTTAAATCTATTAATGATTGATGATTTGTAGAAATTTTGAGGATTTTGATCAAATACTGACCATTACCCTTTTACCAATAATCACATGTCTAATAAAACCAAATAAATACAATTTATGATTGGATTTAATGAAATGATTTAAATTGAATATCTTTGATGAATTAATATATATTGTAGTGAAACATCAAATGATCAATTATTATAATGATCAATTTAATGATTTTATTTAAAAAATGTACTATTTAATATTAAGTTGACTTAGAATAAATAGATAATACTTTACTTGAATATATAAATAGAATACTTAGAATGATTAGATTCGTATTTTGGATATCTTTGATTGAAAGATAATCGACCTATATTTACATATCTGTAAAATCTTTATTCTATTTACATTTTTGTTTAATATTTTAAAAGAAAAAAAAACATAACATACTTTCGATTTTGCACAATTAAATCGATCAAAAAATGTAGAAATGACAAAGGCAAAAAATAAAATAAAAAAAATTCTTGAATTAAATCTTACTTTATATATTTGATATCAGACTTAGTTGTTTGAATCAATAGTTTTGGTTCCTTTTAATCAATAAACTTTCTATTTGATAGGTAAATTATTCGATTTCATAAAATATGATAATTATTATTTATATTGATTTCTTGGTTATTATTGTTTGCTATTGTTTTTCTTTGGGTTCTAGAAAATTTGTATATTTTAATATTATTTAGTATGGTACTATGAAAAATGGAGCACTCCTACTACAACAATTAATACTAATATTAAGAAAGGAACAATTCAAATGGTGTATTTGAGATTTAAAGTTAATTATTTTATTATATTACTTCTGCTGTTGCTGCTGCTTGGTGTGTATATGTGATCTTCCGATGTGTGTTTTTTGTTATTCAGCAAATATTTATAATATAAAGAGGTTTAATTGGGTGGACCACCAGCGCAGCCACCACCTCTAGTAACAACACCCTTCATTCGTGAACTCTTAAACATGAAATACACCGGAATACTCCGAATTGAACCAACAGTTGTTGTAATTTTTTTTTAAATTTTCAAAAATAGATGAATAAACTCTTCAACAACTGAATGGTCAGTTTCATAAATCGTAACGATAAATGTTCATATCAAACATCTATGCCACTATGGTGTTGAACTGGAAACTTAATCCATTGTTCAATAAATTTGTTTTTTTTTTTGAAAAATTTATACAAATAAGGTTATTTTTGTTGGTGTTATTTTTTTCAATCCTTTTTATTTTTTTATAACTATATATAGATAAATAGATAGAATTTTTAGTTAATATCTTTAAATTATATTTTAATTAATTAAAAAGAATAAATTACTTTAAAAATTCAATATTTTGATTGTATCAAATTATAATATTTTTATTATTTTAATATTTAAATAATGATTGATTAGTAATTATATTGCTATAACGCAATAAAATATATGCTCATCAATGAAAAGTGTCTTTTTAAAACAAACTATTAATGTATATCTATCTGGTTGTTTTTGATAAAAAAATCTTTTTTTAAATTAAAAAAAAAAGGAATAAAAAAAATTAAAAATATAAAAAATAAAAAAAATTGAAAATAATAATAATGTTTGGGTGTGAGGAGGTTATTCACGATCATATGTATGAAACAATTATCATAAGAGATAGTATTAGTAGTAGTAGAAGTAGTTGTTAGTGTTCTTCTGTTTATTTATGTTTTCTATATAAAATCATAACAATCAAATCAATACTTTATTTTTTTAAAATTTTAAAAAATTATTACTAAATTATCAATATTTAAATATTAATAATCATTATATTCTATCTATATATCTATTTAAATCACATGTTTTAAAAACCGCTTCTTTATTTTTATATTGTTTTTTTTTGTTAAATATTCTTCTTCTTATTGTTTTCATTTTCAAATTTATTAAAACCTATAATACTTTCATTCTTTCATTCATTAATATATTGCTTGCTACTGCTGCTGCTACTGCTACTGCTATTTCTACTGAATCAATATCAAATTGAGTGTTAATTAAACTATCTTAGAGAGTTTTCTATCTTTTTTTCTATCTGTCTCTGTTGTTGCTTGAGTCACTGAGATATATCTTAAGAATATTATCATATTCTACTTAGATAGATAGAAAAGAAAAGAAAAGAAAGTAATAAAAAAAGAGAGAGACAGAAGATTTATATATATATATACATATTATATCTATATTAGTTAGATTAGATTAGATAGTAGTTGAATGATGGAGGACAGCTTCCATCCACTCTCATTACCGGGAGATCTCACCGATGGAATGGGCGTTGATTTAGTTGGTGGCAATGTTGGCGTCGACGAGATGGTGGCCGATCCTCTCGATTCCAATAGCATACTGTTTGAAGATATCACTGGTAACAACTCATTGTTGAATTCGAATTCAATATACCCGTTTGGCGACGATCAAGACCCGACTGACTCTGTTGACCAACACTCTTTTCATCACCATCATCATCACGATCATCACGATCACGATCATCACATTCACGATCACGTTCTCAATCATCACGATCACACACTTAGTCAGCCATATACAAAATCATATGGAAATGATAATAATAATACTGAACAGATTCAACAACAACAACAACAACAACAACAACAACAACAATTTCATAGTCATCAACAAACATTGTTATCATCTCCACAACAAGTTCAGCTCGCTCATAGTCCTTTGACAAAGTCAATGTACACTGAGAATAGTTATATACAACCACAACCACAACCACAACAACAAGTGCAAGTTCAACCACAACAAGTACAAACATCACCTATACAGCAGCAACAACAATTAATAACACAATCAATAATATCTCCACAGCAAGTACAAACATCACCTATACAGGAGCAAGTTCAAGTTCAATCACAACAAGTACAACCAACAGTGATTCCTCAGCAAAAGCAGCATGAGAATTTAGGATATTTGAGTGTCAGTAGTCCTTCACAAACACAGGTACAACAAGTTCAAGTTCAACCACAACAAGTACAACCAACAGTGATTCATCAGCAACAAATATTACAAAATCAAATACATCAACATCAACAACAACTACATCAAAACTATCAGGTCAATAGCAATGGTGTCATAACTAACAACAATCATAATAATAATAATAATAATAATAGTAATATAGATAATAATAATAATAATAGCAACAATAATAATAATAATAGTATAGTAGTTAATAATAGTAATAATAATAGTCTTATAAATAGTAATAGCAATAATAATAATATAGCAATCGATAATAGTAATAGTAATATAATAGTATCTAGTAATAATAATAACAATAATACGAATGTACTGACGATGAATTTGATAAAGTTGGTGAATCAGATTGTGCTAGATTTCACGATTGATACATCGCTAACGATCCATCAGATGAATCAGTTTATATTGTCGACATTTGAAAAGATCAATGTTCAATATCACCATTATCTCGCACAGAACAACGATGTACTGACACACCTAGTCACCAACCGATTGCACTCCGAACTGAACATGCTCAACTCGATACTCGACCAACTCTATCGAAAGTACCAACAACAGCAACAACCACCACCACAAACCACAATCACCACCAACGCTATTACCGACCAATATAAATCGATTCAATACAAATATGTCTGTCTTTACAAACTATTCCAACAATCTGTATCTCAGTTTTTAATATATAACAACAACAACATTCAAACAATAATTACAACAACTCCACAACCAATAACTCCAAATCATATTCGACTTGATTCATCATCAGGTTCATTAAGTTATCAACAACAACAAATACAACAACAAGTTCAGCAACAACAACAAGCTCAACAACAACAACAATCTCAACAACAGCTATACCCACAACAACAGGCACAACAACAAGTTCAGCAACAACAACAATTGTATAGCAATGGTCAACAGCTACAACAACAACAAGGTAGTTTATTACAGCAGCTTCAACAGCATATAAAAACAGTGGAAGCATCTTTTCCTTTATCAGCGAGTACCGATGATATTTTAGGTGTAGAAGAGAGTTTGAATCATTCTACTAGTAGCAGTGATAATAATAGTAATGAAATTAATAGTAGTATAAGTAATAGTAGCACACAGGTAGATGATAGCATCACAACAACTACAACACCAACTATTTCATCACCAGATTCAAAGTCAACAAAAGGAAAATCATTAGATGAATCAAATACAAGTTCAACACCTACACCTATATTAACACCATCGTCGACACCAGAAAAGAAACAGCCAGCATCTAAAAAGAAAGAAAAAGAAAAGGAAAAGGAGAAGGAGAAAGAAAAAGAGAAAGAGAAAGAAAAAGATGATAAAAAGTCAAAGGAAGTAGAGAAGGATAAACCTATTGCGAAATCAAAACTGAAAGAAAAGGATAATGCTAATGAAAAAGATCATCATGATAAGGAAAAAGAGAAGGAAAAAGAAAAAGAAAGACCAAAACCACCAATCAAACCGATTGTTCCTGTACAACCAGTGGTAGAGATTAGAGATGAAGATAAACCAACACTAGAGCAATATCTATTTATACATCCAAAGAAACCAAAGGAATCTACATCGACAACGACCACAACAACAACCACCACGACAACAGCAACCGGAAAGAAGATCACTTGGAAAGATGATAAGGGTGGTCTATCGGTTGTCGACAGAGTACCACTGTTCATACAAGAGTTTGAAGCATGCAAGACATGGGCTGCACTAAGAGAATTCCTACAGGTACTCGAAAGCAGAATCAGTAATAGTTGCAAGAAACGTTTTCTTGAAGAGGGTGGAATTAATCAACTTCATACCTGTTTGAAATATGCCAATGAAACTATTACCATTCCAAGAGATATTATATTCATTATGAAGGTATGTAATAAATATCATGATCATATATATATATTTATTGAATAACAATTTAAATTACTAAACTATCTATGTTATTATTATTATTATAAATTAGGCTTTAATTGGATTACCTGCTACTTTGGAACACTTACAAGCAGGAGGAACCATCGGTAAGACTGTGCGTGGATTCAAAAAGCATTCGAATGAAAAGGTTAAGGAGTTGGCATCAGAGTTGGAAAGAATTTGGTTGAATCTATTGAAGAAGGATACAAAAGCATCGACAAGCAGTGATGAAGATACAAAGAAGAGAAATAGAGATACAAATGATAAAGAAAAAGGTATGTCTAATAAAATTTTAACGGTATATTATTAACGACCATGAATAAAGCTAACACTTTTATCCCTGTTGAATGTGTTATAACAGTTCTAAAGAAAACAAAGAATGAGTCAAATAGTTTGATACCACCGACAGCTGCTGCAAAATCAAAGACAAACTCGAGTCCGTCCACCTCCAGTTCAAAGGTGAATCTAAAGGACTATGAAGATATGTTTATGAATAAGGTAAAAGCTGCAACAAAACCAACTACCTCTACAATTCCAATGCCAAGTGTTGTCGTAGCCACCAAGAAGAAACCAGCGGCTGCCGCACTCAAGATTGAAGGAACTCGAAAGGTTGCTGCCGCTGCTTCCACTCTGAACAATAGCAATAAGACTGGTGCTAATAACAACAACAGCGCTGAAAAGACAATCACTATCAACAACAACAGCAATAGTTCAGTGTCGGTTCTAGATATGAGTTATGCAACCAGTTCAGAAGCGAAAGTTCTCAGTGCTTGGGACGAGTTGCCACCTGAGAACGACATGGAGTTCATTCCGGATCCAAATCGTCGTAAGTCGTCAAAGGGAAGAGTCAATGTACGTTGGGCACCCGATGACAAGCTACTACAGGTGAAAGAGTTCACCACTGAGCTTCCGGAAGAGGGATATCACGGCAAGGATTTCGAGCAGGCCAGAGCAGCAGAACACGAGCGTGAAAAGCTCTTCAATCGCAAGATGCGTACAACTGTTGAGTGGCGCACACCCGAGATAATAGAAGATGAACTTCCAAGCTATAGACCCGGTGACGAATCCACTGAGAAGACCACACAGGTAGAGCGTGAGAACTATGCACTGGTCGAAGTGTACTTGGACTCCAATATTCCCGATACACCAAAGGAGCCAGACACCATTGAAGAATACGACGAATCCACAGTTCCAGACTATACATTTGACACACCTCCACTTCAGAATAATACAGGTACCTCTAATAGTGATATCGACCAATCTAATAATTCACAACAGCAAGATCAACAACAACAACAAACTAGAATGAATAATGGATTTGATTCATCGATTTTGGATGATATTCTAGCTGTCACACCAAATACTAATATTCAAACTACAAACACTCAAACCAACAACATTAATAACAATAATAATACAAACAACAACAATACCAATATTAATAATAATAATAATATACAAACAAATATCTCTAATCAAACTGATCAACAACAGCTCTATCAATTCAATGCTAATAATGGAATGTCTGGTAACCAACAACAGTTCAATATGAATTACAACAATCAAAACTTTAATAATTTTAATAACAACCAAAACTTCAACCAAAACTTCAACAATAACTTTAATAGTTATAATAACAATCAGATGAATTTCAACAACAATCAAAACTTTAATAATTTTAATAACAACCAAAACTATAATAACTTTAATAATTTCAACAATAATCAAAACTATAATAATAACTTTGGTGTATACAATAACAACAATAATAGCAATAACTATAATAATAATTTTAATAACTTTAACAACTTTAACAATAACAATAATCAAATGAATTTTAACAACCAAAATCAATATAATATGTATAATAATAATAATAACAACAATTATATTCAAAATAGATACAATCATGCTGGTAACCAGACTCATTCTTAAGTTGGTATTGAAAAAATCAAAGCTAGAGACAAAATTTAATAAACTTTAAAATATATATATTTAATAGTATATATATCATCTGCAATCATTCAATATTTATCTTTTTGATAAATTGAATCAATAACTTTATTTTTGTATTTTGTTAAATCTGGATCATTTAATATACTTGTATAAACTTGGAGGATTGGTGATTATAATTTTCTTGAATTGATTGTACTGTTATTGTTGAATTACACTGTTATTAAAACTGAAATGATTGTTGTTACTTTTAATACCATCAAAAATATATCGCCATCAATTCAATCAAGTTTGGAATGATAACAACAACAACAATGACATTATCAATATCAAAATTTACAAAACAATATTGACTATATTCACAACATACCCAATTCCATTAACTACTTTATTATTCATATCAAATCCAACCCAAACAAAATCAACTCCGACTTCAAACAAAATAACAAAAATAAGACAATAGTTCATTAGATAAATAGAACAATTACTATAAATGAGGATGGAGTGGTCGTCTCCTCTGTACTTGGAATAGTCTTTGGTTGTTGATCCCACCAATCAATTTAATTGTATTTTAATTAAATTTAAAGTTCTTTATTTTTTTTTTAAGAATATAAAAAAACTAATCTTCCTTGTTGTTTATAGTTGATAAAAAAGATGAAATATATAGTGATACAAATGATTTAGACTATCAAGAAAGTTTTGATAGTGCTCCATTAAAAGCAGATGACCACTATATGTATATTCTTTTATATTTTAAATTATCTATAATTTAATATTTAATTTTTAATTTATATAGCTTACTTTGTATATATATTTTATAAGTTTTAAATCAAATAAATGAAGAAATAAAAATCTATATAAGATGATGGTAGTTTGTAGAAATAATTAATTTTTACACGAATCATAATCTTTGAAAGATACTTTAAAAGTATTTAACATATTTATCGAATCAACCACATATTAAAATAGGTGATTTATTCTCTATTATATAAAATAACTTTATATTTTTTTTTCTCTTTCTTCTCTATCAATCTCTTTTTTATTCTGATAGTTCTTTGCAACTCAACCTTTTAAATATAGTATGATAAGATTTTTAAAAATAATATAAATAGAATATTATTTTATTCTTACAGAATAATTTTATTAAAAATTAATTGAACGAATGTAAAGGTTTGGAGCTTTAACACCATGGTCAATGTATCCAAAAATAAATTCACCACCAGCTGGAATGCCAAAACTATAGAAAGGAAGTGTAAAGAATCCATTATGGAATTCAATATTCCAAATAGAAGTATTATCTCTTGGATCTAAAGTGCTATCTGTTTGAATTGAAATATGTTTCAAAGTTTTGACACCAAAGTTGATAATATGCACACGATACAGAGTGAAATTTTTACCATTCTCTACCCATGTCTTTTCCATCACCTGAGTTACAGCTAAATTATGGACATCATTCTGTAAGATACAATGCTTTGCATTGTTATCAAGCATACAGACTTGATCAACACCACAGTCATTTGGATCACAAAATCCCATAGATGCACTTGATACAGAAACTGAAATAACTACCAAAACTAAAGTAAACCAAGAAATCATTTTTTTCTACTTATTCTAGATATTCTTGTACTTTCTAATTGTTTTATTAATATTGAATTGAATATATAATACATATCCTTCCTTCCAAACTTTTTAAATAGTTTTTCATTTCTTTTGGTTTTTCGTTTTATTTCAAAGTACACCTGTATATGTAAGGTAATTAATTCACAAAATAGTTGAACCACTTGATATATTCAGAAAATTTTATTATTATTATTCTTATTTTAACTTTAATATCATATAGATAGTTTAAAGAGTGTAGGTTACCCACACTGCACAGAAATAGATAAAAATTAAATTCATTATTGACAAATAATTTTATTTAACAGTTCAAATCGGCGATTCACGATACAAGTGAAATAAAATCATAAAATTTATTCTAATGATTAATAATATTGTTATTATTACCTATAATAAATTTTATCTTACAAGATAAGTTATAATGTGACTTGTATCAAACAACGCATACATAAAGTTGAGAATAGAGAACAATTAACTATGGTAAATGATTATTAAAAAAGTTGTTGAATCTCTCTTCTAAATGAGGCATAATAGGTTTAATACCCCAGAAATTATATCTTTTTTCTTCTTTTCCAATTGATCTCTTATGTGTTTCTTGGATAGTTGTGTTGATTTTGAAATCGATTGTATTGATTGTTCATCTGGTTGCTGTTGTTATTGCTGTTGCTGTTGTTGTTGATTATCAATTTTATCTGTACTCGTATTAATGTTGCTTGCACTCTCTCTTAGACTCTTTGTCTTGTTGGGGGTGGTTGTACCTCTTATGCTTATATGATGAGTTGTAGTAGCAGTAGTACTACTTGTAATAACACTGGCATTCGTATTGGCTGCAGTTGTATTTGTCGAAACACCACTACCAGATGTAGAAGTAGTAGGAACACCACCTTTACTTCCTCTAATATTAGTTGACATTTATTACTTTACAATTTTTAAGGTAAATATAAATAAATTAAAAATAATAACAAAAAGAAGATTGGTTAAATTCGTTTTAACAAATTACTGATCACAAAGGTCAAGTAAGTTCAATCTTCAATGCTATATCGAACCGATACAATGAGTACTCCTTGACAGATCGACAAGTTTATTCTCCACTTCATTATGATCTGCTAGACTCTCTGAGTATTCTCTTAGTGTTAGGTATTTTCGACCTCCTTCACCTTTAAACAATTGATTTATCGGTTTAAAAGAAGTTTTAAATCAAACTATTTCCAACTCACTTTTTTTTCTAGAAAAAGATATTTTTTGGGTCTATGTACTGAGATTGTCTATTGTCTTGTTCCTAGAATTGTGATTTATTCTATTTTATTTTTTGTTAATTTTACATTAATAATAATATCATTTCCTAGCTTCACCATTTTTATTTTTGATTTAAATTTACAAAGAAATAAGACAGTTGATAGTTTTGATAACTCTCAATTTATATTATTTTTTTCTTTATTTTTGTCCTGCTATGTCCTGCAGAAAGCTTGAATTACTTGAATTGTGTATCTCTAGAGAAAACTTGATGGAGAATGTAGGAACTTCCTCGCTGGTGCGACTAAGCACGACATATGCCATTTCATTTTCGCATGCAGATGGTTTCGACTTTCATACGATTGTTACAAACTGCAAACTTTCAGAACTGTTTTTATAAATAAATAAATAGATTAAAACCACAACTACGACGCCAAAGTTTAAATAAATAAGTACTGGCTTCAAACCTTACCTCCTTATTGTTGGGAAAAAAAAAAGAGACAATTTTTATTACAATGTTTGATTTGAAATAAATAAAACGAAGATATCTTTGAAGTGAATGGATACCTGCTATATTGATAATATCAATTATATTGACATAATATTATTGATTGTAAATAAGTTGTGAAAGTTTTATAAGTTATACTGTGTGCTATGCTAATTTTTCAATCTTTGATGTTGATAGTGGAGTTATTATTACGCTATCGAATGTGCTATCTTGCAGGGATAGTAGGTGGACATCAATAGATTGAATATTTACAAGTTTAAATAATCCGAAGTGTCAACGTCGAAAACCAAGTCTGACTCTTTCAGTTCGTTAAAATCTACTCTGCTGTTGAAGGTGGATGCTCTCATCTTTTGTCGCTTGATCAACGCCAACAAACGAAGGAACTGCACACAATAACGCATTGCCGTGAAGAATATGATAACAATACCCTCATAGTCAAAGGCAATCGATGCATGCGAGAGTAAATACATAAAGAGACCGGCAATCGACAGCACCAACACGAAAAGATCCAGTCTATTCGACCACTCTTTAAAATAACGACTCTTTTGCGATGTTATCTGCAACGATATCTCCACCAACAAAGCTATATTCACTGAAATATCTAAAACTACAAACAACCAATGTGAAGGTACCGATGTTTTCTTTCTTATTAGATTTATTATTAACTATAGTATCGGAGTAGTAGTAGTAGTATGTTGTATTTTATGTTAATACTATATTCATTACAAGTAAAGCAAAAGCGGTATATTATTATTATATTAACATACCCATAGAATTAGAATTAGATTAAGAATGATCATGAAAATGTAGGCATAGTAGTATTTGTTGGAGAATAAAACACGATCGGCATAAGATGCACATGTTCGATTAGAGTGGTGTGCATTCGATTGATGAGAGCTATGTGAGTATGTATTGTCTTGGTCGTAGATCGAAGAGTATCTTCCGGAGGGCGCTCCTATTCCACCGCTATTATCTAGGCCACCTGATTTGCTAAGACCAGTATATTCATCGTCACTGTTATTACTCGTCAATATTGCATTATTACTATTACCACTACTATTATTATTATTATTATTTCCACTGGTGGTACCAACTGTATTGATACCATAAGAGATATTATTGGATGAAACCTTTGGACTTGAATGTGACATTATTTAGTTAAGACTTTATTAATTTAATTAATTAAAAAATGAAAAACTATAATTATTTGTTTATCATTCAATTATTTATTATAATAAAGTAATAGTATTAATACAAAAAATGCACATGAAAAATTATTTTTTTGTTTTTTAAGATTTTTTTTTTGTCCAAAAACACCCCACTTCGCACACAACATTATTAATAAATTAATTAATGCAAAAAATAAATCAAATACTTTTTGTAAGAATGTCGAAAACATTGAAATCCTTTTCAACAGCAATGTTATAATTCTTTGATTTTTACAATCTAAATTATTTAATTTGTATAAAAACTTCTCTTAATATATCTTTTTAAAGTTATTAATTAATTTCTAAAAATAAGAAAACAGGCACAGTTATATTGTTTCAAAAATGTTATCTTCTTTTTGGTTTATATTTGCTTGATATTACATAAGATCTTTAACAAATGATACTATTGAAAGGTTTGAAAATGAACCTCTTTAGTTGTATAATTCAAAAACCATGTAAAATGTTTTGATTCTAAAAACTATGTTTTGGCACCTTATAAAGCATCACAAAGAACAATTATTTGTATTTGAAATCAATGATATTTTTTTAACTTTATTTTATTTATAATATTTTTTTTTATCATTTTTGTTGATAAAAAAAAGAACAAAAATTACTTGCCGACAAATGTCGTCAAGTGGAGTTATGGAAAAGTTTGCAAAAAGCAAAAACAACGGATCCCTTATCGGTCACGCCCTGTTGTATAGTCCATGCGCAAGAATAACTTTTAAAGTGAAGTACTCTTTCTTTTGTAAACTTTAATAGATGCTGGAATTATGGTTATCTTTAATAAAATTTTTTGTTGCACAGAATGAAATTTTTCAATCACAAACAGCAGACAAAATTTTTTCATGCTCAAAGGCTAGCTATTAAGCCTAACACCCTGATAATTTTTTCACGATTTTTTCACAATTTTTTCAACATTTTTTTCAACATTTTACACCTATGATTAATCTTATAAGCTCTTGTTCATCTAAATTATTTTTCTGAATGTAAATGTTAGAATTATTGTTTAATTGGGCATGATAAATAAATGAGAAATAATGACTGAGTAAATATTTTTTGAACTTTATCATTATTATCATTATTATTTTCTTATATTTAAATAATGATTTAAAGGATAAACAATTGTTTCTGTTTTGATAGAAACTGATGATAATCATATTTCATGATTAAACAAAATTTTAATATTTTTTTTTAACTATTTTTTGTTTGTTTTTTTTTTTCTGCAATCAAAACAATAGAAAACAGACATCTTAATTCATTCTATTAAAATATAGTTATAATTTAATTATTATTTGAATATTTATCACCAAAAAAAAAGAAAAAGATATTCATAAAAATTTTGATTTACAAGTAGTAAATAAAGGTTCAATACTGCACAATATAACCATTAGCATGCAATTCAGAGTTCAATAATTATAACAAAAACAATTAGTTCTATAGCTCAACTAAAAAGCAAACAAACAGATATGATGAAGTTGACAAAATCATTCTATACAAGTATTCTTCTATGAAAAGTCAAGATGGTAAAGAGACTATAATTTCTAGAGGCTACGAATCGACTACCAAGGAGGAGGTATAGTCTTGGAAACCAGTTAGAGATAAGGCACATACCACCTATCTAAACACCATGATAGAAATGAATAAGTTGCCAACAATGATGAGGAATCAAATAAGGGTAAGGCAAAAGAGATGAGCGATATTATAAATACTTATAACAATGTAACATCTCGATCAGCTCCACAACCCACACCTTCAAGAATACAACAAATTATTCATCACCTCAGTTACCATCTCAACCAACACAAGCTGCTTCTACTTCATCTCAATCTTCACCAAAACCAGCTACAACTACACCTGACACTCTCTGGCACAAACAAAAGGAGAAGAGGCTACAGAGGAACAAAGAAAACAAAACAGACTAATTCACAAAATAATATAAAAAATAATACACAAAATAAACAAAATAGTAGACAAAATAATACACAAAATAATATACAAAGTAAACCATTGTTTGATATTGAATCGATAGATTTGTATTATTTTGTGTATTACTTTGTATATTATTTTGGTGACGATGATCATGATATCGGATCGTGCACGATTTATAGTAGTAAAAGAAAAGAAAGAGAGGATGATTGTGACAATAATTGTCAACATAAAAAAATAACCAAATAAATAACAATAATAACAATCCAACAAAAAAGAATAAGAGAAGAAGATAATAATCAAGAATCAATGGACAATCAAAAACATCACAAATCAATTCATGTAATTAGTCAAACACACTTCAAACACCACTTCAAACACCAATCCATTAATCTCAAATTTTATTATAAACTGATCTATAGATTTAAAGAAGGAGTCAAAGCAGACACAGATTTAGATCACTAGACTTCAGTAATAAGAAAACATGAAGATACAGTTCTACAAATGCATTTCCACATTGTTTTCCAGCTCAAGCCAGTATACTAAAACTTCTGCAACCTAAGAAAAAAAATATATATATTTGAAAAACCCCCACAGTCAATGTCATTGATAAAAATTAATCAATGATGTCTTTAAATGTTATTTATAGAAAATAAACAACATGGTTATGAAATGAAACATATATAAGATATATTTTGTCTAATATTTGTGATTAATAAAATTTTTTCAATGCACAGAATGAATTTTTTTCAAAGATAACCATAATTCCAGCAGCTATTAAATGTTTACAAAAGAAATGAGTACTTCACTTTAAAAGTTATTCTTGCGCATGGACTATACAACAGGGCGTGACCGATAAGGGATCCGTTGTTTTTGCTTTTTGCAAACTTTTCCATAACTCCACTTGACGACATTTGTCGGCAAGTAATTTTTGTTCTTTTTTTTATCAACAAAAATGATAAAAAAAAATATTATAAATAAAATAAAGTTAAAAAAATATCATTGATTTCAAATACAAATAATGATGCTTTATTATGTGTATTTCAAATATCATAATTTATAAAACTATACATATACAAATTTTTTTATTTAATAGTACACGTGATAATAAAACTATAATCAATCTAACCTAACCCATTAAATACGTCATTGCTATATAAAAGAATACAATAAATAATTACAAATGATACAGGCAATCAGTTTCTTAAGATTCTTAAAAGGAATCTTTAAAAAACTCATATTAAAATATATTCTTTAGTTTATCATTTATATCATTTAGTTTTAAAAATAATTAAATAAATCCTTATGTGATTAATATGTTAAATACAAAGATAAGATATCTTATCGTATTTTTTTAACCGTTAAATCACATGTTCAATTTTGGCTTTTTTTTTTTTTAATTTTTTAATTTTTTTTTAAATTTCTTTTATTTTTAATTTTTTTTTCTCAAGCAACGACGATCGAAACAATAACTGAGAATTCTTATTCAGCATCTTTTATCTTTTTATTTATCCGTAAATATATTATTATTACTTTTAAAATTTAAAATTAGTAATATAATTTATAATTGTTTGTTAATCGAACATAAATAAAAAAGTTTTCTATTTTTTTTTCTTCCATATATATAAATATAAAAATGTCAACAGAGACACCAGTTACACCAGCAGTTGATACTGCTTTGTTAAATAAAGTAGCCAAACAAATCGAATACTACTTTAGTGATTCAAACTACCCAACCGATAAATTCTTAAAGGAAGCTGCCGCTAAAAACCCAGAAGGATGTAGGTAGAAGAAAAATAAAACAAACATTGTGGAATCGATTGATTCATCATCAAAACTCTAATATTAATGCCGATATTAATTTAACATTCGATTAGATGTTGGAATTGAAGTACTTGCAACTTTCAACAAGATTAAATCAATGACTACCGATTTACAATTGATTAGCGATGCTTTGAAGGATTCCGACAGTTTACAGCTCAGTGAGGATGGAAAGATGGTCAAAAGACTTAACCCATTGCCGGACAATGAGGAACTCGCAAAGAAGACTTTGTACTCAAAGGGATGGCCAAAGGACACCACCACAATGGAGACTATCCAAGATTTCTTTGGAAGCTACGGAAAGGTACTCTCTGTACGTATGAGAAAGAACAACAAGGACAAATCATTCAAGGGTTCAGCTTTGGTCGATTTGGAATCAGAGGAGATCGTCAACAAGATAATCGCCGACGCACCCAAGTTTGGTGAGGTCGAGTTGATCTATCAAACCTTCCTTCAATTCGACAAGGAAAAGAAGGATCAAGAAGCACATTACCTTTCACTCAAAAAGACAAACAAGAACAAGCGTAAGAGCGAGAGCAGCGGTGACAAGACAGATGCCCAAGAAGGAGACGAAGAGGAGACCACCGAAACCAAGAAAGAAGAGGTAGCAGTAGAGTTGACTCCAGGTACTATTTTGTCAATCAAATCGATTGGTACTGGTTTGATGCGTGAAGATCTCAAAGCCACATTCTCACAGTACGGTGAGGTCGAATACGTAGATTTCAATAACTCGAACGATTTCGGTAGCATCAGATACAAGACTGCCGAGTCTGCCAAGCGTGCACTCGAAGCAATGACCACAGAGAAGAAGGAACTCGGAGGAAAGCTCCCAGAGTTGTCTATTCTCGAAGGTGAAGAGGAACAAAAGGAGTTTGAAAAGATCAAGGAAAAGAAGCAAGCAAAGAGTGCCAGAGGTGGAAGAGGTGGAAGAGGTGGTAGAGGCAGAGGTGGAAGAGGTGGAAGAGGTAGAGGAGGTTTCAAGTCAAACAAGAAACAAAAGAATTAAATGCTTTTTAAAAAAAAACTAAAATAAAATAAAACAATTAATTTATTTATCAAGTAGTCGTATTTATATTGTTTGATTGAATTTGATTTCTATTTATATTTGTTGTAGTAGTTGTAGTTGTAGATGTATTTGTTATATTATTTTGTTGTTGTTGATTAGTTTGTTGTTGTTGTTGAAGTAAAGTTACTAATTGTTGAAATTGTTGTTGTTGTTGTTGTTGGAATGTAAGTTGGCTTGGTGTTATAGTTGGTTGTGTTGATGCTTGTGATGATGATGACGATGTTGTTGTTAGAGATGAATTTGATGATTGATTTGATGTTGTATTGCTGTTGTTGTTGTTGTTCGATGACAATATCGATGTCGTAATCGTTGTGATTGGTTGGTGTTGTTGAATGATCAATTCACCGTAGAATTCTATGCCACTCAATGATAGGAAGTTGTGACTGGTACTATTATGTCCAGTCTGCAATATCCTAAAGTATCGGTAAGGAGTTGTTGAGTGTACCGGCCACGAGTGAGAAACGAAACCGTTTCCATTGAGAAAAGTCTCGTTTTGATATCGCGCAATGTTGATCCAGTCGTGGGTGTCCTCCGAGCCTTGTATCACCCAGTTTCTCAGACAGTCTTGCTTCGAGTTACCACCGTGCCTCAGAGTATAGTACTTCAGTATGAGTGTATAGTTTGCACCGAGATCGATGGAGAACCAACTGGATGGAACATCTTTTGTCCAACACTCTGTCGGTTTCAACTCTAGAATGTCAGCGGGAGATCCCTTTTCAATAGAGGAAGCTGTTACTTTAACTCGTGGATTGTCAGCCGATGGATAAAGTGCAGGGTTGATCCAATCGGGAAGTCCATAGCTACCAAGGAAGTAGAGAACTCCACGATTGTCATAATCATAGAGATATTCGAATATCCTACCGGGTGTCTTTCTTTTCATGAATCTTGGTTCAGACAGTCGCTTTTTCAGTTGTTCCGAGCCTGGACACTCAAAGTTTCCAAGTCGAATCATCAGTCCATCGGTTAGCAACTCTTGTGGAACCAGAGGATTCCTTATCACTTGGAGATACTCATTATAAGTCAAGAACGGGAATCTCACTTTCATAAAGAGTTGTTCGATTTGCTTGATCTCCAAGTGTCCACGGTTTGCATCGATATAGCCACATATCGCAAGATACACACTAAACTCTGTAAAGACAGAGAGTGAAGGGTGATCGAGGATCTGGAGGAACAAATCGAATGGCAGGTTACAAAACGGTTGTTTCGGGAGTTGAATCTTTAGCTTTCCATTCTCTCCACTTGTAATGTTTTGGTTGATACGGTTCTTGTGCTCCTCGAGAATCTGACTGAAATTCCTAGCGATTACAAATATACATCTGGGAATCAGCTCTGTCAAATTGAATTCAATCGATTTATTAAGCCACTCTAGTACATTCATGCTGGTGATATGCTCTACTATATAGTCGGAAACCATTTTCTTTAGAGAGTGAATCAGGAAATGATTGGCAAAGTAAAGTATATTGATGCAGTTTTTTTCGCTGATATCAAGCTTTCCTCGGTACATATATGTTATTATGCTGTCAAACGTATTATCTGGATCGTTAATCTCTATTTCTATTGTTAAACAATTCCTGGAGGTGTTCCATGATATATTGGGTTTGGGCTGATGATTATTAAATTGTTGTTTAATTTGTGAAAGTGAAACGACAAATGAAGGTGACGAATTAGAGTCTTTTCTACCAGAAGATGATGATGAAGATGAAGAAGATGATAGATGTGCTGGAAGTACTGGTGTAGGTGGTAATGGTTTATTACTATTGTTATTATTATTATTTTCATTGATATTTATCAAAAGATTAGGTTGTGATTTAGATGGTGTTAAATTGGATGTCGAGGAAGACAATGATATATTATTTGTAGAGTTGTTTGTTTGAGAATTAATGAATGATGATGAAGGTGATGTTGATGTTGATGGATTGTTTATAAGTGAACTAGAGCTAGTGTTTGGAGGTGAAAGTTTAGATTTTGAACTGACCGATGATAGCAACATAGAGATTGATCTGGAAAAGGATGTAGTTCTACGTGGTGGTTGAAGTCCATGATGTATTTGTGAATTTATATTCTGAATAGAGTGTGATAATTGACTTGGTTGAGATGTTTGTTGATTTGGTTGATTTAATAGTTGCTGCTGTTGGTGTTGTTGTTGAATTTGAGCAGGACTGGATTTCACCCATGAGGAAGAAGCTGAAACATTGGAATTTGTATTGGATATATTTGGACTAGATAACGATAATGGATTTATATTTATATTAATATTGGCGTTATTGTTACTATTATTATTATTATTATTATTATTATTATTTTGTTGTTTTAGTCTATTTGAACCTAGACGAAATTTTCCATTAGCGTTGCTGTGTTCGGAGTATACTGAGCCCGGAGTTAGTGGTGAGAGAATGAGAAATGGTGAGTTTGAATGTGATGCTAGCACGGTTGGTGATGATGTTGGAAGTGTTCGAATGAGTGAGAGGGTAGGTGATCCCGAGACTACATTCGGTGAGTTGTTGAGTGATGACGATGATGATGACGATGAAGATGAAAGTGCTGGTGATGCAGGTTGATTAAAAATCTCTGTTCCATGTTGATTGATCGCTTGTAATATATTAGAGAAATACTCAGAGTTGTAGCCCACTATAATTCTATGGAGTTGGTACTCTTTCGTATGATTAACTATCAGTGTCAAATCGCTGTATAGGCCTGTATTTAAATATTGTTGGAATCCAGCATTAAACATATTTTTATGTTGATTATTTTGATTCATCCCCTTTTTCTATTATTTCTTGTTTGACACTGAATTTATAATTTGAAAAAAAAATATATATCTATTTGCTATATCTATATATATAATCTATTTTAAATATAAAACATTTTAAAATAAATATTTAATAAAATTAAAGAAATTTAAGTAAAATGAGATGTTTCAATCATGTGATTTATTTAATTATAATCAATTTAAAAAAAAAAGGTAAACAGAACAGATGTAAGAGTGTTATGATTGTGATTGTGTTTGTTTTTTTTTTAAACTCTGGGGGGGTTGAAAAAAAGTGTTATTTAATTAAGATGTATTATTATTTATTATTTGTTTTGTGATTATTTTTTTTTAATCAAGTTCCGCAACACTTTCCTCTTTTAAAAACAAAAAAATTTATAACTTGATGTTTTTAAAGATTTTTTTTAAAATTTCGGAAATTAAAAATGATGGTCTCAGAAATGGGAACACACCAACCCAAAAGAATCCACCTAATCAACATAAAAAAAAAAGATATCTTTAAAGTTATAATCTTTCCTGCTTAACAAAAAAAACAAACCATTTATTTTTAATTTTTTTTTTAAAAAAAGATAGATAAACTTTAATTGATTAATTATTATTACTTTGTTGTTAGTTCATCTATTAATTGTTGAGCTGTCAAAGTTTCAATTTCATATTGATGGTTTACATTGGGTTTCTGATTGTCTATTGGAATCTCTTCGTAGTGACAGAGTGCAACTATATGATTAGGTAGAAGATTGGGTAGTAACACAAAGTGTGTATAGGAATCAAAGTATTTGTCATCAAATATATTGATTTTCACTTGATTATCTTGTTCATTGATAATGAATTCACATGATTGTAAATCTAATTCAATACCAACACCAACTAGATAAGTTTTTAACAATCATTAATATATATAAAATAATCCTAAATAAATCTATAATAACACTTACTGGCTTTAACAAAACTCTCTTTTAAACACCAATGTCTAAAGAACCTGTTTGTTTGTACGTCGGAACTCTGTTTACTATCTCTTATACTTAACCATTCTCTATTTGTAAAACATGATTTCATACTTTCAAAGAATTCATTTGGCTATAATAGGAGAGTAGAAGTAGAAACAAATACAAACAAACAATAGATAGTTAGTTTATACTTTTTTTTTTTTTTTTTTTTGGTAAAGAATAGATTTACATTTTGAGATCTTGGTATTTCAGATTTCATTGTATCGACACCGATTGATAGACTCTCAGGACAGTCATAGACAGCGTAGATCACAGTATAGTCACCATCATGCGATACATTGAAAAGGTAGGTATGTTCTATCTTGTTGACCAAGTATGGTTTTCCGTTGGAGAGACGTTCGAATCTTATCGATTTCAAGTCTAGACCGGTCAGACGATGTGTCACCAGCAACATCAAAAGACGACCAGCAAGCGATGCTTTGGCACTATCATTGTTTGGGCCCACCAGAAATCCATTGTTAGTAGGTCTCTTGAACGATTGAATACGATCAACTTCCACTTTATCATTCAATAGATTTAAACATGTTGCCCATTCTGGTGCACTTGGTTTCCAATCTTTAAAATTAAAAGCAATTAACAATTCTTTCATTACTTTATTTTTAGTTATTAAGTTTTTACTTGTAATGCTTAAAAACTAATTAGTTTAGTTATGTATGCTGAATGATAAATATAATAATATTAAAAGTGTTTGTTTGTCGACAGGTATTTAAATAAAATTTGTGTGTTGTTTAAATTTTTAGTGCTAATGTGTTTTGAATTAAACCAATTTACAAACAACGTTGTTTATTTGTTAATTTATTCTTTATCATTTTAAAAAACAATATTAATGATGATAATAAGTTTCAAACAAAACCAATGATTTATTTATTTTCACTGGTGGATATTTCGATATCATCGTGTAAATTTATGATATTATGTTGGTTTTCATCGTATTCATTATCGGATTGTTGTTGAGTTGGTGACGATGTATTTGGTTCGGATCCACATAAATCACTACTGATATTACTAATTTTATCACTGTTATTACTGATGTTTTGTTCTGTAGATAAATGTTGTGATTGTGATTGTGATTGTTGTTGTATTAATGGTTGTTGTGATTGATTGCTTCTTGGTGTGTCAGGAATAGTGTAGATTTCTGGTATCTTCAAATCGAAAGCTCTAAATTTACCAACATTATTTAAATGTTCATTCTCGAGACGGAAGACTAGTAATAGCAATAAAGATTAATATTAATAGATTTTAAAGCGATATCATATGATCTACTTACAATTCCATTGGAATCTTCTTGTAACCTCAAGTATGGTGGTACCCAAAAGAATTAACTCTTTCTCTTTGGATGAATATGATTCGAACGAGACTGTAATGGACCAACTGACTCTTAGAATGGCATTGGAGATGATCGCCCAATAATAAAAGAGTTTGCTACGGTAGACTAGGTGGTCACGTAGTAGGAAGTTCTTGCTGTTGGTGTGTAGGACATCCCAATCCATTAGGTAGTCCCAAGTGCAGCTGTAGACAGAGCTGATCGAGAGGAACACAATCCACACGCCAATGAGAGGTCTGTACAGTGCACCGGTGGAGAATGGCGAGTGTGCAATGGCAGACATCACCGAGGTGAGAATGGTGGCGGAATACTTGCCAAAGTTCATCATGTGAATGCGTTGTTTCGAGTCACGATAACGACGAATCGATTGGAGTGCACGAAGCAACGGTGGTATCGAGACGAGCACCGGTCGGAAGTACGGGTTGAATCGCCAGCAGTGACCTTCACTCGTCCAGATATCGTAGACAAAGAAGCAGATGGTATACTCGAAATCGCTGAGCACCAGAGCGAGCGACGTAAACTGATCGCCAAAGAAGAAATCTTTGAACTTGACGGTGAGCATCGGTGCACTAAAGATACGAGCAAACGTCTTTATCAGCCAGAATCGACTCTGACGATGAAAGATGTCGAAAGGACAAAATAGGAATAGAAGGATCGATATGAACAAAATAAAAGGAAATATAATCGGTAGTTTCCCAGAGATATGCGTGCTTAGATACACATAGAGATAGAGAGCAACATTCCAAAAGAACGTCAGTACACTCGCCAGAAACAGAATGTGCTGATAGTTTGTCGTTGTCCTTGGATCCCAACCAAGAATCAATGTATCATTTATCTTTTTGCCATTACAAACATACATTAATACACCAAAATACCAAATCATAATAATCTATTATTATATTGAAATAATATTAAATAGGAGGTAGGGTAAGTAAATAAAATGGATAGTAATAATGGTATGGATAATATTATTTACAGGTAATAATAAACATCTAAATAAAATAAACATTGAAAGGAAGTCGACAGGATATGGATCGTCAAAGTAAAATATAGATACATTGCCAACCATATACCTAACACAAAAAATAAATAGAGTGATAGATCCACCGGTGAGCAATCCAGTTTGAAAAATAACATGCGAGGGAGCGCGATAGTCTTGGTTGATTCTCAACTTGGTCATGGCCTCTCTTCTGTTACCTGGATTGTAGTAATCGGTATACAACACCTCTATCTCATGTTCAATGGCAGTAATCTTTTTGGATTTATAAAAATATTGTTCGAACGCTCTAGCCATATATTCATCACTCTTTTTCATACCCAAAACTAATAATAGTAGTAGTAGTAACAAATAAAATAATCGTTAGCGAACAACAATAAATCTAATATGTTTCAGAAATCAAATCAATCTTTACCTTTATCGTACTTCTTAAAGATCTTTCTAAAAGCAGTGTGATTTAAATGTACATATTCTTTGAGTATTTCGATTTCTCTGTAGTTTTCTTGTAGTGCTCTCTTAAGGGATCGCTTGATCTTTGTTGGTTTCAATTTGGGTGTATATGTTTCTGCTTTCGATGCGTGTTGTAATATTGTTTTGGCTGCTGATAGTTGTGGTGGTTGAGATTGTACTGGTGTTGGTAGTGGTGAACTCGATGGTGAAAATGGTGGTGTTGCTGGTTGAATAATAATCTCTTCAATAGATCTTGTTGTTGCATTATCCGTTGGTAAATCATTATTGAAAGAATAATTTAAATGTGTTGGTTGTTGTTGTTGTTGCTGTTGCTGTTGCTGTTGTTGACTTGTGTGTAACCTACTTGGATTGGGTGTTGAAGTCGATAGTTTGGTAGATAATCTCTTTGATTTTCTATGTTGAAGGAATGAGAATGGCGATGCGATAGAAGACGACAGGTTGTGAGTTGACGACTTGTCTTCTCTCAATCTATCTTTATCCTTCTCCCTCTCTTTGTCTTTCGACGAGTTTGACTTCTTTGTCTTCTTTGGCAGCGAAGTAAGAATATCACGAATATTGTTGAACTGCCTAATGAATTCCTCTTCACGTTGCACATAGAATGCATTGACCTTGTCAAACTCATCGTTGAGCATCTGATCAAACTTTTTCTGCTCACGATCTTGATTCTTTGTTGAATGCAATGAATTAACTGAACTAACCGATCCAAACGATACTAAATTATTTGTATTATTATTATTATCTAAACTATTATTGTTATTACTATCTTCTTGATTATTATTTATATTATTATTATCATTATCATTATATTCATTATAATCTATATTTTGTTGTTGTTGTTGTTGTTGTTGATTATTTTGTTGTTGAATTTGCTGTAAGGGTATTCCAGACATTGATGCACCAACAGTTTCACTTGAATCCATTTTGAGTCGTCTTCTGATGGATCCTACAAACATCATTGGTCGTTCTTCATCTTCGGTGATAGCACGTTTGATTGCCTTGATTTGCTTCTTGAACATCTTGTAGTAAACATATTTCTTTCTCCACTCAGAGACTTGATGCCTCTCAAGATATTTACCAAACTTCATCTGTACTGCCTCTTTTCTCTTACTGCCTAAATATACTGAGATTCAATGTAAAATCAACAACAAACCAATAAATAACACTAATTTAATGTATTAAAAAATAATAGTTAACAAGTTAATTTACGTAGATTATAAAAAAAAAAAAGTAGGAAAGTAAAAATAGAATGATATTCTATATTATTATATTTATTTGAATAGTTTAATGTAATGTTATATTTATATATATTCTCTTGATTTGATTTAACTAAATATGCTCTGTATTTCTTGATTTGTTTTTTTGTTTGATATTTTTTTGGTTTATCATGATTAGATTTCTTTAACTCATATCACAAATTAATTCTTTCATTCTCATTCATTCACCGACTCACAACAAACTTTATCGCCTTTTATTAATCTGATAGTCTAAAATTGATTGTAAATTTTTGATTTTTATTATTTGTTTTTGTATTTTATTAGTGTTTTAATAAAATAACTTGTTGTGGAGTATTTGATAAAAAAAAAAAAGATATTAAAACCAATGGTGTATATGTGGACTGTTGTTTGAAAACGACACACACATCAAATAAATAAATGTGTATAGTGGGGAATCGATTGAAAAATATATAAAGTTACTACTGTGAGTTGAATTGTTATTCTTGATGTATTGTATATTATTTATATGTTACTGTTATTCTTGTTATTTTTGTTAATCTTAACTTACAATATTAAAAACAAACGACTAGTATTGGTTTATTTATTTCTTTTTTCATATTCTATATATAGATACTGAATCAGCTAATATATTTATTTGTATTTGTTTGTTAGCTTGAATATATATAAAGGAAATTGAAATGTTTACTTTATAATTGATTGATTTTTTTATTCTAATTGATTTAAAAAGTAAATGGGATTGGATATTCTAAAAAAGATAAGGGGGAGATACAACAAACAAAACAAAATCGCAAAAATAAATACAATTGCTGCTGTGACACAGAAACTGATGATGATGAAGTTGTATAATAATTAAAGAGAGTATCTTATAAGATTCTAATAGATTTCAGAAATGAAAAATTGTAGTTAATTTGTGATTTTCTGCCTGGTATGAAACAATGCTATTATTTTAAGTGAAGAGTGGTGGTTGTACTTTGCAAAAGTTATAACAGTGGTGCAATGCAATTTCTGGACACTGGAAAATGAATGTTTGTTGTGGGTTGTGTGTAGAATGCATTGGTTTGTGTAAAAAAGTTAAGTCCTTTTTTGTTTGCAGCTTTATTACAACCCGGTTTTTTTTTAATGATTCTTTTTTATTCAATTTGTTGACACTTTTTGACACCATCGCAAGCGATTCAATTAGAAAAGATTTTTCCGTTTTCAGAGTTTTTTGTCAAAAAATTAAACAAATATTTTCAATTAAATAAACTGGTCAATGGTTTGGTTATTAATTAATAACCACAAAAAGTTAACTCATATGTTTTTGGTGTAGTATCATATATAATATGGTTGGTAAGACATAGAAAAAAACGATTCACTCATTTGTTGATTTTAAATCAAAATCACTCTTTCTTTAATCAAACATGTTTTTTGCAAAAAAAAATAAGGTCAAAGTATTGAACAAAAAGAATTATTATTATAATACTATAATTTTTAAAAATGATTATAATTTTTATTTGAAATGAACTTTTTAAAGTTATCGTTAATAATTCAGCTAGTCCAATATAATTTATTTTAAATAATTGAACATCATTTAAACTATTCAAATTTATAATGATATTAGTTTTTTGAAAACATAGTGGGTTTATAAATGTTAATATTCAGTTGGTGATGTTGTTGTTGGAAAGTCGACACGATACATATTCATTCTGTACTGAGTGTTAAACGATGATGACTGCTCAACAGCTCCATTTGGATAGGTGGCATTCTGAATGGTGGCAAATGGAATTGAGAGGAAGCCTTGGTATCCAAGATTTGGAATGACTTGAGCTGAATACTCAATCTCTGACTCTGGGCATCCGATCAATGTATCTGTAATGCCGAAGTAAACATAATTTAAAATAAAATAAAAATAAACTGAGATCTAAACACTACAACTATCATCGGTATTTGCAACTTGAGCAACAAACAATACACCTCTTGGAGATAGCTCTACTTCTAGGTAGTTGGTTGGTTGTTGGTACTACGATGACAGCAAACTACACTCTATGCAATGAACACCTACATCTACGATGTCTTTGTTCTCGGTGAGTTACCAACAACCAACCAACTACCTGGAGTAGTTCTTATACTTTTTTGATGATTTATTATTTTTAACATTATATTTAAAAAAAAAAAAAAAAAAAAAAGATTTAATGAAATTTTAATTAATTGTGTGTTTTTAATGAATATATCTGACTGATTTGATTTTTAATTTAAATATATATAAACGATCATATATACACTACATTATTTCAATAGACTATTGAACATTTTTAGTTTTGTAAAATATATAAAGATATATATTAAAAGTAGTGATAATATTATTTAGATTATGTTTTAGTTATTTGGAATTATAAAAATAAAACATATATTTTTTTTTTATTTTATCATTAAAAATAAAAAAATAGTATTACAATGTATAGATTTAGTAGTAGTATATATAAGAGTTTTACTCTTAATATAAATAATAATAATATTAGTAATTATAGTAGTAGTAATAGATATAGTTGTAAGATAATGTATATGTTGGTTTTATTGTTGGTGTTGTTGTTGGATCATGGTTGTTATGCACAGTCAAACTCTGCGGTTTCACAACGTATCTATACAAATGTAGGCAGACCTTTGCCTTGCTCGAGATTGCTCGATGTCAACGGTCAATTTGGTTGCACCAGCAAGGAGTTTGGTAATAGCGGTCTAGTGCATCTGGTCGATAGTGACGCGTCACTTGCAGACCTACCGTCGCACGCTATCGCAGTGCTCGACGCCAACTTCTTCAACGGTACAATAGTCAACCGTATCATATCGAAGGTAGAGGGAATCGTCGTGCTAACAGACACCAAACAGAACTACAGATACTCGCCAGACCTACCGGTGCCAAACGCACCGTACGGTCTCTACCCAAAGCCAACGTTCTCTTTCAACTCGGCCGGTGACTCCTTGTCGTACCAATCGTTTGACAAACCATTCTTTGTGTTGGACAAGAACAACTCGGCGATAGCGAGATCCTACGGAAACTGGAATCGTGACGGAAACCTTCCACAGTACGGCTGCCACCTGGAGTCGTTTATGCACGCCGCTATCAACGCGCAGACTTGCTTGCGTCGTTCCTTCTGTGTGCCAGTCGGTGGAAAGTCGTCTTGGTCAACTTTCTCACCAGAGTTTGACCAGAGCTCTACTATTATTATGGTGTCGGTGCCGCTCGACGCCACTGCGTTCTTCCACGACTTGGCATATGGCTCGCAAACAAGCGCTTACGGCCAGACCGTTCTGCTTGGTATCGTCGAAGCGTTGTCGCGTGTCGCCAACCAAACTTCCACCTGGAAGTATACAGTTATTTTTGCGGCGTACGACGGTGAGCGTTGGGGATATCTTGGTTCCACCAAGCTGGTCGACGACATCATCAACACCGAGTGCAAGAAATACACATCCGATGGATACGGATGTCTCGATCCACGTATCCTCGATGTTACATTCATGAATATCTCATTCACCAAGATCAAGTTCATTGTCGAGTTGAATCAAATCGGTAATCCGCTGAAAGTTGACGGATCCGGTCACTATGTATACGCTCTCAACTCACTGAAATCAAACGCCAACAATCCCGACCAACAATTGCTCTATCAGACATTCGCTGACGTCGCCAAAGAACTCGCCGGCAAAGTCAAGATCTCCACGCAACCAGTCGACCAAGATGAAGTACCAGAGATTCCACCATCCTCTTCAATGGCATATCTCAAACAAAATCCAAACATTCCAACAATCATTGTTACTGATCATTTCGGTGTTTATACAAATAAGTAAGTTAATAATAATAATATTTCATTATAAAAATATATTCAAACTCTACATAAACATAAACTAATAACGATTGTTACCTTTTTACTTTAATAATAGTTATTTTTCAAGTCATAACGATGACTATACAAATATCAATGCCAACATTATTGTTGATGCAGTTACATACTTTGCCACTGTAATCGACAGACTTGCTGGTGGAAACAATACAATTGTACAAAATTCGCTATTTGTATGTTAAAAAACAAACAACTCATCATGACTTTTTCGTTTACGCTTATTAATATTTATCTTTTTCATTCAACATTTTACTTACTTAGGTTGAAGATATGTTAGATTGTCTTACTAAAAACTTTACTTGTAAATATGCTCAACAGTTTGCAGGTTCAAGTCAACCGGTTCCATCTTTCTATACTTCAGTATATGGTTACGGACCTGACAATCAGTATCTAACAATCCAATCGTTGTTTGTTCACTCGGTGATGGCTTATTTCGCAGCGAGCAATCGTACTGGTATCATGTGTGACGAAAGCAATTCATGTCCTGAATCTGCCCAAGCTTGTATTGGTGGTACTTGTGTTATTACAAACTCTCACTTCCACGATGCAATCTCGCTTGGATTCACTTTCGACGAGCCATCGTATTCCTGGGTGATCGGTAACACCAGCTATCCAACCTATGTAGAAAGCAACTGGAATTCAATTGTAATCAACTTCTACCAACAGGACAGCCACACCACTGAAGCACTCTTCCTAGTATTTGGAATCATTGAAATGTTTGTTGTGATTGCAATCATATTTGTTTCCAAGAGATATCTATCAAAGAGATATAAACTATTGTAAAAAAAAAATAAAGAAAAGAAAAGTAACTAGCTAACTATATACACTTCCTATTCACACATAATCATATCAATTAATATCCTCCCAATTAAAAATCAATAGCTAATCAAACATTCAAAGATAACCATCTAATATTAATTAAATTTTAATAAAAATAAAACAAAATAAATGTATTTATATAAAATATATTAAAACAAATAATTAGTATAATAAAAATGGTCAACTGAAAATTTTTAGATATTTCTCAACCCGATAATTCTTTTGGTTTTTTTTTAAAATTAATAGGATGGGTGGTTTCGAAAACAATTAAAATATCTTGATTTACAGACTTGAGAATAGAATCAAAAGTAAAAAAACAATCAATCAATTTATTTTATTTATTTATTTAGATTTATGCTTATCAAATAAAATATGTATAAAAATCAAATATTGATTATTAGTAGTTTGCTTTTGGTTTGTGTGTGTTTTGCAGTTGCAGTGAACCCACCACCATCTCTAGAAATTTCGAGATGTGGTACATCAGGTAGCTTCGTCAGTAATTTCATTTTGGATAGTGGTGTCGGTCTAGCAGTACAACAAACGGTTGTCAATCTCTGCTACGATAACGATAATCTCTATTTGAAACCGTTGTGCTACGATGACAACATCGTATCAAACTACACTCTATGTAATGAACATCTCTACAACTACGATGTCTTTGAAGTATTCCTCTCGGTGGGTCATCAACAACCAACCAACTACCTAGAAGTAGAGCTATCACCAAGAGGTGTATTGTTTGTTGCTCAAGTTGCAAATACCGATGATAGTTGTAGTGGTACGATTAGTTCTTAGTTTAGTTTATTAAAAAAAAAAAACAATCCTAATATAAATTGTTTTTAATTTATCAATATACTTAGGCATTACAGATACATTGATTGGATGTCCAGAGTCAGAGATTGAGTATTCAGCTCAAGTCATTCCAAATCTTGGATACCAAGGCTTCCTCTCAATTCCATTTGCCACCATTCAGAATGCCACCTATCCAAATGGAGCTGTTGAGCAGTCATCATCGTTTAACACTCAGTACAGAATGAATATGTATCGTGTCGACTTTCCAACAACAACATCACCAACTGAATATTCATGCTGGAGTCCAACATTTATGAACCCACCATGTTTTCATGTGCCTTCAACATTTGGATACATCACTTTAGTTTAGAAAATCCAAAATTGCAAAATAACTCTATCAAAAAAAACCAAAATCATCACTAATTTGAATAAAATTTGTAATGGCAAAAGTTTCTAAAAACACAAAAAAAAAAGTCTATGTTTAAATAGTTTAATAGATAGGTAAACTTCCAAGACCAACAGGGGTACTTACAATGGTGTCTCTGTGTGGTGCCACTTATCTCCCACACACACGCAGATTTTAAATGCCATCGTTAAAAAAATTTTGTTTTTTTTTTTTTTTTAATTTTAAAAAATTTTATAAAATTAAAACCTTTTTTGGAATTTTGAATAAAAACTTGTTATTTTTAACAACAATAAGGTTTTTCTAAATATATATGAATTACCACCCCACGACAAACACCACAGGACAAACAAAAAAAAACAAAAAAAATATGTGAAATTTGAACACACTAGTTTCATTGAAAGGTGTTGACCTGCCTTCATCTTATCAATATCAATTTAGAACATCAATTTTTGACATTTTTAATAACAAAAATCCTAAAGTAACAAACAAACAAATTTACTTTGGAATACATATTATTCTATTATTATAACATCTACTATATTAATATTTTTTTTTTTGTTTTTCTTTTTTTTTTAATTTTTATTTGCAATCATTTAATTAAGGCAAAAATAACCAATAATAGTTACATAAACAGAGAGTAAACATAATCTTAATATCATTGATAACAATACTAGTAAGTCATTAATAGTCATTGTCTTTTTATGCATTTTTAAATCTTGTAGTTTGACCATTCACTGTAATATCATTAATATGTAATCTGTAGAGTGTCTATATTTTTTATTTATATTGTTTTTGTAAAATGCACTTATCCTATTGGTAGACAACCCGAAGGAGATACGATTTTATAGGGATTTGTCCTATTGTTTTATAAATTTAATCGATTCCAAGTACATTTTTAGAATTATTTTTTTCTGTCTCTGTTGTGTGTGTTATTAATTTAATTATCCTCAAGATATCGAAATAAATCAAATTTCACAAACAACAACAACAACAGCAACAACAGCAAAACAAAAGAACACTTCATTAATGAAATAAATCAAATATTTAGACATGGTATTGATTCAACAACAAAATTTTATTATTCGCCATATTTTATTATTAAAACAATTATAAAAACAACTATCTACTCATTACATTTGAGAGGAGAAAGATGTGTTCTAGTGTTAACACTGGTAATCTATTTGGTACTTTCTTTCATTTGTATGGTATTCCAAATTTTTGAGAGACAGAAGAACTAAAAAAAAAAAACATAGATCGAATGTGTGTTTATTTATTATGTGTGTTTATCTGTATTTATTTACAGTAACAAAAATCAATAATTTAAAAATAAAATTGCAATTTATCAAATAAAACAATAAAACAACAAAACACAATAGTCATATAAATAAAATAAAAATAAAAACAAATTTAAATATTTTTTGTTCAGTTTTTATAATCTATTTTACCTGACTTTTTAATTAAAGATATTCTATTTGTTTCAATAATTGTAAATATAATATAATTTTATTAAAATCTATGTCTTTTTTTTTGTTTTTTTTTATTCATTAAAATAATATAAATTTTTATTTATTTTAATTTTTTCTATATCACTTTTAACACATCATACATAACAATAATAGTTTCAAATATTTAATAATTTAAATTTATTCTTGTTTGCAAAAATAATGTTACCCCACCTTTTTCCACACACATTCAAATTTAATTAAAATATGAATGTATTAATGTATTCGGGGTTAATTTATTGCTGACCAGTGCAAATAATAGTTAATTTCATCCAATATCATAATTTTACCAATGCGGTGTCTAAACATTGTATGGTATCGATGTGCTTGAGATGGATATCGCAATGCTCAAAAAAATAATGAAAAAAAGAATTTTTTGGAATATATTTATCAAAATTGACTGTAATTCAATTCAATTCCACATTATTTTGGGTTGGTGTCACCACAATTATCTCTTTTAGTCTTACGAAACACTTATAGATAAAAAGCTCTACCTCTTGCCATAATTTAATTAGCATGGAACAGTCTAATTAAAATAATAATAAAATTATCACCACATAGTATAGCGGTGACCCTTTAAATATTGGAGAGATGCCAATAGACATGTATTAGGTAGAGAATAAAGGTGGTGAGGAAGGACAAACCAAAAAAAAACAAAAAAAAACAAACCAAACCAACAAACATCAATTAATTGTCTTGTTTTTATTTTCTCAAAAACATTTACTATAATTATCATCATCATCATCATCACACCTTAGCTAGATAAAAATAAATTAAAAATAAAATAAAGTTTTGTTTTTTTTTTTGATTTTATTTTTAGGTTGTTGTATATACCCAGTGATATATACCAAGTATGTAGTAGTAGTAGAATTAGTAGGAGTCATCAGACAATAATAGAGATTAAAAATACCTACATATAATTTTCTTTAATATAATTGTACCCCCCAACTATTACCACCACTTCCACCACATTATTCATTCTTTCAATAATCAAAAACAAAAACAAAACAAAACAAAAGAATTCCTATCAAAACAATACCAAAAAGATAAAGAAAATAATTAACTCTTAATTCCATATTTGTGATTAGATGTGTTGTTATTGTTTTGTTTTTGTTTTTGTTTTTTTTTTTTGTTTTGTTTTGTTTCTCTAAGGTTGGAATCATATTGATTCTATTTAATATTGAATGCAATCATAATAATAATAATTTAATAATTTGATTGAATATAATAGATGTTTGGTTGGTATTTTATCTCTTACCTGTATGTATCAAAATTCAGTTTGAATGATGATATTGCCATTGTTTTTTTTTTTTTGTTTTTTCCTTACACCAAAATCCAATAAAAATAATCATTTCCATATCAGACCATATAATCAAAATACAACCATCAAACAATAACAAAAAAGGATATTTTAAATTATAGATCATGTGATATAAAGTCGCTCACCGCTTCTCAAACTCTTTCAGTATCAAAACCAACAATAACGACATACTACCACCAAAAACCACATAGTTTCACCTATTCCACCTCGTTTTTTTCAAAAATCCACTTATTGATTAACATTTCATATTTGTCCACATTTAAATAAATGTATTACAGTGTGTAATTGTAGTTTTAGTAAAAATAATAGTTTTTTTTTCTCTATCTTATTTTTTAAAAAAAACAAAAAACAAATAGAATAGAATTAAATATCGAATACATTTCTTTACCTTTTTAAAAATATTAATATTTGTTTTTAAACAAAAAAGGAAATTCCAACTAATTCTCATTTTTTAATCCAAAAGAAAAAGAGTTAGATGTCTTGATTATTTATTTAATCAAAAGTGAAGAGGAATCATTTATATAGAATAACAAATAATTTTATAAATTACAACTCCAACTCTAAAGAATAATAATAAAATGAATGATATAATATATAGTCCTGGTGGTACAAAGCCACCAAGAAAAGAAAAGAAAAAGAGAATCCAACATGTAGGTTCTTATGAAGTTGGAAAAACATTGGGAAATGGTAGCTTTGGAAAAGTTAAACTTGGAACCAATATATTTACAAAAGAAAAGGTAATATTAAATTAGATCTAAATAATTTAGAGAGAGATCACTGATGGCTTATAATTAAAATCGATTATAATTACACAGGTTGCAATTAAATTTATAAAGGAAAATAAGTTATCTTCAAAGCAGAGAGAAACATGTATGAGAGAGATTGAAATAATGAGATTGTTGGATCATCCAAATATTGTTAAACTATTGGACGTCATCGAAAAGAAAGAGGACAAAATGACATTTCTCATTGTTGAGTATATCTCTGGTGGAGAACTGTTTGATTACATAGTTGCACGTGAATATATTAAAGAGAAAGAAGCAAGAAAGTTTCTTAGACAAATCATATCAGCCATTGAATACTGTCACTCTAATCTGATTGTACATAGAGATTTAAAACCAGAGAATTTATTACTAGATGCAAATGGTAAATAACATTACATTATTTATAACAAACTTATTTGTATTAATAATAATGAATCCAACATAGGTAATATAAAAATAAGTGACTTTGGATTGAGCAATTCTATTTTACCTGGCAAGTTGATGGAGAGTTTTTGTGGGTCACCTCTCTATGCGGCACCAGAGATTTTGAAAGCAGAAAAATATTTGGGACCACCTGTAGATATTTGGAGTTTGGGTGTAATTTTATATGCAATCCTTTGTGGTAGTTTACCTTGGGAAGGTGAAACTCAGGCTGAAATAAGCTACAACAGTGTACATGGTAGATTTATTGATCCTCCGCATTTGACAAAAGGTAATTATCAAGATTATTAAAATACTAACTATAGTTTTAAAAGGACATATTAATTGATTGTTTGTTGTTACTTTTAATTATCATAGAGGCATTACATTTAATTCGTAGAATGATTCAAGTGAATCCCAGAGATAGAGCAACAATAGAGGAATTGAAGAATCATCCATGGACAAACATGGAATACGATGAGCCACCACCTTCTTTCTTACCAATGAGAGAACCTGTATATGAGATGAGAGAGGAACTAATGGCACAGATGGTTTCTTTAGGATTTCCAAACAGTCAGCACACTAGAGATTTGATTCTAAGCAATACTCAATGTCGTGCTACCAGTGTTTATCATTTACTTTTGGACAAAATGGTTCACAAGGAACTTGAAGATATTAAAAAGAATATGTTAAAATTACAAAATAGAGAAGATGTAAGTGTTTTGCTAATTTCATAATCAAATAATTTATTTAATACGTACATATTAATATAATTTGTTAGAATTCATTAAAGAAATCACAGAAAGGATCAAATTCACTTGCATCGATTCCAGAGGATGAAGCTTCACAGATGCATTTGAGGGATGAAGATGAAAGCGCGAGCTTTGCTAATAAGGAGGGCAAGTTTGACCAGACCTCTCCAACAAAGAGAAGACAATCAACTCCCAAATTCTTCTCGCCAATGATGGACCAGAATGAAAATAAAATCTCCAAATACTCTCCGCTACCATCATCGCTATCGGCACCAGCAACTTCACAGTCACCTCGTAACCATAAGGTGAATAACCATCAACAAGCCATGAGTGAGGCAGATGCCACCACTGCTTCAATAATCGAACAACAACAGCAACTTCACCTCCACCACCAACAACAACAGTACATGCAGCAGCAACAACAACAACAACAAGGTGGTCCAACCTCTCCAAGGTACGTTGTTAACCAACAACACAGCAAATCGCCAACCAGACAACAACAGCAAAATGCTTCAAGACTACCACACCTCCAACTCCCACACGGACCTGCTCCAACCTCGGTTCAACATCTACCACCCGGCTATGAAAGCAGAAGAAGATTCTCCATTCAAGGGCCAACCTTAAGGGAGGAAGTAGAAGCCGAGATCAATCACAACTATCACAACCCAAGAACTGCTATCCTAATGCAACAACAACAGCAACAGCAACAGCAACAACAACAACAGCCACAAAGTCATGAACCAACCGTGCAAGCTCCAAGAACTAACAGAAGAATGAGTCTTGATTCGCGTATGATGGTAGACGGTGAGGATGGACCTCTCGAGAAGAATGAATCGCTCTCTAGTCCACGTTCGACCAAGGGTATCTTCAAGTCTTCGACAACCACCACCAAATCACCAGAGAAGACAGTGGATGAGGTCAAGAGATGTCTAGAGGAGACTAACCTCTTCACAAAGAAGAAGGGTCCCTACGTCTTCTTGTGCTTTGACGATGAAGCTGGTGTCAAGTTCCAAATTGAAATTGTAAAGATTATGCATTTGAATTTGACTGGTGTACAATTAAAGAGAATTTCTGGTGATACTTGGAAATATAAAGATATATGTACAGATTTGGTTGAATCAATTCATATCTAAAAAAAAAAATAGTTAAAAAAAAATAAACTAACAAAAAAAAAAAACAAATTTGAACAAGATTTTTAAAATTGATATTATTACTAGTTTTAAAATCCATTCAAACACCTATACTATATTGACTTTTAATTATAAAAAAATAAAGAGATAAGGAGAAAAGACAATCTTTCGACCAAGTCTTGAACTCCTATTTCAAAAATTGATACGAGTTATTAGAGTAATGTAGTTCACTATCAACTCACAATACTCCAAAAAATTCAATTAACTTTGATGACTTTTATTTTTTAATTGGTAAAAATATTGATTTTATGGGAAAGCTGTCGTGCGTTTTCCAATCAACAAAGCTATTGAACGTAAATAATTCATTTAATCATTGATTTATTTGTGAAAATATTAAAAAAACAAAAATAATTAATAGTGGTAGTAGTAGTAATTCATTATTGTGGAGTGTATCTTTTAAAATTTCTCGCCAATGCCTCGTTAAATTCTTGTTTGTGTTCTACGTTTATACAATGACCGGAATCGAATTGGATGAACTCTGCCGGTGAAAGAATGTCTCTAAGTAGGAACGAGTTGGAGGTTCGAACGAGGTGATCGATATCACCACACATCACCAGAATCGGTATATTCGTTTTCTCTTTCAACTCGCGTAGTCTGCTATCGGTAATATGGTGAGTTGTCACTGTCTTGATGTGACCGGCGACCGCTGCTGGCTTGGGCAGTGTCATCTTGGAGACATCCTCAACATAGCTATCGAGCAGAGACTCCAGGATCGGCTGACCATTCTCATCGAGCTTCTTCAAGTAGTTTTCAGAGTAGAGAATTGGCATGAGAACTCTTCCTCTCTCACGATGATCTTTAATAGTAAAGGAACGCAACATCTTGAGCATTCCAAGGATGGGCGGTATACGTCCGAATCCACCGGCGTGAGTGACACACAGCGAGAGTGTGGAGACACGCGCATGTGCAGACGTAGCCAACTCGAGGGCAATCATACCACCCATCGAAACACCTACAATGTGTGCCTGTTGCCATCCGAGATGATCCATGAGCTCAAGTCCGTCTCTTGCCATGTGATTGGAGCTGTAGTTGTAGTTGGGTGTGTCACTCTTGCCGATACCACGGTTATCGAAAATACATATTTGATACTGCTCTGGAAACTGATTGAAATACTCTAGTTGATGTTTCCAGGCTTCGCAGCTTGTCAGGAAACCCATGATCATCAGCACCTTTGTATTACCTCTTCCGTGCAACTGATAGTAGAGCTTAACAACGCTACCTCTATTATGTGAAACTTCGCAATGACCCTCTTTAAAAATGTGTGATTCATTCGCTTTCTCGTCTATATGTGGACCACCGCTTCCAATTCCAATATCTTTATTGTCTTCTTCGTTATTACTATTATCACCTTCAACAACGACAACAACATCCTTATCAAAATTATTATTTTCTTCTTGTTCTCTTTGCTCTATCATTTTTTTTTTCTTTTTAAAAATAACCGACCGCAGACTTTTCTTTTTAAAAATGATTAAATAATAATAATAACTAATTAAAATTTCTAATTTAATATATATATACAAAATAAACTATAATTATTTTATGTAATAATAAAAATAAATACGATTTTTATTTTTTTGGAAATATATAAATTTTAACTGCAAAAACAAAAAAAAAAACAAAATCTTTTAATTTAAGTGGTAAGTTATAATGATTCTTGTTTAAACTTCAAACAACGAGCGAAATAAAACCACATAAAAAAGTGTAATAATCATTACATTTTTTTTTTTATGTACACATTTGCGCTAATGTTGATTTAAATTATTGCAAAGATCATTGATTGACTATAAATTAAACCATCATCGTTCAACAAGAATAGTTGTTCTCATTTTCCTGAAAATGATGATAATTAATTAAAAAGATTAATCTTTGTTGGATGACTTTCAATGATCTTTGCAATAATTTAAATGATTTTCACCATTACGAGAAATAATGAAATGCAAAACTAACTTTTTTTTTTTTGAACTACCCCTGTTGATGATGATAGATTTAAAGGGCATCTATGAATGTTTTTGGGTTTGTTTTTTTGACTAATTTTTTGAGCTTTGCAAATAATAGAAAAAAAACAGTCAAAAAAAAGGGAGAAGTAATAGGTTTTGCGAAACACAATTCAACAAAAAAAGTTATTACCTTGATATTTTTTTTTTGATTTAAATTTTAAATTAATCAAACAATAAATTGGATCTTTTTAAATGAGAAACAAACCAATGATTGTTCACACACCAAACTCTTATATTAACAACCAATCTAAATCATTCAACACTTTGTAGCTCTTCACAGTAAATAAATTTATTTATTTATCAAAAGGTAATTATAAAGTTTGTCATTCATATTTTTTCTTTTCTTTAACAATCTTTGTGCAGTTTTTGATCAATAAAAAAAAAAACTCTCTCTCTTTCACAAAATCATAATCGGAGTCAATCATCACAATCATCATTGTGCTAATTTTGTTTGTCTTTTCGCCACGACAAAAAGAGAAGAGGTACGGGTAAAGTCAGAAACAGCATACGCGAAAACTCACTGGTTTTAAGAAATTTTGAAAAAAAAAAGATCAGTTTTTTTAAAAAATTGCGATGAGACTAAAAAATTTCTAAATCAATAAAATCATCAACCAATTAATCAATCAATCACTTTACAAATTTGCAATAAATCTTTATTTTTGTTGTTGTTATCGTTATAAAGATATAAAAATAATACATAATACACAATAGTGTCAATCTATTATTTTAGAAACTAATTTAAAAAACTTCTATTTTTTTTTAGGTTGTGGAGTAGAATAGTGTTGTTTGTATTAGATATTTATTTATTTATTTGTATATATATATTATAATATTATTTATTTAAAAAACTAAAAAAAGTAAAAAGTAAAAAGTAAAAAATAGAGATTTTTTGTGTGTGTGTGTTTAAAAATAAAAATGGATTTCACAGCAAATCTGATCGATTTGATTAGAGATCCATTGTCGACGATATTGATCGACTGTCGTGCGATCACTCATCTGATTTCACAGGAGGAATCGTTTCAGATGGAGTTTGACAAGGTGCAGAAGGATGCTGAGATTCTACTGATCGTGTTCAATCAGTACCTTCAGCGACACATCTTTGCAGATGGCCAAGTCAGAGCGCAGAACCAAGAGGAAGCAGCTACCAAACAATTCTTTTTCGAAACACTCATACAGCACACTCAACAATTCAGATCGAATTTGATAAGCCTGATGCAAACCGTTCAGTCGGTTGGCAGACTAGAGATGTTCCGTGACGCCGACCAACAACAACAGCAACAGCAGAGACAGGAACCCGATGGTGCAGATACCAACCCCGCTCCTACCGCTTCAAGAAATACAAATCGATCGTTGTATGCACTTTTAAAGTATAAGTTGCAAGAGAATTTGTTGTCAGTGTTGGAGGCAACTCGTGGCCTGATGAAGGCATGTAGCGCCAGTCCCGCGCCAATGTCCAATGCCAACACCTACTGCAACAACTCTGATTCATTTTCAATCTCTATCACCACAGAATATCTTCAGTCGATCTCCACTACTTTTCTCAAACAGATGGCTGGTGTTGCCGAGTGTTGTTCGCTGCCTGACGTGTCCAAGAGCGACTTCCAGCTGCTTGTAACCAGCTACGAGTTGGCAGCGGACCAATTCATACAGCTATTGAAAGATCACAGTAAATTTGACATTTCAGAGAGGATTACAACTATTTCCACCAATATTGAGAATCTAAAGAATCTGTCGAATGATATTCATCAATGGGTATTAGAGGCAAAGCCATTGGATGCCACCAGACTGCAGCACAATTATCAACAGGAACAATGTGTACTGGCACTGATCGAACATGTAAAAGCAGTTATTCCTTTGATCAATCAATCGATTAACAAACAGGCATCGGCTAACCCATTACCAACAAGCATTGAATTGATCGATTTAGTAAAGTTGGAACAACAACTATTTGATCTCATTGAAGAGGAAGAAGAAGAAGAAGAAGAAGACGAATCTGACAGTGAATCAGAGAATGAAGTGGAAGAACAACAGATGAATAAGTTAACAATACAACTATCAGATTCTCAAATTATCAATAGCGGTGATAGTAACAACCAAGAAGAGAATATTGCATCTACAACCACCACTTCTTCCTCGACAACCAATGAAGAATCATCATCATCATCTACTTCAACTAGAAGATATGGATATGACTTACCAACTATTAGTCTTACAGAGAATTCCGATGACGAAGATGAAGAGCCAATGATTTGGAGTTTACCAATCTCATCGATTAGCTCTGATCCATTCAAGAGAAATGAGGTAGACAATGGCAATGGTGCCAATCAGGTGGATTCAGATCGTCGTTCAAACTCTGCATCCGCTGCCAATCCATCGATCAAGGTTTACAGTAGTAAGGATTTCAATATCAAAGCTATTCAAGCAAGATCATCGTCACTCTCATCGTCACAGGCAAAGAGCAGCAGCGGCATAGGCAACGGACAGCAACCAAACGGTCCCAGCGACAGAAAACTTAAGGGTTGGACACTGAAGAATCCATTCCGTAGATCGAAATCACGTGAGAATCTACATGATCAACAGCAATCATCACAAACACCAAATCCAAGTAAATCAACAGATAGAAAGATAATCCTACCAAAATCAACAAAGCAATCGTCTCAACAACCATTAACTCAATCTTTATCACAACAAAACCTACAACAACCACAACAACAACAGCCACAACAACCAATCTCACCACTTACAAGTTCAACCATTATTTCACAACCTACATCTGTCAATTCATCGCCTGGTTTCAGCTCAACCAAGTGGATTGCTTCATTGCCTTCGTCACGCTCAATGAGTAACTTGCTGATGCACTCTGAGCGACGACCAAGCACAATCGATCCAAACTCCAATGAATCATCGCCACGCGGACATGGTGATGATGACAACTGTATAGACAACAATAATCTCGGTGGTGAAGTGGTCATCATCGAATCGGATGACGGTGCCAGTACCTACACCGATCAGCTCAACGATGAATCGCTCAATGATGACATTGAATCATTTGATCACGACTATTTCGACACACCACTCGGTATCAGAGGATCCACTCAAGAGCCAACAGTAGAACTTTTCCAAGCTGCCAAAGACTTCCAAATCGAAGAGATTGGTGTTAGATCGAAACGTTACAGCAATCCAATTCTCATAAGATTAGATCATAATGAAAGACATATTGAACATTATAAAACATTTTTCTATTCAAAAGGTATGAAATCAACCGCCGATTGTTTATTATATAAACAAAGTTTACTAATTAGCATTTTCTTTTAGAACAATATAATTTCATCAATTATGTACCATCTTTAGGTGGACATATTATTATTTCAGTTGTAAAACAACAGGAACCAGGTAAAAATAAACAACATAGAGCACTTATTAGAACCAGAAACGGTGTCGAAAAGATACTCATTGTTAGTCGCACACCAAAGGAGAAAGATATCATCAAGTCGATTCAAAACTATCTCAAACCAATTGCCAACATCTCAAAGTCATCGTTTAAATCGATTAAAACTGATAAAATAATATCACATCTATTAGATTTCGAAAAGATTGATGTAAGTAACAAAAAAGAATCTATCTATCTATTATTATTATTATAAACAAAATAAACTAATCTTTAATATTATTATTATTATTATAAAGATTACAAAGAGATATCATTTCTTTGTTATGTTTTGTGGTGATGGTCAAATTACAGAGAGAGAGATGCTCTCCAATCAAAAGGTTAGTCGTGAGTTCGTGGAGTTTTATAGGTTTTTAGGAAAGAAAGTTCCAACTAAAGATTGGAGTAGCTACAACGGTGGTTTGGATACACGCAACAATACCGACGGTGAGTACACAATCTACACAGAACTCCAGGGAATAGAAATCGTATTCCACATTTCACATCTTATCCCCGTAGAGCGACGTAAAGAGATACTCTCCAGAAATACCTCTGTTATAATCTATCACGAAGGCAAATCAACATTGAATCCATCGACATTTTCATCATCTAAAAACAGTAAGTATCAACCATTTAGCTGACGATCATTATTAAACAAGCATTTACTAATCAAACATATCATTACCACTTAGAAATACTCTTTGAGATTAAAAAGGTGAGGGTTGATGATGGATCATCTGTTTTCTATAAGATGGGTGTTGCATCGAACACTCAGATACCACCATTTGGTCCAATGATATCGGATCCACCCATCTACCAAAAAATAGCTTCTTTTAAACAATATTTAATTACTAAATGTATGTACTACATTAATAACAACAAATATAAGATAATAGAATTCAATTTCAAAAGATATTAATATCTTTAATTTAATTTATAAATCTAGTGATCAATGCAGAAAACGCTGTATATTCTACTCAACATCTAATGCAAGAGCTCTCCAAACAGAGATCCATTAAACTAGATGATATTGTCACCGCTGTATTATAAAACAACTCACTTGCTCATTCACTCAATTCTCCTTCAATTATTTCAAAAAAAAAAAAAAAAAAAACCTTAATTTATTTACTCCATAACATTTACATTCCAACAACAATACCAATTTTTTTGCAAAAAAAGAAAACAAACATAAAAATAGATAACTTATTTAATTTATATATTTGTCATTTTTTTGAGACTGATCAGACTTTTCTACAGATAAATTGGTGAGGGAAAAAAAAAGATTCATGATTGTGTTAACCCACTATTAATTTTTTCATTTAAAAAAACAAAAATTTTTGGACATAACTGCGCACAAAAACAAACAGTGAAAAATAAACCAATATCGATCTCATCGAAATAACAGTATCTAAACATTCATCATTTATTTATTCTGTTTTAGAATTTCTTTTTTTTCTTTTTTTTTTTGTCATTCATTTATTTATTTATACACACACATTTGAATCTATGTGTTTGATCCTATATTTATATAAAATTTGTATATATATATAATATAATAAATAAACTATAGAGATTAGCGAAAGAAAGAAAGAAAGAAAACATTTAGATAATAATAGTTTAAATGAAAGGTTTACGTGATAACAATGGACGTAACAACAACAACAACAATAATAATAGTAATAATTGTTTGAATATCAATCAGTTACCACATACTCTGTTGATTCATATCCTTTTGAATGTTCATGGTGGTCAGTTCCCATCGGGATCGTTTCGTGCCTGCTTTCTTACGTGTCGACTATGGGGTCAGCTGATGCCGCGCACTCTTAGAGCCGTCCACTTTGAAGGCACTGACGATGCCACCACAACAAAGATGGTGCGACACCTCGTGCTGGCGTCACCCTACAACGAAACACTGAAGCGGGTCACCATCAGTTCACTCGCCACTTCCGACACGCTGGCGACTATACTACTGGCGCTGACTACACCGTTCTTTTCGCAGCGTTCCAACACACTATATCATCCACCGGTAACGCATCTGGAGATCACTTCGACACCACTCAACGACCGAACCATCCAACTGATATGCGACATCATTCGACTGTACAATCTCGAACAACTCATACTCTGCTCGGTTGGCTTGACCGATGCGCACCTCATAACCCTGGGCAAGTCACTCACATCCAACCACTTCAATCAACTGACAAACATCAATCTCTCACATAACAACTACACAAAGCTAGGATTGGAATTCCTGCTCAATGCACTACTACAAACACATCATAATAACAATACATGTAAACAACAACAACAGCAACAACAGCAACAACAACAACAAACTAGTTATAGAGATAGTAATAATATTTCAACTGGTATCAATACAAGTTTCAACTCACTGAGTAATTATAATTCATCAATGAGTAGTTTAAGTACTATGTCATCGGCGACAACATCAACAACCAATCAAAACAATGCAATTAATATTATGGATAAATCGATTGTTAAAAACTATTTGTATTCTTTGGAGTTGAGTAACAATGCAAAGCTGGGTTTCGAATCGATTGCACCATTGTTGGCTCGACTGGAACGACTCTCGGAGATAAGAATTGCCAATGTGCAGTTGTCTTCCGACGGGCTGCTGGCGTTTCTCGATCTGCTAAAGTCATCGCGAACACTCAATGTAATCGATCTCTCGAATAACTTTATTAATCCACGTGGTGTAGAGACTATCGCCTCACTTTTGTATTTGAACCACATATCGTCGCTCGATCTCTCCGAGAACAAAGTAGGACTGGCCGGTGTCAAGGCGTTGGCCGACGTCGTATCGACCGGACTGGCGCATATGAAACACTTTTACATGCGACGAACCAACCTGGCATTCGATGAATGCATGATCCTGAGAAATCTGCTGCTTCGCACAACCACCATAGAGACACTCGATCTCAGTTCCAATCTCATTGATTCCGACGCGGTAGCGTTGCTCTGTGAGGCGCTACAACACAACAGATCGGTGCGCGACCTCAACCTCAGCTTCAACATACTGGGATCGAGCGGGGTGACAGCAATAGCGCGTGCACTCCAACAGAATAACCATTTGCGAATTCTCCGTCTGCATTGTGTCTCGATGAAAAAAGCAGGTGCTACGCCGCTCGCCGAGATGCTGGCGACCAACAACTCACTCATACAACTACACCTGAGCAACAACGAAATTAAATCGGCGGGTGCAGCCGACCTCGCAAAGGCAATACGCTCGAATCGCAGTCTTTTGTTTTGCGATCTTTCATTCAACGGAATCAACGACAAGGGTGGATCGACACTCCTCAAAGTGGTATCCGAATTCAACTACACAATACAATTGGATCTCAGTGGTAATCCAATCACTTTGAAATGTCAACAACAATTTCGCAGTGGTAATTCCTCTAAAAATGATTGTAATCTAATGTAACAATACAAAAAAAACAAATAAACATAAACAAACAATATAATAATAAAATAAACATTTAATTTTATTTATGATCAATAAAAACAGCTGCAGCTGTTTACAAGTCAGTTTTTGTCTTTTAAGAAATGCTTTGTTGGTTGGAGCATGCTGATTAAAAGAAAAAAAAAAATATAAAAAATTTTAAAAATAAAAAAAAAAATTTCAATGTGTAAATTTTCATTAAATTTGTTGATCAACAACACTCAAACACCCATACATCAGTTTTTAAACTTTAAAATAAATATATTTATTGTGATTTTTAATGATGGACGAAGAAGAATATGAACAAACTCTGTTGATCAAGAAAGAATGTTTTATATATAGAATTCCACCAAGACCTGGTGCTGCTGGTTACAAGTATGTGTCATTAGCGCTGATCTGTTATTTCATTGCTTTCATTTCAAAGGTAGATAATCAACCTTGCTAACATCAATCTATTTATTTATATGTTTATTTTAGAGCACAGGATTGGGATCCATCTACTTACATTTGGTCAGGTCGTTTAGTAATCGTTGCCAAAGGTGATTTCTGTAATATAAAATTTGAAGACAACGCAACCGGTGAAATATTTGCTCAGTGTCCAGTTGATCAAAACTCTGTTGAACCTGTCATTGACAGTAGTCGTTATTTCGTCATTAAAATTAAAGATGGAGGTAAAGTAATAGTATATAGAATATATTTATTTATCTATCTAAAAAAAATAAAAATTAATTTTTTTATATTTATGTATATGTAGATCGTCATGCTGTTGTTGGTATGGGATTCACAGACAGAGGTGATGCATTCGATTTTAATGTAACTTTGCAAGATCATCAAAAGTAAGACCACACCAATGATAATAGTAATCAATATATCAACACATTAAATAGATCATACGATATGAGATAAATGAAATATAATTCAGTCTTGACCTCCAAGTTTTGTTGACATCTAATAGATAAACAAGCAACACACATACACACACTCACAGTCGATCGAATAATAGTAAATAGATAATAGCGAAACTCATTATCATAATGTGGAATAGATGATAGGATTCAATCGACACTGATTTTATTTTCGAAATCTATTAGATTGGGAATCAGCTGTCGAGGGGTTATATGCTTACACCAAACATTCCACAAACAAAATAACAACAAACAATGATAAACAAACAAACAAACAAACAATAACACACCATATACCTACACAACGCAACCTCATATGATATAAGGTTAACATGATAAATTGTTTTAGTTTTTGTTTTATTTTTCCGAACAAAACAAAAACAACATGTTTAGAGATAGACAATAGATTGTTATTGATATCACAGTATATTATTCGAGAAATTGTTTTTGTTTACCTAACTAATATTAAATATTGTTTTATTTTAGTTATGTAAAGAATAAGAAACAATCGTATTTGGCAAGACAGAATATGGATAATCAACCAAAAAAAGACTATAGTTTGAAAACAGGTCAGACCATTCACATTCCATTTAAAGCAGGTGGTACCACCACTGCAAGCCCACAAAGACCAGCTTCATCCGGTGCCCCAGTACTCACAGGAGCCAGTGGTAATGGCGGTTTCCTCTTGTCGCCACCTCCTCCTGCCGGTGGTCGCTCAGTCAGACAACAACAACCACAACAACAACAAAACAATCAATTCTCATTCCAACAACAACAATCACCACCACAACAACAACAACAGCAACAACAACAACAACAATGGGGATCAAATCCATTCTTTTAGAAAGAAAGAAATAATCCATTCTAACTTTGTTTAATAGCTATAACATATTTTCATACTAAAAAAACAAACACAGCACCAACTAAACTTAATGAATATATTTTAAAAAAATAGCACAATAAAATAATTATTGTTATTTATAACTGAAATTTATCAAATGAAATTACCAACTCTACAGTTATTCCAATTGAGAATGACTATCATTATGAATTTGACATTTATAACTGAAATTAAACAATAAATTACTTTGACTTTTCGTTGTTCTCAAAAATAATGAAAATAAATTAAAAAATTTTTGTGGTCCACACAGGATCACAATTAAATTGTTGGTAAAAAAATATCGTTGACAGCTTATCTCATCGTTACCAAAACCACCACAAACACCTTCACAAAATCAATTAGCTTTAATTTATAATAACAAATAATAATAAAGAAATATTTCTTTCAAACAATCTTTATAATTAATAATAGATTCAAAAACCATTATTGTAGATAATCAACTAGTTTGCATACATATTTATTCAAAGTTAATCATTTCATTATTCTTTATTAGTTTCTATGTAAACAAATCACTATTAAGAGATATCATTTAGTTGTTGTTCAAAGTCAATTTACAAAAAAGCAAAAACAAAACAACTTAGATTATATTGGATCTTCAGGGATATTCATAATATCTTTATTTTTTTTGTTTTTTTTTCCACATTTGTAATATTAAAAGTATTTATTTATTATCGGATTGGTATTAGCCATCTATATTTATTATTTCTTTAAATTAAATAGCTTGTATCTTTATTTTATATAAAAGAGATAAACTTTACATTTTATCTTTTGTTATTATTATTTTTTGTATAGATAATATTATTATATATAGATATAGATAATGTTATATGATAATATAACATCGTCGAGTGGTAACAATGATCATTATATACCTACATTCAACAATGAGCAGATAGATCAATTGGACCACATTGTATATATAACCAGTTCACTGGGTTGCGTTGGTGCACTCTTTATTATGCTCTCGTATGCGATCTTCAAAGAGGCACGATCATTTGCTACCACTCTTATATTCTACTTGTCGATCACCGATTTGATGTCGGCGGTGTCCTACCTGCCGTTTGGACGTAGCTCCAATGTGATGTGCAATCTGCAGGGTGCCGGACTGCTCTTCTTCCTGACGTCCTCCTATCTCTGGACGATGTGCATTTCGATCTCCTTGTTCATGGTGTTCTTCCTCAATCAATACGAACAGGGTTACCTCTTGAAATACTTTCACGGCATCTGCTGGGGTATTCCACTCATCTCAACGCTCATCTCACTCATAGCACATGCATTTGGTCCTGTCGGTTCGTGGTGTTTCATTCACGATCCAACCAGTGTCTTTAGATTACTCTACTATCTGCCATTAGTAGTTGTATTCTTTGTAAATCTATGTGTATTTGCATGTATAAGGTAAGAGCTTTATAGAGTTTTTATATATTTCAAAAATCATAGATTAACATTTACTAATTAATTGACTTTCATTTAATATTAATAATAATAATAATAATAATAATAATAGGTGGAAGATATCACAACATTCAAATTCAATTGTATCAAGAGTCAATATTATTGTTTCGTTTTATTTGATTGCTTTTGCGCTCTCACAGTTTCCAACGGTTATCAATAGCATACAGAATTTTTCAGAACCTTCTCATCCAAAGTTTTCACTGTTTGCCTTTCAATTGTTGCTGCAGCCACTACAGGGATTCTTTAATTGTATAGTCTATGGAGTGAACGAAGGTTTCATTTCTCATTACATCGAATTCTTTGAGAAACATCTGTTCCGTTGCAGAAAATCAAGAGAACTTAAACAGATCGAAGTTGAACAGGAACGACTCATCGTAGATTATGACAACAGCGACGAAGAGTCACAAACAACAAATATGGATCAATTAATTATAGATGATTATTCTATACAGTAGTTTTAATATAATAATCTTTTAATTAAATATATATTTAAATATTTTTTTTAACTTTCTTAAACCTTTCGCGCCAAAACTTTTTTTTTTTAATTTTGAAGTTGAACAAACCATTTTTTTTCATTGGAAGTGATTGCCCACAATCTAAAGGCGCCAATTCTTTTAAGAATTACTGACATTTGATTAAACTAAATCTCTTTTAATTAAGAAAAACAATTATTATTATTATCAAATCATTATATAATTTTTTTTTTTATCAAACAACTACATTTTATTTTTATAATATGGAATGTTTAGTTTGTGAAGATGGAGAGCTTCAAAGTAAAGAATTAGTTACTTTGATTCCATGTGGAGATGTGATGTGTTCAAACCATCAACTAAAAGAAAACAAACTTTGTTTTTTGTGTGATCAACCAGTAGAGAGAATACAGGTTTTAAAGCTACGATCCAAGAGACAAAGAGTTGAAGGTCCTGATTTAGACAGTTCACCTACTTTTATGTCATTTTCATTCGGATCATCCATTGCCGAAACATCAACCATGTCGAGCATCTCTACATCAGCACCATCCAATATTTTGGATCGTTCGTTGTTATCCAAAAAGGATACAATCCAAAAGAGAGTTTGTCCACAGCACGACGACCAGTTACTTAGCTACTTTTGTCTGAATCCCGGTTGCCAGATTGGAATGTGTGGTCATTGCATGGTTGACAAGCACAATGGACATGAAATCAAACGTTTCACAGATGAAACACTGGATCAAATTAGAGAGATTGGTCAGAAGACGAAACTAGAACGTGAAGCAAAGCAAGACGTTTTATTTCAACTGGTCGATCTCCAAAAATCTGGATTGCATCATCTCAACGCCAAAAAAGAATTCTTTGATAAATACATCGATCAACTTTGCAATGGTATCAAGGATTCAATGCTTGGCTACTCCAATAAGCTATTTAAACCGGTAACTGATGAGCTCCAAACGAATTATGATGCCAACAAGAAACACACCGCCACTTTATCCAACATGTGCAATCTTACAGAGTATGAGCAATCCACTGACCAGTGTTTGAGAAATTCAATCTTTGACTTTATCGATTCGATCAGTACAACCAAACAATGGAACAATGTAGCTATTGATCACGATCAATTCGTACTGGAGCTTGCCAACTCTAGACTCACTTGGAATGAGGTCGATGATATGCTTTCAACTACCATTAAAAGTTTCCAAAAGAGAGTGGAGGGACCGGCCAAAAAGATTGTCAAAACTGACCATAGCACAAAAGATGGTGAATTGAAATTGACTATCGACAGCCATTGTGAATTGGTCTCAGTTTCTGTGGTTCCCGACTACCCTTCAAAAGTGGAAATCACTAGATTTTCACTTGGAACTGGAAACGAGATTGATTCCACTTTTAAATCGGTTGGCTTTGACATTCAGGGAAAGATCGATGTCATATGCAACAACGGTTTAATTAGCATTCTCTGTCATGCTGAAAATCAAATTGTTCAACTCCAATGGGACCAAAAGAAGAAACCAACACCCAAACCATTGGTTAAAGGCAAAGATACTTTAGTTTCAAAGGCATTCAATACTTTTATGGTTGAAGGTGAAAATCATTACTCCTTTTCATTCAATTTCTTTACCAACAGCAACACTGCTATGAAAAAGTTATGTCCAGACTCAGAGGTTGCCGATACCAATAGTAAAATTACTGAAATCACCGATAACAGTGGTACCAATAACTTGGATAGTGACATGCCTACACTCAACTCTGATAACTCAAGTTCAATAACATTCGATTCAACAACAACAGCAACAACTGAGCGAGTTCAAACTCCAATGTCACTGAATGATCTTGACAAATCAATTACCGGCTCTCCAATGGTTTCAAAACCCACCAGATACAGATCAAATCTTGTCAACGGTATGGATTCTGGTTCTATTCTCGATATTTTTTCATTATCCGAGACTAGTCCTTTAGCGTCAATGATTGGCGAAATCAACGAAGCATGCTTTGAATCGAACCAACTTACAAATCCCCTTGCTGATACGCCAACCTTTGAAACAGCCACTACTTTGACATCCACAGAATCAAATCAAGTTGCTACAGATACTCCAATTGAGCAAAACACACCAACATCTACCTCGGTTCTATTGAATGAGAATGGTTACTCTGTCCAGCAGAAACTCATTTATCCTTCGGATGACGATACCGTTGGTTATAATTTGTGTGGCATTCCTTACTTTGTCGAGTGCAACACCAGCTTTGACGACTCGCTCTCTAACCTCTACAAAGGAACCGAATGTTCATCCACGTCTCCAAACACCGAGTCTTGCAAATACAGAGTATGTCTTGCCAGATTCTACCATGAGAACACCAAGTATCTCTATCTTCTTTGGAATGACAAGTTCGAACGTATCAAGCTCACCCCCAAGAAAGAAAGAAACACTTCCATCGAGCAAACCTGTACAAATCAATTCAAGTGTGAAACATTGAGTACCAACCCAATCGTAGCCAGTCTCTTTGCAGAGTTTAACCAGTCACTTCCGAACGTCACAGAGCAATCATTCCAAAAGCTGATCTTACCATACACCTACATCGAAGAACTCAATCAACTCTACTTCCTACACGTGGACAACAAGAACCGTCCTGTCGTTCTCTCTTTCCACTTGGAGCATCTCGTTTGGCTAAGCAATCCATTCCCATTCAAAGGCAGTGAAAGCAGCTCATACTCTCTCTACGTGAATCATGAAGATGAACCTGAAGAAACTGCTGACGAGACCACCACCACAACCACCGCAGCAGCAACAGCAGAACCAACTACTACTACCGCTCCCAAACCCACGCAACCCTCTCCAACCAGATCGTTCGGTAGTACATCATCTAGTTTTATCTCACCATACCCAACCAAATCAAAAACTATGATGATGGCTAGTCCATCTCCATACAAGTCTCGCAATCAAAACTCACCTTTGCCATCATTCAAAAGTCCAGTGTACATACCGATCTCACCTGTGAGTCCTATGAAAAAGAGTACATCCAACAAAGTAGGAGGAGGTAGATTATCAACAGCACTTCATGAAATCGATCAAAATGTAGTAGCTTCGCCAACCGCCAAACCCAAGAGAACTATTAAACGTTCAAATGTCTATGATGAGATAACAGCAGCACCAGCTCCAAAGAAAAAAACAGTCGCCAAAAGAAAACAAAATTAATTCTTAAATCAATCAGTCTAATCTTTTTTAAAAACTTATTATTTTATATAAGAGTAAAATAAACATTTTTATGAGGATTTATCACTTTTATCATTATTTTATATATCTATTTATTTTAAGTCATTTAATTATATATCTATAAAGATTTATTTATTTTTTTAAACAATTAAGCAAGTAACGTTCATTTCCGTTGGAAGAAAAAAAAACAATGAAAAAAAAAATTTCAAAAAAATTTGAAAATCAACTCATAAAAAGAACAAGTTTTGGATTTTCAAAGTTTATTCGATTTGAGGTTGAACATTCATTGATTAAAGATAAAGATAATTAATATATATAATATATTACTTAGATACTTTAATCAATTGCAGTGTATCTTGTTTTAATATCAATATAAATCAATCAAAAAGTCAAATCAAATCATTCATTTATTATTAATTAATTAACTTTCAAAAATCAAAATTAAAATAAAAAATATAAAAATATTAAAAAAAAACAATAAATAAAATAGATAAAAACTAAAGAATAAATAAATATATATATAAATTAATTAGATTTAGATTAAATTCAATAAAGAAATGAATGACTATAATATGAATGAGGATGTTGGAGGTAAATAATTCGTAAAATTTACTTTATAAAGATGTTTGAATCAGAACCTAATATTATTGTATCGTTCAATTCAATTTAGGCGAGGGAGAGGAAATCGTACAAGAGGATTCATGGGCAGTTATCAGTTCATACTTTAAAGATAAAGGTCTTGTAAGACAACAGTTGGATTCATTCGATGAGTTCATTCAAAATACAATGCAAGAGATCATCGATGAATCACCTCCTATCACACTAAGGCCCGAAGCACAACATCATCCTGGTCAACAACAAGTTCATAATGTAAGTAAAAATAATTAATAGTTTTTTTTAAACCAGTTTAAAAGAAAAGACAAAATATTAATTAATTAAAAACAAACATCATCATCATCATCATCAATATTAGTTTTCAACATTTTCTATTAAATTTGGACAAATCTATCTGAGTAAACCTACATCTGAAATCGATGGTATGACTCAACCGGTAACACCAAATCAAGCGAGAATTAGAAATTTGACATACTCTGCACCATTGTATGTCGATATCACAAAAACACAGGTTACTAAAGATCGTAGAGACGAGGAACCTCTCGAGAAGATCTTCATTGGAAAGGTTCCAATCATGTTGCGTTCAAAATACTGTATGTTGGATGAAACCAGTGATGTCGATTTGCCGATGATGGGTGAATGTCCTTACGATCAGGGTGGTTATTTCATCATCAACGGTTCAGAGAAGGTATTGATTGCACAAGAAAAGATGTCACACAATCATGTATACGTATTCAAAAAGACACCTCCATCTAAATACTCTTATGTTGCCGAAATCCGTTCTTGTCAAGAGACTGGTTCTCGTCCAACCAGTACCATGTACGTAAAGATGTTACAAAATTCAAACAAGGTAAGAATATTATAAACAAAAAGTTTTAATATTATAATGTATAATATTAACTAAATATTTTATTTATTTATTTAAAAACAATAGGGACCAATCGGTATAAAAGCAACTATTCCATATATTAAACAAGATGTACCAATCGTTGTAGTATTTAGAGCATTGGGTTTTGTTGCAGATAAAGATATTCTCGAGCATATTTGTTATGATTTCTCGGATCAACAGATGATGGACCTGATGAGACCATCTTTAGAGGAATCGTTTGTTATTCAGAATCAAGAGATTGCCCTCGATTATCTGGGTAAGCGTGGTAGCACCGTTGGTACTCGTGAGCAAAGAATCAAATTTGCAAGAGAGGTGTTACAGAAGGAAATGTTGCCACACGTTTCGGTGGCCGAGTATTTTGAAACAAAGAAGGCATACTACTTTGGTTATATTGTACATAGATTATTGTTGGCGGCACTCGAGCGTCGTCCACTCGACGACAGAGATCACTTTGCAAACAAGAGACTCGATTTGGCCGGTCCTTTGTTGGGTACTCTGTTCCGTCAACTCTTTAAGAAGCTGACCAAGGATGTTAGATCTCATCTCCAACGTTGTATAGACAAGGGAAGAGAGTTCATTCCGAGTCAAGCCATCAAGTCAAAGACCATTACAAGTGGTCTCAAGTATTCGCTCGCCACCGGTAATTGGGGTGCCGCCAACACCGGTGCCAGAGCTGGTGTCGCTCAGGTACTTAACAGACTTACCTTTGCTTCGACACTCAGTCATCTTCGTAGATTGAACACTCCAATCGGTAGAGAAGGTAAGCTTGCCAAGCCACGTCAACTTCACAACACCCAGTTGGGGTATCGTGTGTCCATCTGAAACACCAGAAGGTCAAGCTTGTGGTTTGGTTAAGAACTTGGCTATGATGGCCTACATTTCCGTAGGTTCTGCCTCTCAACCAATTCTAGAGTTCCTTGAAGAGTGGAGTACTGAGAATCTTGAGGAGATCACCGATTCCTCTACCATCCTCAACGCCACCAAGATCTTTGTCAACGGTATGTGGGTTGGTATTCATCATCAGCCAGACCATCTCCTCAAGACTTTGCGTGTACTCAGACGTTGTGGTGACGTTTCTGTTGAAGTATCGATTGTTCGTGACATTCGTGAGAAGGAACTCAGACTCTACACAGACTCTGGACGTTGTTGTCGTCCATTGTTTGTCGTCGACGACAAGGACTACAAGCTGACCATCAAGAAATCACACATTCGTCAACTCGATAGCGACCCAGAGTACAAATGGCTCGATCTTATCACCGACGGTCTCGTCGAGTATATCGATACCGAAGAAGAGGAAACTGTTATGATTGCAATGACACCAGCCGATCTCATCCCATCGACCACCGAAATCGTTACACACAACTACACTCATTGTGAGATTCATCCATCTATGATTTTGGGTATCTGTTGCTCTATTATTCCATTCCCAGATCACAACCAATCTCCACGTAATACCTACCAGTGTTTGTGGGAGGAGGAGCCAGTACTCATGGCCGATGGAAGAACAAAGCCAATCAAGGATGTTGTCGTTGGCGATCAAGTCGTAACCTTCCATCCACAGACCATGCGTCAATCCATAAGCAAGGTCGTCAACCAATACACAAGACCTACTGACAAGAAGATCATGAAGATAATTACCGAATCTGGTCGTCAGCTCATCGCTACCGAAGACCATCTCTTTATGACATCCGAGGGTTGGGTTCCACTCGCCAAAATCAAAGATAGATCTACTGTCTTGCAAGTAGCAGTTTCAGTTAGACACAACCAAAACTATTTCGAATCACACCCATCCGACACCGAACAAGTCATCAGCGATGACATTATCAATCAACACCTCGACACAGCCCAAGTTAATTCACAGGCACACCAGAGAAATATTAAGCATTTGAATAGTATTGGTTTGTTGAATAGCCAAGCAGTTGACAAACAGAGATTGGCTAGATTATTTGGTTTTGTTTCATCATCTCCATCATTATCCAAGAACAATAGCGAAATCAATATGACATTTGAATCAAAGCAATCTGCCATTGAATATAAGGAGGATCTAATTCAATTGGGACTTGGCGATTGTAAACTAGTAAAGAACGGCAGTGAGTTCAACATTGTACATCAAGCTACTGATGCCGCTGCTACTCTATTCATTGGTTTGGGTGCATTCAGTGATAGCATCCCACTTTGGATCATGAATGGTTCTCGTTTGGTCCAAAGCCAATACCTATCGTCGCTTCAATTCAAAACAACTCAAATCTCAACCAAATCACAATCATTTATTTATACTGCGCCAACTACCAGCCAAGTCTCCAAATTGGAGCAGATGGTAGAACTCTACAAGGGATTGGATATCGAAACCAACGGTATCTATAGATCTTCTTCATCGACAGGTATTTTGATCTCATTGAAGAATCAACAAAACTTGGTCAACTATCACGAGAGAATAGGTGTAAATTACAATCAAAGAAAACAAAGAGAGATTGCTTCAACTGCCGAGTACATTAGATACCAAGCAAGACAGAGAGAGCTAGGTTCCACAACAGTGAAATCACAAGCCCAATGGCAATCGAGATTAAAGGCTCATGGTGATGCTCTATATGTTCCAATCGAATCAGTCGTCGATTGTGCAAATTGTATCATTGGTGATATCACTACAGAGTCAGAGAATCACAGCTTTGTTGGTGGTCAAGGTTTCTTCATCCACAATAGTGCTATGGGTAAGCAGGCTATGGGTGTTTATATTACAAACTATCAACTTAGAATGGATACTATGGCACACGTGTTGTTCTATCCACAAAAGCCATTGGTAACCACTCGTTCCATGGAGTATTTGCATTTCAGAGAGTTGCCAGCAGGTCAAAACGTATGTGTAGCCATCGCTTGTTACTCTGGATACAACCAAGAAGATTCTTTGATTCTCAATCAATCTGCCATCGATCGTGGACTTTTCCGTTCAATGTTTTACCGTTCCTACAAAGATGAACAAAAGAAACAGACCTCAATGATGGAGGAGACCTTTGAGAAGCCCGATCGTGATACTTGTGTCGGTATGAGACATGGTTCCTACGAGAAGATCGACGAAGACGGTTTGGTCGCACCAGGTGTTCGTGTTACTGGTGACGATATTATCATTGGTAAGACCACTCCACTTCCACCACAAGACGAAGATCTCGGTCCAAAGACTCGTCGTCAATCTAAGCGTGACAGCAGTACCGCCATGCGTTCATCTGAGAACGGTATCGTAGATTCCGTAATCTTGACAACATCGGGTGACGGTTTGAAGTTTACCAAAGTTCGTGTACGTTCAATGAGAACTCCACAAATCGGTGACAAGTTCTCATCTCGTCACGGACAGAAGGGTACTTGTGGTATGACCTACCGTCAAGAAGATCTTCCATGGACTGTCGAGGGTATCGTTCCAGATATCGTTGTAAATCCACATGCTATTCCATCTCGTATGACTATCGGTCAGTTGATTGAATGTTTGCTCGGAAAGGTATCTTCGATGACTGGTGATGAAGGTGATGCCACTCCATTCACTGATGTAACAGTAGAGGCTATTTCCAAAGCTCTTCATGGTATCGGTTACCAAATGACTGGTCACGAAGTAATGTACAACGGTCATACCGGTAGACGTATGGATGCGCAAATCTTCATTGGTCCAACATATTACCAACGTTTGAAGCACATGGTAGATGACAAGATTCACTCTCGTTCTCGTGGTCCAGTACAGATTCTCACTCGTCAACCAGTAGAAGGTCGTTCTCGTGATGGTGGTCTCAGATTCGGTGAGATGGAGAGAGATTGTGTCTCTGGAGATACCAGAATTGCATCTACTCATTACACTGTTCGTTTGGATTCATTGTGGAAATCATATAAAAACACATCGCTCTATTCATTCAATGAAGACGTGAGTGGTGTACACAATGACCAAATTGTAGCATTCGCAGATAAAGGTACTTTGCCAGCATACAGAATCTTCTTGGAAGATGGATCTCACGTAGATGCCACAGAAGACCATCCATTCCTATGTCAAGATGGTCAATGGAGATCAACTCTTGAACTGGTTGGACATAGTTTGACCAAATCAATTGAACAACCCCTTATCAATATTGAAGAGGAAATGAGTGAGGCCTCATTGGGTTCAATCAAAGAGTTTGAAGTAGAGTGTGCTAAATACCGTCTCCTTGGTCGTACATTGACCAGTGGACACTTCCACGAAAGAGATGATAGTTCTGTGATCTATGCCAGTCATTTATTAGATGTTCGTTCCATCATAGCCGATATGAAGCTCGTTGTACCAAATTGTAATCCATCATATACTGCTCATAGCAATTCCGCAAAGTTCCACATTAGTACACCAAATGCCGTGTCAAGACAATTGTGTGCTCTTGCTGCTGATATTCCTCTTGGTAGACGTGTTGGTACCGCTGGTTCATGGCCAACCTTTAAGAATACCTCAAAGGCACTTCTCAGAGAATTTGTTGCTGCACTCTTTGGTGGTGACGGTCAATCCCCAGCTCTCTCAAATCGTGATGGTCTTGGTGGAGTAAAATTCAGCCAAACTAAAGTCGAGAAGCATGTAGATTCATTAAAGAGCATGATGAGCGAATTAAAGAATATGTTGGTCACACTTGGAATTGCTTCTCAGTCCATCACACTCCAAGGCCCAAGCAAAGCCGAAAATCACACAGTTGAAGAAAAGGTTTACGAGTGCACACTTCATATTGCATCTTCAGAAACCATTAAATTCCACGACCTTATCGGATTCCGTTATTGCCACTCCAAGATTTTAAGACTAGAGGCAGCCACATCCTATTTCAGACTCTGTAATAATGTAACCAAAAACAACATCCCAACAGCCAGCGACTATTTGAAATCGATTGGTGCCAATAAGCTCTTTAATCATGGTTTGGAAATCAGTGCCAAAGTTTTGCCAGTGTTCCACCACAAAGTTACAGATGTTAAGAATATTGGTGAATCACCAATGTTTGATATTCAAGTCAATCAAAACCAGAACTTTATTGCAAATGGTATCGTTGCTCACAATTGTATGATTTCTCATGGTGCAGCACAGTTCCTTAAAGAAAGACTCTTTGACCAGTCCGATAGTTACAGAGTCCACGTTTGTGATATTTGTGGTCTGATCGCCATTGCCAACCTTAAGAAGAATCATTACGAATGTCGTCGTTGTAAAAACAAAACTCAAATCTCCCAAGTTAAAATGCCATACGCAGCTAAACTTTTATTCCAAGAGTTGATGGCAATGTCAATTGCACCAAGAATGTTCACATAAATTAAATAAAACAACTTAAACAACTTGTTAAAATATAGAATATATTATTAAATATTGAATCATTATTTATTGTATTCCAAAAGAATTAATTGAAAAAGGTTTCTCTATTCTTTGGTATCTCGTAGATGATCTTAAAGCAATCGATCTCTCTATGGTTTCATCATCGTAGAAATCACCATAAAGATACAGGTGATGATTTGATACAGCAGCCCATGATTCTCCTAAACTTGCTTTTTGTAATCTATTTTCTGGTGTACTTTGTACATTCTTTAAATGATCCAATACATCTGAATCCATTTTAACTGTATTATTGGTAATCTACAATGATACATTAGACAAAGTGAACTTAAAATATGATTTTGTTTGTAAACTTATACTTACAAGTACAGCAATTTGATTTTTATGTGCCAATGATTTTAAGAGTCTTGCAATTTTCATCATAACATAATGACCATGTGTAAGTTTACCACCAAAGCTAGTATAAAGGAGTGTACCAATCGAATCAATGATAATCAGTTTAACATTCTTCAAATAATTATCAAATTCAAATGAATTTGATATCGCTTCAAGTGTATCTACAAGTTTTATTGGGTCTAAACAGTTATATCTTCTTATTCTATCTAATATTGCTAAAATTGATTGATTACTATCCTATAAAATAATAAACATAAGTGTTAGTGTTATGTATTTGAAGTTTAAGTGGTGTTCGTAATTTACAATTGTAGTGGTTTCTCCTATTTGTTGTTTATACATCTCTGCAATTCTATCGGCAGAAAATGAAGACGATGTATCAATATAAATAACATTCTCTTGGTAGAATCTAGAAACTTGCATTGCTATAAAGAGGGCGAATTGAGTTTTACCTGACGGCGATGTGCCAATCAGCTCTGTCAGTTCACCCGTGGGTAAACCTTCACCACCAAGAATGTCATCTATACAACAATTGGTTTTTAAATATCTATATTCTTTTAAACTAACGGCTTTATTGTAGAGATCGGTTGCGACTGAAGGTACTGCACAATGATATTTCTGTAAATCTCTCTGAATCTTTTGAATGATCTCCAATGATAAACTAGTTTTCTGTTGTAATCTCAATGGACTTTGTAATAGAATTGATTCCACAGTTTTAATATCTGCTTTTTCAAATAACTCTATATATTCTTGATTAAAAATATTTGTTTGAAAATCTGTTAATGACATGATTTAAATTACAAAAAAATAAATTGATTTTGCAATTCATATTAATTGTTTTTCTTTTTTGTATGAATTTTTTTCCAATAAATTTGCGTTGCAGATTTTAAAGAAATAGTTGGCACCTTTTATTTAAGTTATAATTCTGAGTAATTTAGAGTTGGTAACGATTGCGATTGGTTTATCACCATACTGCTGATTGGCATTTGTCGAGAGTGCATATGTCAAGAACTGACAAGTTTTACATTTAAATAGTTTCCAATCTCTCTTTTTAGATGGATTTTGAATTCTATAATTTAAAATAATAATGTTATTAGTTATAAGTTTAATTTGTTTAATATTAATTAGGACTTACTCAACGGATGATCTCTGGAAATCTCCAACTACATTCGTAATGTTAGTATAGCCCCAAATCACATGTTTGGCAGTGTAGTTGTGAAGTTTCTTCATGTCAAAGAGGAAAGTTGAACAACCTTGGAAGTTTGGACAATCTTTGTCGCCTTGTTCACAATTACAATGTTTGGGATTGTTGAATTTGGTAGAGTCGAATGGAGTCAGCAAGGTGAAGACACAAGCACCACAAAGACATTGGAATTGGGTAGTGTTGTTGATATAGGTTTCAATACCACCTCCCCACTCTGCCAAACCCTTTTGAGTTCTTCTTTGTCTACCCCAACGACACATCTGTTCTACAAAACCTGGATTTGGATTTACAATGTAACGACGGTCACGAATGAGAATGAACGCTTCGAAATAACTCATGGATCTAGAGTCCATGAAATAACCAATGGCGAGTGCAGCAGATCTAGAAACACCTTTATCAGATACGATAAGTACTCGACCCTGATGCATAATGGCATCACGAATGAAATCAAATGCCAATGTGAATGAATGAAGAATATCCTGTGAAGGATCATCGTGAAGTTGTAAATGCAAATATTCGAAATGATCTGGGAATGCATTTGGTGAACCTGTACAATTGATTATATGTGTAATATCTAAAAGAAATATTATTATTATTATTGATGAGCATATAAATGATGATGATTTTTATCATAGTTATTAACTTATTACTTACGGAGATCATTCTTTAACATATTCTTTTTCATTGATGGGTTAAAAGATGAGATATACATGTAGGATGTAATCTTGGATGGGAATTCCATGAGATGTTTATGCTCAGGGAACTCGGGTGGCTCATTGTAAGGAATCTCTGGGATGATGTTGATTTCATGGAGTCTCGACTGGGTGTTCGATGAAAGTGAACTCGATTTAATAGTGTTGATGTTATAGGTGTGTGGGAAGAAACGACCAGGAGTATAGTGACCACTGCTTCGATTGGTTCCCTTGTATCGAGTTCCATCACCACCGATGTTGTATTCCTTTGGTTGACCGGATCTCAATTGCTCGTTGTTGAGTTGTTGCTTGAGACGCTCCAACTGTGAGAGAATGGTTGGTTTGATCGACGTGAATTTAGTCAGAATATCACGTAGTGTTGGACGATAGAATGGATCTCTGACGAAAACAAATTCCATGAATTCGATTATGGCCGGAATATTATGAATCTTTGCTTTCTTCTCGGCGGTGATCAACTCTTGACCGGGTTGAGTAACTCTAATAAAGAATTTGACCCAATCGTCATCGTAGAACAAGAAATCACCGGTCAACAACTCGTAGAACAGACAACCGAGTGACCAGACATCGCTGGCAGTGTTGGAGCCAACCTTTTTACGTCTGTCGAAATTCTCACGAGTCTTTTGACTTGCATAGGCAATGGTGAGCATCTCTGGACTCTTTATAAACTCAGTACCTCTATTTCTAGTGGTATAGCCTTCGATATCGGCAGAATAAACTTTAGCTTCTCCCCAATCAGCCAAACAAACAACGAAATTCGGATCATAGGTAGGTTGATTCCAAAAATCGTCTTCGATTGTTCCTTTCTTTATTGGATGTACTAAAAAGTTATCACACTTTATATCGAAATGATTGATCTCTGCGTTTCATTTAATGAAATATATAATAATTAGATCTAATGTTTTTTGATGATAACATTTAAATGCTACTTACTGTTTTCAACTAAGAATTGAACAGTCAACAAGACATTCATATAAATATTGAGATAGAGTGGAAGTTGTTGAAGGAAATGACCGGTTTGTTTCAATCTCCATTCCTTAAGACTACATTTGTAGGATTTCATTACGATCCAGTAGTTTTCACCATCGACACCATAGTCAAACATATGGCAGGCACGGTGATCACTTCTGAATGTATCCATAATGAGAATCTCTGTAAAGATATCATGGAGTACACAACGATCGTGAAGTGATTTGGGAACGGCCATCAGCTTGACAGCCACCTCAAGACCTTCATCGTGACCAAGAATTCCTTTGTAGACAGTACCATATGCACCCTTGGCAACTCTCTTCAAATCCTTAAATAAACTAGAATGGAACAATCGATTGAATAGCAACTTCAATACTCTGAAATAGTTTGGTCCCATTTCAAATGTTCGTTGACACAACTCTGGTATAATTCGCTCATTTTGTTGATGATTAATATGCAATTGTAGAATATATGGGACATTGAGCTTCTTTGCCACCAATGGAAATTGATCTGAATATAAATGTTCCAATGTATGACTGTGTCGAGTAGAAATAATTATAGTTAATTTAACATATTCAAACAACTTTTGATTGTATCTTTCTTTTTTTTTAAACATACTTTGAATTTAAAAGTAAACTAAAAATCAATTGGAGTACAGAGATATGTAGATCTTTATCGTGGTAGAGTTTACGATTATTTCTCTCTGTTTTGTATCGCAGCAATTCTTTGGCTGTTGGTTCGGTGGTGTTTGTCGACTCTTCCTCTTGGGTGTGAGAGGAAGATGGATTTCCAAGAACAAGTTGGAACTTTGGATCCTGGGGGTCAATCTTTTGTTCAATCGCTGAAAGTAGACCAGCTGAGGGTGCTTGCACAGAATCGGTGATCGATTTAGTTTCACTCTCACTCGATCTGGTCTTGATCAACGGTAATGTGAGCTTGGGAATTGACAACTTAATGTTGGTGCTACCTCCTGAAGCACCGAGTGAAGTATTGAGTGCTGGTGTTGGTTTTGTATTTACATCGGTTACAACAACTCTGCTGTCAACAACGGTATTATTGGTTTTTTGAGAATCAGTTGGATCAGTCATAATCTTGGTAAGTGAAATGCTGGGAATGGGTGGAACCTTTGGTGGTAATGCCAATGGAGGAATAGAAGGACTGCCAGCTCTGTTGTCTCCAATCTTTGCAGGTAGCTTTAAAGGTGGTAATTTTGGTTTAAAAGTTGGTGTTGACGATAAAGGTGGTGTTGACTGAGCTGGTATCTGAGTGGATTGTGTTGTTGTTGTTGTTGTTATTGGTTGTGATTGTGTTGTTGTAGTTGGATCTGTTTTGTTTGTATCATTATTATTCGAGACATTGATTTTACTTGGAATTTCCAACTTTGGTATTAAAGTTGGTGTGGCAACTGTAGTATTATTAGTAGTTGCAGTAGAGCTACTACTATTATTATTATTATTGGTAGATGTTGTTGTATTTTCTTTTCTTAAAAAGAAAGGTTCAATGAATTGGTCTCTATTTTGTTTTACTTCATATTCCAGGTTGACTTCTCTTACCAAGAAATCCATTGTTCTCAACTGATAGAATTTCATTGTTATCTTTTCATTTTTACTAATTAAAAATTTTCTAAAAGTTAGTAACTAAAATTTGATTACTTAACAATTTATGTATACATACTTTATAGAAAATGCAATTAATATATTTAAAAATAATTTACATAGAGTTAATGTTTGTGCATCAATAACATAATTATTATACAATTTAATAAAACTAATATAAAAATAACTTGGAGAAATAGAATCATAAGAGTTCATTAGTAATAATTCTAAATAAATAATCATTTACAACCTGTTGATAAACTTACCTTATATATGCATCGATATAAAGTTTCTTTTTTGTAAATGGATTCTTTTTGAATGAAAAAATGGTACTAAGAAACTCTAGCATTTGTTTTTTCACTTGATAGTTCTGGAAAAAGTTGGAAGCCTGTAGGAATGGCAGGATGATTCCACCGGTAGGAATCAATAGGTAGTCCATCTTTTTAACTAGATCCGAGGCAAACATGTTATTGTTATTGTTATTGTTGTTATTGTTGTTGTTGTTGTTGTTGATGTTGTTGATATTGCTGTTGTTGTAGTAGTTGTTGTTGTCGTCTGATCCAGACTCACCGAGTGTTCGCTTCAGCATGTCGACGCATATCGCATGATGCTTGATGACTCTACAACGCAGTTCAATAAGCATCTGCTTGCGGTCACTGAGATAGTGGTGGTGTTGCTGTCTCGCAAATTCACGGTCGATTCCGTCGTTTGCCAGCAGATACTGAGTGTAGTGTTTGAGAAAGTGGAAGGTGTCGTCGCGCTCCAAAAAGATTGCCATGAGCAGCTCGTTGAGCGGTGGATGCATATTCTGGGTGATGATCTCGTCGAATACGCAGAGCAAGTAGTGAATGATGTAGATGTCTTTGAAGCGCTCCGATGTCAGTCTGCCCTTGAAGAGATAATGCTTGATCTTCAGCAGTACCTCAATGCAGACGTCGACTACTTGCGATGGCATGATTCTGGTTGGACAGAACTGCACGTAGTCGGCGAGCATATGCAACTGATACTCAAGATCGCCAATGTAATTGGTTTGGATAACATTCATTATATTATTGTTGATACGCCAGAGTAGGATGTCTAGTTTCTTTCTGAAGGAACCTTTACGCTCGGGAACCATGTCTTTGGTGATGTCGTTCCATCGTATACGATGGATATACTCGACATAGTCGGCCCAGTTATTGGCCAACTGGAATATCAACTGTAGGAACTCCATATCGGCGGGAATCAGTCCTTTGTAGACCATTATTATCTCAGAGTATATCAAGTTCATTGGATTGTTGACATACTGAAGCATCCAGAGATTGTAAGAGGTCGACGCAATAACCGCTCTCAATATGCAACATCTAACCTTGTAGAGATTGGAATTCTTAATGGTTTGGAGATCGGGTGACACCGATACATTCGATTCTGAAGTTGGTGTATCTGGTATCACAAATTTCTTTGGTGCATAGCTATTTCTCTTTAGCGTTGTAGATGTAAAGTGTGCATCTACCACCTGTTTATATGATATTAATGCTGTTAAATCTGATGTCATATCTAAAAATAATTAAAATAGTAACCATTAGGTTAATAAACAATATAATACCGAAATAAACTAATGAATGATATATATAGATATTTACATGTTTCACCTAGTTTAGAAGCAATATCACTAAGTTCTTTGGTAGAGTTTGTTTCTACTTTACCGATTTCACAGGTGTGACTTCTCGTAGAGGAATTAGAGTCGTCACGTCTACGAGATGAACGTGTCATCTTGGCACTGCTCTCCACTCGAATCGGTAAATTCAATTTCGGAATGATAGGCTTTGACATTTTCAGCGAGGGAATGATAGTGGTGGATGCGCTAGTAGGTGAGATAGCTGACGGTGAAGTATTTGAATTGTTGTTATTTATTGCTGACAATGGTGGAATTAACATGGTGGTTGGCGAAGTCTGACTCGAAAAGATTGGTGATTCCGCCGGTGACGAATAGTTACTTCCATTATTACTTTCATCGAGTTTATTCGAAGAGGACAACGATAAGTCTCTCAAAGTTCGACGTAGTGTACCTAGATTATTATTATTATTTCCTGTTGTATTGTTGTTGTTCAATCTATTGCTCTGACCACTCGATGTATTCAACAAAAGGTCAGAGTAGCCACCGGGTGGCGTCTCCAATGGTTTATCTAAAGCATATGAATTCCTCTTGTTTGCCAATGTAACCGATCCTTTATAATATATCTCCAACAATCTTGGTATACAAAGATCTTCAATGAATATCTAAAAGTAGAGAGGTATTAATATTATTGTTAATCACATTTATATAATAATAATAAACTTACAGATCTCAATGGATATAATGATATTAGTTTAGGTAGTGATTCTGCAGTACCTATACATTCGATATCATCATAAAGATGTTGAATCAATTGTTTACAAAATAATCTTGATGCTTCATGACTGTTATCTATTAAATATTGACATATCTAATAATTTTATATTATATATATATATTTAGAAGTAGAATAGAGTTAGTGATATATATATATATTTATCAGATTAAATAAAAAAGTATAGTTAAACTGGTTACCTCTAATACGATTTCAGTGGAATGATTATTCTTGCCACAATAACAAATACATTGAATTAAAATAGTGATAGCACCACGACTGATACAGAAATTCTTTTCGGATGCGTCCATCGATTTAGTTCGGTCGCGTAGTGATTCGAGTAGGGGTATTCCTTCTTTTACAAAGAGTGTAGTTGTACTTCCGTTCTGTTGTTGATGATGTTTGGCGTGGTGTGGATTCACCATAGAGTGTAACGTCGACAGCTGTAGATCTACCGCATCATACTTTGATGATGGTGTTACACTTCTATTCTTTCTTCTGAACTCCATCATCTTATCTTCTACTTACTACTACTACTGATCTTTATTCTACAAAACCTCCTACATATATATATATACATACATACAATATAATATAATACAATATATAAATACAACACACAAAAGACAAGACAAGATGAATTAAAATAAACTTATTTGATAAGTGCAAAAATTATTGTTTTTGTATTACAATTTATTGTTTTTTTTTTTTAACTTTTTTTTTTTTTTTTTTATGATTGATTTGTGTGGTAAGATTGTAAATTGATTTATTGTTTTTTATAAAGTTGTTTTATTATTTTGGTATAAAATATGGGTGTGTGTATGTATGTATGTATGTATGTTCAAAGTTAATTTACTAGTTGGAAGACAGTGTCAAAAGATATTGACTAAAATAGTAATTTTTTGATAATATGTCAGGATTTTTTTGAAAATTAGGGGTGTTTTGATAAGACAGTTTGTAATTTTTTTTGTTTTTCAAATTTGAATTTTTGGTTGTTGCAAAGTAACTTATTATGAGATGATCTTTCTAAATAAGTTTATTAAAAAAGATTTTCCCAGATTCAACATGTTGAACCGATTTTGTTAGACCAAAAAAAATATAAATTAAAATATAAATAAAGAATTTCACTAAGTGTAACAGGATCAACCTTTTGATATCCTTCTTCTTAACAATAATATCATTTTTTTATTTATCACAATAATAATAAGTTATTTATATAAAATAATAAAAAAAACAAACAAATAATGATTCCTTATATAATATTAAATAAAATAATGGAATTTTTGGATTCCAATATTGATAGAATATCTATTATTTTTTCTTGTAAACAATGGTACAAAGATAGAGACCAAATAATCAATCTTAATGTACAAACTTTAGAAAAAAACTATGAATATTATCAACAGCACTCTATTTTCTATTTTAAATCATCAATTCTCACATATCTAAATAAAGTAAATTATAAAAATATAAAACTATCAAATTTTAGTGGTAAGTTAAACTAAAATAGTTCTTTTTATTTAAAAAATAACTAATTCCATTTACCATAGAATTTGAAAGAAATACATTAAATAAATTTAATAGTAGACATATTAAATTAAATAATTTATTTAATGAAAAATTGGAAGATCATACCCTCCCAAAAGCAACTTTACATCTAAAATTTGGATATGAATTCAATCAACCTATTGAATTAAATGTATTGCCCCCAAATTTGAAATATCTATCATTTGGTTCCAAATTTAATCAACCTTTGTTGATTGGATCAATTCCTGATGGTGTAGAATATTTGGAGTTTGGTGATCAATTCAATCAAACATTGGAGGTTGGTAGCATTCCTTCGAGTGTAAAGATATTGAAATTTGGATACTATTTCAATCAACCAATCATTAAAGGAGCCATTCCAAATGGAGTCAAAGAGCTACATACGTCCGTACTTTTCAACCAACCGATTGAAGAAGGGGTCTTACCAAACTCAATTGAAAAGTTAATTTTCGGTTGGGGATTTGACCAAAATCTTCAATTTATTCCAAAATCAGTGAGGAGATTGCATTTGGGTTGCAGATTTCACAAGTCTTTAATTCCTATTGAAGATCACCTTATTGAAACTCTCCATATTTATTCATATAGAATACAATATGGAGCTATTCCAAAGTCAGTAAGGAATCTAAGTGTGTCCTCTATAATCGAACTTCCTGTTCCTGATTTTGTTCAGACTCTTTTTTTGGTGGATTACTTTAATCAAGAGATTCCTGTGGATTCACTACCGAGCAGTATTAGATTCCTACATTTTGGAGATGTCTATAATCAACGAATGGTCCCAGGATCGATACCAAATGGTGTAGTGGAAATTTCATTTGGAAATTCATTTGATAAACTTATCAGTCATGAAGTGATACCGACATCAGTTAGAAAAATTAAATTTGGCGACTCTTTTAATCAGAACCTCCAAAGCAATGGTGTTTTACCCTCAGGTTTGAACTTCATTGAATTTGGAAAGACTTTTAATATGCCCATTTCAGAGACATTCAGTCATATGAATTCTATAAAATCAATCAAGTTTGGAACTAATTTTGACAATTCAATAGAAGCAAGTGATCTACCAGATGGCTTGGAATCATTGGAGTTTGGAGAGAAATTCAATCATGAAATTTCTCAATCACTGCCTGCTACTTTGAAAAATCTGGTATTTGGAAATAACTTTAATCAAAAACTAGATCAACTTCCAGGGAAATTGAAACATCTTGTTCTTGGAAAGGGATTCAACCAAAAGATTAATTTTTCAAATTCAGAAATCAAGTCTTTAGTAATTGGTTCAGTAGATTTGCTACAAGAGAATCAATTTAACCTACCAAAGTCTCTTCGAAGTATGGATATTACAATTTCAGATTGTAAATACAAATTAAGATTATTACAGAATGAAGAAAAGCTATTCGTTTCCAATAATAATTTAGTTGGTGGATTCATAAGTCAATCAAAATTTTTAGAAAAATTTAAATAAAACTAAAAATAGCATACTTATTGATTAATTTAACTTATATTCTTTTTATTATATATTTGTTTAAATTTTCCAAAAGCTTTTCAGTACTATCTCTATTTTTTTCCAATATCTTTAAAAAATTGGTTATCCTTTTAAATATTACTTTAAATATCTATCATATGAAACTTTATTTTGGATACAGTTAAAATTATCTATTTAAGTTTAATTTTTTTGAAAAAAAATATTTTAAAATTAAAAAATTTCCCAAAAAAAAAATTCATTTTCATTTTGAATACAGATAACAAGCATTATAGCAGAAAATAAGAGAGATAGATATTTGTATAAATAATAATAATAATATTATATATATATTCACACAGACATCTGTTTTAAGATGTTAAATTATATTAATGATTTAGAAGAAGATGATTTTAGTCATTCAAAAGCTACAACCTCAACAACTTTATCTTCATCATCTTCATCTTCATTTAAGAATATATCAAACAGAAAGAAATTAGGTAAACCTATATTAACTTTTAACAACAATAATAATAATAGTAGTAACAGTAATCATAATAACAATAACAGAGGTGGTAAAAGTAAAGTTATACCGATAATGTCAAGTTATTCAGAGTTTAATAAAAAGAAGAAACAAATGAATGGCGGAAAAGTAGGTGGTGGATCACCTTTGGGAAGTAGACACTCTTTTGAACATGAAGAGAATTCCGATGGTGAAAACAGTAATAATACCTATGACGATGAAGATACTTTAGAGGAAGAAGATATCATACCTATAATCAACGGAAAAAGAGGTAGATACGAAGATAATAATAATAACAACAATAATAATAATAATGGCAATATTGTTGAAAAAGAAGAAGAAAAGGATTCAAAGTATTTCAAGTTGTTTAATGACTATCAACAGGAAGAGGAAGAGAGAAAGAAAGAAACACAACATAAGAGACCAAAGATAGAGTTTCAAACAAATATGTATCATTATCAGAATCAGAATAATAACAATAATAACAGCAGGCATAATGGTCATGGAAAGAATAGTAATCATAATGGATATTCTCATACCAACAATGTTAATGGCAGTGGAAATACACACCATCATAATAATAATGATAACAATGATAATAATACAATTGTAGTTGATGATAGTGATGAAGAAAATACTCCAACAACTACTACAACCACTACAACAACAACGACTACATCATCATCATCGTCATCATCAAACAATAGACCTAAAAGAAATCCAGAACAACTTGTTTATAATTCAGTTCCAATCATTCATAATAATAATCATAGTAGCAGCGGCAGCAGATTGAATATGACTTCTAGTCATCCAATTACTAGAAGTGGAACAGCTCAGAGAAATAACAGTGCCAGCTCCTCCTCGACCACTACCACCACCACCAACAACAACCGAGCTTTACCAGAGTTACGAAGAAACAATACTGCGCCACCAGTTGTACAATCACATGCCCCTCCACCTCCTCAAAGAGCTGCAAGAAAATCCAACAAACGATCAACGACTACCACCACCACTACAACTACCACAAACAATCGTAATAACAATGTACATTTAAATAATAACCTTGCTACTGTAAATGATAATGGAACGACTGACCTTGACAACGAATTGGCATTGGCAATAAGCATAACGGATACACCACCACGCGCAAACCATCGTCATAACAATCATAATCACAATCATCGTAATACTAATAATAACCAACAACATGTACAAGAGCAATTGGACTATCAGGTCGCACTCCAACTTCAACTGCAGTTCCAACAATTAGAACAACAACAACAACAACAGCAACAAACCCATCAAGAATTGAACCGTCAACTTCACCAACGTGCAATCAATCATAGAATATATGAAAGATTCCAACAGCAACAGAATCAACGTCACCATCATTATCATCCACATGCTCATGCACATGGACATCCACAAGTCGATCCGAATCTCTTCAACTTGATGGCAATCAATAGGTAAGTTATTTAATAGACCACCATAGATGATTATAGATTACTAATTCGTACGATTGTTTCAATATCAATACAGAGATTTCAATGAGAATGATTATGAAATGTTGTTAAGATTAGATGAAAATGTAAATAATAAGGGTGCCAATATACAATCTATAAAGACTCTACCAATAAGAAAGATAGAGAAAAACACAAAGATTGAAACCTGTTGTATCTGTTTATCACAAATGGAGGTTAATGAAGAAGTTAAAACTTTACCATGTTTACATTTCTTTCATATTGACGTAAGTTTTATTTAACTTTATTTAATACTAATAAGTAATAACAATTGTTTAAATATATTATATATAGTGTATAGATCAATGGCTGAAAGTTAATAAGATATGTCCTATCGATAAACAATCAATTACTGAATAAAATATATAAATATTATTTTATTACATCATTATAAAGAACAATTGTCATTATTTAGAATGAGTATTTATTTTTTAAAACTTTTTGAGCTAATATCAATGCTAGCGATACTGTTATACCAACACTGATTAGCTCTGACCATACTATAGATGACTGTTGACAATCTAAAAATGAATGTCTTGTTTTGTGGTTGATGTAGATGGTTTCTGTGAGTTGTTGGATCAGTGATTGCAAAGAGTTTACCTTTTCGAATGCCTCTGCTTCTTGGTGATTAGAAAGATCCTGTCCGACTTCATGCAATATCTCATGAATCTTCTGCTTTAATTGATAAATAGATTGAATTCCTGGATTTGATTTACTAAACTCTTCCCATGTTTCATCATCCTATAAATAAATAAAAAAACAAAACATCAATAAAACTTATCATTTAAATGATTAATAATAATAATTGTTAACATACATCAATATGTTGATAAACAGCTTGTAAATATACTAGTGAATCTACTATATTGAAATATACAATGTTTCTAATTGCAGCATCGGCCTGTGAGAAACTAATCGATTTATGTGGTGAGAATATACTGAAAGGATTGAATCCTAACGACCAAATATAATTGAAATCCGGTGTATCACTGTTCTTTGCTAATGATAACTGAGTCGGTGAAATACCCCATATTGTTTCTAATAATGATGCTAACACTGGTCTTGTTGCATCTGTGGCATCTATTTGTAAAATTTGATCACACCTAAAGTTTATGATTAATTGGTCAAACACTTTCTATTTAGTTAATTATAGATATAACTATACTTACTTGAAATCAGATATTCTTTGAGATTGAGTTTGAATTGCAATGACCATGTCGTTGAAACTGACTGCTTGATGTGTACGATCGAGTAATAGCAGATCTTTAAATGAAATGTCAAACAAAAACACTGGTATAATGAGTCGGTTGTTACGATAGTCAAGCTCTGGTACGAATTGAAGGTTGTGTTGTTTCAACCAGTAGTGTAGCTCCTTGGAGTCTAGATATTGTTGTGTTCCTTTGGTGCCAGAGTGATGAACTCTGAGCGATGACTGTTTCGCCTGAGCGGCGTGTACATTGTCCAACAACGAGATCTCTGCCTTTGAAAAGGTAATCGATTGGTGCGGTAGTCTTTTGATTCTAGAGAGTTCACCCTGTATCGCTGGCCAATCGAAATTCTCGGATTGCTCGATCATGCCGACTTGATGGTCGTGCACCATGATCAGACGAACCTCGAGCTCCGTCCAGTGGTAGTTGGAAGCGTGACTCACCACCGGAGTGATCAGCTGTCTTGTCGAGTGATGAATGAACGTTGCGATGTTGTAGAGGAATTCATTGGTGTTGCTACCGGTTCGTCGGTTTGGAAGCGTGTCCGGGAGGATGGAACCTGTACCCTTGGTGAGCGGACCGTACGACGGAGTGTCTGCACCCAAGTCAATCCACATATATCTTCCTTCGCCCTGTGCAGCTCCGGTGGAGGAACTAGCTTTCAAGTTGGGTGCCATCGATTGCCATACTTTGGTAGTGCAAAGGAGTGTACGGTTGTCGGCGTGTGTGATGATCGGTAACTGAGAGTAGGTGTATCGCTCTCCCAGATCACTGTTGATTATGTAGATCGTATAGGCGTTGGATTTCTCAGTTACATAGTCATTCCATACCAACTTGTCAACGGTGACATACGGTAGTGTGGTGATAGCCATCGATGGATGTATAACCTCTCTCTTTGCCAAACCATTCTTAATGGCATTCTGTATGTTATCTTTAAGTTGTATCGATGCAGTCGATACGAAATATAAATATTTTTGTTTAATAAAAGGTATAGTTGAATACTATTAATTTAATCAATGAATTTTGTTAGTTATTATTTCAACATCATCATCATCATTATCGTCATCAATCAAATGATTTGATCTTGTGTAAAAGTATGAGAACAAACCTACAGGTGTCAATATGGTAGGTATATTTGTATTATCCAAGTGATTCAACAGCTTTTGTAGATCATTATAATTTGAAGTGGTGAAACCAACCAACTTTACATTGATATTGATTGGATGTTCGAATGCAAAGGTCGATGTGAATGTATCAGACTTTGAGTGAACGTGATCATCATCATCATGATCATGCTGTGCAATCACCACTATTGAACATAAATAAAACAATAATATTATATATAAATAACTACCATAGGTACTACTACTACTCCTATAAACACTTATTTTATTATATATATACATTTAATTAATAAATTTATTTAAAAAAAAAAATGTTCTTTAAATTAAATAAAATGAGAACTTCAATATTTTTTTTTTTGACTGCCAAGTGACTTAGGTGGGCCACAAGTTGGTGAGTAAAAACACAATCATCTTTTCTATATATATAATAGTAAGACTATTGTTTATTTTTATGATTGTTTTTATTATAATTAAAGATATTTCAAAAAGTGAATTTAGAACAAAACATAATAATAATAAATATAGTTAAATTAAATCACAAGATCGTGATTGATTTATTAAATTTATAGTTTTTGGATGCACGCTTAGAGACGATCTAAAAATTCGTTGAGTGGTGGAATCTCTTGTCTTAAACCTTTTCTTATACGGATGTCTTGGACGATCTTGTTGGTGACTGAATTTGGTTCGAGTGGATCTTGAGACATCATCGACCAGTGATCGAATGTCATTTGGAGGAAAGCCAAACCACTGGTTTCAGATTGGAGATAGGCACTGAATCCAAACGATTCGGAAACGGGTAGATGTGCACGGATTGAGAACACTCCATTCATACCGAGCTTCTCTTCTTCAGAGATGGTGACACCACGACGACGATTTAGACACTTGTGCACACCTTTGAGTACTCTCGACGGTGCTTGGATATCGACAAGATACATCGGTTCCAACAGACGTGGCTGAGCGGAAAGTTCGGCGGCGTAGAGAACCTTACGCGATGCCGGCATGATTTGGGCAACACGACGATGTGCACCGTCGGCGATCAGTGTGATATCAGACATATCGAAACGAACACCATACATCTCTTCGGAACATAGAACACCTTCTTTCGATGCCCACTGGAATCCCTGGACAATCGAGTCACGCACTTCATTGAGGTACTGCGTTCCGACAGTTCGGTCGAGGAACATGTTTGGTCCATTCAGGTTTGGACCGAACGACCAGATTTGCTTGGCTTCATTCGCTTCCCAGCTGTGGTTTCTCACGAGGAATTGTGTTCTTCCGGCAATGTCATTGCTGTTTGGATCGAGTTCTTTCGATTCGATCTGGTTGGCGAGCTCGGCACCGAGTGGAGAGGCACTGACATAGATACGATTGTGCTTGTTGGCCGATTTGGCCATGCAGACAGGTGATGTTCCTTGAACAGTCTCACGATAGCTTACCACTGGATTGGATGCTTCGATTTCACAGTTGGAATACTCTTGTAGATCTTTGAGACAAATTTCGAGTTGGAGTTCACCAACTGTCGCCAGGACTTGCTCACCAGTGTTAGCGGTGTAGTGTTGAATGGCCGGATCGGTTTTGATAACCTTACGGATACCTTCTACTAACTTTGGAAGATGAGTTGGATCCTTTGGTTTGACTGCCACCTTGACCACTGGAGACACAGAGAATTTCATGGAGACAATACCTCTTGCCTCTGGCGCAGAAGTGATCGTTCCCGATTTAATGAGATATTGATCGATTCCCATCAAACCAATAATATTACCACATGGACAGCTTTCGATGGTTTCACTCTTACGGCCCATCATCAAAACTATACTGGTGATCTTCTTGGTGTTGAAGTCGTTTGGACTGGTCTCGGGATCGTACGAAGGCTGGAGAATTCGAACGGTTTGACCACTGGTGATGGTTCCAGAGAAGACACGACCGAACGCAACGAAACGTTCGCCGAATGGAATCATCTTGCTTACGAACATCATGACTGGACCGTTTGGATCGCAAGCCTTCATTGCTTTAGCACACTCGTCGTCCATTGGACCGGTGTAGAGTGACTCTGTACGGTACCGCTGCGCCACTATCGGCGAAGGCAGATGATGCACCACCATTGAGAGAATACACTCATCGGCAGGCAAGAACTTCTTCATAACAGTTCTCAGAAGATCCTTACCACGCAACTCCAGCTCGGCTTTGGAAAGCTTGATATCCAAGTTGTCCAACTTTCCGATGAGACTATCGATGTTGGACTCATCCTTGGCGGCGAGAATGAGAGCACGCAGTGGCTCGTAGATGAGACGACAGAATCCACGCTCGAGAGTACGTCCATCTTCAGAGGTTTGATTTGGTCCCCATTTCTTGGTGACGCTATCGTAGAAGTTGTCACCCCAGAGACGATTGAGAAGCTTCTCCTTGGAGAGTCCAAGCTTGGCTTCGTAGAGTTTTACCCAGTTTTCAAGAGTAAATCCCCATCCTTGATATCCACTACCAAAACCAACGTTTCCAACCTTTGGGTCGAGCATCTTTTGATTCTCACCCATTTGGACGACGGCATTGGTAGCTTCAATGGCGTTACGAAGAGCAAGATAGGCATCCTCAGGTGCGACCTGGAGTTCCAGGAACAATCTATCCATTTTGTTAACAAAGAGAACTGGTACAATACGCTCGGACAATGCTTGACGCAAGACTGTCTCGGTTTGGACACAAACACCCTCGATGGCGTCGACAACGACAAGAGCACCATCAGTGACACGCAAGGCGGCAGTAACTTCAGAGGAGAAGTCGACGTGACCCGGAGAATCAATGAGATTGAGGAGGAATTGACGGTCAGTTGAGCCAGCTGGCAATGGGGCAGACTCTGGCAACTCTAAGTGCAAAGAGACACTGGACGACTTGATGGTGATACCACGAGCAATTTCATCATCACGTGCACTCAGGTAACGGAGATCACCGGCTTTACCTTCTGGAATGATACCGGCACGTGCAACGAGCGAATCAGACAGAGTAGTCTTACCGTGATCGACATGAGCAATAACTGAGAAATTACGGATGTTGTTTCTTTCATTCATTGATTGTGAGATCTTATCAACAGTGAACTTGACCATCTATTTATAAAAAAAATAAAAATAAAAATAAAAATAAAAATAAAAGTTAAATTAATATTTTGTTTCAATTTGACATATATTATATAAATATTTTTACATACTTTTTGATTGTTTGTTTAGTTCTTTTTAAAAAAAAAAGAGAAAGATGGAGGGTTGGTTATTTGGATTTGGCTTGGGTTATGGAAAGGGAATTTAAAATCTTGTTTCTAATACTATCTTACATAATTTACCTTTTTCAATTGGAACAATTAAAAATAGGTAAGTAGAAAGTTTAGAAAATAACTTGATTGCTAATACTTGAATATATCAGTTTATTTGTAACAAAGTTGTTTGATTTGAATGAAATTTCAGGTTTGGATGGAATTATTTATAGTATTAGTCGAGTTGGATGAGGGATCATTATAGGGAATTATAATAGAAACTATTAAATAATTTTTTAAAGTTGAGAAGTATGCCACATATTAAATGACTTCTCAACTTTAACTAAAAAATTCAACAATTTTGTTTGAGAAATTGTGTCCATATAAATTTGTTTCTCACTTTTTGCGTTCCCCCACCAATTTCAAATTTTTTTCTTTGTTTTGTATGTTTTGTTTTTGATTTTAAAGATTTTTTTACCTCATCTTGCAAGCTATAGCTCTGTATGTAATGCCTCAGGTTACCATCTTAAATTTTGAGTAGAATCGATATTTCTTTGCTAAAGGGATCGATCGGTAATCAGTAATTATGATAATTGATTTACAAATAAAACACATTTATACACTAAATTCAAATTACAATTTTATTTATAATCTTTAACTAACTTTGTTGACGATTAGTTATTGTTTTGTTGTTTCTGTTGATGTTTTTTTTTGGTTTATAAAAATATGGTTGTTTGGTTGTTGGTTATTATGATTACTGCATTGTTTGTTTCGTATGTATTAAATTACTTTGCTATTTAAACAATCTAATTTGTTTGCATTGGTTCTGCTTGTTCATCATCAATCATTTCAAGCTAAAAATAGTAATAAATAATAAAAATATAAAAGTTAGTGTTTATGAATTACGATATGACGATATGGATGAATGATAGTTACGTATGGAGCAGTATGTTCATCTTCGATGATCTTAAAAGGTTGATCGTGACCAACTATACCGATTGAAACGTTCTTTGAAGTTAGACCAGTGTCACTGTTTGGAATGGTTTCTCTGAGTGCACGCAAACCGTGTACAATCAATTCTTGTAATGAACATCCTTCGAATGCTTCAAAGTGCTTCTCAAGATAGGTCTTGGCCGATTGTGATCTTGCACCAATCGAAATAGATTTATATGAATAAAAGTTACCTGATGGACATGTTTGATAAATATGAGCTCCGGTTTGCTATAACGATTGTTAAATTAAATTAAATTTAAATTTAAATTAAATTAAATTAAATAAAAATAAATTAATATTCAAAACATCCTATCTATACTATCTAATATTCTACTACTTACATCGTATCCAGCAACTAATAAACCAACACCATATGGTCTTCTACCATATCTTTGAGTATGAACTTGTGATTCTTTAATGATAAACAATTAAAAAAAAAAAAGTTAGTTTAGTTTATATTATATTATGATAATTAATAATTAATAACATACTATCAGCAACTTTTGTAACTAAACGTTCAACTCTCATATCTGATTCGTAGACGTATTTATAGTTTGCACATTCGTTTCTCATATAGTTACAGAGGACTCTGGCGTCAGCGGTCAAACCAGAGATGGCAATACCAATGTGATCGTCGACGACAAATATTTTCTTTTGATATGAACCCAACTCTGAACTGGATCTCTTGAGTGATACCAACACTGCGTACTGTTTCGACTTGAGTGCAACAGCAGCACTACCTTGCTTCACTGCCTCCATAGCATACTCTATCTGATGAATACGTCCCGATGGACTGAATGTTGTGATATCTGAATCATATTGATTTCTGTACATCTTTTAATGATATTTATTTATTTAAACTAAAAAACAAAAAATAAACTACTTATATTATTATTACTATTTACAAAAAATAAAAAAATAAATTTAATTTTGGAAAATGAACATCAAAAAAAAAAAAATTTTTAAAAAATTGATGATTAATTTTTTTATTAGATTAAATTGTTTTAAAATTTACAAATGGTGGTTGAACTTCAACAATAACTTAAAAAATTGATGAAGATGTTCAGTTACATTATTATTATTTAACCTAACATGTTTTTGATTCGTAGTTTTTATTTATTGATAAAATTGATGTTTAAAATGTGAGTTACTTTCTAAGTATGATTAAATGAAATGCCAAAACTTTTTTTTTTTTTAGAGTTTAAACCTTTAATTATGAAATAATGTTACTGTTTCTCGTTGATTTTATAAGTTTAGTTTCTCAATCGGTTTAAGAAATTGTGCATGCACCACGGAAGCCATGGATTCAGCGGCTGCAAATGGACATCTCAAGTTTAATTTGGTTGCATAAGAATCGCACTGAAGGATGTACCACTAAAACAATTGACATATCATCAGAAAATGGTTGGGTTGATGTTGTGGAATGGCTCATTAACAACAGAACCGAGATTGAGGTGGAATCTATCAAGGTTCGTTCTGGAAATGGGTACAAGACAGTCAATGAGTGGCTTGACAGCAGACCATTTTCCGAGAGTAAAGTTAAAAATCTAAAGAGGATGAGAGAAGAAGATTTGGGCACAAATAGTAATAAAATAAGATTAAATAAAGAGAATTAATTGATAACATCATCCACACTGTCAAATATTTTTATTAATAATACTCCAATACCACTGGATTGATTTATAATAAAGTTATTTTTTTATTCTTGTGAAACATATGCTTTGACTTTGATGATTATCTTTCTAAGGAGTGATGGTAACCACGCAGTTGTGTTGACGAAATGATCTACCTTACGACCGACTTCAGCGAACATCATACGACTCATTTGGTTGGTGGCATAACGAATCTTTAAGAACTTATAATATGCAAATACGCAAATCGGTGATGCTCCTCTATATATTGTTAAATAGCTATTAATAAGTGTTATTACAAAGACGATCTATATCAATTGAAACCTTACCTAAATATACTGAAAATAAGGAATACCATGATCCACATCTCCATTTGAACAGCAAATTCGATGGCTCTCTGTCTCTTTGATTGCAACAATGTTACATACTTGTAGATGAATGCATTGTTTCTAACTTTTGGTGCAAGAACACCGAGCAAGTGGAATAATGAATATGTAAAGTTGGGCATTAACAAAACTATATTTATATAAAGATAGAGATAGTAAGTTAGTTAGTAATCAAGTATGATAACGAACGTTAATTATCAATCAGCTTACCTAATGATGGTGGACCAAGGAAATACATGATTAGACCCAACATGAGGAAATGAGCATTATCATTTTTCAAGGCAGTATCAATGAGACGTTCTCTATCGAATGTACCTTCATAGGTTTGGAACAGTGGGATCGAATAGGAGATGATCGATGCTAGGAATGCTCTGTAAAAGTAGGTTGGATTGTTGGTGAACAAGAACAGTATAGTCAATAGGAATATTGCAAGTTGTGCAACCACCCATGAAACATATAAGAAATGTGAATATTGTGGTGATGCTCTTGCTGCTGCTGCTGGTTGTGGTTGTTGTTGTGATTGTTGTGTAGGTGGAGGTGAAGATGATCTTTGTTGATTATTATTACTATTATTATTATTAGATGGTGAGGTTCTTTGATTGGTAGTATTTGATGAAGTTGTTGATGTTGATGATGATGCATTAGCTTTATAATCTCTTACAACATAATCTGGATCCTATTAATATATATTTTAAAAATACCAATCAATCAGTTAGTAAGATAGCATTCAAATTGGTCATTTAAGATTTGTTATAAAGTTTGACACATTACAATCTGATCTTTATAGTATCTCTGTTTAAATTTGAATATTAAATGTTCGCGCATAGTGTCGTTTGGAAAGTAAAGATTATTTAAATAACGGTTCCATTCAGCATCATTCTCCCAATCATGACTATCAAATGATTTAGCCATTATTACTTTATTAAAAATATATCTATATTATAAATATATAATTTATAAATAACTAAAATAAATAATGTTGTTTGTTCACAAAGTGAAATGATGACTCAAAAACTCATATAATTCTTTTTTTATTTTGTTTTTATTTTTATTTTTATTTTTGCAGATGTGTGTTGTTTAGACTGTGTTTAAAATTGAATACAATTTTTGATCGATCAAAATTTAAATAGTCTTGACATTTGAAAATTTTTGATATGAACGTCTTATTTATTTATAAATGAATATAATGTATCTATATTTAAATCTCTTCTAATTCACCTTGATCGTTGGATTTGAAGAAAGTGTAACTTAGAGTGATGTCAGTGATACCTTTGAGACTCTTATCGTCAAGTAAGTCTGGTTCGATTACAAACAAAACTGGCATGTCGATTGTTTCATTTGATTTAATACGTTGTTCGTCAAAACAGAAACATTGGATCTTGGTAAAATAAGGTCCTGCCTTCATAGGTGTAATATTATATGTTGCTACTCCAATAATTGGCGCATCTGTATTATTTGTTGCCTTTTATGTTTATAAAATATAATTTGTTTTTTTTTAAAAAAAAGTTAATTTCTTTTGTACAAATATTTATCAGTTATCATTTATATTATATTACCCTGTAGAATGCTAAAACAGGTTCACCTGGTAAAACTTCGATTGATTGTTGAGTTGGTTTGAATGTCCATGGAATCTTGTTACCAACCGATGATGTAAAGGTAACCTTGATTGGATAGACCTCACGATTGAGATTACGTTTCGATGTGTCCAATAGAAGATCTTCTGACTCACGTACGGTACCACCATAACCTGTCACTCTACAAAATACACGATACAAAGGTACTGCTGCATAAGATGCACCCAACACTGCAATAATCGATGCAAGTACCCACATTCCAACATTCTTATTCTTTTCTTTCAACTCTTCACTATAATCTCTTCTATCTCTTCTTTGTTGTTGCTGTTGCTGTTGCTGTTGTTGTTGTTGTTGTTGTTGTGATTGATCTTCTTTTGGTTGTTGTTGATCTGGTTTATTCTCTGTAGGTTGTTTTGGTGGTGGTTGTTGTTGTTCGGTAGAATAACTTCTAATACTACCTAGACTCTTACTATAATCTAAATTTCTATATAAACAATTATTATTATTATTACTTTTTATATTATATATTGAATTTAATGAAGAAGTAGATGTTGTGAAACTCTTATTAAAATTTGAATTGAATGATGGACGTCCAACATTTTTTGTAGCTGATACAGCCCATGTTATACTAGACTTATTTAAAAATCTTTTTACATTAAACATTATTATAACAACAATGGTTTAATATCAGATTGAATAGTTTGTTTTCGAAACTGATCAACTTCTAAAGTAATATGCAATCTGTGTGGGTTGATCAAATAAAACACACGAATCATTGGGTGTCAGAAAACAAAAAAAAAAACAAAAAACAAAATAAGATTTTTTTTTTTTTTTTTAATTAAAAAGAATTTAGAATAGATACTTATTGATTAGTTGTTTAAACAAAAAAAAAATCAAAAACAAATAATTAATTATAATAAGTAAGAGTTAATTTTTTTTTATTTTGAAATAACAATTTTTTTACACTTCTTGTTCTTGCACTTTATTATTTTCATTTGGGATGATTGGGTCACCCATTTTATCGACCTGAAGAGGATCACCCATTTTGTCAACTGGAACATCGGATTCACTGGTTTGAGTATCGACTTCCTCCATTTGTTGACCACCTTTGAGATTTGGAAGGAAGAGGTAAAGACAAACTGTACAAACGATACCGACACCACCGAAAATCCAAAACATCGTACTCTGACCAAGATACTTTACTACTGTCAAGAAGACAAATGATAAAATCAAATTAAAGAACCATTGTAAAGCATTGACAAGTGGTGCTCCAATATTTTTAATATCTTCTGGCATAATTTCATTAATCGTAAACCAAAACTAAATATTAAGTAAAAACAAAATAATTAATAAGCTTGTTTATAGAATCGATCAATCAAATGATCTACATACCAAGGTACCAATAGATGCCTCAAAAGCACCAACAAAGATAAACAGGAAAACAATTGATGTCCAACCTTTGGCAGTTCCATGAGCAGCCAAAAAGACAATGGCAATGATGATATCACTCATTGTCATAACAATGGAACCGCTGAACAATAGAATCTTTCTACCAACTCTCTCTACCAAGGAAATAGCAATCAAAGTTGTTGAAACATTCCAAATTTGTAAAATAACTGCTGCTATTTCTGGTGCATCTCTTCCTTCAATACCAGCATCAGAGAAAATGGTTGTTGAGAAATACCTGTAAATAAATAAGTGTAAGTAGTTTGATTTTAATTTACTTTGAGAATTAAATTACATACATAAAAGCATTGATACCTGTTAATTGAGCAAAAGCAGCTAAAATAAATCCTAAGAATAATGGTTTTCTTGCTCTCTTTGACAACAATAGTTTGATAGTGCTAACACGAGGAGTCGAACTGGTTTCTTCTTGTTGTTTTCTTTGTTTCTTTTCAAGGAAAACAGGTGATTCTTTCATAATTAACCAACATGCAAATAACATAATTCCTGGGACACTTCCAATTGCAAACATCCATCTCCAGTTATTGGTTGATCTCTTAAGAACTAAACCAATAATATTGGCAATTAAAATACCGACTGTAATAGAAATCTAAATTACAAATAATTAATAATTGAATTTTACTTGCAATAATAAAAAATATTTACTTGGAAGAATGAACCCAAAAATCCTTTTTTTTCTTTGGGTACAATTTCAGCAACCATAATAGGACAAACTGATGATGCACAACCAACTCCCAATCCCAGGAGAATTCTTAGAATACCAACAGCTACAATAGAGTCGACAGCACATGACGCTATTGCTCCGGCGACTGTAGAGAGAGCAGTAAACAAGACAACAGGTTTTCTTCCAATCTTATCAGCTATGAAACCACTAGTCACAGAACCAATAACAGCTCCAACCAAAATACTACAAACAATAAGTCCCTGAGCAACCGTACCCAAATTATATTGATCTGTCAATGGTTTTAATGCTCCCGCAATAATACCTTAAAGAATGGTTTATAAGTTAAGAGAAACTAATTAAAGTCTATAAATAAAAAAAATGATTATTACCTGTGTTGTATCCAAAAATTAGACCACCACAGCACGACAATGATACCAGAAACCAATGATTAAATGCTAATCTATTTAATTTTTCTTGAAATGTCATTTTATACTATTTAAAAATTAAACATAATAGATAGAAATATTATATAAATAATAAATTAATAAAAGGAAATTTAAAATTTTTTTTTTATTTGATTTGGTTTTTTTTTAAAAAATAATTAAATGGATAAAATACTTTAAACAAATCATATGACTTATTTTAAAATCGAAGATTACAAGTTGAAATATATTAAACAAAGATTTAATTACTATTATAATTTTAAAATATGTTAACTTTTGATTATTAATTACAATATTATAGATTTTTAGCTGTTGATTGAATATGTATACAAATTTGATTAATTGTGTTGAAATGTTAATTTATGATATTTAAAGAATAGCAACAACATTAAGATAAAAACAATTATAGTAGGAGAGAGATAACTTTGTTGCTAACACTCGGAAATTTTGAGATTTCAAAAATAGTTTTAACCTTATTAAATATTACTATTTTTTCTATTGTATAATATGAGTAGTATGGAGGTAAATTACATTACACCATACCCCTTTACTACAATTAAAAATACTATAATGGTAATTAAATATATACCAACCAACACTGAAACAGTTAAATACACAAAAAATTTAAATTTGTACATAAACCACTTTCATTTTATTCAACACAACACTTGTCTATAAAATAATAATTGGGTGGTGTGAATTATCGGTGTGATGTTGTGGTGATTTCGATTGTTTAGATATCCATATATATATGGTTGCATATCCCATTGATTTTCTTGCGAAATTTTAATTTATTTGAGATTTCCAAGTTGAATTTCAATCAAATGAAAATGATTGAATTGGAAATTTCCCAATCTCAAATTCATTGATGAGTGGTAGTGGTTAGAATTATATTGTGAGGTTAGTGTTTTTGATTAAACTACAAGTATCAGTGTAGATATATAAAAAAGAGATTTGTTTTCTGAAATGATTTTTTCATTGCACAGTGGTTGGTTAAATTAATATCTCACCACCAAAAATATTGATTCGGTAATAAAATAAGTATTATAAAAAAATACATACCAATGATTATTAATTGTAGAATTCGATGATTTGAAGATATATGATTAAAAATGAAAATGATTTTACAAAAATAATCTTTCAAGTTTAATTTGAAAAAGAAAAAAAACAAAATAAAATACAATTATTATTTAGAATTTCCGATACTCTTCAAATTCCAACGATCAATTAATTAAATAAAAATAAGTTTTTTTTCTTTAAAACTAATGATCGGAATCCAATGTAATTTTTAACTTCCTCTAGATCGAAAAAAGAGTGCCAATCAAGCTAAAGAAAGAATTGGAATGGAATTGAATTTGTTAAAAAAAAAAAAACCTAAATTTAACTGATTTTGGTTTGAAAAAATGAGATTTGATTTTTTTTGGTAGGGAATGTTGAACCATTTATATTCCGATTCTATTTTTCATGTTTTTGCACACCATATGATGGTATTCACGATAATATTATTAAAATTTACCAACTTTGATTGATTTGTATAAATCTGCAAATAAACAAAAAAAAAATATTAAATTTAAATAAAGTTGAAATTTAACAAAAAAAAACATTGGTAAATAAATAAAACCAAACACCAAATAAAATTGAGTTAAAACATTATTAGAATATTATAATTAATTATAATTTGTTTTAAAAGTTTAACTGAATTATTATTATTAATAACAAACGATGATATAAATGAATTGTAAAATAGTATCGTAGAATTAATGGAGTGGGCTGTTGTTTGTTATCAAAAATGTAAACTTTAATATAATTTGATTAGTTATAAAGAAAAAGTAGGTTGAATTTAAATTTTAGTTTGAGGATGATATTATGATAAATTAGAAGAGATGTTAGTATAAAGATAATTATATGAAAATGTTGATAAAACCAAAAATGAATGAATATTAAAAAACATGAAATTGGAGGAGTTAGCTATATTAATTTTACAAATATTAAAAATGGAACTTTCGTTATTATGCACCTATTCTCTTGTAAAGTTTATGTTTGAAACGTGATAGGCTAAACTCTTCCATTGGAATGGGTGGTTCAATATCCATGGCGAGGTCCAAAACTAGTTGTCCAATGGCCGGTCCAAATTTGAAACCGTGTCCGCTGCACGGACTTACAATGATGAGATTTCGATGCGCTGGATGTCTGTCGATGATAAAGTTGAAATCCAATGCACTTGTGTAGTGACAGGTGAGTGAGCTTATCTCTTGTTCGCTTTCGAGCGATGGCATGTAGTGGTGCACAAACTCACGCACCGCCTTGGTGTGCTCCTCTGGATATGGCTTCTTGGCGCCGTCCATCGATTCGAGAATGGGACCACTTCTATGCAGTCCGACCTTGACTCCTCGCACCTCAATCTGCGGCAGTGTATAAAAGATGGATTCGCCAGCGTAGTAGATCGACACTGGACACGAATGCATTGAATGGTCGATAGTTGGTGGTGTAGTGGGTTTCGGTGCAAAGTAGAATACCTTTTCCTGTGTGACATTGACTGGAACTCGCACCTCGAGTTGCGATCGCAACAACACGTCATTAATCCAACCTCCACACGCCAACACAATCTTCTTTGCCTGGTAGGTACTGTGGTCGAATGTCTTGACCGTAACCAAACTCTCAGAATCAACGGTGATTGTATCGACACGTTTATTGGCAAGTGTGGTGGCACCATATTTTCTCGCCAATTTCCACATGGTGGAAACAGCTTTGGAAGCGAAAACCACACCACTATCCGGTTGGTAAACTACCAATGTTTCTTTTTGGAATTTGAATTGTGGGAATCTTTTATTTGCTTCTTTATAATTTAATATACTATAATTTATTTTATTCTTTAAAGAAATAAACCTGCTGTATTAGAAAATCTATCTTTATGTATATACATATGAACATGTTTAAATTGAATCATCAAAAATTAACAAACACTTACATTATCATAGGCTATTAATAACTGTTTGAGTGCTTCCTCTTGGTAACCACCAAAGTCAATACCACCGGTGATGTGAATGAGTTTCTCTTGTGATTCTTTCTCGGCTTGTGCCCAGAGAGGATAAGCTAGTTTCGATAGTTTTATATAGATGTCCTCTGGGTAGCTGTATCTGATGATTCTACCGTCACCGTGGGACGATGCATTTGTGTGACACATGTCGTATTGCTCCAACAACAGTACTTTCAATCCGCTCTTTGCTAGCATGTAGGCACTCGATGATCCGGTGATACCACCACCAACCACAATGACATCATAGAACTTGTCGTCCTCCTCCTCTTCATCCTCGTGCTTCACTGCCTTTTGGTGGGAACGATCAACCTTTCCTTCCTCTTGACTCGCACCGATATGAGATTTCAAAGATCTCAATCTTCTAAAGATACTACCTGTATTCATTGCGTATATAATATATGGATAGTATAACCTTTCAAATGCACTATAAAACTGGTTAAATAAAAAAAAACAAATAAAAGTCAACTGAAATTTAAAAATTCGCAAAGGTCAATTCAAAAAAAAATCTTTAGATTAAATTTTATCTTTTTTTATTTTCATAAAAATATCTTTAGAGAATAAATTTGAAGAATAAGTTCTCTAATTCCATCAAGGATTCAAAAACACTCTTTGGTTGGTTCTGAAGTTAAAAGTCATGATGTTAACATCATTTTGTAAAAAATGATTATTCTTTGATAATTATTTTATTATTATTTGTTTTTTCTTATGAGGTCTAAAAACAAGACAATGTATGAATGTCAAATACAAATGAATTCATATATTTTCTTAAATTTTAATAATGATTCATTTCAATTTATTAATTTAAAAAAAAAGATAATAAAAAAAATAAATTAAAAAAAATGAAAGAAAAAAAAAACGAAGAAAATCAATTTTGACGCTTCGTTGTTGGTTGTTTGGAGACAAGCTCTTGTTTTATTTCGAATTAGTTTTATTCCTTTTTCTAGAACTAGATAGATTTATAAAGATATGCCAAAATCAGAAGCTTCAGCCGCATCATCACATTCTGTAGATGCACATGATAAAGCAGCATTGCTATGCAGCAGAGCCAACGATCTATTGACTTGTTTTAGAGAGTGGTGTTTTACATGGTGGTTGTGATCATGACCATGCTGATGGACATGGTCATAGTCACGGTGGTGAACACCATGGTCATTCACATTCACATGGACATAGTCATGGTGGTGGACACGGACATAGTCACGGACATGGTGGATGTAACCATGATCATGGTGAGGAAGAGGAAGAAGAATCACATGATCATCACGGACATAGTCATGGAGGACATGGACATAGTCACGGTCACGGTGGACATGGACATAGTCATGGTGGACATGGTGAATGCAATCATGATCATGATGAAGAAGAGGAGGAGGAAGAGGAGGAGGAGGAAGATTATTCAGAGGAAGTAGATGAAGAAGAACAGATTTTAGATGAAGCAGCATCACTTTTCACACAAGCATTGTCATTGGATGGTGAATCGATTGAAGCTATCTTGGGACTTGCATATATTGCCGGTCTTAGAAACGAAAACACCGAATCACAAGAGTTACTCAATAGAGCAGAGCGTATCTCACCAGGAGACGAGCGTACCAAAGCACTTAAAGAGGCACTCGCTGAGAAGATTGAAAGACAAACAAGACATGAACTACAGAAACAAGAGAATGCCAACGAAGGTGATGATCTAGAGGGTGTATTACCAGTTGGTCCAGACGTACCAGATATGCCATTCATCATTGAGGTAAGAGCTTAGCTTATACATAGCTTTATCAAAATTAGATTTCATTTGAATTTGACAATCTAACTAACCAACTGATATTGATCAATATCATTGTTATATTATTAACTTTTTTTATTTTTTAGAAAGGATCAGTTACAAAGAAATTTATCGTTACACTTAGATCTATTTTCGATAGATTCGATTTAAACAAAGATAATTCACTTAGTGTAAAGGAACTGCAAGCATACTCTCAATTTGTCAGCAATCAAACACTAGATAAGAATACAATCAACTTTTTAATGAAAACATACGACTCTGACAAGAAAGGTTTGACATTTACCGGATTCGTAGAACTCTATGTCAATCAAACAATGACAGAACCAGAAGAAACTATCAAGGATTTACAAACATTGGGATATAATGCAAGACTTGAGAGAATGGCATTATAAACAAAACAACAATAATAAACGTCAATATAATAAATTAATAAAATAACCCTAGTTAAATAACTACTACTAATTGAATTATTTGAGTTCAAGATAATAATAATAATGTTAACAACTTTATCAAGTTAATGATCTAATTGTGTTTTGTATTAAAAAAAAAAAAATAGTTGAATTTCAAATTATTTTATTTTTTTCGAAAATAGCAGTTAGATTTCATAACACTAAAAGCTAAGATTAGACTGAGTAGTATATAATTATAAATACTCTATCAAAAATGTCACAAAATGGTGTAAATAACACTAATCATAATAGTAATAATAACAATAATAATAATAATCATCATAATAGTAGTCAAAAACCAAGACCATCAACAGATTCAACAGCATCTTCATCTTCACATAGTAGACATAGTAGTAGTGGTGGTCACAGTCATGGTCACGGTCATCATGGACATCATCATAGCAGTAGTAGTAGCAGTGGAAAGAGAGATAGTACATCAGCATCACTACCAGGTTCATCACAGTCACACAAGAGAGCATCGACTTCATCGTCGAGTGGATCAGACTATGCTTGTCAGCTGCGTCTAAGCAACAAGTTGGCAGACACACCATTCGATCCAAAGTTCCTAGTGATTCCATCGGATTTCAATAAATTCGTACACTACAAGACAACTTCGCTCGAGAAGAACTATAAATACCCGTTGCTAACCGAGCCGAATCTTGGTATTCCGATCGAGTTGATCGACCCCGAAGTCTACAACATTCCAAAGACCAAGGTGGCAGTGCCCGAAGAAGATCAGCCACTGCTTCGCTCGCTCGACGAGCAAGACGCAGAGCTAAGACGTGCACCTATCAATCGTGGTTCGGCACTGCTACGTCCTGCCGTATCGTGGCTGCGTAAGACAGAGTATCTCTCGTCGCACGACAACCAGATGGGTCGTCCTGTCAAGCGTGCCTCAGAGTCGAACGCGCCGACCTCCACACAGTCGCCATACCAACAGCAGCAACAACAGGATGCCGCCGACATCGTACTGGTCGAGAACACCTTTGACGCCATCAACAACACCAACTTTGTTCACCCGACCAATCCATCGCTCAAACCGGTCAGCATTCTCCCGGTGTTCCCAGACTTTGATCTCTGGGCGAACGACTATACTGAGACGGTGTTCGATGCCGATCCACTCGAGTTGCCACCCGACAACATGAGAGGCGAGAAATTCCATGAGTACATTCAAGAGCAAGCCTATATCAGATCGAAAGGTATCATCAAGGGTATCACTGATAAATTTGTATATTACATTGCACCAAAGAATCGTGTTGAAGATAAGAACAACAACAACAATAACAACAACAGTAGTAGTCTTGATGATGATCTAGAGGATGATCAACACCCATATAAAATGTATAAAGTATTCACTTCCGATATCTTCCAAGCACAAGAAGAAAACTACTTTATGGTTATCAAAGATGATGGTGTTTACTACAATCGTTTACCAACTAAAGTTAATTTAAAGAGAGTTAAATCAAGAGTAAGTTTTGTTTTTCTTCATTAACGCTACTTCTTTTTTAGTACTAATCTATAATATCTAATAATGATGATCACTTTTTAATTAATTAGGATGATAAGATATTGGAAAAGAAGACAATTGGTAGACCAGAATTTGTAACTTATGAATCAAGAGAAATGACAAGACAAGAGATCGATCAAAAAGAAGAAAGTATTTCAAATTTAATCAAAGAAGATAGATCTATGTTTGCTTCAATGAAGAAATAAAAAATAAAATAAAATAAAACAAAATTAATATTAATAATAAAAAAAAGAAATTGAAATAATAATAATTATTGATCAAACAATTGATGATGATGATGATGATTTGTTTCTTAAATTATATATATTAATTTTATTTAATTTGAAATAAAATAATCAAGTAGTTTAGTTTAAGCACTCTTTGTCTTGTTGTTCTTCTTTGGTACAACGTATTGTGGGGTAGATTTGACGGGGACGGAGAATTGTCTACCGATGGCAACGAACGATTGGATGATCATGATGATTGGAACCAACAACCAGAGTCCGTTCAATCCAACGACGTATACCCAGAGTTCAAATGGATCCGATGAGATTTGTTCAGCCCACTTTCCGTAGATGTATGGTGTGATAAAGTAGAAGACGGTTCCGAGAGCTTGGAGCGAGCAGAGGAAGATTTGGAGGGCGTGACGGATACGCGATTGGAAGATCACCGACAACACCAACAAGAAACAAGCAGTTCCTTGGACCAACTCGAGGAAGCAGAAAGAAGACAACCATTGGGTCAGCAATGGCATAACGAAGGTCGTACTTGGCGTATTGCGAGTAGAGTGAGGCGTACCAGTGGAGGTCCAATGCCTTCTCCATTGGGACGTCTTCGAACATCTTCACCATGAAGTCGACCTTGGATGGCTCGGTGACTTCGTGGGCAAAGAAACCATAGCTACCTTCCAAGATGATGTGAATGAGACCTGACCATAACAACCAGAAAACAACCAACTTTTCCTTCTTGACGGTGAGTGCCAACAAGACACAAATACCAGTCAATGCTGCCAATGGAACGAATGTATACATAATTACTTTATATCGATTGAAATTGAATATAAAATATATAATTGTTTTTATGATTAACAAAAAACTACAAAAAAAAATCAAAAAAATCAATCTTAATTAGGTGCATTGCTTGATCATCAAAAAACAAAAAAAAATAATAAAAAAATAGAAAAAAAACATCATAAAAAAAAAAAGAAAAGTAAAGAAATCAAAGTTTTTGATATAACTTTCCTTTTTAGTAACCAAAATAAGAAAAAAAAAAACTAAATAAACAAATATCATAAAAAGATAAAAACATAGATTGATTATAACAAAATATTATAATTTTTTGTATAAGTTTTAACCCTCATTCATTTGAATATTTATAAAAACACTCGTGTTTTTTGTAACGAGACTTAATCGTTTTTTGAAAAATTGAAAAAATAATTTTAAATCATATTTTTAAATATTAAAAAACGAATCTTTTTTTATCAATCAAATAACTATATTTATTAATTTATATATTAAAATTAGTGAATAGTGAATAGTTTGATGTTTATAGAATTAAAAAGATGGTAAAGACACATCACTGTAAATTGACAACATGGAAGCCATCTGCTATCACATCGATCTCTGTCCACTCTAAATCACCATATATCATCGCTGTTGGTCGTGAAGATTCAACCATTGAAATCTATAAAAGATTTCAATTCGACAGATATGCTATTTCCTATGTATGTGTTTATTAGCTATTAGTTACGAAAAATAAATAAATATTAATCAAAGATAATATATTATAATTTAATTAGGTATTGGGAGGATTGAAATTCGATGGAAAAGTATTAAAAACAATTTGGAAACAATTTAAAGATTCGAATAGATTGATTTCAGTTACAGAGAATCATATTTATCAATGGGATGTCGACTCTATGAGTCAGATTCAATCGTTGTCGTCGTTTGGTGGTGATATTATCAATGTTGCTCTGAGTAACAATGGTGAGATGTTGGCTGTTGCCAGTAGCAGTATGGTGGTACATATTTATAGATTCGATGAAGACGACGGTTTGGTAGAGTTCTCCAAGTCATTCCCAAAGCTGACAGAGGGTACTCTCAAGTGTTTGGCATGGAGCACCGACGACAAACAGGTCATCGTTGGTTCCGACTCGGATCTGGTCGGATACTCGGTGGAGAAGATGCAACAGTCGTTCAATGTACACAGCTCCGATATCACTGCGCTCTGTATCATCGATGAAGACAATGTGGCGTGTGGACATGCCGGTGGACATATCACATTCCACGAGTTGAAGTACGGATCGCAAATCTCTGAGATCAAACAACACATTGCTGCCATTCGCGCCATGGTACTGGTCAATGGAAAATCGATCTATGCATCGGGAGACGATCCAACATTGGTCCGTTTCACACAGGATTCAGTTACCCATCGTTGGTATCTCGATGGATTGGTACGTAGCCACACCCACGACGTCTTAGCTATGGACACCAACAAAGACAGCCTTTTCACCGGTGGAATCGACACCATTATGCTCGCTACCAACCTCGAGTGTTTCGGTCAACCACGTAACAAGCCAACCAAATATAAATCATATCCAAGCGCCTCACTCATGTCGGTAGGAAGCAGCGAGTCTGGACAGAGCTTTATGGTGGATGCCGCTCGATCGTCAATTAACATCTGGAGACTTGGAGACTCTGATGATTCCGTCAAATCCACCAAAAACATGGCATTGATCAACGGTATTCACTTGCCAATCGCTAAAGAAGTATCGAAAATGATTCAATTCGACATAAAAGACAAAGAGTATATTAGAGCGGTGGCAATGTCACCGGACGCCACTACATTTGCTTATTGCACATCACGTGCAACCAGACTCTACAGATTCGATCCAGCAGCTATCAAAGTAAATAGAATCAAAGTGTTGGAAGGTGGAGATATCATTAAATTTACATCAAACTCAAAGAACTTGGTCATTGCCAACTCACAGTCCATTGTCAACTATTCATTGGAGAACGACACCCTTTCAACCATTCAGTGCGAGCAATCGAGAGACTCTAAAATCATTAGATCCGCAATCAACTCGCTGGCTATCTCTCCATGTTCCACCACAAGCAAAGGAGCCGCCGTCTACGCAGCTCTCTTTGACGCCAATGCAGTGGCATCGATCTACAACCTCACCGAAGAGAAATTCATTATCAACCTCCCAACCAATTTCAACAGTAGCACACTCCATTTCCACGATACTAAACTTTACATAGTTGGATCGGAAGTAATTGTTTACGATGTCAGCAAACTAAAGCACGTCGGATCACTCCAGTTCCCACGCTCACCCAAACCAACAACCGCTATCACCACACTCAACAGTCAAAGTTTGCTATTTTGGAATCAAGGATCGAAACTCTTTAAAATTGTAGATGCCAACAAACCGCAGACCATCGAAATTAAAACTGTACCAAATCAAATTTATTCAGCTGGTGTCACCCAAGATCAACAGGTTGTCATTTGCTCTCTACAATATAAAGACCAGGTATTTCCACAATTACCTCCTGCTATCAGACTTAAAGTTTTCGGCAGAAATTAATAATATCAAAAATAAATCAAATAAAAGTTTAACATTAAATCAAATATTTTAGAAATGATAGTAAATTCATTTAAATAAACCTTTCTTTTATAAAGAACATTATGAAATGTAATATAAGAGTAATAACAAAATAAAAAGGAGTAAAGTCATCAAAAAATAAATTTGCTCATCTTTTAATGTTTTTGATGAATAAATACCTTAAGATTGTATTCTTACTCAACGATGTATATCAACCAACTTTTAACTTCACCTAGTTTTTAAAAAAATATCAAAGAAATCTCTAATAAATAAAAAAATTTGAACAAACTTTTATTAAAAAGAAACTATTATTAATTTATTTCTTAAAAAATCGATTTATTTAATTTATTGAACCCAGGTCATGCTCAACTCTTTAACAATCAAAGATTCTCCTGGTTGGATAACAACACTGATTAAAGAAGCATCGGCTAAAGAAACTGTGAAATCATTGAGACTGTTAATCATACTCAAAGCCTATGATAAAAAAAATATTAGAAAAAACTTGAAATAACTAAAGTTTACTAAAAAAAAATTCAACTTACAGCAAAATAGTCATGAACACCAGTTGATGGACGATAAAGTTGAATAAGACCATTTCCATAAGCAACCTTGTTTGGTCTGATAGCGGAAGTCAATGGAAGAGAAAGAGCAGAGATAAATGAGACTGTTGCAACTGGAGTTTCCAAATTGTTCTTGAAAACCATTTGGTTGGTTTGAAGTTGAATTGCATTGTTGTACTTTGAGAAACGGAATTGAGTTGGTGCAGAGGTTAATTCTTCGAAAGTTCCGGTAACATTGAAGGTTGTTGTTGATGAAATGAATTGGACATTGGTTTGGGCACTGATGCTAGAAGCAATTGACAAAATTGCAATAATTAAAATAATAAATTTCATTTTATAGAATATATAAGTATATAAGTATATGTGTGTATATATGTAAGACAAGTTGCTTTACGAGTGTGAAGTGATTTGATGATCATCTTAAGTGCAGAAACTGAGTATTTATAGCCTCCTCTTTTATTAATAACCGAATTAATCGATTCAATTAAGATCTGCAATCAAGATTTTTAAAAAATCTTAATAATTTTATAAAAATTGGTGTCAAATATGAGGTGCGAATCTACAATCCAATCAAATTTGAAACAAATTATTCATCAAACGCAGTTTGAACAACGAAATATCAAAAAAAAATCAGATCGATATTTCTATATCTCGGTTAAACGTATTTTAGAATCTCGTTCTGAAAAGTAAGATGAATCATTTTGCAAATGAATCGTTCATCTTAAATTAATGTGAAAACAACATATGTTTGCTGGTCGATCGATGAATTAGGTGGGAAAGGACGACGTTGTTAATGTTACAAAATATTTGAAATTCATTCAGTTTATTTGTGAATAATAAAGTGTTTATTGTAATTCTTTCTCAGCCATCTCCAATGATATCTTTTGATAATCAATGAGTGGTTCTAATATATCTGATGTTGGCTTCTTACTGCTACCACTAAAATAAACAATTACCTTACTGTTAATATTATATATTATTATATATTATTATTCTTTTAACTTTTTACATACTCTTTTTCTATATGTGATTTTACAAAGTGAATGATCGACTCTACACTTCTACTTCCGTTGTAGGTGATTGGGTGTTGAGTGTCGTCACCCAAGAATAACGATATATGAGGAAATCCATCGATGATTGGTTTCATAATGGTCGGTACACTATTTACACTACAGTCATAATCTAGAATCTGTACAAAACTTCCAAACTTACTAACAAGCTCTTCAGCTGCCTTTTCGAAATATATATTCATTGTCTTACAAAATCCACACCCTATATTGATATGATAATTAATTATTTAGTTTGTGTTAACAATGTTTATATATTATTACAATCTTTCTTTCATCAATCTATCTATCTTTAATACAATAACTTACATGGTTCATAAAAATAAACAAGTGTATTCTTCTTTGAATTTAAAACGATATCACCAAAGTTATCGTAAACTGCCTTCGAAACGAATCTAGGTTTCTGTCTATAGTCTGTTGTTCTATCGGAACTATGTTGTGGTTCAAGCTTGTGTTCGAGGAAGTCTTGTAAGAATTTCCTTATATTATTTATATTGATATCTTGATTCGCTGGATAGATATAGTGTGACTCATTTCTAACATCTATGATTGCCACCGATGGAATCTTTGTAATACCTAATTTTTCATAAAAGTCTCTATATGATACACTTTTTAAAATATGGTTTTATATTAATAATTAATCGACTAAATAAACGATCTAATACAACTAGAATGATGATGATGATGATGATGCTATACATACCCATCAGTATAATAAATATCAAAAGTTGTCTTGAATTCATGTGCCAATGTATAAATATCAAGTAAGTGTTGTGATAGTGGCTTATCGAATATCGGTTGTATCATATCATTACTATAATTCAAAAACAATGTAACTGATGGTTTCTTTGCATTTGCTAATTTTGAAAGATTATCTGATGTTAATTCATTCTAATAATTAAATTATAAAGTTAGTATATATATATATATATATATATGATTGAATAGTTTTAAAAACATATACATACAACAGATGGTTGAGTTAATGTTAACCATTTGAATACACCCGGTGCATCATGAACATCACATCTATTAAGATAGAATATATTCTCTTGTGGGATGGCAAGTACGATGCCAGAGATTGGTGTAGAGAATCGATGCTTTGTGAATATCTCTTTGGCTAGTTCGGTGTTGTTGACATAACCAATCGGTATCTTGTACGATAGCTTCTTGGCGATGAATGCAAACTTGTGATACTCGAGCGTTGCGTTGTTGGGGAATACACCGATGAAAGAATGACCTGCTACCTTAAGGAATTGCTCGTATTGCTCCATCGATTCGATGTGTTCGATAGGTGGAAGAGTTGAACGTCTGATGAGTGCAGCCAGAGAGTATGGATGAGTTGGTCCGCGTGGAATCACGTTGCCACCGTGACGACGATAGAGTTGAATCACCGGGTATCCTCCGATCGATTGTTTGTCACGAATCTCGATATTATCATGACCGTTCACCTTGGCAAACAAAACCTTGCTATTGTTGAACCGGTAGATACGTCTGGTCTCCTCGATCTCCTTGGTGATAGTTTGTGACCTGTGACACCATGGCGCGTAGAACAGCACGCACACAAACTCATTCTCCTCGATGGCACGATCGAAATTGTATTTGTTCAGCTCAACCAAATCCGTCTCGCTATAGTTATATACGGATGCCGGTCCCCAAGCTTGCTTCTTGCTTGCTGCTGGGCCGCCAGTAGAGTTGCCTGTTGTCGCGGTGTTGTCAACGCTAGCACCCTGTGTATCGATAACAAGATGTTCAAATCCAACTGGTGGTTGTTGTTGTTGAGATGCAGAACCAGATGTAATAATTGTCTTTACCGTTGTTGTTGTAGTTCCACCAGTTGTGATAGTGGTAGTCACCACATCAGTCTCTCTTATCTCATTGATGAGATCGGTCGACAAGTACTGTAAGAACTCTACGAAATCCTTGAGATTCTCTGTTGCAACTTTGTCACTAACAACAAGTTCTTCGTTGTTATTGCTGTTTCTGTTGTATGTCTCCAGTCTCTTCTCTAGTGTAATCATATGGTTGTGTGCATTGACCAGTGTGTTCATACAGAGATGCATCTTTCTGAGAAGTTGCGGTTCTTCGAGAATGACGCGTGACGCCTGCATAAAAAGCGCTCGCTTCTGGTCGGTATCGGCAGAGACGTCGAGTTTCAGTAACTCGTCGAACATCGCTGTGATTGGTTGCTGTGAGATTTCTAGCTGTCGCTCGTAGAGACGCTGGTCGCGCTGCGTTGCGACATAGTTGACGACGAGCTGCGCCACTTCCTGCACCTGTTGGCTGAGCTCTACAGAGTCGATGCCATTACCGAGATAGGCAGTGTCAAAGTATTCGTCTACATAGCTCTTGATGTCCGACGTCAGATGCTCGTGATCCTGTGCGTCGACCTCGACCTCTTCCGACACGGTCACCCTGCCAATTGCAGAGTCGGACGCACGTCTTGGTGTGATAGGTGTATCGGGTTGTCCAACGTTGTTTTCAATGTTTGACTCTAAGACTTGTACTTTTCCAGCAAACTGTCCGATGAGCGAAGAAACTAACGTCGCCAGACCATCTTCATTCAAATCGCCACTCTGACCCTCATTGATTTTCTGTAGCAATGCCGATTTGATTTTCTCTATATTCAAAAGATTGCCACTACCAACAACATTATTATTACTATCACTTTCAATTGTTACTTCACTATTTTCATTCTCTTTAACAATATTATTATTACTCTCTGCGTTATTTAACTCTTGACACTGACATAAATTAATATATAAACATGTTGAAATTAACAATATGTATATCAGTTTATTTTTAAATATTTTGTTCATCATCATTATTATTTATAAGTATATAAATAAAATAATAAATAAATAAATAAATCAACTTATAATTTTAACATATATGTTGTGTTTTAAAAAACACATTAATTTAATTTGGTTTTCAACCCAGAATCTGAAATCAACCTGATAAACTTAGGATTATTCATGAAGCAAGCAAATGTTGTTTTTGATGACAGGTCACCACCATTCAAAAAATAATTTTATGCATGAGTGTTAAATCTTAATAACGTTATTTTTTGAATAATGAAAAAAAATTAATTTAATTGTAAATTTTTGAAATTCGTGGTGTGTGGGGTGTCGCACTGTTGCTCGCAGAGACTCCTCAGCGAACCTGTCACACCTCTCACTCTAGCAGCAGCAGTAAAGATTGGTATAAGTCTTCTACAGTATACCACTATCCTCGATCCATCGAAGTGTAGGTACATCACATACATATTATTACATCTATCATTTATCATCTATCACTCTGGTATTAGAATTAAGAAAGAAGATATGATTAAAGGAAATAGATAGAACAAAGACTAGATAGATTTAGAGATGATGTGATGATGTAAAATAGAATAGTTTGTTAACATGTCGAATCTACCTATTTATTATAGATCAACATGCAGATCTTTGTTAAGACTTTAACAGGAAAGACCATCACCCTCGAAGTTGAGGGTTCAGACACCATCGAGAATGTCAAGGCTAAGATCCAAGACAAGGAAGGTATCCCACCCGACCAACAACGTTTGATCTTTGCCGGTAAGCAATTGGAAGATGGTCGTACCCTCTCCGATTACAATATCCAAAAGGAATCAACCCTCCACTTGGTTCTCCGTCTTCGTGGTGGTCTCGAGCCAACCCTCGCCGCTTTGGCCAGATCATACAAGTGTGACAAAAAGATTTGCAGAAAGTAAGTTGTCACACGGAACAAAAGAAGAGATTTAGTATTATCATGAGAACATCACTCTAATCAATCACTTTTTTCTATCTATAGGTGTTATGCCCGTCTTCACCCACGTGCTGTTAACTGCCGTAAGAAGAAGTGCGGTCACTCCAACAATTTGAGACCAAAGAAGAAGCTCCTTAAATAAACTAATTACTTCAGGGTGTATGATGATCTTGTTGCATGTTTTAGGTTAAAAACAACACTATTACTATTTTCAATATACAGAGTTTCATTTATTTAGTTAGGAATTAAAAGACATTCGCAGGAATCATTCAAATCAATATTATTTAGCACAATTTTAATTTATTATTGGAGTATTAGATAGATATGAGTTTGAATTTATGAAAGTAAAGTAACGTTATTCATTATCTATGTATATTGTTTTTTTTTTTTTTATTTCTTTATTTTATTTTATTTATAAATAAATGTTTTTTTTTTTTGATATGGATACAGAATAATAAATTGTTTAATTGTTTTTAATATTGAATATATGGTGAAGTTCAACTATTTAAAAATGGATGCTCTAAAAGTTTGGGTATGGTTGGTCTTGCAAGTGGATCTCTCTGAAGACATCGTTTTAAAACATCCAAGAGAGCGGCATTGCGGTGTGGTGGATAGGTGATTTGGTGTTTGGGATTTACAATGGCTTGGTATTTGGTGAGGAGGTTGGTGAATTGTTTGAACGGCGAGTAGCCATAGGTCATTTCGTAGAGGATGCAGCCAAGCGACCAGATATCACTGGCACGTCCCAGCTTCATCTTTGGTGAGTTATCGTTGCCACCAGTGTCGATCAGCGCCTCCGGTGAAATATAGTTGAGTGTTCCGACGTGTGAGTCACGAACGATATTGGTGGTGTCATTTTGAATCGCTTTGGCAATGCCAAAGTCGATCAGCTTGAGATTGCCCTGCACCGATACAAAGTTGGCAGGCTTCAGATCACCGTGGATAATACGCTCTTCGTGAATCGTGTGTACAGAGTGTAGCATCTGCTGCCAGTAGATCCTCAGTAGATTCTCGTTGATACCCTTGACATTGGAGGTAAGCTGGTGACGGTGTAACAACCTCGCCAGATCAATATCGCCCAGTTCCAAAACCAAAAGAATATGTCCTTGATTCAAATCCACCTCGTTATCTATCAATTTTATAATATTATCGAATCTATTAAGTTTCTTTAACATTTCTATTTCATTCAGTTGTGATTCTATATCATTATCTCCTGACCTATATATATAATAATGTATAATTTATCATATTAATAAATTAGTATTTGTTTTTTTTAAAAAAAATAATAATAATAAACATAAAAATACTTACTTTAAACAAACATATTTCAAAGCATAAATCTTTAAATCCTGACTTAAAACCTTGTATACTTTACCACTTCCACCTTTACCTATAAATTCAATCTTTAAATATGATTTGCCATTGACTATGGTGGTTTCACTCCAACTCTTTGCTATTTCAAAAGTACGTGATGGATCTATGACCTCATTATCAATATTACTATTGTTGTTTTGATTGTGATGATTGTTATTGTGATTCTGTTTGTTATTGTTTTGATGGTTGTTGTTAGGTTGTTGATTCATAGGTTGGTGTATAGCTGTTACATTATGAGTTGGTGTGGTTGGAGTGGGTGTTGGTGCTGTTGGTTTAGGAGCAATGTTACGTTTGGGAATCTGTTGGATCTTTGGTATCGAGTGTATTGGATGTCTTATTGGTTGCGGTTTAAATGTTGGTTGTGCTGGCTGCTGTTGTTGTTGTTGTTGTTGATAGTTTGATTGTGGTGAGTTGGATGGAGATGACTCAGCATCCATTTGCTCACTTTCATTGGAAATATTCAAATCGTTGAGTGGATCTGTAACATTCGATGGCGAAAGCGGGTTAGATGGTGTAGAGTCATCACTCATCTGATCATCGGTATTCAATGGCTCGTGATCGATCTTTTCTTTCTCCTCAATGGTTTCCTCGTCTTCGCCATTTCCACTGACTTTAACTCGTATTGGCTGTGATCTCGATGCCAGTCCCAATGGTCTGAAGGTTCTGGAGAACGACTTTCCAGAGCTGATACTATTGGCAGTGATACTTGAAGTTGAGAGACGTGCTTTGTTGACATTCTCATAGTGCTGTTGTTGTTGTTGTTGTTGATGGTTATTATGTTGTTGTTGTTGATTTATTAAATCTGGAACATTTGTTGATTCGGGAAGTGTAACTGATCCACTCACTCTGTTAATATTAATATTCATATTGGAGTTGTTATTAATATTGTTGTGGAGAGAGGATGCTGAAATGGGTGGTGAGGAGGTTGGTGTTGTTGCTGTATCGACGGTGCCAGGCGATGGAGTGGGTGTAGTATGGTCGGACACAACCGGTGAAATGGGTGAAGTCATAGCACCACTTTGGCGTAGTTGTTGTTTGTTCAAGTGTTTCTCCTCGGCCTTGTCAATGTGTGTAAAAAAAGCATGTAAATCGCTCAAGGGTTGTGCATCCTTATCGATACCCTCTTGGATTTTTGCACGTGACTTTTCGAAATGTTTATTCAGCATCTCGATGTAAGCCAACTTTGTATAGAAATCCGCTCTTTTCAATCCAATATGATGAACTTTCATAAATTTCAATATTTCTCTAGCATCTTCAATCTCATTGATACGCCTAGTTAATTTAGTTTTAAAACGTAGTTACGTTTTTTAATTTGAAATTAGTAATTGAATTTATAAAGTAAAAGTTATTAACTATATATATTTATAATTACAATTGAAATCCGGCATATGCAGAATAGATATTTTCTAAATCCGGATTATTTTCATGTTCTTTGTGATTTATCATTTGGTGGGAGCGCTGGAAGATGTAGAGCAGTCTGGCGACATCGTCTGGATTTGGTTTTTGAGTATCTGGATTCTTGGTATTGAACGCATCGAGTTCATGTAGAAATATTGGTGCCCACCATGATGGATCTGTTGTGTTCTGTTGTGTTGCGTCACCTTCTCGCATCGCCATAGTAATCGGTGAAAGTGTAGTCTCTTGTTTCGGCATTTTTATCATCGGTGTCTTCAGAGTATCTACTCCACTCGTTGAATTTGATTGTTTTTGATGTTGCATTATTTTTATATTTGGATTGTAATTCTCTTGATTGTTAAACATGATCTGGTATCTATCTTTGTATTATTATTATTATTATCATACTTTAATTTCAAACAACAACATGGAAAACAACAAACAACTCTTGATTCATAAAAAATAAAATAAACCAAATAAACTTTCTTTTTATATAATTTATCTATCCTATCTATTCTATATTTATTGCTTAAAGGTTTTATAATTCTATTTATGATTTCTAAAACAAACCTAAAAATTATAACAGTTAAAAATCTTGATTGACGATTTTTTTAAATTTTGGGCGGGTTGATCAAAGTTTTTTTTTTAATTATTTTTGTGGAAAGTGTGATGATCAAACCAGTGAAGAAATTGCATTGTTATTTACTTTTTTACAACTTTATATTTATTTATATTCTTTTTTTTTAATATATACAATCATCATGCCAAGAGAAATTATAACATTACAAGCAGGTCAATGTGGAAATCAAAGTACGTTTTTAAAACTAAAAATAATCATAATAGTTTGCTAATGGTGATATTGATATTACTTATGAAAAATAGTTGGATCAGAGTTTTGGAAACAATTATGTACGGAACATGGAATTAGTCCGGATGGATATTTAATGGATGATGTACAAGCAGGTATCGATAGAAAGGATGTGTTCTTTTATCAGTCAGACGACGATCACTATGTACCACGTGCACTACTTCTCGATTTAGAGCCTGGTGTCATCAACAGCATTAAAACATCAAGCTATCATAATCTATATAACAATGAGAATATCTATGTATCGCCAGCCGGTAGCGGTGCAGGTAACAACTGGGCATCCGGTTACAATCAAGCCGAGAAAGTACACGAAACCATCTTTGACATGATCGATCGTGAAGCCGATGGAAGTGATTCGCTCGAAGGTTTCATGTTGTGTCACTCGATTTCCGGTGGCACTGGAAGTGGTATGGGATCGCTGCTACTCGAAAAGCTGGCTGATCGCTACCCAAAGAAACTGGTTCAAACCTACTCAGTGTTTCCAGATCCTGGCGGTATCGTAGTGCAGTCGTACAACTCGCTTCTCACGCTTGCGCGTCTGACAAACTATGTCGATAGCACCGTTGTTCTCGACAATATTGCACTGAATCGTATTTGCTCGGAGCATTTACACATCGACGCACCAACCGTCAATCAGATGAATTCGCTCGTCTCTACAGTGATGTCTGCCTCGACTACCACACTGAGATATCCTGGATACATGAATAACGATCTCGTCGGTATGTTGGCGTCGTTGATTCCAACACCCCGATGCCATTTCCTCATTACTGGATACACTCCGCTCACTGTCGAGCGTCAGTCGGAATCGGTGCGAAAGACATCGGTGCTCGATGTGATGCGTCGTCTGCTGCAGCAACAGAACATCATGGTTTCGTCGCCGTACAAGAGCGGCAAGTACATATCGTGTCTCAACATCATCCAAGGTGAAGTCGATCCCACACAAGTACACAACAGTCTGCAGCGTATTCGTGAGAGAAAGCTAGTAAATTTTATCAATTGGGGACCGGCATCCATACAAGTTGCACTCACAAAGAAATCACCATTTATACAATCATCTCATAAAGTTAGTGGATTAATGTTGGCCAATCATACATCTGTATATCATGTATGTAGTAGTAGTAATTATTAATGTGATTTAACTATTCAAACAAATATTAACATATTACCATTTTTACTGTATGATATCATATCTAGTTATTTTCAAATATAGTCGACGAATATGAGAAACTAAGAAAGAAGAATGCATTTATACAAAACTATTCAAAAGAATATAGTAATATATTGGATGAATTTAATCAATCAAGGTAATACTTTACAATCATATATATAAATAATTCGATCAATAATAAATAGCTACTAACATTCTTTAAATTTATTATACAACTTAACTAATAATAAATAGGGATTCTGTTCAATCATTGATAGATGAATACAAAGCATCAGAGAGTTCAAACTACATAAACTATGCAATGGAGAAAGATTTGATACAACAAAATCTAATGTAAATAAAACTATATTTTGTAAATATATTTGGATTGCTCGCAACAATCGCTAGGAATCTGGAACTTTTAAATTATTTTAATAATATTAACATCTGATAAATTAACAACAAAAAATATTAAAAGTTTTGAATCGATCAACTTTATTTGTTTTTTTTTTATTTATTTAATAAATTCTTTATTTAGAGAGGATGCTATTTTCAACAAAAGATATCTTTAAGGAAGATAACAATAATAAATTATTTGAAAATATTGATATTCCTTCAAAAATAATTGACATCAATAAAGCAAATGGAGTTTACCTTTTATTTTATTCTCAAACAATCAACTCCAAAATTACTTCGAATAGTCATTATTCAATAGTTATAGATCCTATGGGAGTCACCTCAAAATCCAAACACTGTAAACCCACCTGTTGGAATAGAGTTTCTCTTGGTAATGGTAGAACCAGTAATTAGTAATAGAATAGAATTTGGAGTTCGTAGACTTCCTCCAAACTATTCGAGCAAAATATTGATCTCAATTTACTATCTTGGAAAATCAATTCATGATTTATTTAGTACCCCCAGGAACTCATATAGTTATGTGGGCTTTGCTAATTATAGTTTTGCAATGCTTATTGAAACTGAGGGCCAAAAAAACAAGATTTGGAATTCCAAGTCAATTGCCAAAGATATTGCAAAGTTTCTTTCACAAGAATTACGTGGATTGGCGAGAATCTTTACCTATATCAAACTAGTATTTTCATTTTGCTATTGATTTGATAGTTTTTGATCCTAATAATGTTCTACAAAAATATTGTCATTCTCTCCAAAATTCTAGAATAAATATAAAAACATTTTTTTTTATTTCTTATAATTGTTAGTTAAACTATAGATATGAAAATGCCAGTATGTTTTTTTTAGAACAAGACTAGTCTTCATTCAAAAAAAAAAAAAAGAATATTAAAAAAAAAATATCCAAAAGTAGATAATTAATTTTGTCAGATTGTATTTTTAAATTTTAAACTTCATTGAATATTCGTATATTAATGTTAATATAGATACTTACAGCATCATTATAATTAAATGAATAGAAAAAAGCAACAACCAAAGAATAGACCAACGGATATCTTCAATTTTGATAAAAGTAATAAAATATCCTATACAAGAAATGAATCATCGACAAGACACGAAGAAATAAATATTCTACCTTGGGTATGATATTCGATCATATTATATACAAAAAAAAAAAGTATTTTAAATTCAATAATATTTATTTATTTATTTATTTGAATTGAATGTAGAAATTGAATCTATTGGCAGTTAGCAATAGAGAAAAGAAAATATTCATTGCTGGTAACTATCATTGCTAATCACCAATAGGAGAACTTGTTAATATTGATATTGCTCTAATTGTTTAGAATCACAAAACATTGGTGTATATGATCTTGATAACCCAACAACATTAATAGAGACACTTCATCTAGATAATAACAATGTAAATATATATCAAAAATATCAATGATGATTCTTTGAAAAGATGAATAACAACAACAATATTAAAACAAAATTCAATTCAACCAAACAAAAAAACAAACAAACAAGGCTTCTATCAATCAGATAAAGATTGGAATAACTTGTGGTCAAGAGATATTGGTTACTGTAGATGACGAAGGTTATATTAGAGTGATTTTCGTTGATGATTTAACAAGACTACCCTTACGTTTCTTGTAGGTTATTTTTAGATCTAAAAACAGAATTTCTATGTACTTACTGACTGACATACTGCTTGACTGGCTGACTATTTCTCTTTATCTAGTAATGGATCATCTACATGGGGAATTACAATATGTCAGAGTAAACCAATGATTGCTGTGAGTTCCAACAACTTTAAGATAACTGTTTGGGATCTGTCGTTGGGAGAGGAAGCACATTACTATAGGAAAACACTGCAAGGACATCGACATAACATACCTTGTGTTGATTTTAGTAGTTGTGGAAACTACTTGGTTTCAATATCGATAGACAAACTCGTTAGAATATGGGATGTAAACAGCCAACAGACCATTACAATGCTGAAGCTATCGCAGTGGGGATGGGGTTGCAGGTGGATCGAGCTCGATAGTTTAGATACAGACACTCGATATGCTGTCAGCGAAGAAGATCAGCTTGCATTCCATCGCGACAATTGGCGAGGTATAACAAGAGAACAAGAGCAGCAAGAAGTACAAGAAGCTGCTGCAGAAGTACAACCACAAGTACCACTTCCACCAATGAACGATGCACAACAAGAAGAGGTAGAGGAAGTAGAACAACCAATAGAACAAGAACAACCTCAAGAAGAAACAAATGTAAATTTAGGTGATGAGAGTCAGGTTGAAGATGAAGAAGAAGCAGAAGGTGAAGAGGGTAATGATATGGATTACGACGATATAGATATTCAATATATATTAGAGAAAAACAAGAAACTTATGGAAGAAGTACTTGCACAAAATCAACAGGTTCGATTCAATTTGATCAACTCATTGGTCGATTCGAATAAGAGTCAAAGACCACCTAGTCATCTGGTATTCTCGTGCTTTCACAATCTATACTTTTCCAGCTCGTCACTAGAGGAAGCAATCACCATTACCAATCCATCACCGACACTATTCCCGATTGCACAATCACAAATCGAAAGAGTTTCAATGTTGGAAGTCATCCCCGAACTCTCTATCTGTATAGCTGCATCTCAAGGACCCGCTCGTCAGATTGCTCTCTTCAAAATAAAAAAGATCGACCGTAATTCAACTATAAATATTAATAAATTAAAGAATAATAATAATAACAGTAAAAATAATAATAATAACAATAATAATAGTAAAGAAAACAATAATAATAATGACAATGATGACGATTTAGATGAAGAAAAAGAAGAAGAAGATGGAGATTGTAAAGAAATGAGATTAGGATACACTATGGAATTCGAACAGATTATAACATCGGATGACGGTCCCTCCATTATCGTTGGTATGAGCATCGCAAGGAATCACTCAAACAATCCATCGCTATTCAGTGTTTCACTCTATGTTTTATATATTAACGGTGTCTTTTGTAAATATACAATACAAAGAAAAGATAATAGTTCTTCATCGTTTGATATATCCGATTGTTATATTTGATAAAACTATAAAAATAAAGAAAAAGTTAAGAATAGATAAATACTTATAACATCTATCTCTAATGAATTAAACTAATAGATCTAGCTTTATTATTTTATATTCTACAATATTATTTTGTTGTTTTGTTTTATTTTTGGTTGGTGATTGATTGATGGCTATTTAGCTGTTAGTTTGGTTTAATTCTTCTTCATCAATATCGTCGTCGAATGCTAAAATAGATTAATGATAGATAGTAGATTAGTAATGTAATCTATAGCAAACAAATTATATTAACAATAGTTACCGTTAAAAAAGTCTTGATGTACAATTTGTTTGTTATTATCATTCATTGGATCTAGAGAGAGAGAATCTTCATCGAAATCTTCATATATTTGATCATCGATCTCCATTTTACCCATTTGGTTGTATCTCATATTCATCATTGGATGACTCATTCTTTTTTAAATTCTATTTATTGAAATATAATAAAATAATAATAGTAATAATCTGTATCTATTAATTTAAAATTAAATTAAAAATTTGTTCATCACTTAATCATATCAAAAAAAAAATTAAAAAAAATTAAGAAAAAAAAACTTTGAATTCTCATAAAAAAAAAAAAGAATATTAATAACAGTTGTATTTTATTGAATTTTTATTGATTGTTTAACTTATTTAACACACTGCAATTGATAGTCATTGTTTAAGCACATATTAACCATAGACTTCTATAACAACAACAAAAAAATATCATTTTTAATTTCGACAATGAAATAAAACAAAAAAATCTAATCTTGTATTATTGAATTTTCAAAAAAAAATATATTAGTGGATGGTAGGGTGTCAAAGTTCATAATTTCTATTTGTAGAGTTTAATAATAGCTATGTTTGACTATAAATCTGATGGTGAATCATCTGATTCAGAAGATGAAGATATTAAAAGTGAAAGCAGTAAAAGTCATAAAAGTGAACCTCTAATTAAAAATAATATTATAAATTTAAATAATAATAATAAGGAAACATTGGCACACACCACTGTTAACAGTAACAGTAGTACTAATAACAATAAGAGAAAGATAGTAAATAGCAGCACATCACTTTTTAGAGATAATCAAAATGATAATATAAGAGAAACGAAAAGACAATCAACTGAATCATCGTCATCAAAGAATGATCAACACTCAAACTCTTTTTTAGCATCACTTCCTGCACCTAAATCCTCAACGACTTCGACCAATACGCAAAAGAATAACAACAATAACAGTATAGCTAAAGAAAGTAATAAGAATACAACAAATAAGAATAATAATAACAGCAATATAGATAATGAATTGAACGAAAATGAAAAAAAGATAATTAATAACTCAATGATACCTGGTGCACTAAGGAAGAATATGTTAAAGAAATTAAAAGAAAATAATAATAATAATAATACCGATGTAAATAAGAACAATAAAAATAAAGTTGAATCAATGAAGGCTAATGATAATGTGAAACAGAAAAAAGATAGCCAAGTGGAAGAAAAAGAAGAGGAAGAAGAAATATCATTCTTTTCATTTGGTGATGAAACTTCTGAATCTATCGATGAAGAACAATTACAGAAAGAGATTGAAGAACAACAAGCATTACAACAACAACAACAACAACATCCTTTGACAGCAGGTGAATCAGATTACCAATATGAAAATGGCTATGGTTATGAGTATGAAAATGAAGATGAAGAAAATGGCGGTGTTGACGAATACTCTCAAGAATACTATGAGTACCAACAACAACAACAGCAATATCAACAAATGGAACAATTTCAAAATAGACATTTCGATAGAGTAAGTTTTCCTTTTTTTTTTTTTGTCTTTATAATGAATTAAACTCATAAGAAAACAAAAGAAGTAGACACAATAGATTACTTACTAATCATCAATTTTTATTTGTTTTCTCTGCAGTATAATATTGAAAAATCAGCATCTGGAATTGTGGAAATCAATCAGAGCAGTCTACTGGCATCAGACCAACAGAGAATCCGAGATCTTAGAGAGAGACAATCGCAATTGGGACCAAGAGCACCGTCGTCCTCTGGATCACACCGAGCTAAACACCAGTGGACAAGTCTCCTAACAGATTTTCACGCAAAAAAGCAACAAATCGCTGAGAAAAAATTGGAAAATCAGCATGCGTACAATTCTCGCAAGCTCTAAATGATTAACTTGTCGAATAAAAAAATGAAAAAAAAAAAAAAATTTGGATTGGTGTATCGACTTTCAAGATGACAACTGAATTCCTTTATGAGCTATTTTAAGTCATTTTTATTAACGTACATGAAAACGTAAAACTAAAAAATTGATTTATATTTTTTTTTCAAAAAATAAAAAAATATTAATTTTATTTATATTTTTTTTCTATGACATGATCTCAATCATTCTCATTCATCGTTGGAAAATCAATCAAACAACACTAATTAGTTTTCCATTTCGATTGTTTAGTTTCCTTTTAATAATATTTATATATATTTATTTATTTATTTATATATCTTATATTTATTTTTAATTAAACTTTTAGTTAATAAAAAGGTAGATAGATTTAAAATCAGATAATAATAATAATAGAAACAGCACAGAAGAAATAATTAATGTTTAATAGCATCAAAAATACATATTGTTTGTTGTTAATGTTTAAAAAATGTTTTGTTTTATTTAGTTTTGTTTCGTTAGTTTAGTTTATTTTGAATATTTCAGATCTCCATTGGGAGAAATAAAAAAGAATAAAGAAAGGAAGTTCTTTTTGTTCATTTTGTTTCATGTTTCATTAACTCATTCATTTACTCACAGTAAATGTTCGTCCAAGTCAACCACTATCTTTTTTTTTTTTGTTAAAACCAATCATTAAAACTCAATCAAAACAATCAATCGAATCAAAACTCACCCAAAAAAAAAAAAAAAAAGTAACAATTTCGATTTGATCTGAGTGATTCATTCCCAACAAATTAAATAGATAGATTTGCAAGATATCCTACATCCAAAGAACCAAAGAAAGATCTGTAATATTACAAATAGTTAATGATCATTCGAATGAGTGAAATGAATGTGATGCATCACCACTCACTCAGATTTAAATATTACATACCCACGCACTTTAATTTAATTAATTTCATATAACACTCATTCATTCATTTGGACATATACCAAACCAATCGACCATTCTACACTCACATACTATTACTACTACTATTACTCCTGCAACTATAATAATCTATTTTTATCAAATTGTGTATGTGGGTGTGTGTGTGTTGGTGTTTGTTTTATTTTAAATAACAATTTTGTTGGAGTTAGTTTTTTTTTTTTTTTTTTTTTTTTTTTTTAATGGCTGATCAAAATATATGGTAACAATTGTTGTGAATCGAACAACAACACATCTATCTACTCAAGTGGAACTATTACTACTTTGCATATTTTCTTGGCTTGACTATATATATGTACAAAAAATACTTTAATATATTTACATATTTATCAAATCATCCACACACACACTCATTACCTTAACATTAACAATAACATCACAAAGGAAGAAGACAGATAAAACAATAAATAATAAAATAATAATTAAAAAAAAAAAAAACTATCAAAACATAAAAATAAGTTTCATTCAATTTAATTACATTGTTTATTTCAATTTTAAAGTACAATAACCTACTTATTTTATAGCTTTGGTTTTTTAATTTTAATTTTTGTTTTTATTTTTTTTTGTTTTTTTGTTTTTATTTTTTTCACCAAAAAAAATTGTTATTTTGTTTTGTTTTGTTGTTTAATCAATGTGATTTCATTCATTGTTCTGTTGTAATTTTAAAATATATTAATTTTTTGTTGTATTATTATTATTGTTTTCAGTTTTATTCTTCACACTTAAAATTTAAATTGCAATATATATATTAAGTAAAGTTTTTTTCTTTTTTTTCTTTTTCAAAATTAGGAACTTGTCATCAACCAGTAGTGGTAAAAACTACAATAACAACAACAAACAAAACAAACAACAACCTATATATTAATAATAATAATAGATTGTTTTTTTTTTTATTTTTCAAATTTCCCAATTCAGTTAGTTAACCTAGGACAATAATTCAAAACGATTTTGTTATCCTAGGATAGAAATTCCAATATAAAGCTCTGGATCATCAATATCTTCATCAACAACAGCAGCTCTCAGAGATGATGAAGGAGGATGAGGACGATCAGGAGTTGCTGAGTAATCTCAACTTTAAGCCACCCGATCGTTCCACCTCTGCGCCGCCCATTCTCTCTCTGAACAGTAACTCTCTCTTTGCATTTCGTGCCAACGACATCTTCTACGACATTCGATGCGATGAGAACTACTTTGAGTTCTACCACAAACACCAGAATCAAGACAAGCTGCCGCCACCCCTTGAAACAACACCCTCCTTCTACAACATTCCTGATTTCGACGAAGCCGGTGCCGATGTCATTACCAACAATGGATTCAATGAAGTATGTTGGAAGATTTCTTACTATTATATTCTGAATTCAAAAAAAGATTAATTAATATTATTTTATTGTAGGCATTTTTCAGACAAAACATTATGGGTATGATACAACAACATCAGCAACAACAACAACAGCAGCAACAGTTGTATCAACAAATGCAAAGACAACAGCAACAACAACAACAACAACAGCACCAGCAACAATACTATCAACAACAACAAAATAAGCAGCAGCAACAACACTCATACCAACAGCAGCAGCATCAACCGCACCCACAACAACAATACTTTGCTCAACAGCAACATAAGCCACAACACAAGAGCAATAGTAACTTGTCTTCATATCTTCAAAACAATCAACCGAGCAACCTTCAAAAAGATAACTACAGTCCATTTAATAACAAGTCATATTTTGAGATGTCAGGTGCAGCTGCACAGGGAGCCAATACGCAACAGCAACAACAGCAGCAACAACAACAACAATGGTCCGGCCCTCCACCAGGAATGGGCAATCTCCCAAGAAACATCGGTCAATTAAACCACATGAACAACGACCAGCAGCACTTTAACGGACAGCCAAACAAGGTGGTAGGCAACGGAGACGAAATGATGATCAAGTCATCCTACGAGGTTGCAATGTCCACTGTCAACCGTCTAATGGAAGAGGGAATGAACATCGGTGGACCACTGACAAAGAGCACCTCCAACTCTGGACTGCACAAGGCATTCGAACCACAGCCCCGCATCGTCCAACCCCAAGCCATCTCTAGCAAGATTCACGCCCCCACTCCAATATCCTCCTCCAACAAGATCATCGGTGGTGATATTGAGTCATCGTTCGAGCGATTCTACATTGATCCTCCATCTGCAGCCATCAACGCACTCGAGAAAAAGAATCAACATCATCATCAACAGCAACAACAGCAGCAGCAACAGAATAATATTATACCATCTAGAACGCCAACTCCACCAAACAACAATGATATCTCTTCACCTTCACAAGTCTGTCGATACTACACCCAAGGTTATTGTAGCAGAGGAAGCAAATGCAACTACGTCCACGATCATGATGAAAAGTTAGCATCTGCATCTGAACCATTGCAACAGCAGCAACAACAGCAACAACAGCAGCAACAACAGCAGCAACAGCAACAGCAACAGCATCACCACCAGTCACAACAGCAACAATCATATAATGAAAAGAACTCACCAAATGTTACACAATCGCCAATTGGTAAGCTCAACAACTCGACTGGTGTCTCCAATAGTAATCACAACTCTCCATCGTCTGCCTCATCTAACCACTCTAATAATAATAATAACAATAATAATAAGAAGAACCAGAGAAAGAGCTTACCAACTAATCATTCAGTTGGAAACAATAACAACAACAACAACAGTAACAATCATAATAATAATAATAATGATAACGAAAAGAAGAGTGGTGGAAACAAACAAAACAATATGGGTGGTAATAGCAATAGCAATAATAGCAAGCAACAAGCAGCGGCAGCAGCAGCAGCGGCAGCCACTCTCACATCACAGCCATCGCTCGATATCAATGGTAAGATCGAGATGATTTCAAACAAACAATATACCTCGATTGAGCAGCTCACCGGTTCCATCTACCCATTGTGCCGAGACCAACACGGTTGTCGTTTCCTCCAGAAGAAATTGGAAGATGGTGACGAACCACTCACTGAAATCATATTCAAAGAGGTCTGTGAGTACATGTTGGAGTTGATGACCGATCCATTCGGTAACTACCTCTGTCAGAAGTTGCTCGAGCACTGCAACGATCGTCAGCGTCTGATGATCATTGACAAGGTTGGACCTGACATTGTGCGTATCTCAATGAACATGCACGGAACACGTGCCGTTCAAAAGATGATCGAGTTCCTCACCACACCCGAGCAGATTGCACTCATCAAGAAATCACTGGCAAACTACGTCGTGCCATTGATCCAAGATCTCAACGGTAATCACGTCATCCAGAAATGCCTTAATAAGCTATCGCCACCCGACAACCAATTCATCTACGATTCGGTGTCGTCCTCAGCCAACTGTATCGCCGTAGCCACACATCGTCATGGTTGCTGTGTATTGCAGCGATGCATCGACCACGCTTCCGAGTCGCAAAAGTTCCAGTTGATCAACGAAGTCATTTCCAACTCGTTGGTTCTCGTCCAAGATCCATTCGGTAACTACGTTGTCCAGTACGTCCTGGACTTGCCATTCCCCGGTCTCGCCACCGAGATGGCCAAACGTTTCTTGGGTAACGTACCAATTTTGGCCACCCAAAAGTTTTCGTCGAATGTAGTAGAGAAGTGTTTGCACGTCGCCGACCCAATGACTCGTGGAAACTTGATCCAAGAGATCATCGACTGTGACATTCTTCACAACCTACTACAGGATCCATTCGCAAACTATGTCATCCAAACTTCACTAACCATCGCTGAGCCACACCAACACACCAAGTTGGTCGAGGCAATTCGTCCACATCTCCCCATGTTGAAAAACACTCCATACGGAAAACGTATTCAAAATAAGATCATGAAGGAGGGTAGAGAATATTTTTAATTAACTAAAAAAAAAAAAAAAAAAAAAAAAAAAAAAATCATATGAAAAAAAAAAAAAAAAAAAGAAAAGAAAAGAAAGAATGAAAAAAAATATAATATATAGATGGTATGTTTTTCTGACATTTTATTTATAGAACAAAAAAAAAACCAAACTAACATAAAATCCATTTTAGTTTTTATTTCTATTCTTTATTTTTTAATTTTTTTTTTTAGATACTATTTATATAACTTGTTGTTGTTGTATCCTTTAAAATCCAAACTATGAAAAAATCGATTCATAAAAAAAACATATAATAAAAAATATTAACCAATTAAATCATTATTCATCGATAATTCATTTGAGTTGAAAAGAGAGATAATTACTTTAATTCATTTTCCATTTTTGGAGTTTCAAAAATGATTAAGAAAAAATTGAAAAAATAAAAACTCGATTGAAATTTGATTTTTTTTTTATTTTTATTTTTTAATTTTTTTTTTTTTAAAAAAATACTTTAGTATCATTTTTTTTATATTTTTATTATTATTATTTAACTTATAAACTAGCTACATATATAATTATAACAATATTTAATCATCAAACAATGTCTACACTCGATAATCACGAAGATGACGAATTGAATAGCTTTTTCGCCAAGAAAGACAAGGTATCGAAGAACAAGAAGGTCACAACCAAACCAATCAACACTTTAAATAGTTCATCATCATCACTAAATACATCAAACAGCTCAGTTCAAACTGTATCTGCATCGACCACCACCACCGCCACTACCATCACTGCCGATAGCACTTCACCAACCAACTCGCTCGAATCATCACAATCAACTTCACCAGTTTTGTCTGCCGCCGCCGTAATTGCCGCCAAGCAAAAGACTGTTGTAGATCTTTCACAAATCTCTAAACCAAAGTATGATCATCAATCTAATCTACTACTACTACTACTATTTATCTGTTAGTAATTTACTAACCTATTTTTTATCTAATAAACCAACTATAGAGAAACAGCACCAATTTCTACTATTTCAGATGTCAAAGAGGCTAAAATCGATACAGTTCGTAAGTTTTCATCATTATGCTATCAAACAAACCTGATTCGAATAAACTAACATTAGAGTGTGTGTGCAATTAAATGATCATAGATATTCCAAACAACATGAGATGGGCTGAGAAAGCAGATTCTCAATCAGTTAATACACCAGCTACCGCTTCAAAGAGTAATAAACAATACCCATCACTTTCAGCTGCAAAGTAAGTAGTACCACTATTTTTTTTTTACTAGTCAGACAGGTTTGATTCGAGTGAGCGTGGACTAACAGATCGATTCGATGATAGGGATGAGAAGAAGAAACCAGAGATTGACCATGACAAATATGTAAACCAAGATAAAGAGCAAGATCCACAGGAATCCGTCGTTGAAAGCTCGACATCAAGCAAGAAAACAAAGAAGACACAACCAAAGCCAAAGAAGAAATCAAAGTCAGAGTTGGAAGCTGAGGCATTGATGAAGCAATTAGGTTTGGAAGAGGAGGGTGCCGCCATTCCAAAATCAAAAAAGAAATAAATAAATAAAATAAAAAATATTGATAGAATAATATTATTACACAGTCAGGTGATTCAAATATTTTTTTCATTAAATGAAACTTATGTGTGTGTGTTAGTGTGTGTGTGTTTGATAGAGTGGGTGGTGGTAGTGTTGTTAAGTGTTTGATTTGATTGTTTATATTACTGTGTGTTTTAATTTTAGTTTATAAATGATATTATTTTATTAATTGATTGATTGATTGATTGATGTATGTATATAGGTGTGTTTTATTGATACATTATTATTTGAAGAAAATAAATTCAATTTATTGCATTTAAATAATTTTTTAATATATTAATTTTTTTTTTTTTGGGTTAGTTGTTGTATTTTGGAATTTATTTATATATATAAATAACTTGATGTTTTCAATAATTTAGACTTAACCAACTCATAAAGATAACATTCCAAAAGTTAATTATAATAATAAAAACAATTTTCTTGAAAATGAAAAATCCTTTCAAAAGTGTTTTGTCAAAAATCAGTAATCGCCTTCACAAAAGAAAATTACGACAGATCCGCAAAAAACAACAGAAGGAATATGATAAGAATAGAGCAAATTCAGTGTTCACACATCCTAATAATATACCTAGTTCACCATTAACCAATAATAATCAACATAATCCAAATGGTAATGATAGTACAATATTACCGTTGAACGGTAATGTTGTAGATACTTTGACAGCACAACCAGTTACCATATCAGAGAGCAACAGAGATCAAGTGGTTTCACTTTCAAAAGTTGGAACCAATGGTAATGAATTGGAGAATGCAAACGGAGTACTGCTTTCTCCAAAGAGTACGTGTTCTTCCACTGGTAGTAATAGTTCGACGCCAACCGTTGATAGTCCTGCATTTGATGAGCAGTTATCCGATTATAAGAAGATACAGAGGGAACGATACCAAAAGATGCAACAAGAAAGACCGGTTATTCTCACAAAGTCTAGCAACGGATCACCATACAATCGAACACCTTCCACATTCTCCAAATCAAAGATATTAAAGAAAGCAAGTATCAATGGAATGAAATCGAAATACACCATCAAACAATATCCATCACTCGATTTCAAATCAAAAGATGGTTGTCTATGGGTGAATGATCATGTCTTCAAGTTGAAAGGTGTAAATTGGTTTGGTTGCGAAACTGAAACTTCAGTAGTACACGGACTTTGGTCGAGGGATTATAAACAATATATCGAATTCTTATCAGTTAATAATTTCAATGCCATTAGAGTATGTTATTTTAAAAAAACTATTCAATATTTCATGTTACTTATTGTTAATTGTTATTTTTCATATAAAAGATTCCATTTTCATTAGAGATGGTATTAAAAGATCCTTTCCCAACATCTATCTCTATTTCACCGGCAATGAATTCAGATTTACATGGATTGAGATCACTATCTGTATTAGATATTATAATTGAAGCTGCTGGTGAAAAAGGAATGTTAGTTTTATTGGACTTGCATTCATTTGGACCAAATGACAGATTACATGATGGACTTTGGTATAACAGTGTATATAGTGAACAGGAAACATTGAAAGCATGGGTATAGTATTCTTTTTTATTTTAATTCATCTAAAAACATGCTAATTTAATTTTATTTAGTATATATTAATATTGAGATATGGTAAAACATGGAATGTTTTGGGTGTGGATTTAAAGAATGAACCATACTCTGCAACGTGGAACACTGGAAACCCAATGACCGATTGGGACAAAGCAATCAATAGAATTGGAAGTTACATTCAGAACAACGGTGGAAACAGATGGCTTATCTTTGGACAGGGTGTCCCATCACAGCAATCATCACAATTCTCTTGTTGTTGGGGAGAGTCTTTTGAAACAGAAGGTCGACCAGATTCGACTATCAGTCTGCCAAACATGGAGAAGTTTGTATACTCACCACATTGCTATGGTCCAAGCGTTGTGAACCACGCCCACTTTAGAAATCCAGGATTTCCAGGTATCATGGTGGAACATTGGGATCTCAATTTTGGTTTGTTACCGACTTCCACCAAGCGTGCCGTTGTAGTAGGTGAGTGGGGTGGTCGATACACTGAGCAACTCGATCGTGTCTGGATGGATTGCTTCGTAAGGTATCTCAAAGACAAGGGTTGTACAGACAGTTTCTATTGGTGTCTCAATCCAAATAGTGGTGACACTGGTGGTATCCTTGCAGATGATTGGATAACAATCAACCAAGAGAAATTGGAATTACTAGGTAGGCTATGTCCTCATCCAACCAAAATACAATATGATAAAGACACCCAAGTTTTCACTGTAATTTCACACATAAAGAATAATAATATTCATGAAGCATAACTAAAATTCAAACAGACCTATAAAATTTAAATCTAACAAATATTGTTTACATATTTAATAAAAATTTATACAAGAGTCATTATAATTATAGTTTCCAGAATACTCTATAGAAATACTATTATTTATATTCTATTTTCTTTTTTTCTCCCAATCAACAAAACTATAACATCATTAAAGATCGTTGGTATTTTATCGATTTCACTCGTAGAAATTGATTCCCAACTTAAAGCGGAGAAAGAAGGTGATAGTGATGATGAACCCACTTTTATTTTCCATCTTTTTTTAAACAAAACAAAAATTTTAGTAGCTCTTCAGGTTTCATCTCATTGTTATTCCTAGTTACCATTCCAGTTTATTTATTTCCTTTATTTTTTAATTGAATCAATCCCAATACAAATTAATTTAATATTTCAAATAAACTAAAAAAATATATAGATTTTTACAAATCTTTTTTTTTATTTCTATTCCATGTCGGAAACTGTTAATATTTATGAACAAATAAAAAGATTTTTTTTAAATAGCTTTATGGTTACATTTATTATAGAATATGGATTGTTATTTACATTTCTGGAGTTTAATTATTTAATTATTATTGATAATAGCCACCTTGAGTGTTATAAGCTGGATAATGAGACTGGTTGAATTGAGTAGCAGGTAATTCATTAGTTACACAATGAATTCCGCCACCACCTACAGCTATCGCATCGATGTTTACTAAAACAACTTTCCTAGTGGGATAGAGTTCGGACAGCAATCGGTATGCTTCTTCGTCGGCATCATCATCACCAAATTCGGGAGCAATCACGGCACCGTTAACTATTATGTAGTTGATATAGCCAGCTGCAAAATCATCTTCGTCAGTGAATCGATTCTCTCTCGGGTAGAGTGGTGGCGAAAGACAATATACTTGAAGTGGACGACCGTCGGCATCAGTAGATTGTCTCAGAATATCTAGTTGCACCTTGGTGACATTGTAGTCGTGTGAGTGCTTATCGGTATCGAGATTGGCAATCACCACACCAGGTCTGACAAAACGCGCATAGAAATCGACATGCCCATCGGTAATATCTTTTCCTCTGATGCCTGGCAGCCAGATGATTTTTCTCAAGCCGAGTTGCTCCTTCAGTTCCTGCTCGATTTGGTCACGACTCCAGCCTGGGTTTCGGTTGGCATTGACCCAGCAGCTCTCGGTCATTATCGCAGTTCCATGTCCGTCGACTTCGATGCCACCGCCTTCACCAACAAGTGCACTTCTTCTAAAAGTTGATGGGCAATAGAGTTCCGACATGAAAGCAGCAAGCTTGGCATCCTTTGAGTGTTTCTGCTTGTTTCCCCAGCCATTAAAGTTGAAACCAACAGAACTCAGTTGGCCGGTGGCAGGTGATATTTGTATGAATGCACCTGAATCTCTAATCCAGATATCATCTAGTTCCGTGATGATATACGTTACATTGTGGCTACCGCATTTCTCCTCTGCTAGATCACGTTCGTTGGCACGACAGAAAACAGTCAATGGCTGATACTGGGAGATGGCACGAGCAACACGACCAAGAGCATTCTGACAATCACGTGTAAAGTCTTTCCAAAGTGATTTATCGGCACCAAAAGCCATAAATGAACGTTGTTGTACTTCTGACATTATTTATTACGTTTATTTATTTTTTATTTATTTATTGATCTTGGTTATTTGATGAATGATTAGTATAAAAAAGGTTAAATATTTATAGTTTTTTTTTATAAATATTTATAGATTTGTATCTTAAAATAAAGAAAATCTATTATGAGGTTCTAGTTTTCTGTTGTCTACCTCGTACACATTGTTTAAATTGAAAAAAATGAAAGCATATTCTATATATGGTAATAGCTCATGAGTTTTTTAAAACATGGATTCGGACAATGTAACCTTATGTATAAAATACTTTGATGAGAAAATATGAATAACATTTTAAAAAAAATTCCTAAATCACACAGATTTGAAAAATAATCCAAGACAATTTATCATACGGAGTGTGACTTACAAACCTCGGTGTAAAATTGACCGTTTTTTGAAATTTAAAAAATTGTTATCAAGATTAAATTACTTGGGTACCAATTCCCAAGAAATTGTCAATCTCTTTAAGAGGAGGTATCCTCTGGGTAAAATTCAAGAAAATAACTCTTTTGAATCCAGTGTATTCTGAGCTAAAATTAATTTACAAAAATTGGTAACATTTATACACAATCAAGAAATTTTCTAATTGTTTTTAATTAAACATAATTATCACAAATGAATAAATTGAGATTGAAAGTTCACAGACAAAAAGCATTTAAATTAAGAAATAAAAATTACAAAATTGATCATTTTTGTGTTTGTAAATGGATCTCTAAAAATTTTTTAATTTGGAAATTTCATATGGCTGAGAAAGATATGAAATAGTTATTATTAATGTTGTAGTTGAACATTCAATAAAAAATGAATGGTCTATCGATTTTATGTTGTGTATGTACGAAGCTGATTACCATTTCAGAATTGTCGCTTTTGACTCCTTGTAATTATCATCAATAGTTATAGTAATTTATCGTTTAACAATTGAAACTAATCTATATCATTCATTTATCATCAACTTTTATATGTATAGGTGGTCACTTTATGTGTTCATATCACGATCTCAAAGATGATTCCAAATGTCCAAATTGTGAAAAAGAGGTTATTACTCAACAGCATCTCGATGTGAACGTAAAACGACAAAAGACAGATACACCTACAGCTGCATCCACCACATCTTCACCAACACTCTTGTTATCACCGATAGGTGGTACTTCCTCTACAACAACTACATCTAAACAACTACAGCTTACACCAACAACAACAACAACAACTACGACTTCTACTTCTACTTCTTCATCTTCTTTATCAACAAGCACAGTAATAATAGCTACACCAACCACCACCACTACTACGAAATCACAAGAAGATAAATCACTACAAGATGAAAAGGATTTGAAACCAAAGAATATACTACAAAAGAGGTATTGTCAGATTCATCATTACAAACTACGATGTTTGTGTTTGAATTGTCAGGTCGCTGTTTGTACAGAGTGCTTCATGGACAACCACGAAGGACACAAGATCGTTCCGTTCAAGAAGGAAACGATCGATAAGATCAGAGATCTCAGTCAGGAGATGAGAACCAATCTCGAAGCCAACTCTGACCGCACCACCCAACAGATTCAACTCGATCAAAGCACACTGGATCTGACACTGCTCAAGCGAAAATACATCCAAGACTTTATCACCAAGAGCTGTCAGATCATGGAGAGATCGCTACTCACCACCACCGACGACTTTTTCGAACCGTTTACATCGCTGCTCAGAGGCGATCTCGAGAGCAATCAGAAGCATCTCAACCAACTCGAAACCATGAAGAATCTGGCGTTGTACGACGGCTACGACGACGATCAGCTGATACGCACGGCAATCTTTGATTTCATCGAAGACATCAATGTCACACAACAATGGAACCAAGAGTCACCGACTACCGATAAATTCCAGTTTTTCACCTCCGAGCGAAGACAACTCTGTAATAAGCTTGACACTACCTTTAAAGAGACAATAAAGGCTGTCAATGAGGTCAGTACGGCCACAGGGGAGATCGCCAAGCTTAAAGAACGCAACAGTCATCTACACAAGTTTGAAATCGATAAGTACTACGAACTTGTATCGGTAAAGATCGATAGGGACGACCGATCTTGGTTCACAATGGAACGATTCCACATTGGTTCTGGCAAGTTGGTCAGTGGATCTACCAAGCGCTTCCAAATTCGAAACTCACAGGGTGCACTTGAAGTTATGGGTCCGATAAGCATAGCAACCAACAACAACAGCATTCATATACTTTGTGACAAAGAAATGAGACGTTGTGACTTGGACTTTGACGAGAAGAAACCACACATCAAATCTCTTAAATTCCAAAATCAGGAGAACTTAAACACTCTCTTTGACGACTGTAAGCTAATGGTATTAGACCGTGAACTTAAACATTTCTTTTACAGTATCATCTATGCTGATGAAGAGTCAAATAATGAAGATATTGCTGATAATAATAATGATAATAATAACAATAATAATAATGACATTGATATGAATAACAATAATAATAACAATGAAAATGATAATAACAACTATAATGACGTTGATATGAATAACAACAACAATAACAATATATTTGGTAATAATAGCAATAACGAAAATGATAATGCTGATGATAAGGATGATAATGATAATTCAAGTGATAGTAGTAGCACAAAAGATGGAGATGAAGATGATGACGATGATGACAGTGACAATGATTCAGAGAGTGATAAGGATGACAATGATCACGATATGATAAAGTCAGAATTAAATGAAGATAAAAAACAATTTAATCAATCTGAACAACCAAAGATGTTGTTGGTAAATGTAAAGGAGGAGTCTGATGACAGTAAAGATCAAACAACACCCGAGCTTAAATCGATATCTTCACCACCTCTCTTTGGAGATAATGAAAAGTTAGAGTCACCTAAAGCAATCAATAGTCTATCTCCAACAACAACAGCAGCATCATCATCATTAACAACAACATCGACAGCAGCAACAACAACAACAACAACAACAACAACAGACCAACAAAAAATAACTAATTCACCATCTACACCAGTGTTGTTAACAGAACCATCAATAACAACAACATCATCATCATCAAAGAAATCATATTTTATAGAGCAAATCATACCGTCGATTCCTGTTGGTTTCTCTGGTAAGATATTCAATAACCATACACTGTTCAGACTAGGCAGAGTAAATGGAATACCATTCATTTGCAAGACCGACGACAACAATGCATTTGATGCAATGATTCAAATCGATGAAGAGTCGAACCTCTACAACTTCCAGCGTGTCAAACCAAAGAATATCACTCATCTAGTATGCTTAGCAAGCTACTACGACAAAGAGTCAGACTTCCTCTATTTGCTGTGGAATTTCAAATTCGAACGTATGAAGCTACGTGAGAACACCATCGAGATGTTGCCATTGAACCCACTCATCACTTCGATCTACACCGAATTCAATGCAAAAGCTGAAAACGTCACTCCCAATTGCTTTAGCGAGCTCAGATTACCGTATGCTGTATCGGATCGCCAGCTCAACTTTTTGCTAACGGACAACAAGAACAGAGCGGTGATACTACAATTCCACCTCGATTATTTACTTTGGTCCAATGGATATCCTTTAGATACAGAGGGTGACGCATATTGTTTCTATGAAAAACCTCAACCATCATCAACAACTTCCTCAGCATCAGCAACAACGACATCATCATCACAAGCAACTCAATCATCAAACTACGATAGTGTAATCGATCTTGACAACGAAAAACATGAAACAACCTCCAAGAAAAGGACAAGAAGTAAAAAATTTTAAATTAAAATAACTAAATTTAAATGGCACAGCTGTGAATTAAATTGAAATGTGTGTTTAGAATACTATTCACTTAATTTAATGATTAACTCGATTGTGTCATAACCATTGAAATCACCAAATCTATCATTGTATTTAACATTCTTTTCTCAGACTTTTCAACTATGTTTATCAGCATTGAGTGGTGTGAATTAAGCTGTTTAATTCTTGTGGATTTTAAAACAATACACACATTTAAATATATATTTGTTTTTTTTGTTTTTTTTATTAAAAAAGTCATTCTAAAATTAAAATATTTAATTAGTTGTCAATTTTTATAATATATACAAGTGTGTGAGTGAGTGTGAGTGTGGTTTGACATATTTGTTTGAATTCAAACACTTGTGGTTGTTATTTTTTAAAAATCAAAATTTTTAATTTGTGATAGAGGGTTTATTTATAAATACACATATCATTCAATAAATGTGTTGTTTGGTGTCATCTTTTGATAATAGATAGAATAATCAATATATATATTATGATTGATTGAGGGTAGTTTTATATGAGATTATAGAGTGAATTTATTATGAATAAACAAAGGAAAGATAGCAACTATCATCTTTTTTTATTATATTTTAATAATTGTTTTATTTAGTTTATTATTGTAATATATAATAATTATAGGTTTTAAATATTTTAAATTAAAATAAACTTTTTAATTAATCTTTATTAGATTAAGAAAAACAAGTAGTAGAAATAGGAGCAGGATTTATTGTATGTGTTAATGATTAAAAAAAAAAAAGATAAATGTTAAAACATTAATGTTTAATATTTTCTGAATTACAAGAAATATTAACTATTTTTTTTAATACTATAATTTATTTAAATAGATAAACTTATAGAGAAAATAAAATAATAATAATCTCTTCATTGTCGAATTTTATCTATTAAATTATAAACAGATACATCATCAAATAGTATATCAAAATCCCTAACAAACATATTAGCAAATAATCCAAAACTCAATTCAACGATATCCAAATCTACCTCTGAATATTTTTACAGACAGATAAAAATATAATAAACACTTATTTGTTATTACCATCCACAAAAATAATCAAAATTAAAAAAAAAACCTGTAAGTATCATACTCTATCAATTCACAATCCACAAATAAAAACCATGACAACTAATCAAATACTATTTATAATCAATAAAAATTAATTTTAAATAAATAATAAAAAAATAATAATTATATTAAATAATATAATAATTTTAATAACAATTCCAATCATTATTTGTTCTTTGTACATTTTTAATTTATAAAAAACAAAAATAATATTCGATCACTATTATTTTATTAATAGTTAACTAATTACTTCATTCAGTCATCATAGAAAAACTGTAGAATACCTTTAGATTTTATTATTCCAACTTTTATTTATTTTACACAATTGGTGATTCCTTTAGTTTGGAAATCACATAACCCAATAATAAAGTTCAAAGATGATGCACGCAGTTGGTGAAATCTTCCAGCCTAATGAGCCACCATTAGAAAGAAGTAAAGAGCCTTGTGGATTTGTATGCTGTCTACTATTTTCATTTAAAATATGTAAGTAGTCCTGGAAAGAAATAGAATATTTTTGAAAGTTTATTGACCAATAATATGTTGATAATCAAAAAACAAAACTAAAGTTGTAAGAATATTTTGTTTAATTTGTGGTATTGCACAGTGTGGTATGGGAGCCTGGAGTTTTTATTCAATGGCAACAACTAATGACCACTCGATTCAGAGCTATCTACAATATGCTGTAATTGGATTCTATGGTATTCTCTCTGGTTTGATGATCATCTATGCTGAAATAAGAAATAGATGGACAAGAAAAGCTATTCGTGTATTTATATTCCTTGCCAATGGTTTAGCAAGAGGTTTAGTTTATTTCTTGTATGTATAGATAGTTAATTTTAGTTTTTTTTTTTTTTGAAAATACTTACTAATAATAACATTTTTTATTATTCCTATTTTAGAATTGGTGTTGTAAACGTACCAATACCAATTACAATTATGAAGATCAAATTGTTAACTGCAAGATATATTGGATTTGTAATTATCGGTGGTGGTCTTTTGTCAATTCTATCTTTCTTGCTCGGTTGGAGAAGAAAGAGATTGAGAAAGAACTACGATTTGACCGTCGCTCAAGAGAAAGCAAAGAAGACTCAAATCTATGAGTTGTTCGAACAAACTGAAGATGATAAGAAGAAAACCGATATTAACAAAGATAAGGATTTGGAAATGCAAAACTTTGAAGAAGCATAATTAAAATAACTATATATAGTCTTCAAATATAATATATAAAAATAAAATATATAAAATTAATAATGTTTTGTTTGATTTTTTATTGCAAAGACAAAAAATTTATTTTTTCGGCGCTTTTTTTAGAAAATATGGGATTAATGTTTTTTAATTTTATTGGTAGTGTCGTCTATTATAAAACAGATAAATAAGATATGTCAGATGATGAGAATGAAGATTATGTTGGAGCACTAGAGATATTAGAAGCAAAATATCAAACACTCTTACAAACATTTATAGAGAGAAGAATCATTGAACAAAAAACTGTAGATAATATCGTTGCATGTATAAATAGACATTATGGAGGTAAATTTTATATTTGATTTGTTATAATATTATATAGATATAAAAAGAAATTGATGTTAATTTTATTGCTATTATTATTATCTTTCTAGATAGAGAAGCTTCAAGCGAATACATACGTTCTATAAATTCAACAATCATCAGTTTAAACTTACAGATAAAAGATTTGAGAACTAGCGATAAACATTTTTGGTGTCTGGTCAACTTGAAACCAGATGAATCATCGAAATTGACTACAAACTACAATGCAAACGAAACTACTTTATTTAAATTAACTGTATGTCTGTTTATAAACAACCACCAAAATGATTTAATAGTATATTTACAAATAATAATAATAATACGTTGTTGCTCTTTATTATTTATATACAGATGGAAACACTCATTGCCAATGGAGGTGAGGCAAAGTCTAGTGAATGTATAAACCTGGCGAATCGTGCAGCGATTTCACTCTCAATGGCAGAGATGACCCTCCAAAAATTCAAAGTAGACGGTTGGCTAAAAGACTCTGGCACCACAATGATTTCACTTACAGAGAGAGCTATACTCGACTTGAATCCGATCTTGACTGAACTACCGCATTGTCAACTATGTAAACAAATAGTATTACCAGTAAATGTATGTTATATATCTTACTAAACTAATAAACAAAAACAAACAAACATTTCCTTATTAATTACTCATTCATTTTATATATTATATAGGGAGTTGTAGAAGAATGTATGAATTGTCAAATTAGATTACATCCACATTGTTCAAATCAATATTTCAAAAAGACTGCCAATTGTCCGGCATGTAAACAAAGATTCAAATAAGACATTTCAAACGATCGTTATCTTTTTAAAAATCTAAAAACTATAGAGAATATAGAGTATTATTTTATATATATGTTAATGTACAATGGTTAAAGGATGGTTTATATAAAGTTGGTTTGGGATTGTTGGATTAAAATTTTCATTCAAACATGAAGCTTTTTTGTTAATTTGATTATATAATGTTGTTTCTTTTTTATATCTATTTTGTAAACTTTAATACAATTGGTACAATGATAATGGCCAATAGAAGTAGTACTACAAGAACAATAATTAATGTCATCTACATTGTTTTGTTTTTATTTAGAATTGTTAGTGATTCGCATTTTGTTTAATTGACAGTAGTTGTATATGTGCATACCTTCATATTTCTACACCACATTAGGCGTTTGACTTCCTTTGTGTTCTTCTTGAATTGTGAGGCACTTTCCTTCATATTCTCTGACTTGGACTGAAGGTCGGAAACCTTTTGTTGGTTATGAATCATCTGACCGATGGCATCGTTCATAATACCTGTGACTTCATTCACCTGGTTTTGAGTCTGATAGACCTTATCAACTTTGGGTTGTGCATGACTATTATTAATTAATTTTAATTAATGGATTAGAACTTTCTTTGTGTAAACAATCTTATATATATAGGAATATATAATTTAATCTAAAGAAATCTGATATTCTGTATGTTCTGTTGTGGTTTCATTATAATAGGTTGAATGGTTTCTTTCTTTAGATTCAAAAGAATAAAATACAATTCCGACTGACTAACTATTTATTTTATTTATCTAAAAAGTATATACTTACGACATGTTTTAATGTTTATAGATTTTATATTAAAATAAATATAAATTTATTGATTGAATAAAGAGTTTATATGTTTGAGAATAATATAATAAAAATAAATAAGGAGATTATTTGTAATAATACGTGATGTTTAAAAAAAAAAAAGTAAAATGTGTTGTGAATAAATAAATAAATAAATTAAACAAAGAAAATAAACTTTTTGGTTATGTTTTTTTTTTTTTTTTAATTAAACGGAATGTATAAAGTAATAAATATAGTGTGTGTGTTTGGTGTTTGTGTGTTGGAATGTGAAAATTTGTAATTCGTTTGTTTGTTTATGACTACTATTTAAATAAAATCTCTAAAGAACTCTTTAAAAATTGAATTATCCTTTTTTATTAATTTATTTTTTTTAAAATTTGAAAAATTATGAAGTTTAAAACATTTTTTTTTTGTTTAAATGAAAATTGTTCATGGTACCATTCTCTTGTAACCTGCCGAGTTGTTTTGTCAAAAAAACAATTTAAATGAAAATGCAAAAAAAATAATATTTTTTAATTAAAGTAGTTGAAAAAGGTATCTTTTTTGATCTTTTTGTACTCTACAAAATAATAAAGTATAATTAAGCAAAAATAATAAAATTAGATTTACTTTAAATTTAATTCGGTTACAGTTGTCTACAACAAAATGTCTTTGCTTAACAAAAACCACAATAAGGTCCTATATTTGTTTTCTTTGCTTTCTTTTAATTAGCTCTATTGTACACTGATTAAGAAATGCCTAATCTTTCAAATATATTTTTATCTAAAAAGAAATAATAAATATGTTGTTGTTGTTCTATTAGAAGTTCAAGAATGTACTTATTATTATTATTGGTATTATTTAACTAAAAGTAATCTAATGTTATTATTCATATTTATTTGTACAAAGCTTTCACTTTCACAATTCTTTTTTGCTAAAACCAAAGAACGATGACCATGTCTGGCTTTAAAAATTTATCATTACATAAGATTAATAAAACATTAAAAACATTACAGGTTAATATTTATTTTGGATATTTTATTTATCGGTTGATGAATTTAAATCTATGTACAATTGGTTTAGGTAATAAGTGAATTTAAATCTATGTACAATAATAAATAAAGATTAGTTATAATCATAAAGATTTAACTGCTGCTACAAGTTCCAATGGCTTCACAGATGAGTGTTGGTAAATTGAGTAAGATGGTTGCAATCGAAACTGAAGCAACAGTACCAATGGTTTTAATAAGACCAGCGGCAACAGTTGAAGCAACAGCAGCAGTGATATCGAACCAAGTAACTAAATATGCAGCAATACCACCGATAGCAGCAGCACCAGCACCTGTTGGAATCAATGCAATCAATGCAACGGTTATCGCACAAGTCAATAGAGTGATGATGATTCCAAATCCAACTTGACACCACCAACATCCCCATCCAAGTGCAACATCATGTTTGGCTGATACGATTGCATTTGGTCCTTTTGATTTAATTGCTTCTTTCAATTGATTGAATGAGTCACTGTATTGATTCAATAGAATTTGAATGTTATTGGTGACATCGGTTGTGAAGAAACCTTGTGGAACACCATAATCATGCAATTCAGAGATTGTTTGACTGAGTGATGGAAGTTGTGGATCTTCACCTGCTGTCAATCTTGCGAGACTATTTTGTTGTTGAGCTGTAACCCAAGCATTAACTCCAGTATTGATTGAATCAATCACTGAATCTGGTGTGTATGGTCCAGCTAAATATTTAACAATAGAAATTAGTAATCATTTATATTTTAAATTAAATATATTTTTATAACTTACCAGCAGTAAAAGTGATATAACCTGGAATGGTTAAGATATCACCAGCAGGTAATGTTGATGGATAACTGGTTTGGTTTGAAACATAGATTGCATAATATGCAGCACATTCAGTTTGAGTTGGAGTATAAGTGTAATGACGAGCACTTGTACATTGAATGGCGGTCGTGAAGTTCAAAGTCATAACAGTATCATGATTATCTGGTAAACAATAGAGTAAGATACTGTGGTTTTGTGGTTTGGCATATCCTCTGGTTTTGATATGGATTTGACCATTTCCAAGATAATCTGGAACTTCAACGAATCTGAATTTCTTACTGTTGGTCGATGGAGTTACTGAATCTTCAATATGTCCACTGATTTGTGGAATATTTAATTTTTTTGAAACTGGATCCATTGTTTTTTGTTATTGAATTGATAAAATAGAGATAATATGTTAATTATTTATAATTTGTTTGTTTTAATATTTGATTGATTGTTGTGATTTGAAATTGTCATTTACTTCTGGTATTTATAGATTCTCAAAATAATTTGCCCCAAAACAAAGATATGTTGAAATTATTAATTCAAGTCCAAAAAACTATTGAATATCAAATTGATTGTCTTTTTTAAAACAGATATATTATTGAATAAAACCTCAATCTTGAAATAATCCAAACTATTCAAATAAAAGATCTGTGTTATTTGAATGAAAGTATCATTCTATCATTTAGTGTTTTTTTTAAAGATTTCAGACTATATTTGATTCATTAATTAATCAATTTTGTGGTGTGGTGGTGTGGGGTGGGGTTACCTTTTAACAACACATAATTCTCACAAAACCACAATAAAGCCAAACACAAAATCGAGTAAAAATAAAAAAAAAAACTAAAAAAGAATTTTTTTTAAGTTTTTATTTTTAAATTAAAAAAAATAATTAAAAAACCTTTTAAGATTTTTTGCTAGTTGTTAGCATTTCGAAATCGTGCTATCGATTGAGTAAGTGTTGTTGATTGGTTTATTGTTTGATTTTAATATATATTTAGAACTATTCTCGAAAAAACATTTTAAAGATTGAGTAAAATATGAATTAGTTTTTAATAAATTTTTACTTCGAAACAAGGTTGTATTCTTTACACTTCCTTTCTACAGTTTTGGTATTCCATCTGTGGGTGTGCGAAGTGTTTTTCAACGGAGGATGCACGTTATTTTCCGCTACAATTTTTCTCATTGAATTGGGTCATAATTTTATCTATCCCTCAAAGAATTTTCAAAACGATTAACACAAAAAGAAATTGATATTCCTTTTTTAAACATTATTTCTTCTTCTTTTTTTTAAAATAATATGGAAAATAAAAAACAAGACATATCTGAATGCAATCAACATCAATCCAAATGATAAAGATGCACTATTCCAACTTGCAATAACAATTGATCATATTTCCAAAGATCAACAAGAAATCACACTTCTATCAGGTGAATCAATGACGAAAGAACAACTCCTATTGAAAGTCATCATTCTGGATCCAAACTATGCAGGTGCTTATTACAAGTTGGCAATCGTTCTTGCAGATGAGAATCGATCATCGATCATACTTCCATCAGGTGAATCGATGACAGAAAAACAATTATACTTGAAAGCAATAGAGTGTGATCCAACTTATTCAAGTGCATTTCATAACCTTGCAACTACTCTTTCAGATGGCGAATCAATCACATTACACAATGGAATATCGATGACAGAACAACAATTATACTTGAAAGCAATAGAGTATGATCAAACATCTTCGGATTCATATGACAACCTTTCTTTATTACTAACAGGAGGCACAATAACACTTAATAATGGAAAATCAATGACAAAACGACAATTACTCTTGAAGTCAATAGAATATAATCCAACTGATTCCGGATTATACTATCGACTTGCATTAACACTCTCTAAAAGAAAACCAATTACATTACACAATGGACAAACATTGACACAACAACAATTATACTTGAAAGCAATAGAGTATGATCCAAGTCATGCAATTTTATATAATAACCTTGCGGTTGGTCTTTCAATCGGTGGATCAATAACACTCAACAATTATATTTGAAAACAATAGAGTGTGATCCAAAACTTTCACATCCATATCATAACCTTGCAGATACACTCTCACATAGTGGAACAATCATTTTGAATAATGGACGATCAATGAATAAAAAACAACTTTTGTTACATGCGATAGAGTGTGATCCAGAGTATCCTAATTCCTATTTTGATCTTTCATTACTACTTACAACCGGCGCTTCAATCACACTACTAAATGGACAATCAATGACAAAACAACAACTATGGTTTGAAGCACTCAAATTAGATTACACACGATCATTGATTTACAAAGAAATTGGATTATCTCTTTTGAACAACAAGCAAACTATTACACTTCCAGATGGTGAACAAATGACAAGGAGACAACTTCTTCAAAAAGCAAGACAATTTAAAACAAAACGGTCAAGAGAATAAACAAAAAACAAATATTCTAAAGGTTTTATAGATTTAACATCTTATTTTATTAATTTTTTTAATTAAAGATTGTTTTAAAATTATGTACAATAACTAAATAGGATTAATTATTCTTGCAGATTTAACTGCTGCTACAAGTTCCAATGGCTTCACAGATGAGTGTTGGTAAACTTAGTAAGATGGTTGCAATCGAAACTGAAGCAACAGTACCAATGGTTTTAATAAGACCAGCGGCAACAGTTGAAGCAACAGCAGCAGTGATATCGAACCAAGTAACTAAATATGCAGCAATACCACCGATAGCAGCAGCACCAGCACCTGTTGGAATCAATGCAATCAATGCAACGGTTATCGCACAAGTCAATAGAGTGATGATGATTCCAAATCCAACTTGACACCACCAACATCCCCATCCAAGTGCAACATCATGTTTGGCTGATACGATTGCATTTGGTCCTTTTGATTTAATTGCTTCTTTCAATTGATTGAATGAATCACTGTATTGATTCAATAGAATCTGAATGTTATTGGTTACATCGGTTGTGAAGAAACCTTGTGGAACACCATAATCATGCAATTCAGAGATTGTTTGACTGAGTGATGGAAGTTGTGGATCTTCACCTGCTGTCAATCTTGTGAGACTATTTTGTTGTTGAGCTGTAACCCAAGCATTAACTCCGGTATTGATTGACTCAATCACTGAATCTGGTGTGTATGGTCCAGCTAAATATTAAAAAATAGAAATTAGTATTGATTTTATATTTTAAATTAAATATATTTTTCAAACTTACAAGCAGTAAAAGTGATATAACCTGGAATGGTTAAGATATCACCAGCAGGTAATGTTGATGGATAACTGGTTTGGTTTGAAACATAGATTGCATAATATGCAGCACATTCAGTTTGAGTTGGAGTATAAGTGTAATGACGAGCACTTGTACATTGAATGGCGGTCGTGAAGTTCAAAGTCATAACAGTATCATGATTATCTGGTAAACAATAGAGTAGGATACTATGATTTTCTGGTTTGGCATAACCTCTGGTTTTGATATGGATTTGACCATTTCCAAGATAATCTGGAACTTCAACGAATCTGAATTTCTTACTGTTGGTCGATGGAGTTACTGAATCTTCAATATGTCCACTGATTTGTGGAATATTTAATTTTTTTGAAACTGGATCCATTGTTTTTTGTTATTGAATTGATAAAATAGAGATAATATGTTAATTTATTGCTTAATAAAAAAATAATTATTTGATTGTTTGATAAGTATTTGATTTTTTGTGATTTGGAAATATCCTTGACTTCAGGTATTTATAGATTCTCAAAATAATTTGCCCCAAAAATAAAAGGTTTAGAAGTAGTTGGATATTATTAATTCAAGTCCAAAAACGAATCAAAAATACTCGAATTTTGTACAATAGAAAGGATATATATTTTTTTCAAATAATTGCCCAATAGTCAGATCAATCTTGAATAATTCAATCAATTAAAATAATAGATCTGCATTCTTGATTTTGATTTACTTTGAGAAATTTGACCATCATTTTGTTTTGTTATTTTTTCATAGATTTTAAACCACATCTAATTCATTAATTAATCAATTTTGTGGTGTGGTTTGGGGTTACCTACAAACAGTGCTAAAAACTCGAAAAAAAAAAAATTGTGAACTTACACCGAATCGAGAAATTACAAAAACTGTGTAACCAAAAAAACAAAAAGTATGATTTTTTCAAATTTTTTTTGAAACAAAAAAGTCTCGTTAACTCAAATTGCTTTCTTTTCTTTATTAATAGAAAAGTCGTTATTTATTGAATAAAATGTTTGTCAACTTGTATTGTTGGTCCGTTATAGTTAGAATACAATGTGATTATATGGTCTGCCTATGATAGATGTTGAAATAAATATAGTTAATTGCCAATAGAGCAGTGATACCTGAAATAAATCTAAAATAATTTGAAATAATTTCCTAATAATCAATTGGTTCTCTTTACAAAAAATGTATGACTAATCATAATTATATTTTCACTTAGTAATTTTTTATAGTTGGTTAAAATATTTTTTACATATTAAGGGAAATGTTGCCAAGGTGCAATGTAACCTTGTTTGGTGGAATCGAGTTAGGTCAAATTTCATAAGATCTTTACACTTTCGAAATATTAATTTTTGTTTTTAATTTATTTTTTTGAATTGTAACCATTTGGATAGAATTTGAGTTCCGGATAACACTAAAAAAAAGGGGTTATGCGAATGAACAATTTAAATTAAATTAGTTTTTTTGTTTTTATTACAATTTTTAACACATTATATATGTTCAAAATTTTATATCATATTGTTGAAATCATATCATATTGCTAAATTTTCCAACAAAGATAGATAAAAAATTAAAAAAGATATTTATTTCGAAATTTACACTAAAAAAATTAATATTTTGTAAAATTATTATTACAACAAAGAACAATTAAATTAAATTATATTTTTTTTTCATTAATGAAAAATTAAAAATTTTTTAAAAAACACTTTGCACTCAAACATTAATGTTCACCTTTACATTCATATAAAGTAGTAGAATAATAGATTTATATATATATTTATAACATTATATTAAAAAGTAAAATAGATAGATAGATTAGATAATAAATAGATTGATAAAGCTATAATTATTTTGATAAAGATTTAGATTTGATTAGATAGAATAAATAGAATAGATAGATAGATTTGAGTAAGTGGGGAAGTTAACTAGTTGCTGACAACAAACAAAGTTGGCAAAAGACATTTACATTCAAAAAAAAGATGAAGACTCTACAAAGAATTATGGGTGGTCACCAAAGTAAATCCCACAAGATAGGTCATTATAATCTAAATGTTGTTAAACAGATTGCAGAGGGTGGATTTTCATATGTATACCTTGTAAAAGATCACTCTACTTCAAAGCATTTCGCATTAAAGAGAATATTGGTTAGAGATCAAGAAGAACTTGCACATGTACAACATGAAATAGATATAATGGTAATTATAGATAAATAATTTATCAAAAGTAAACATTGTCAATATAGTTCATACTACTAACTCTTAAGAATTCTACGACAGCAAAAATTGAATAAACATAGAAATATAGTAAAGTTTATAGATTATAATCATTCGAAATCGACCAATGAAATATTTATATTAATGGAATATTGTGCTGGTATGTTTGTTTTCTTTTGAATAGTTATATTAGTTACACATTAGTTAATGACTAAATATTGTTGTTGTTGTTGTTGTTGCTGATGTTTAGGTGGAATGCTTGTAGATTTGATGATGAAGCGACAGAACAATAGATTGAATGAATCAGAGATATTGGCTATTTTCACGGATATTTGTGAGTCAGTTGCTTATATGCATTCACAGAGTCCACCGGTGATTCATCGTGATCTCAAGGTGGAGAATGTATTGTTGGATGAAGAGACCGGTATCTACAAGCTGTGTGACTTTGGCAGTGCGATTGTCGGTGTCGTTCACCTCAATAACAAGTCGGATATGACTGTCGCCGAAGAGGACATCGCTAAACACACCACACCGCAATACAGGCCGCCAGAGATGATCGATCTCTACCGCTCAAAGGTGATCAACGAGAAGGTCGATATATGGGCACTGGGCTGTCTGCTTTACAAACTACTCTTTTACACCACGCCCTTTGAGGAGGCCGGATCACTCGGTATTCTCAACGGAAACTACCAGATACCGACGCCAACCTCCTACTCAAACGAGATGATCTCACTGATTCGCTACATGCTCCACCCGGAAGTAGACACTCGTCCCGATATCTATTACATCACCAACGAAGTCTGTAGACTACGTGGCATTCCACAGATATTCCCTGGCAAAGGACAACAATATCACAACAATCCTTATACTTCACCGAATCTTTCATCATCCATAAGTAATAACAATAGCAACAACAGCAACAACAACAACAATAGTAATTTCTCAACTTCATCAACAGTTACAAATAACAATAACAGTAGTAATATAAATGGTGGTGGTATTGGACATTCGATGAGCAGTAAACCACCAAAACCACCAATACAACAACAACAGCAGCAGCCAACATTTGATGGATTTGAACAAATGGAAGATGATGAATTCTCTAATCCTAATATTGCTTTGGATCAGACATCACCACACATCAGAAGAAAATCACCATCCGCACCGATGCAACCTATTATTATTCAGCAACAGCCACAACTATCGAGTGCAGCAGCCAAACGAAGACCTGTTGGTGGATCAACTAGTAAACCAAATACACCTGCAACAACACCTTCAATGGCACCATTAGCTATACCGAATACATCGAAATTGGAATCACCTTTAGCTTTTAACCTTGAACCATCAAGTGTAAAATCATATGAAATCGAAGAAATTACTTCATTGGTTGCAATTGCTACAAACTCTGATCCAATATTTGATATGGAATCATTTTCAAGTAAGATATCTTTTTTATTAATTAATATTAATTAGTGGCTATAGTTATTAATATCATTATTAATTAAATTTAGAATTAAAATCAATATCATTAAATTATAATCTAACACCTGGAAATGGAATAATGAGCGAGGTTGTAAAGCGACCACTTAGAGAACCTGCTGTCTGCTTGAAATCACTGCTACTTGTACATAAATTGATGGTCGAAGGCAACCAAACTTTCAAAATAGATGCCTACGATAGTAAAGATCTTTTCAATAATCTATATCTTGGTTGGTTAAAACAAAAAGAGAAATGTATGTCGTAACTTTTTATTTCATTATTAAACCTAATTATCAAAATGCATATTTAAATTAACCTATTACAATTATAGTACTTATGGTAAGTGATTTCCTTTCACACTATTCATTGTTGATACATAAACTGGTTGTATTCTATCACAAGTATTATTTGGTGGATGGATTGTTTAGCTTTGACGAAAACAAATGGCCACTTCCAGAGTCGACCGACTCGAACCATCCCATTAGTATCTCCTGTATAAATGTCTTGATATCAGTGTTGGAGCAGATGTTTGTCACTCAGAATGCCATATTTGAGATGTCAATGTCGAGTGCATCGCTCGCATCCATTCCAATGCCACTAATCCAAACCTGTGTAAATATTCTTAATAGTACTTCATTTTCCATCTATTGCTATATCAGCGGTGCACTCGCCACTCTCTCGCGACTGCCCGACGCCGACCACTCACTGGCGTCGCTCGTCCAGAAGTTCCAGTCGTGCTACCAAATCCTGAGAGATCAATACTCCAAGCTAAGTGCACATCCCCCATTCTCCACCGACATCTTCTTCCCAACACTCCCGAAATCACCACCCGCTTTCCACCTTCCCAGCAACACATCACAGCAACATCAACATCAACAACAACAACAACAAACCATTTCGACAACCATCAATCCATTTGTCAGTGATAGTAATAACAATAGCAATAATAGTGCAGAACCAACTTTCAATCCATTTTCAAACTCAACCGATTCGATGGATCCATTTTCCAGTGCGTCGGTGTCGCCTGCACAATCACCGAGAAACTCATTGTATCTTCAACCGCAGCAGCAGCAACAACAACCGCAATCCAATACTAGTTTGTCACTTCCACAGTCACCAGTGATGTCTAGAAAGATGGTAGCACAACCAAATAACAATAACCAACCAATGATTGGAGGAGGACCACCACTGAGATTCCCTCATTCCGCTTCACTCGACGATGCTAGATTATATACACTTATCCTTACACCATCGCCATCACCACCAGTCTCTCCATCTTTCAATCGTAGTTCAAACAATATCCCTGTATCTGGATTCGATCAACTTTCAATCAATCCTTTCCAGTTACAACAACAACAGCAACAACAACAACAACAACCTCACCTTCTTCATCCACAATCTCATCACCAACAACAATCACATCATTTACATCCACAGCAACATTCACAACAACAACAACAACAACAACAACAATCTAGTGGTAATCCATTTGATGCGGTTCCATTTTATCCACAACATCTACCGACTGCTCTTCAAAAGTCAGCGGGTTCATTGATGCCACCACCCAAAGCACCTGTGCAAAGAGGTCACAGAAGATCACAAAGTAGTACAACCGATGATATGCGACGTCGTCAACTACTACAACAACAACTCGAACAAAACAAAGAGTTCCAAATGAATCAACGTAAGCAACGTAGTATGATGCACTCTAGCAGCAGTGAAGTTGTAACAAACACCCAAGAAGAAATGTTTGGTGATGATTTCGATGACGATTTCGACGAATCATCTTCAATCATGACTCGTAAAAGATAAACAAAACCAAACCAAACCAAACCAAAACACTTTTAACCCAATACCATACCATATAGTAATACAAATCAATACAATACAATACAATACAATATATAAACTATATTTATACTATTAACAAAAGTAAAATAAATAAATAAAATATACATATATATATTTATATAAATACAATCGATTTTCTATATACAATATTTTATGTTTTTTTATTATTTATATTATTATTATTTTGTGTTGTTGATATTGATCAGTATTAGTTTTGACTTCAGTTGATATCTTCTTTTAGTATTTCCTCCATCTCTTCAAGATGTAACAATATGATCTCTGTGAAATTATGTGATACATCGAGTTCACATTTGTTTGAATAGCTAGAGTGATCAAAAGGTGCAACATCTGTCATTGAATCTACAAATTCCATTAAACCTTTATATACATCTTTCTATTGTTTTAAAGTCGCAGAATGAATTGATTTAGTTCTTTTAAATCTGTAATAAAACAAACTAAATAATCTCTATAGTATTAATACTAACCTCAACGATATTAAAATAACGATCGGATAACTGTTTGAATTCTTGTATCGATGGTGTAGTTTGTTTTATATCTAATGATTTCGAGAGAATATTCAATGCTTTACCAGCGGTATTGATTGATTCGACTACACGATCTTCTATATTATTTAAAACTGTCAATGAATTCATAACTTTAACTATTTACATATATATATAAATGAATAATAATAATAAATAAAACGAAAGAAAATAAATTAAAAAAATGATCTAGATCTGCAAATACTTTTGAATGTTGATTTGTTAAATTGGTGTTTTTTAATATTTTTTTTTGTTTTTTGTCATTATCCACACACATGTGCAATATTGATTGTGTTTTTTTAATATTAACTTTTATCCAAACCACATTACCCCCATTAAACAAAAACAAAAAACAGATTGATTAATTATAAATTTTTAATATTTTGTTTTATTATTTCTTGACATTTTATATCAAATTAATTACACAATCATCTTTAACAATAATAATAATAATCTAAATCAATATAAAATCAATATATTTAGTAGTATTAGTTACCAAATGTTTAGTTTAATTTACTACATTGTATTCTAAATATAAATATTTTTGATTAATATATAAACATACACACATATATCATTTTTGTTTGTTTTTTTTATTTTGTATTAATATATAAATATATAAAGAATGAGTTCTATGAGGACATCCTCAGGTATTTCAAATAATAATAATAACAATAGTAATAATAATAATACAGTTTCAAATGTCATTGTAAATAATGGAGTGACAATAAGTTCAAGTCCAAACAGTTATTCTGGATTTCTCAATGTTGGAAGTAATAATGTAAATTCAATAACCAATAGTAATAGTAATAGTAGTAACAGTATCAATGGTAGCAATAATACCAACAGCAGCAGCAGCAACAACAACAATTTTCACAATAGTTCAAAGATTATTGATGCAGCTCGTAAAGGTAATGCAGAGTTGGTACAGAAGCTACTAAAGAAAGATCTAAAGAAACTGAATAAACGCGATGAAAAAGGTGATACCTGCTTGCATAAAGCTGCGTTGTTTGGTCACGCAGATTGTATAGAGGTAATACTAAAGAGTCAGTCCAGTGCAAACATGACACCGCTGCAGCAACAACAACTCTCTTCGATCATCAACGCAAAGAATGCAGAGGGATACACTCCTCTCATGTATTCAATGCTAAACGGGTGGCGTGAATGTGCGCGACTCTTGCTACACTACAACGCCGATGTCAATGACAAGCTTCCAACGAATCCTGGCATCCCACTGAGCTACTCTATCTCCAACTCTGTTGGCGTCTACACTTGGCGCATCGATAATTTCAGCAAGATCAAGGATAGAAAGGTCTATAGTAACACATTCCTGGTGAGTGGATGTTCTTGGAAGTTGGTTGCCTACCCAAAGGGTTCGCGCTCCGACGAGAATCTCTCACTGTATCTCGAGGTTGCCAATCACGACTCTCTGGCTGACGGCTGGTTCCATTTGGTTACATTCACCTTTATGATAGTGAATCATCTCGATCCGATGAACAAGATCAAACGTGAGGTGATTGCACATCGATTCCACAAGCATCATACCGATCTTGGTTTCTCACAGATTCTCAAGAAAGAGATGCTCAAGGACAAAAAGTCGGGTTGGCTACACAACGACCAGCTACTTGTAGAGTTTCGTATTGACATCATTCAGAACACCTCGTATTTCGATGAAGAGTCGTCAAGTGTCTACACATGGAAACTCCAGAAAGTATCGACGCTGCGTGAGCGTGCTATCAGTCCGGTATTCAAAGTTGGCCAATGCAAATGGATGATAGCCGTCTATCCAAAAGGCAAGAGTGGAGGTGACCACCTTTCGATCTATCTAAAGGTTGCAGAAACAGTTACACTCAACAACATACCGGAATGGTTCTTTTTAGTAAATTTCAAATTCTCTGTTATCAATCAACGTGATGGTTCTAAATTTACCAGACAAGGTAAGTTGTTATTTTATTTCAAAAACTAGCAACATTGTCAATCAAACTAATCGGTTTTTATTATTAGTGGAAGGAAAGAAGTTTAAAGCAAATGTTGAGGATTGGGGATTTCCACAGTTTTTTAAACTCTCGATACTATACGATGCCAAGAATGGATTCATTAATTATACTGATGATTCTATTCTGATAGAATTACAAATGGAAATTATAAATGATTTCTCAAGAAAGAAATTTAAAGTATGTTTGGTTATTCTTTTCTTTTCCTTTTTTTCTTTTTTTTTTTTTTATTAACAAAATTTAAAATTAGGATAATATTAGTGATTGGGGATTAACTTTATTACATTGGGTTGCATATAAAGGTAGTTATGATGGTGTTCGTTTCCTGCTTTCCAATGGTGCAAACCCAAATGTTACTGATTACAAAGGTAGAACACCATTGGATTGGTGTGCGTACAATGGTGATTTACCCACTTCAGAAATATTGATTAGTACTGGAATGGCCGATGTCAACTGTAAGGATCACGAAGGTTTCACTCCACTTCACAAAGCAGTGATGAACGGTCATCTTGAAGTGGCAAGACTACTCGTTAGATACGGTGCTCAGGTTAATGCAAAGAATACCTGTTTGACAACACCACTGTCTCTGGCGATACGTGTAAGCAGGCTATGGTGTGTTGAATCTCTTATAAAGTGGGGCGCTGACATCAACATTCCCGATAAACAAAACAGAACACCTCTTCACTGGGCAATATGTTTATCGGAATCAAGATTACTTGGTTTATTAATTAAATATGGTTGTTCAAATCAATCAAATAACAACAACAACAACAATAATAATTCAACACCAAATAATCAAAATAACAATGGAATTGAATTGAATATCGAAGATATTGCAGAGACGTCAGATAACTTTGATACAAGCGAAAATAATGAAACTCAAAATCAATCTGAAGGTCAAGAGAACCTTGAAGATACTGATAGCGATGACGATCAAAATGGTGGTAGAATTGCATTAAGTGGGTCACCAAATAATGTGAATCCAATCATTATCCATCAAAACAATGTAAATAATACAAAAGATGATAGATCTCTATCAATACCAAATACAACTATAACAACCACTACAAACAACAACAATAACTATAATAATAATAATACCATTATATATTTAAACAATAATGAATATCATTTCCAGAATAATCATTATGAAGAATTCATTGCTTCAGTTGTTCCACTGCAAATGAATGTAAGAGACCAAGATGGATATACACCTTTGCACAAAGCGATATGGGGCAAAGGAAAGATTTCATTTGTAAAGATCTTATTGGAGAGAGGTGCCGATCCAAAGATCTGTACAAAAGATGGAAGAAATGCTGTTCATCTTGCTGTTGCCGGAAATGAATACACTATTGCTCAGCTTTTGATCGAGCATTCTCCGCAATGCTTGCATCAATTTGATGAGAAAGGCCACACTCCTCTACACAAAGCAGTTATCAATGGAAACTTGGTGATGATGGAAATGCTCATTCAACATGGTGCCGATGTTAATCTATGTAGTCCTACTCACCCCGATGTAATACCACTTGCCGATGCATTAAGAGAATCCGATATCTCTTGTATAATATTTCTACTACAGAAAAATGCTGATCCCAAAAGATGTCAGAAATCCTTATTAAATCTACTTTATAAAAGAGGTATGCAATAGAATATATCACCACCTTCCATTAAAAATTCATTTTATTAATATCTTTGATTTCATAGTTAAAGTATATAAAAACAAAGAAATAGATCCAACGATACCTAAATGTACATTAAATAGCGATATGAAGTATCTGTTAAATAATATCAACTACAAAGATATAACGTTCATTGTAGAAAACAAACCAATATATGCATGGAAAGGTTTGTTGTGTGCCAGATCCGATTATTTTAGAGCAATGTTTGAACAACCACTGAAAGAGAGTTTGGAGAACGAAGTGCGAATTGAATCGGTTGACCACATAACATTCCTACATGTCATGGAGTACATCTATACTGGTGAGCTCTCATCAAAGCTGACTCTTGAAGAATCGATGCCTTTGTTGATCGCAGCCAACAGATTTATGCTTCCACGATTAAAACTACTGTGCGAAAGTCTTATCACCAAGGAATTCAACACTGACAACATCTATAATATATTCAAATTGGCTGACATGCACGAAACAACACTCTTGTTGGATGAATGTGTTCGATACTTGGCAGAGAATCATTTATACATACCTGAAACCGACGATATCGTAAAGATACCAAGCTTCAGAAAATCTGTTCTTGAATTTCTACACGATAGTTTGAATATTCATTGACCTATATAATCAACTATAATGAATAAAAAATGTGTATTAACAGATAAAAAAATTACATGAAAATTAAATTATATTATTTTATTATTTTTAATTAATCGAATAAACTATCAACATTAGCAGCTGCCTTCTTTGATTTTGCAGCCTTTGGTTTGGCTGGTGCTGCTGTTGGTTTATCATCGAAAAGATCATCTGCAGCTGCCTTCTTCTTTGCAGCTGGCTTAGATGGTGTAATGTCATCAAACAGATTGTCAGCCTCCTTCTTGGTTGATGTAGTAGTAGTTTTCTTTGCTGCTGGTTTAGTTGTCTTCTTGACTGTGGGAACTGAAGGCAAGTCATCGAAAATTGAATCTGGTGTTGCTTTGGTAGTTGATTTGGTTGATTTAGTGGTTGTTGATTTAGTAGCTGGTTTCACATCATCGTCATCCAATGACAATGAAGGTTTAGTTGAACCATTGGTGTGTTTTCCGTTGGTGGTAGTTTCTGTTGGCGAAGTGGTTGTTTTCTTTGTTGATGGGATACCCAATAGTGAATCCTCAGAAGTGGAAGCGGTGGTTGTTGATTTAGTAGATGGAGTGGTGGTTGTAGTTGGTGTTGGAATACTGTCAAAGATCGATGGTTCATTTGATGGTGTGATGGTTGATGCCTTGGAGGACGAGTCACTGCTAGCAGTAGCGGCAGCACTTGGTTTTCTTGATGGTGGTCTTCTTCCAGCAGATTTAGGTCTACTCTTGGTGACATGTGTAAGTTGAGCGGAATCACCAGCCGATTCGTCTGCTGATGATGATGAACGTTCACGTGGTCTACTCTCGCTACCACTACGTCCTCTCGATGGGAATGGACTCTCTCTACCGCTGTTGTCATCGGTATCACTCTTTTCGGTATTGCTTGTTGCACTGTTTTCTTCATCATCTGTTTCAACTTTCTTCTTTCTTGGTGGGGCTGCACCTGGTGCCATCTTTGATGGGTCCAATGCTAAAACACCCAAAAGTGCACCGATCTTTCCACTTGGTGCCTTCTTTGGTGCAGCAGCGGCAGCAGCTTCCTCTTTCTCCTTGGCAGCAGCTTGTTGTTGTGCCTCAAACATGGAACCAATGGACTTGTTTCTTGGCTTTGAAATTGGCAAAGATGAATCGCTATCACCAAACAAACCTCCGGAGCTCTTTGCTTCTTCAAGAGGTGATTTATTCTTGGCTGCACCCAAACCTAATGACATACCGTCATCAAAGAGTGAGTCCTTCTTGGCAGCTGGTTTCTCAACTGGCTTCTCAGCAACAACAGTTGGTTTTACAACTGGTTTCTCAGCGACTGCTGGTTTGGCAGCCTCAACTGGAACATCAAATATATCATCTTTGTTGAGTTTGGTTGTTGGCTTTTCATCGAAATCACTGAAAAAGTCTTTGTTTGGTTTTGTTGAGACGGCTGGTTTTGGTGTGTCACCAAACAATGAATCTGATTTAGTTGCTGTTGTTGGTTTGTCGAGATCACCAAAGAAGTCATTGGATTTTGGTTTGGATGTGGTGCTGGTAGTCGATGCTGTTGGGTTGAGTGGATCGAATGCAGACTCTGATGAGGCTATAACAGTTGGTTTCTTTTCGACTGGTTTAGAAACAGAAATAGATCCTCCAAATAAACTATCATCACCTCCGAGTGGTGATGAAACTGATGCTGTCGGTTTGGATGTAGCTGGAGCAGCTACTCCAAGTGGCGAATCGAGGTCACCAAAGAAATCCTTCTTGGCTGGGGCTGCTGTAGTGGCTGCAGGTTTCTTTGTAGAGCTACCACCCAATCCACCAAACAATGAATCGGGATCTGAAGAAGCAGTCTTCTTCAATGGACCATCATCAACATCGTCAAAGAAACTTGATTTACTTGGTTTGGAAACGGCTGGAGTTGGCTTAGTATCAGCTGCAGCCTTGGATGGTGGAGTTTTCAATGGATTGTCATCAGCATCATCAAAGAAACTTGATTTACTTGGTTTGGAAACGGCTGGGGTTGATGTTGGTGTTGAAGCTGCAGTTGCCAAGCCCAATGGTGAATCTACTTCAGTCGATGGTTTTGGTGTTGGTTCAGCTACTGGGGCAGCAGTAGCTGGTTTCTCTTCGACAGCAGCTTGTTTCTTTGGTGGTGTTACCAAAGGATCCTCAGCATCGTCAAAGAAACTTGATTTACTTGGTTTCGAAACAGCTGGTGCTGGTTTCTCTTCGACGGCTGCTTGCTTCTTTGGTGGTGCCTTTAATATGTCATCAGCTGATGATAAATTGAAAAAGTCATCTGAAATTGTTTTCTTTTCTGGAGCAGTGGTAGTTGTGGTGGTAGCTGCTGGCTTGGCAGCTTCTCCCAAACCTAAAATATCGGATGAATCATCGAATGTCTTTGGCTTGTGTTTCTTTACTGGGAGTACTGGCTTGTCCATAAGATCACCTTCCAGTCCAAGAATATCCGATGTCATATTCTTCTTTGTATCTGTTTTCTTTGTTGAAATACCTCCAAAGAGATCGGATTCGCTATCGGTACTGGTAGAGGCAGAAGCTGTTTCTTTAGGTTTAGTTGGGGTTGTATCTTTCTTCTTGATGGCCAAGATATCTTCGTCACCACCGAAATCAAACAATTTAACACCACCGACTGGTTTCTTTGCCTTTGGTGCAGCGGCGGGCTGTTCATCTGAAGATTTCTCAGAGTCGGAAGCAGCTGCTTTAGGTGCTGGCTCAGACAAGTCGTCACCCAATGGGTTTGAAGCTGGTTTTGGTGCGGCAGCTGGTTTGCTCTTTGGTTTGGCAGCGAACAAATCATCGTCATCGTCATCGAGGAAACTTATCGATTTCTTTGTATCCTTCTTTGGAGCTGCTGCTGGCTCATCATCACCAAACATACTGTCATCGGAGAACAAGTCAGAGAGTGACTTCTTGGCGGTAGAAGTGGTAGTGGTCTTTGGCTTCTCGGAAGGAGTATCTCCAAACATGCTATCATCGAATGTGACAGTTTTCTTTGCTGGCTTTTCAGCAGTGGAGGTGCTGGCGGCTGGTGAATCTTCAAAGAGATCGTCATCAAACATCGATTTGGGTTTGGTTGATTTGGTTGAAGTAGCAGGTGCATCATCACCAAACAAATCGTCGTCCTTGACAGCAGATTTCTTTGAACCACCACCGAGAGCATTTGCCAATTCGTCTTGGAAAGCATCTTTCTTCTCTGTTGTTGAGGTCGATGACTTTGGTGCCGATGAAAACAAATCACCGTCATCATCACCCAAAATATCTGATAAACTGGTAGTAAATGATTTTGGTTTAGAAGATGGTGCAGAAGTGAATATATCATCGTCGAAAAGATCACCTGATGATCCTTGTTTCTCCTATTAATAAATCGAAATAGAAATAGAAAATATAAGGTATGAATATTCTCTTTGGTCGTAAAGAAAAGATAGTAAAAGTACTACTTACATTATTATTACTAAATGTACTGTCGTCCTCCTGGAACAAGTTGCTGGATGAGGATTGATCTGGTTGTAAGAATGAGGAAGTTTGGTCCAAGAGAACTGGTGGTCTTGTTGGCTCGGTGGACAATGATAAACTTCCATCTGGATTAGCCTCCAAACCATCTGGAAGTTGTGGTACTTCATCCTCTGATTCTGACTCTGATTCTGACTCACTTGCTTCACTTGATTCTGTATCTGATTCTATAGATATATATTATGTTTTGTTATGATTGTTAGTATAAATATAGTACAAGTATTATTACTAATGATATGATATTTACCTTCAATGAAAAGACCACAATAATCATCTTCCTTGAATTGTTGTGAACCGATGATGTGTGGAAGTGGATAACGTAAGTAGTGGTCGAGTTTCTCTGGTTTCTTTGGTTGTTGATTGTTTTCGTCGGCTGGACGCTCACCTTCTGCCAACATTGTATCGATGTTGGATCCATCGACAATCGAGGAGGTTGGCGACAACTCTGACACCTCCATTGCATTGCTCATTGAGTTTGACTTTTCCAATGCTGCCAGACCCAATTGAATGGCACTGGTAAACTTTGGAATAAGAATCTCCTCTGTAATCTCTGGTTTTACTTCATTTGCCGATCCAGCAGTCTCCATCTCACCTGCTTTCTCAACCTCTGAATTATCTTCATAAACTCTCTATTATAATTGATTATTATTATTATTTATTATTATTATTATTATTATTATTTATGTTAGTAAATATATATATATATATATATATTTGATTATTAAGAATAATAATCTATTGGTTATTTATACAAACATTTTCAATGAATTGTGAATGTGAAAGCATTAAGAATTGATCAAAGGTGTTGTGTACTTTTACATGAGTTGACTTTACATCGTGAACTAGTGAATCGACGTGATTCTCCAACTCTTTTGTTTGATTGATTAAACGGTTTGCAAAGTCTTGCATGAAATTGAGCAGACCTGCATCGGAGGCGAGATTCCATTGTTTCGATGAATCTCTCATTTCACCCAATGACCAAACTCTCTTCCATGTTTCATCGATTGGTTGTGATTGTTGCTGTTGAACCGCTGTTGCTTGTCCACCAGCATCTAAATCATTCGTAGACATTTGTTATATAAAATATCTATATTATATAAATATCGTTAAAGACTATTTATGATCTATTCGCGATCTATTCTACTATCTATCTATCTATATCTATCTATCAACTCCACCTAACTAACTATTATAACAAAAAATAAACACTAATTTTTTTAAAAATAAAAAAAAAAGAATTAAAAATAAAAAAGTCAAAATAAATAAAAAATCTCAATTAATATTGAGAATATTGACAGTAATATATATAAAAATAGATAGATATAATAAAACAAAGGATTATTATAGTTTGATTTGACTTTTTTAAGAATCAAATCACAATAATACTATGTTTGCATTGACTATGATAATTAATAAATGACTTGCTCTCTTTAAATTTTGAGTAGCATTTTTGAATGAAAAATTGAAAAATCAAAAATATTTTTAAAAAATAAAAAATAAGAAAATTTAAATGGAATTTTCTTACAGCAACTGTTTTTGTAAAAATAAAAATCTAAAAAGTTTAATTTCACGAACATTAATGAGAATTCAATTCTCTACTTTTAACTATTTTAATGTTATATAATATATATATTTATATTTATAAGTATAAGTATTGATTGTTTTGTTTGTTTGTTTTATAGTTGGTTGATTTAGTTGAATTGTTGTGGTTACTTTTTTTTTCTTTTATTTTGATTTTTCATCAGAATGATCAGTTTCCTCTCCAGCGTCTTCATCACCCTCCTCTTCCTCCTCTTTATCCGGTATGATGGAATCGAGTGAATCGTAAAAGTCTTCCCAGTTCTCCATGGCCTCGCGATAGTATTGAGTCTGCATATCGGCAAACTCCTTTATCATACTCCTCAAATCCGCTTGAAACTTGGTCTTGTTACTCTTCATCACCTCGATAAACTCCTTGGTCGTAGAGTTATAGACAGTCTTGCAGTCCTCCTCGTTCTTTCGGGCATTCAGTGTCTTCATCGAGTAAATATCATTCTTTTTCTTTGTCTCCATTAAATTCTGTGAAGACTGTTCATATCTAATTCTTACTAAATTTTGTTTCTATTGCGGAAAAACAAGATTAATAAATTATTTTTTTAAAAAACACAATCAATTCTTTTTTTAAAAAGACATACTCTTTTAACTTCTCTTGCTTTCTTCAAATCTGTACTATAATAATTTAACATTGGTTCAATCATTCCACCCAAACCATTCGTATACTCCTCCATTCTATTCTCTTCGAAATTTACAATTTGTTCGCCAAGCTCTCTCATGGCCAATCCTTCTTCTGTGGATTTTAATGCACCTTCTCCAAACTCCAACAACATCTCTCCAAATTGTTTACCACTTGTTTCCTCTACAAAAAAAAAAAAGATATAAAAAAAACAAAATTAGTTAAAAATATTAAACCAATCTCTATCTCTCACTGATCCAACTTACTTTGTGCATCGATTGTAATTTGTCTTCCAAGTTTCTTGATACCTCTCAGATCTTTCTTTAAACCCTTCAGCAGAGTTTTAAGTTCTTTTATATCGTTGGTGTCGGTAGTGGTCTGCTTTCCCATCTTCTCAAGGTATTTTTGAGTGGAAACAGAGACAGTCAGGGATAATCTTCTCATTCTCGATTTGTTTGGTGGTGATGTATGTGCTGAATTCGACGAGTTTGAGCCCGATCCGGTGACGTCGGAATTATTGGGATTGTTTGTAAATAGCTTTCCATTGTATGAAAATGCTTTTGGGGATTCTTTGGGTGGTGATGTCAATGAAGTAGATCTATCTCTTGGCTCCATTTTTTAATTAATGGTTGAATTTTTGAAAGTATACTAATAAAGTTGTTTGTAATATATGGAGAATTTAAATATAGAATGTAAGTAAGAAAGTAAGAATAGAATTTAATTATAGTTTATTTAGTGAAACAGAATAATTATTATAATAATATAAAAATCAATTGGTCTTTTTTAGTTTGTGTTTATTGTTTTATTTTGATTAGTGATGTTGTTGATGGTTGGTTGATTGATTAGTTGGATGTTTACTGTTGTTGTTGTTTTTGGAATGTTTATAAATAGTAATAGAATTAAAATTAAAACCTCATATATATGTTGTACAAAATATACATATATCACAACCATATGATATACGATGTGATAACCGATAATAGAGAAGGAGTAGTGTTATTTTACCACTTGTGATGAACTTTAACAATGAAGCATTTAAAATGGAAAAATCTATTTGTTGTTATTGTTACTTTTGTTTTTTTTTTTTTTTGTTTTTGATGTGGAGTTTAAGTTATACAACTTCTCTCTGAAAAGATAACAAATAAACTAATACACCAAGAACACCTGGTAGAGGTGGTTATATAAAAAGCTCATTTTTATTCTTCTGAGTGTTTATTAATTGGTTTTTTTAATGTGGTGTCCATGAATGTTTGTGGTAGTGTTTTTATTGTTTGTGATTGCAATTGATTATATTTATGTGTGTGAGTTTTAGTTTTTTTTTCTGAGTGATTGCGTTCAAATGTTTGTATTTATATTCGTGGTTGTTTTATGTATAACTCAAAATTCTATTTTTTTTTATCTATTTTGGAATGATCAAATTAATTTAATTTGATACAGGTAATATGGAAATATATGAGTTGGGTGTCTTTATTTATTTGATTGGTCCATTAAGTGTTAGTTTTAGATTTGAGTTGGTGACAACCTGATTAGTGTATTTTGTGAAAGGGAGTGTAGAGTAAGTGTGAAAAAAGAAAAGAAAAGTGGTATATGGGTTTTAATTAAAAATTAGTTAGTACGAATTAATAATGAATCATAAAGAAGTAAGAATGTTGCAACAACAGAATTATCATCATAAAAAACAGAGTAGACAAGACCAATTGGAGAAATGAAATGCAACCTTCAAGCGATCCTACTATAACTATTCCATTCGAAATAGTGAGCAAGATATGAAAGATTGACGATTCTGATTTGCATAGTTAATATATTACCACTAATATTAAAGTTCCAAACTTGTTAAATGGTTGGCAATCACAACGTGAGTAATCCGTGAAGTATTGAACAAACAATATAGATCGTATCACTGATCTTGATCAATTGAGATATTACTAAATTAATTTCAGCTGGCTGATGTATGATAAAAAAAAATAGCAATCCTGACAATGATAATATGAATTTTTATTGATTAAAAAATGATCTATTTACTTTTTAATATATAAATAGATTGAGTATAATTATAAATATAAATGTAAAATATTCTAAATGTAGTAACTAGCTATGATAATAATAGATTTAACTTTTGAATTATAATATGTATGTAGTAATATTGTAATTTAAGAAATATGAATAAATAATAAATAAATAAATAAATAAACTTCCAACTGAAATAAATAATGTCAATAGTATTATCCTTGACAATTTGAATTAATTAGTTGAATTTGATTTTAAAATACAGAGGTGTTTGATCTAGATATATAATGAAAGTAATAAAGAGTAAATAAAGAATTAAATTAGATAGAAATTGTTTGAAAATTGATTCATACAATTAATATTATAGTTATTAGGATGATTCAAATCAAATCAAATTAAATTGAATTTGATGGTCGTAAATATTATAATATTTTGTCTATTATCATAATAATTAAAAAAAGTTTGAAAATTAAGAAATGCAATTATTGGATTATCTATTGTGATTAATTTATTAAAGGTGATGGTGATTCTTTTAAAACGAGAAAAAACAAGAACACCAAAGTAGAAGAAAACAACCAACACAATGCAAACAAAGAGATTAACAACCAGTGTTTTCAGTTGTTCATTATAAAGCCCAAAGTAAAAAGGTGTGTTCACTATAATTATTGTAGAAAAAAAAACAAAAGTTTAGACCCACACACCAACATTGTTTACACTGATGAATCTTTTGTTCAAAAAGGTAAGAAAAACACAAAACCAATCTTAATATTATTGCATACTCCCATTATAATATTTGCAAAAAAAAAAAAAAAAAAAAAAACAATAAAACATTTACATCGATGTATAATTCCTCTACAATGTCATGATGTTCGTTTGTTTGTTTCTTGTTTCTGAGTGGTTGTTGTAATTGTGTAGTGGGAGATTAAAAAAATATTATTATCATAAAATTGATTTTTGGCATTTTTTCTTTAAGAGAATTGGGAAAACTAAAAACATCAAGCACCATCATCAATAGGTATGTGATTCACAAAGTTTGAAAGGTCACAAAATTGAACTTATATAATGCATTGTCAAACAAATACAATCTTGTAAATCATATAATCATTGATCAATAGAGTAAATAATAAAAAGAAAAATGTAAAATATAGTTTTGTGATTTATACAGTGAGAGTAAAGGATAGAAACTATTTTATTATTTAAATGTATACAATAGATCAGGAGAGGTTAATTTTGGTTTTTTGCTTTTTTACTAGTAGGTTGTTGGTTAAGTTTATAATTATTATTTGGTTTTTTGTTTTTTACTTTTTTTTTTTAGTTGTTTTAAAATGTTTTTTTTTGTTATTTGTTTGTTAGTTAGGTTATTTACTTAACTTGCATGATTGTTCTTCTTGTTGTTGTTGTTGTTTGGTTTAGATGTGACGCGGCGTGTATTTAGTTTTCTTTAAACACATCTATTGACCAAAGGTGTTCTCACCACTGTAGGTGATGTACAAGAAACCATCCTCATCCTTATAACGTTCGTAAATTTGTGAAATAAAAGCGGCGGTTGGTGGTAAAGTATTATTGACAAACAAGTAAATAGCCTTCTCTGCGTTGATCTTTGGCATGTGCTTTCTAATTTCATAGACAAACTTTCCTACAGTGATATCGGCTGGTACAAGATATCTAAAGAGAATGAGCGAATAAAATTTGTGTTAGTCAATCGGGACAACGCTAGCACATTCATCATTAATTACATACTTCTTCTTGTCAATGTCTGGAGCATCGGATCTTGGTGCTTTTTCAACAATAACTGGTATTCTATCTTGATATTTTGATCTAATTCTTTCTGCAACCTCCTTTCTCTTTTCTGTATTATTTGAGAAATAATAAATAGACGTTAGTATTATTAGTTGATAGTGTTACAACTATTATTATTATACATACCGAATGGATGATCGTTCTTGAAACCAGATGAGTGAGTCATTTTTATATGATTTATGTTTAAATTAAAATATATGTAAAAGAAATATAGTAAAAAGATAATGATATTATATTAAAAATAAAAGGTAATGTACAAAGTAACCTAAAACTTAAAGTTTAGTTGTGATGTGTTGGGTAAATATGAATTATATACAATTAATTAATTACTGTTGCTGTTTGTTTGTTTATTATTAAATAATGTGAAACTTTTTTAAAATAAAAAAAAAAAACAAAACTTGACAAATTAATTAAAAAATAAAGAAATAAAAAAAAATAGAAAAAATAATAATTTAGAGAAAAAAACAATATTGTTATTTATTATTATATTTATATAAATTTAAAAATGAATGAATAGAATGTTTGTTGTATGATTTTTTTTGTTTTTTGCTTATGTATATATTAATATAGTGTTATTTTTTTTTAATTCACTAAAATTTCAAAAAAAAATAATAATAATAAAATAAAATAATTTTTTGTAATTCATTTGAATTTGTTTTTTTTTTAATTCTTTTCTTCTCAAGAGATTGGGATGATAACAATAAAGTGTGCATAATTAAAATTATCATTTAATTTAAAATTAAATTAGTGGTTGGTGTAAACCCAGGGTTCTACAAAACATTAAATTAAATGATAACTTTAAATTCATGGTCTTTACAACATTCAATAATATTAATAATTACACAATCACAATCATATGATGTTTGAAATTTCATTAACAGTGTAGAGAAGATGAGCAGTGTTAAATTTCTTTTTTGAGTAGCGAGTGCTATTAATAATTAAAATGGATGAGCAATAGTCATCATTATCATATTGATTATTTTTAGACCTAAGTTGTTAACCAAAAAAACATGTTTTAATATAGTAATTGTTAACAATCACTCATTATTTATTTAATAATTTGAATGAGTAGCTTAACAATAATATTAATTTGTTCATAAATAATAAATAAATGTTTTTTTTTTTTTTATTGAACATAAATATATATTATATTTGGGATAAACAACTACAAAGGTATTACAAAACTTTGTCTATGAGGTATTTTTTTTTTTTTTATAAATGATTAAATAAATATATATAAATAGTTGAATATTATAAATATGAAGAATCTATCTGTTTTGTTTGTATCAATAAATTTTAAAATAAGAATACAGTTCTCTTGATGTTTTCTCTTCTCCATACGGGTATCTTTTCCCATTCTTTTCTGTTCATGTTGAAAATCTTTTCAAATTCATCGTCGGGAAGGTAAATCTCGAGTTTGGTTGCGTCGACTCCAGCTGGAAGTGGATCTGCAAGTAACTCTTGGTAGGTATAAACCTCTTTGAGATAGTCTTTGAGTACTCCTTCAACGGGAATACCGTCCTTCTCTTGAACCGGTAGTTTGTTCTTTGGATACTTGGCAGTGGTCCAAGCTCTAAAGTGTGATTTGAAAGCCAGAGGTTCCTCGAATGGATTCACAATGAGAATCGATGTGTTGTTGGAGTGTCCGAATTTCGATTGCTTACAGTACTCAATGAGCACCTCCATAGCAATCTTCTTGGTTCTGTGCGTCGATCTTGTGCCAAGCCAGACATAGACATGACTCTGGACGTCGAGAATTGCGACATTACCAATCTCAAGATCTTCCTGTGAGAATGGGTATTCCTCATTGATCTCGTTGATACCCGAGGAGTTGGAACAGATAAACAATCTTGGAGTGTAGGCAGTGTTGCTGGTCGAGTTGATAGTGCGCACCATATCAAAGTAGCGGTTGCTCTTACCACCGGGAATCGAGTTCCAGAATGCCGAGGATTCGACTCCCTCCTCGATGATCGAGATGGAGAGTGAGTCCGATCGATTTATGGTTTGAGCGATTGAAAGCGATGATTGGAGTTCGATTTCCTCAGAGTATTTACCTCTCCAAATGAAGATGGTGTTCTCAGAGACATTCTTCAAGATGAAGCAGTGTTGGCTGTTGAGAGAGGCAGCGGAGAGATCTACTTGGAAGGCACGGGCATCGATTTCATCATGACCACGTACTTCATAGAGTGCAGTTGTAGAGTCTTGGAATTGGTTGAATTTACCTTTGTGAACGATCATCTTGTTCTTAAAGAGATTCAAAAAGTTACGACTCTCTTTGTTTTGGACGACACGCACCTGGACACACTGTCCTCCGAGACTGTCGTGCAGGTCGACGGTGAGATAGGCAGAGGTTCCCTTGTCGTTGATGGAGCTATCACGACCGAGGTAGTAGTAGATTACATGTGCCTCCTTGTTGTTTAGCATGTAGGTGTAGAGTACAATATAACTGTCACCCGAGAAGAACTGACCGTAGAGATTGTTGGGATGGTCGATCTTCTCAAAGTCTTCGATCTTCCATACTTTGATGCGACTACCGGTATCTGTTGCCGATGTGAATATCTTCTCGTTGTCAACGGCCATCTTGTGTAGACGATTAACAAGTACTTCGAGAGTGTGTTCAGGTTTGACAAGAGCAACGTTTGCCTTGATTTCCATCTTGGTTGTACTGATTGGAAGCATACCTGGGTAGTTGGCAAACTTTTCTTTGTAGAGATTGCTCTCACCAAACTCGTTGATTCTGGTGATCTTTGTCCATGGTAGACGATCTTTCTGAGCGATCAAAGCCAGTGCTACCTTGTAACCCATCTTTCTCTGTGGAAGTGACGACTCCTTACCGATCCAGATGAATACTTCAGTTTGACAATCGATAACATAGACAAACTTGGTGTTGAGAATCTCTTTGTTTGGTAATCTCCAGTCAGTTCCTTCCCATGCCAATCTTGCCTTGAGTGAGTTCTTCTTGACGTCGTTACCGATACGGTAGATTGACATTTTAGTTGATTCTGCATCCTGCTCTTCTGGGGTTGGTTTGGAAGCGGGCGAACTTAATCGACCACCCAAGATCTCCCAGAAATCGGCACTGTCTTCTCTGCCTTCATCGAGCTGTACAAGAGTGGATTTTCCACCTCTCTCCTTCTGTCTGATACGATTTGCCAAATCCAATGCTTTGGCTCTGTTGACTCTGGAACTCTTGGCACCGGCCCAAACAAAGATTCTAGGTCCGGCATCGAGCACGAATGAGTTGTGAGTGTTGAGCGAGCTAGAGTCAAGCTTTGCCATGATGACTCTGATCTTTCTCTTTCCCTTGATTTGCATGAGAAGCTTCGACTTTCCATTCTTCAGCGCCGTCAAGTCGATGAATCGCAACTCATCCTCTACGACAGTCTCTAGATCCTTGTCAGAGATACCGAATAGTTTGATGATATCGATCGAACGCTTTCTAGCAGCTTCCAAACCCTCCATCCAACGAGCGCAATCATCGAAATCCTCAGTCGGTGGAATAGTTCTAAAGTTACATACAACAACATTGGCGTTGTCGTAGAGAGTAAATTCATTGGGTGAGAGTTTCTTGATGGCTGAGATTGATGACATTTGAATTCTCAACTCTGGTGCAGTTGCCTGTTTGTTCTTTGAAACAAAAAGATCTTCTGCCAACAGCGAAATATAACAGTTACCCCACATCGAGAATATACCATTGAGTTTTCTTGACATTTGACCCTCCAAAGTCTGTTCTTCCTCCTCCTCTTCATTACCTCCAATATTATCAGCGCCATCGTTATTGTTATCTTCATTGTCACTTCCAATCGGTGAGATTGCACTGGCACCACCATTGCTATTACTGTTGGCGGTCAGTTGTTTGTTTTGGATGGGTGGTTTGGATTCACCAGAGTTCTTCAAGTATTGTCTCAGTACACTGATCCACGTTTTCATTTCATCTTTATTCTTGGCGAGTAAATGTATGATTCTGGAGGGTGTAGTCAATTGGAAGCTGAAACCTTCGATCTTGAAGATCTCTTTGGTCTTGTGGACAGAGATTGCTTTCTCGAGATGGATGGTTTCCAGTGGTTCACCATTCTTCAGTGCCTTTGTTCTGAACGAATAGAGAATACCATCAGAGACAACATACCACTTCTCGACATTGGAATTCCAGAGAATACCTGGAACCAACTCAAAGAGCGATCCCTCAATGATGACGTCAACCTGCTTCAATGTTCGAGGTGAAGGTGGTGCAGTGGGAGTCGGTGTGTTGGCACCAGAGTTGTTTGATTGTGCAGTGGTAGGTGGAGTCATACCACCGGACAGCTTCAACGATGTATAGGATGGGTTTCTCGATAGTAAACTATGTGATCTCTTCAATGTTGGTGGTCCAGCTGGTTTGCTTGGTACTGCGAATTCAAAGTTATTGGCGTTGGGTGTAGATGTTGCAGAGTTGTTACCATTGCTATTGTTATTACTGCTGTTGTTATTATTATTGTTGTTTAAAGTATTATTCTCACCTTTGGCAATGGCAGATGGTGAAACTATAGGAGTGTTGTTTACAATGTGGAAATCTTTGAGTGCAGGAGAAAGTTCTCTCGTTGGATCATCTTCAATTTTCATCTCACGATGAGCATGAATCGATGAGATCCATTGATCTTTAAGTTCAACGGTTGCGCACTCAATCTTGAACTCCTTTCCATTGTTTGTTGTAATAACAAATCTCAACTCCCATTCCTTATTGCTTCTGATCTCCTCTTGGTCATAGATATCCAGCGATTTAATATTTACAAGAGTGGTATCCCAAACGGCTTGAGCAGAATCCTCATTAACAAAGCAATACAATCGATCTTTAATTATCTTTAAATATCTTGGTTGATATGTATTGAATAACCAACCATCTATTTCTTGTTTAACATCTCCTTCTGTAATAAATGTATCCTATAAAACATATAGTTAATTAATTAGTTATTCATCTAAAATTCAAATAAAGATATAATCATACATTATTATTCAATGTTGTTGCCATTTGTTCCAATTTATCCTTTTGTTTACTCTTACCACCTTCTTCCTCTGATACTTCATAGATAGATAGGATACCCTCTGGCTTCATGGAGATGGTGTGTGGTGTAACCTTTAGATTTTTGTCCTGGAACCAAGGACCAACGTCGGTAGTTGGATCTCCAGATGGTGCAGGTGGGAATATATCTTCTTGGAAGAGTTGTGATTTTCTTGGAACCATGAACGATACCATTTCGATTTGGTTGTTTGTCAATCTCAAGAATCGATCGATCTCACAGAGGTTGACATCGCAAACATTCTTTGGTAGCAGAGACACTGCAGATTGTGTGCTGTTTCCAAAGCTTGCTTTTCCTATGGAATACGATTGGCTACGATCGATTTCATAGTAGTAGATACCGTCACCCTTACCACCGAGGTAAATCATATTGGTTGCATAGTCGTAGTATGGACTGAGCACAGACGAATCAGTGGTGATCGAATTGATGTGAAGTGCTTTCGAGAGATCTCTTGGATCCCAGAGGAAGAGTTGACGTTGCGCACCCTTGTTGGCACCAACCGTGCAAATCAAGTCGAGACCATTCGCGTCTGCCCAAGTCAGTTTGAAACCTTGAGCACCTTCGTGTGTGACCACCTCTTGCACTGGCAAGTTAGAGGATCTCGGATCGTATATTCTCATCTTTTTGTCACGCGACGACGTGGCGAAACGATTGCCGCCACTCCATGTGTTCCAAGAGAGTGACAAGATGGTATCGGTGGCACCTGTCACCTTTTGGATGACCTGTCCCTCTTGAGAGAGATCCCAAAGATCGACACAGTGATCGGACGTCGCCGAGAGAAACAGTGAGTCGACCGACGGGTGAAAGTAGACACCAGTGATTCTCTTTGACTGTTTTGGCAACGCCAAAAGTGGAACTTCAATATTGGACTTCATATCCTCGTCCTCGATATTCCATAGCTTAATCGTACAATCTCTGCTACCGGTGGCAACAACACGATCATTGAACGGACTGAATTCAAAACAACTGATTGGATCAGTGTGTCCCTTTATACAAAATGGTGTATCCGGTGCTTTACCATATGCAGATAATTTTGAAATACATAAACATGATCCACCTATAATAATAATAAACAGTAATTAATATATTTGATTTACAAGATAAATTCAGAAAATGTAAACATTAAAACTTACCTCCAACAGCAGATGGATAACCAAATAATGTTTTTGAAGTTTTCAATAACTCCTCGGCAGATTGGTTGATCTTTAGGTTGGTATAGAACAGCTCTTTCTTACATACTTTATGAAATACATTTCTAACCTTTGATTCTCTTACAATTGATTTTTCAACTTGTTTGTATTCCATTGTTTTGATTTTAAAATGTGAATAAAAAAAAAAAAAGAGATGGAACTTTGTTGATTGGATTGATTGTTTTGGATATTAATTAAAAAATCACAAAACTAATCCTAAAGATACAAAAATATATATATATATATATTTATAAATACAAAATATTTAGCAAAATAAAAATAAAAATAAAAAGTAAACAATATCCAAGTTTCGACGAAAGTAAGACCAAATAAGGATGGTTGTTTGATGACGAATAATAATATTACTACAACTGATGGCCAAATACTAAAACTAATCCTAAACTAATTGTACTAAATGTTTTCTGTTGTTTTTGGTACGAATCTACAAACAGGAGAATTAACTGCTGCTGCTGATGCCCTCTCGAGTTGTACTATTATTATCCAGTCTACAAAACGAGCATACCAGTCAAAACAAAAGAAAAACTGCAACCTTTATAAAATTTGATTTGATTTGATTGATTGGTAGAGTGGTTGAGTTGAATTATCCAACCTTAAACTAAGCTAAATCAACTGTTATTTTTTTGAAAAAATAAAATAAAATAAGAAATAAAATTAATATTAATTATTCAAATTTAATTATTTGATTGATTTTAATATAGAGAGTGGAGTGTGAGATGATAGATTGAATAGATCAATATATTATATAAATGGAGTGGGTAGTAGAGAAAGAGATGGAGAGATATATAGATATATTGAAAGATGGGCTTTGAAGACAAATCAATAAATCTCTATTTAATTTGTTTTGTTTGATTGTAAGGAATGGAGGTGGAAAGTCAAGTCGGAATTGAATTTGACTTTCCAAATACAAAAAAATGATTTTTCTCACTTTTTCTTTTTGTTTTTAATATTAAATATTCTTTTTTGGTTTGTTAATTTTAATTCTAGAGAGAAATGGAGGGAAGTGATAGAGTTTTATAATGTTTGTTGTTTTTGCTTTTTGTCTGGTTTTTTGTAATATGAGATTATTTGTTTGTGATATTATATATAATCATTGCCAAGTGTTTAATTCGAGACTATTTATTGGTGTCGGTCATAAAATATAATATATGATTATATATTACAGCAGGGTAAGTTAGGTTTGGGTTCACAAAAACAACTAAACACAAATTATTGTTTGTTTGTTGGTTGGTTTGATTTTAAAAAATAAATAATAATAACAAACAACTTGATATAATTATCTTTTTTCTTAAGGAGGTAAAAAATGAGTAATTACTATGTTAGAAAGTGTAGAAAAGTGTAGTGTGTTTCTTTTTGTTGTTGTTGTTGGTGTGTTTATTTAGTTTTGTGTTTTTGAGTGATGATATAATACAATAGCTATTTGTATTAGGTATTGTTATTGTTCACTTTTATTGTAAATGATTTATATACACCTACACCATATTAAATATCACGATTCAAATATAGAGTTTGTTTTATTTTGTTTTTCGTTTGTTTGCCAATATCCCGGGTTGTGTGTGTGTTTGTGGTGTAGGTGTTATTTTTATTTTGTGTTGTTTGTTGTTATTGCAAACAAATAAAAATAAAAAAAGACAATCAATATGAATTAGCTCCACCTCCTTCCTCTCTCTTGAGAAATTAACCTTGAGATGAATCATCATACTATAGTAATAATAAAAAAGTCAAACTTATAATTTGAATATGAACGAGTGAGGAGATGGAAGAAGACAATGTTTGTGTTGTTTTTGTTGATTGTTTGTGCTAAATTTGAAAGTTCCCAATGTTGTGTTGTGTGAGTGTGCTAACTTAACTATTCCATCACTAGTTACGAATTGAATGAAATTTGCTTGTAATATATGTCGATTTGTGATAAAGTTGAATATGAAGATGATGATCACAACAACTCCATACTATTAATAATTCTAATTTTAAAATAACCAATCAACTACTACCTCTGAATAACTACTATTACTTTACATTCTTCTTATATGTATAACATTATATAATGTTTATTATTATATGATATGAATGTAATATATTGTGATATTCTTCTTTGCATATTGTTTATTTCTATTGACTATATTTAGAAATAAAATATAAAACATTGAACATACATAATTGACAATATTTGTTATATTATTATTAGCATATCCTTACATTAATTAGAAGTGAATCTTGTAACAGATTTAACTATATATTACAAATATATTCTATTGGTATAAATAACAACACTATTATGATAATTAAATTAAAAATAAACAACAAAAAAAAAAAAATACCCAATCCATTGACTATCCACAAATAATATTTGCACAAATTGAAAAAAACAAAAAAATTCCCAAGACCACTTGAAAACCAAAAACGATGGATCATCGATTCAACCACTTTTTATTTTTCTTTTCCTTTTTCTCCATTCAATTTCAAATTATGTGGTCAACAAACAGCAATAAAAAAAATCTAATTTATTTAAATTTAGTTTAGTTTTATTTATGTATTCATTTTTTCAAGTTTACGACTCATTGATTTAGATTCATGTTTGAATCTTCTGTGTCTGTGAATTGCGATGCTGGCGGTGATCACGATCGCTACACCAACGATCGATCCAACTACGATTCCTGCGATCTGACCGATCGAAAGTCCTTTGGATTTCTTACAGATCGAACCTTCGTTGTCACCGGCACCGTTAGTGTCGACCAGTACATTGAAACTTGGATCGATCAGTACTTGCCGATCGAATTGCATGATATCGATTGCCACTTGTACATCGGATTTCGATGCATCCGACGTCCTATTGAGAAGCCGAGTTGAGATTGGCTTGGGAGTACCGTCGAACACCGCTTCATTCAAGAACGATCCGTACAACGATTGCTTGTCGATTTGCAGTTTAATCCAGCTGAGATTGTTGTCAGAGTTACTCAGCGATTCAATCGATGAGCATTCACCGTTCTCTGATTGGAACACCGCTGACATTAGCAATCTCAGAGTTGTAAGTTTGTCACTGAAGACATAGTTTTGAATTTCAATGTTATACTTGATGGAAGATGGCAGTAGTGTAATATTCTTGCCGGCGAATGTGTAGTTGGTTTCTTTCTCAAACCATTGGATGGTAACAATGACCTTAGTCGATTGTGTATCCGGTAGAGTTGCAGTGTAGATGTATGTGGAGTTACCGGGCTGGTCTAAACTCCAGATTGATTGTTGAGTTAGATTGTATTGTTTGACTACTTCCTCTGCAGCGGTAATCTCTAGAAGCTCTCCAATGGAAATAAAGAATTTAGTCGATAGCTGACCAGGGATTGTACCATTTGTAACTGGTTGATCAGGATTGATTGGTGGTTGGGGAATTGGTTCGACTTTAGATCCACATGAACTACCGATATATCCTGGATAACATTGGCAATGCGAATTAATACAGACACCGTTATTATTACAATTATTTGGACAGGTATTTGGTGTTGGTGTTGAAGTTGTCGAGGTAGTAGTTGTGGTTGTGGTTGTAGTTGTGGTAGTAGATGTTCCGGTTGTAGAAGTACTAGTTGTGGTTGTTGGTTCCGGATTTAATTTGATTTTACCATCAATTCTTTTAATAACAGCAGTATATCCACTATTTAAAAGATCGTCGGTTGAGTATCCATTGATATTATCATAACTATCTATGATATTATATACAGAGAGATAGAAATCACTTGATCCCCATCTATATGGAATAGTAATTTGACATGTATAATTGATAAGAGTCCAGTTTGGATTTGTTTCTAAACCTAAGCATGGAAACTGTAAAAAGTCACCCATAAACGAAGTAACATAAACAATTGGTTGTGTCCAGTTTTTGATTTGAATGTTATCCTGAATGTCCAAACTGACGGTGAAACTGGAATTCACCGCCCTTACATCGAGACTTGTGACCGATGGAACAAAAGCAGTGAGAGTTGGTGGTTCGCTATCCAATACACTCTGATCACAAACAATCTCTAGAGTCTTTAGTGTTTCATTAAATACGTTCAATGTCTCTGGAATACCTGGCTTATAGGATGTTCCATATAACTTATTCAGAATGAAGTAGGAATTGGTGATTCTGTATTTCTGGGATCTGCAATTGCCACCCACCTGGAACTTGACAGTCAGGTCATTAATATTGGTTAGATTAATTCTCTTGACCACTGGATCATAGTCTCCAACCACATCGACATAACCACTGAATGTATTACAGTTGTACAAACAATTAAGAAGCATTTTCCAGCCAACAAAGGTTGAGGAGTTAGATACCACCGTACTATAACCGTCTCCATACCAACTGATCTGATCGTCAAAAATAGTTGGTGGAGATAGAAGAGTTGTGTTGGAATATGTATATAAAGTGTTCGGAAAGGCATTGGAACTAATATTCTCTGACGATAGAATATCAAATGAAATAGGACCATCGAACAAATATCTTGGAAGTTTCAATGGTATCACATAGGATGCCCACATGGAACTATACGATCCGACATAAATGAAATTTTCATTATACTCTGGTATGGAATAGAAATTGAATCTAACTCTTAGTTTGTATTGCAAATCGGGATTCATGTCACCCGACATCATTGACAAAATGATAGATTGATCTACGCCATCGGTTGTTACGTTGGTTGCCTCAAATCCATTGGGGTAAATAAAAATTATGGCAGTTACATTTTCAAAGTAGAATGGAGATGGCTGTGGGAAGAAATCTAGGAACTGACCATTCGGTAGATATTGGCCGGATTTGAAAGTGCTTGTCAAACCAGCGAGATCCGTTAGCTTGACTGTGAATCCAGGTGGATAGTAAACACCGTCATTCGAAACGGTGTAGGTGTAGTTATAAACATCGGTATTGGATATTGTGAAGTTTACCAAATTAGAATCATAGAGAGTAACCTTTGAAGCTTCTTCTCTTGCCGCATCGATTCCGTGTGAAATTTCAATTGAGTAGACTCCACTGAGATCATCGCTTGCACTAACATTATAAGTGAATTGATACGGTGTAATATATGTTACTGTGAAGCTTATTAGTTTTGGTGGTTCTGTATCTATCCCTTCGGTATCGTATGGAGGTATTAATGTAACAGTCTTTTCGCATGTTGAAAATATTTCTGCGAATGATTGGTAGATAGACATCGGAATAGAGAATCTATGTTGAAAGGATGTATTGAGGTTGACTGTTCCTGGTCCGAATCCCATTGGGTAGGTATTAAAAACAAATGGTTTCGGTGAGTTGATATTGAATGAAAGCACTGGATTGATCACTGTAATACTCGATGATAGCAATACTGTATTATTGATCTTTGTATATGATATATTGTTTACTACACATCCATATAGATTTTCTAAATAAAAATAATCAATCAATATCTATCTATTTATAATATAATATTATGTTATTTTAATTTGATTGAGATATATTAATTACCTGTTGTTACTTGCAGTGGTATAGAGAAAGTTTGATTTAAACTGTATGGACTATTGAGTGAATAGAAATTTAGTGAAGTTGCGCTGTCGGGTGGAATCAATGGACTGAGATAGGTGGCTAAGGAATTAGCTGATAACAAACTGTAAGGCCTGATCTCTGCGTAATCACTAGTTGGTGCGATTGTATATACAAAAAAACGTGATAGTACTTCCTTTGCCGTATTAGCGAAATTAGCGAATGCATATACGTTCTTCTTTGGTGCACCATAAGGCATAGTCACAGGTCGGTTTCTTATATATTGATAGTTATTCTGCTCTATTACTGTGATGTTTCCCACAGTGAAATCCTTCAACGGTTGAGATGTATAAGCAATAGAAGTTTGAGTAAAACCATCGGTGATCTGCACGGTAAAACCATTTGCATCAGTGTAGTTACAAACATATTTGGTTCTAAACATTGGAGTAAGTTTGATTCTATAGATGTTGGCTATATTTGGTCTCAGGGTCAATGAGCATGTGTAGCACGGGCTATTACACTCCAGATTTGAAGTGGGTGTGGATATACCATAAAATGCGGATAGCTCTAGATTGGTAACACTGGTTGATCTTTCAATTGGTTGTATTAAAGTGGAAGTAATGGCATTTGGTCCTGATAGTTAAATTAATATTAAATTTAATATCGATATTAAAAAAAAAAAGAAAAAAACAAGTTCAAATTTATACATACTTTTACAAACAACAGATATTTTTTGTAATGAATAGATTCCAGATGAATTTGAAATAGACAAATCAATGAGGTTACCATTTAGAGGTACATTTACATTGAGTTTCATGGAGATGATTCCATCAGTGGATTGATTTGCACCCCACAGATAGGTGGTATTGAAATTTAGATTGGCTGGTACAATGAAATTGTCTTTTGGTAGTTTATCATAATATACACTGATTTCGAACAAACAAGTTGAATTATTTGGAGTTATAAATTTAGATGTTTGATAGATATAGTATTTGAAATTATTTTGACCTACAAAGATGTGATAAATATTGATTGATGTTAACAAAAGTTATAAAAATTAGTTGGTATAAAAAAAAATATTTTTTTATAGCCTTAGTTTTAAAAAAAAAAATACCATTTACAATATGCAGAGTAAATAGAGAGAGAAATAATAATAATATTTCAACTTTCATTTTTGATAAAATGAAGATTTTATAAATGACTTTAATATTTATAAATTTTATACATCAAATCTGCCACAAATTTTAACACTTTATAAAACCATTTCCAAAAAAATATCTTTGATATTATTATTTTTGACGAAAAACCAAAAATTTGATCTGATCAATAAAACTTTAGTTCATACCCGGAGCAACGCAAATGAGTTGTAAAATTCTCAACTTTTTTCAGATATGCACAAAATACAATTAGTTAAAGCATCAATCTTTGAAATACCCAAAAAAAAAATAATAATAATAATCCTGACGGGTAATAAAGGGTAAGAATTTCTTTTAGTTTTTAATTATAAAATTATATGATTAAAAATAAAGGTATGATTACCAAGATACATTGTTAAAAAAAGATTGACTACCAACGATCTTAGTCTGAAGATAGTCAATGTAGTCACTGAGGTATAAAGATATTTCCTCGGATTCTGATGTTTGGAAAACAAAAACACCTTGTGAATAATCACCAAAATCAAGTGAAAACGATTGTTGTTCCTTTGAAAATGACCATTTTCTCAGATGTGTCAATGGGAATTCCAACAATAATTTCTAAAATTAATCATGAGAATGGCCGTTAGTTAGTCATTGATAATCTAGATGTTTAAAATGTGAGAAACTAAAATTACTTACTCTAGTTTTAGCAATCATTATTAATATACATTTACGAGAGAAACCTAACAGCAGAGAACTGTTGGATGGCAACAGTGCATTGTGGTAGGGTGTAACAAATGGATTGTGATTCTTATCCTTTTGTTTGACAGAGAAGAATGTCGCGCCAAAAGTCTTGAGAGAGCGACACAGCTGGACATATCTGAATTTGGCATAGACCTCTTTGATGCCACGCAGATTGCGATGCTCCTTGTAGATGTGCTTTTCGATCTTTGGGAATGACATTCCCCAGAGCTCCAGACAGTCGAGTGGAAGGAAAAACTTGAGATCCTGTTGTTTGAGGAATCCTGCTTTGTGAATGGTTGGATTGTGATCGCCAAAGTTGATTTGGAACAGAGTTGCTGCCAGCTGGATCGACTCCTCCATCGAAGCGGCATACGTATTCGAGATGATAGCATCACGTGACTGGAAGAATAAAAGGTTGAAATAAACGGGATCGTTGTGGCAGTCGTCAGAGGCAGTATCGAACGAGTAGAATTTCTTTTTAAACATTAACTTTGCGTCGGATGGCACGTTTTGTTGAGAGAGTGAGATGTAGGGCCGCAGCCAAATGCCATTACCAACAAAAAAGTCATCACTCTGTCGCTCGATACCATCGACCAGTGTGCTACTCTGGATTTGCAACGAGAAATCCTCCGTATTCTTAATACCAACTCGATTTCCAATCTCCTGAGTGATCTCTACAACAGTCTTTAACTCATCAACAACAAACGTCTTTACTTTTTTATCTGAAAACTTTACAATTATTTCACGTTCTTGAACTGTTGTATCTGTTATATAAAAATATATTATTAGTTGTTAGTTTTCCAACAAAACCTAATAACTTAACTACTATTCTTTTCTTTTTTTGTTTTTTTTCTACTTACTCTTTGAAAATGTTTGAATCATCTTTGAAGATAGGTCGGTTAGAACTCTCATTACTTTGGTTACTTTATTATCTTTATACAATTCTTTTTTGGAGCGATCATCACTGTTCTCCAGAGTATACAATGGATTTATATATTGCTTCTTTGGTTCAATATATAATGGACATTTTTTCGATACAATTCCAGGATAATCCTCTATATTATTAAATAAATTAATTATTAGTTTCGAAAATAGACTAAAAATAACGGATATGAATATGTGTCATACTTTTTCTTTTATCATCTATAGATGATGTTGAACATGTAGATAGTCTTCTACGAGAAGATATCTTTGCAACAGTACTGTAATCTTTGTCCCATTGCTTTTGAATGGATGGATTGTTTCTCAGACTATGATGAATATAACATGAAAGTACATAGGATATTGCCTCTGCCTCCACAGTTGTAAAACTCATTTTCTTATCTGTAAACTCAACTGAAAACATATGATTTAAAACTTGCCACTTTCTAACATTTGATAATGAATATAAATGAATTGAATTCTATTAAAAAATAAAAAATAGTGAGTTAATAACTTATATTTTAATGAATAATAATTAAATAAACAAACCTTTGTTTCTGGATTTAAAATTAAAATAGTTTCCGAAGAAATACCGAAAAGATATTCATCGGATAGCATCGATACTCTGAAGAATGTATAACCATAGGTTTTCATTGACTTTGCGAGCTGTATGTAATTGAGCTTCGCTTTCTGCTCGGTCATTCCAGCCAGCTTTTGATATTGTGAAGCAATCTCCTTTTGTGCGCTACGCTGTCCGGCAACTACGTACTCACTGGGCAGATAGTCCTTGAGTCGGATCGAATCGATTTGAAAATCCTTTTGATAGTCGCCAAAACAAATCTGACACTGAAGTGCAGCAAACAAAAAAGACTCGGTTTGCGAGCACGGATAGGAGCCATCGATAATCGCGTCAAAACATTGACAAAACACGAAATGTAACATGTCGGGATTCATAGAGAAATCAATAATAATATCTTTGGCAAAACAAAACTGACGCTTCAAGTAGAACGTGGTGTAGAGTGGGTCTATCTGCTGCTCGGGCAGCGTCAAGTCCGACACCAACCACGTGCCGACATCTTCTTGCGCCGTCTCGAGCTTGAGCGACAGTTCCTCGGGGTAGCGCAGCGACAGCTTTGCCGCCAGATCCTTTGAGATCTCCGAGACTGTTTTCGATTCGTCGACGATAAATGTCTTGACAGTCTCGTCAAGCAGCATGCCCTGATGTAGTGGATGCACAACTCTTTCCCACGGACCATAAAACTTAATCTTCAACGTCGACTTTGTATTCTTGAATTCCAACGTTTCATTAGGATCAATATCGTAATCAGCCAAACTACACTCTGGCTTTAGCCAACGTGCATTCCTAAACTGTCCAGACTGTTGAAACAACCCATATCTCTCTATCTCTCCCCATGACGAATTGAAACCAGAGATATCAACTGTATCTATATCATCAAGTGCTTGTTGTGATGACGATGATTGAATAGCATCTTCTGTTGTTGTTGCTGCTGCTGCTGCTGCTGCTGATGTTGTAGTTGTTGTGGTGGTTGTTGTTGTTGTTGTTGTCGAGGTTGCTGTTGTGGATTGTCTTGGACTTTGTGATCTTCGTTGATTCTGTAGAGATTTCTCGAGGAAATCACGCTTCTCTTCGTTGACTACACGGTCGTATATTTGGTGTATTACATGCTCTACTTTAGCATGTATAGAGAATCGCATGGTTATACAACGCTTCTGTCGAACCAAACTGATCTTGATGGGACGTGTCTGAATGGAAACATCGGATGGATGCAATCGACTCACCATGAAACTTATCAACTTTTCAATAAGATTCAAAGGTATTCTCTGTAGATCTTCATTGTTATACTCCATCTTCTCCATGATGGCAATGAAGCATAGTTCCACCATTGATAACACCATCCTCTACTATGTTTCTATTATATATATATATACAAAAAAAAAAAAAAAAAAAAAACTACTATTTTTACAAACAAACAAAAAAAAAGAATACAATAATTACTTTAGATAGAAAAGTAAGTTAATAAAATTATGATAAAACTAAAGTTATGTTGTGATGTTATGAAATTGTTGTTGTTTATTATTATAATTTGTTATAATATATAAATAAAATTTAAAGATTATGATAATGATAACGTGATTGTGAATGTGATGTGAGTGATGATGATGCCTGTTTGACTGCTCTTTAAAAAAGTAGCAGTTTATATAATTTACAAACTCATATGAAAGAAAAAAACGATTAATTATATAAATAATAATAATAAATGAAAATATATATAAATATAAACAAAACAAACAAACAAACAAACAAACAACAATCAATAACAATTAAAACAAGAACACCAATAACAAATATATTATTATTATTATTATTATTATTGTTTAAGTAACAATTAAAAAAGTAAGTCGATTACACACACAATCAAAAACTAATTGTAAAATTGATATTATTATTATTGTTGTTGTGTGAAAATTGGATTGTCTATTTTTATCGATTATTATTTTTGTTCTTGTTTTGTTTTTGTTTTAATATGTTGGAAGATATATAATTTTTATTAAATCTGTTTCTCAGAGAGAATAAATCATCATCCTCCAACAAACAGCGAAAGTTGTTTTTTTTTGCTTTTTTTTTTTTTTGTCAATCAAAAAAAACAAGTGATCTATATTTAGGATGGTAAAGTTTTTTTTTTTCAAAAAAATTTTATGAGAATCTTGTTCAAACCCAAATCCACTACCAATATTTGCTACCTTATTAATTTAATATGGAATTGATTGTTTTGTTTTTGTTTTTTGTTGTTACAAAAATATATTTATTGTACAAATTTTTTTTTATTCTATTTTATTTAAACATCATTTAAATATTTTATAAATACACATACAAATTTTAATCGTACGAAAATATAAAATCAATCAAATTAGTCAGTAAAATAATAATTCGCTTATTAAAATTAAATCTATAAATTGTATATTAATAATCATAATAAAAAAAAAAACAAATCCAATCATATTATCAATCATATTTTAATAATAATAATCTATATAAATAAATATTTTCTTTAAAAAAATAATAAAAAGAAAAGAATAGTTTTGTGTCAATAATTCAATTAAAGAATCATACATTGTTGTAAATTTCAATCTAAATATCAAGAAAATAAATTATAAATTTATTTCATTATCTTTGCAGTTCGTTAGTTTTGTTTACTGTTAAATCCCAAATCCAAGAAATCTATTTTATAAAATGTATGTAAGATTATTATCGAAATAAATAATAACAATAATAATGAAATTGTATCTTTGAAAATTCAAAGTTAATCTTTGCATTGCCCTTTAGTTTCTTTTCAGAAACGATCGGCAACAAACATCGCCAATAATGGTAGATTGATCATCTCTAAATCTATATTATTGATTGAATGAACAATCAACCAAGCCAAATCAGACTTCAAAACAAAAAAGAACAACAACACCACAATATTAAATCATTTACAAATCTCTGTCCATTTTTCTTTCATTGTTTTTGTGCTGTTGTTGATCTATAGGTATTTACTACCTTTAGATTTACTCTTGAAATACATACACAAAATCAAAATCAAAGAATTGTTTACTGAACACACAACACACACCCTCTGAGTCTCTCACAATGCAAACATGATAAATCAATCACCATTGTTATTAATATCAGTATTGTGATGTTTTTTTTTGTGTTGTCTGGTCCCTTTTTTTTATTAATAAAAATATAAATTTGCAAAAAAATAAACTCTTTTTTTTTTTTTGTTTTTGTTGATTAATATAATTAAAAAAAAACCAATCCATCACCAAGACCAGAAAATCAATCAATCACTCGCTGCACCACCCACAAACAATTATTGATCTGTGTGTTGGTTCCCCCAAAGTTTTTCTAAACTTTTTTTCTTATAAGCCGTTATTTACAAAAAAAGAAAAAAAAAAAACAAAAAATTTATTTTTATTT